CATTCTTGAGGCCGTCCAACGTGCCGCCGCCCAGCGCCCGCCGAGAGCGGACCCGACGGCGTCAGAGGTCGATCTCCTCCACCCCGCTGTGCACGCCGTGCGCGAAGACCTCGCCTGGGCCCGGGTTGAGTCGCTCAGCCACGCGGTCGTGCAGCTTGTCCAGCGCCGCCGGGAATCGCCGAGGGCCTCCCGCGCCGACACGTCCAGAGCCCTGCCCGCACGGTCCCCGCCACCAGTGTCGCCCCTGCCTGCCCCGCCTTCTCCTGGGACTCCTCCCTGCCGGCGTGTTGTTTCTGGCGCTTCTGCTGCGTCGGCTGCCTCCGCCACCTCCTCCACAGCTTCCACCTCCGGCTCGCGTCCCCAGTTCCCCTCGCCGTATCAGCACGGCATGCACCGGGACACGAGCAAGTCGTCGTACACCTCCAGCGTCTCGACCCTCGTCAGGGAGGCTGCCGCGAGCAAATCCTCCCTGGCTTCTGTCCAGTCCCTCGAATCCACGAGGGGGCGGCAGGACAGGCCCGCATGTTCTACAGGTTCGTCGTGGACTCGTGATCGATTGCCATCCTTGGCATCGACCGTCTTGGGGTCTGTCGTCTATCTAGAGACCGAGTACGTTGCACATCCGCGGTGGGAACTACATTCTAGCCACCCAATCTTACGTCGACGCCGACGAGATGAAGAACGACTTGGAGATCGAGCCGTCAATCGGGGCAGCGGGGAGAGGGTTGGCAGCGGGCACGTCGGCGGCGGCGACCTTGAAGGTCGACTCGTCAACAGTAGTGTTGTTGAGCGAGATCTTGCCGGCAGCAGACTCGCCCTTGACGAGCTTCTTCCAGGCCAGGTTGCACTCGCGGACAATCTCCTCGGCGTACTGTTTTCTTTGTCAGCTCGGCCGTCACAACATCCTCGATCGTCACGACGTCTCCAAACTTACCTTGCGCGGCTTGGCTTCGCCGGAGAAGGCAAACACGTTCTCAGGCTTGCCGTCAGGGATCTTGTAGATCCTGCACAATGTCAGCCTCGAAGCGCTCGAAGAGCAAAGAGACTCACCGGAACCACTCATTGGTGGCACGGAGGAGACCGGGGAGGTGCTGCTCAACGTCCTCAATGTCGTTGAGCTTGGAGGCGAGGGGGTCGTTGACGTCGACGGCAATGACCTTCCAGTCGGTCTCGCCCTCGTCGATCATGGCCATGATGCCGAGGACCTTGACCTGCTTGACCTGGCCAGTGTAGCCGATAGCCTCGCCAATCTCGCAGACGTCGAGGGGGTCGTTGTCACCGACGGCACCAGTCTCGGGGTGCTTGACGGTGGGGTCCTCCCAGGTCTGGGGGAACGCGCCGTAGTTCCAGATGTAGCCGTGGTGAGGGAAGCAGTTGCGGACGTAACGGAGCTTGCCCTTCTTGGTGTCTGTTCGTGAGTCCAAGCCCGTCCCGGTGGAGGCAACGCACCCTGGAGGATGGGGTTAAAGTTCTCCTCCTTGGAGATCTCCATCTTGGCGTTGGTCCAGCGGGGGACCTCGACGACCACTGCGGGGTTAGGAGTGTTGGACGGTGTGTGCTCACTGTTCAGGATAGTCTGAGCGTTGTCGGCGTAGAGGGGGATGTCGCTGGGTGGTTAGTTTTGGTGGAGTGGAGGGGCGAGGTTGGTGCTGGAGCGCACGGACGCGCACACGCAGAGCACGACAGATGGCGCCGCGGTCTATGTGAAGGAGGCGGTTGGGCAACCAAAAGCAGCAGGAGCTGGTGCGGAGGGAGGCATGAGGCGACACGTCACACGGCGCAGGAGCAAGCTATCAAACGACGCCCAGCACTGCCTCGGCGACGACGAGCACTGGTGCTACAGGCATGCAGGTCGGGAAGCTGACATGCTCCTCATGGCCTCTACAACCAAGAGTCACCACTCGGAATGACTGTTCAACTCACTGGAAGGGCGAGACGACCTTGCCATTCTGCTCAATAAAGACGCGGTGCTCGAGCGTGTTGGGAGCGCCAACGACGCGAGTTGAGAAAGCGTTCTCGGCTGCCATTTTGCTGGAGGTTGCTGTAGCGGAAGCTCGTGAGAGGTGTGTAGCAGTGGTGGAGAGGCGACGGAGAGCACTCAAAGTCATTGACGACGGTGAGGACGAGACCGGGGACCGTGGTGGTGGTGGTGACAGCGACGACGAGCTGCTGCTCCAGCCAGTACGCGTTGGTGGGGGAGGGGCCTCCATGTCGACCAATCAAAAACGGAATCAAATCGGGTGTCCCAATCCAATTTGTATGGGGGATTAGATCGTATTAAGAGAACTTTCTAATCTCGATTAGCTTATTACAACCGATATTAGGCTTTTTTGTAATCCCAATAAACTGGAATAGCACGCCATTGCAGTCTGTCGGGGTTATCGGCAAGCAGCAAGGTTACTCACCACACGATAACCACGCTCTACTCTATCGCTTGTCGTTAACAGTAGTCCCGTACACTTCAGTCGTCGTCCGTAAAGTCCTAGTCGGAGCAATAGATTCTCCAGGCGCCCAGCAAGGGCGCGCAGCGACCTGGAGCCGTGCAGAGGAGACGTGGGGGACGGGGAACCGGGGCGGGAGGCTGGGGAACGGAACGGAGTGGCAGGGCTGAAAAGCGGGTGATGATGGCGGCGATGTAAATGGATTAATGGTCAACGTTGTTGAGAGATTATTGTTGATGGCGAGCACGAGATGGACAGACGTCGAGCAAGGCCCCGCTGCAGCCGTCTGGTCTGGCGGCATCAAGTCTGGGGCCTCACGGTCCTGGGGAGGAAACACGACTAGCAACGGCTCGTACCCGATCCCAAGCTCATTTCGGGTCGGCAATTCGATTAGGCGACCGCTGGACATTCAAGACCCCCACTAATCCCGCTCGTGGGCAATCAGTGGTCTTCGTCATACTCGTATACTTTGTGCATCTGGCATGTCGCATGTCGCGATGTGGATGATCAGACAACTTGTAACATCAAAGACCATGCTCGGCACGGACGATGGCGACAGCGAGCTTAGGTTGATGAGGAGCTGGTGGCGTGTGGCGGTGAACCCGCCACTTTCAGTCGTCAAGCTGTGGGGACTCTGCCGTGGTTTTATCACAATCCAATCTGCAGAAGACCCCATGCAACATCGCACAGGGGGGCGATGCCACGCATGCTGCTGCTGATACTGGCGCCGGTGTTGCCGCGCAGATGCCATAAAAGCTGCGTATCAATAATCAGCATCCCCTCCATGCGATTGCAGCAGAGACGCGTTCACCAATTTCATCAGCGGCCACTTAGCTCAGTTGGTTAGAGCGTATGCTTAACATTCGATCGAATCTTACGCATAAGGTCGGCGGTTCGACCCCGCCAGAGGTCATTATTTTTGTTTTTATCCTCCATGTGTCCGTCAACGCATTGTTGCAGTCCGACGAGTTGGTCAGGGAAAGCAGCCCCCCTTTGCCTGTCACAACGCTCTTGAAATCGCAGTGGCATTGAACAAACGGGCCAGCTTCAAGTCCGTCGGCACCGAGGCAGATGTGCTCATCGACCAAGCTGACCAGCTTGGCGGCTTGAATCTACGGACCATGTGAGCGGCGTGTTGTTACACAGAGGGCGAGGCGAACGAGGACGGCATGGAGGACGACATGCCCAGATTACAACACGACCGCGGAACATCTTCCTCAAGGTGCTCAGCAGGGCCGCTCGCACTCGAGCATGACACCGGAGCCTTTAGGCGTGTCACTTTGCGTACGTCGATTCTGCCCTCGCCGTTGGCGGCCTCTGGGGCCATACTCGACGGGGGGAGTGTTGGCTGTAGCGATTTGATATATGTTTCTCCTATGGGCGTTGTTGTCGTGTCTGGAGCCCTCGTGGTGAATCCTCGGCACCCTCTAGCCCGTTCTCTCTCGGCTGTGGTCCTGTGAACATGAAGACGCCTCGCACCTTCTCCCCTGACGGATATCTAGCCTCGATATCCGTCGCTTCATGTACTGTTGTCCCGCTTGTCGCGGCAACATCGTGACAGAGTGTCTCGCGTCATTCGTGTGCTGACATCCACTTGGAGGATGTGTCGCTTTGACAACCGGCTGCCCGAATCCACGAGGGGGCGGCAGGACAGGCCCGCATGTTCTACAGGTTCGTCGTGGACTCGTGATCGATTGCCATCCTTGGCATCGACCGTCTTGGGGTCTGTCGTCTATCTAGAGACCGAGTACGTTGCACATCCGCGGTGGAGCATCCCACCGCATCTACACGTTGGCAATGAGTGCCCTCCCAACTTGGAGAGCGACAACCCCAGCAATTTGACGCGGACTACGACACACAGTCGGAGGTGTGGTCCAGCGTGGGGGGTGTGGCGCACGGCGCGTGTCAGGTCCTGCCGCGTGCCGTCAAACGAATATCGTTCACAGCGACGCAGTGGACGTCGACAACACGGAGCTGGGTTGACCACATGCGCCACGCGCCGGCCGCACAGTTGCCGACATGCAGCCTTCTGAAAGAGGAGATGCGATCACACCAAAATGGGCCCGGAAGTGTCCACACGACGCGGCCCGCAGCATTGCCAAGAAACGAAGCTCGCTTTATCGCAAGCTCCTCTCCTCGTGGACGGCTATAACATTGACCTGGCAGGCGGCAGGGAGGGTGACAACACCACTGCGAATGGGTTGATTGTGCAGACTGATGTCGGAAACGAAATGGACAAACAATAATAATATAAAAAAACACAATGTAAATTAAATTCGGTGCTTCATCGGCTGGGAAAGCAGAATGATCAGAAACAAAAACATATGACCTCTGGCGGGGTCGAACCGCCGACCTTATGCGTAAGATTCAATCGAATGTTAAGCATACGCTCTAACCAACTGAGCTAAGTGGCCGCTGATGAAATCTGAACGTCGAAGTAAGTCACCAGGAGGTTCCCAATGAGACAGAAACAATTGAATGATACGTTTGCCTGCGCCTGCACTCTGTGGGACATTCAAGTGGCTGGTGGCATGGACGCGCTCAACTCGAATAGTGTTAATGCCAATGATGTACCCTCTGAGCATCGCACAACCGTCCAAGGCTTCGCAACGGGTGCCAGTACACGGAAATGGATAGTCATACACTGCGTGCTCTACATGTCAGGTTTGGCGACCTTGCGCCGCTCTGTGCGGCCCGTCTGGGGGTCCTCCATCTCCTGGAACGAGATGGGAAGGAGCGGGTTGCCTGGTGGTCAGCGGTACTGGCTGGGAAGGGGGGTGCTCACCGTCCTCGGAGGTGGCGTACACGACACCGAGCTCGTTGGCGGCTGTGGAGAGGTAGTAGCTGCGGGCGTCGCCGAGGGAGAGCTGGGGTGAGCTACAGAACAGAACGAGGGCGTGACTTACGACCTTGGCCTTGACAATGTCGCCGAGGCGGAAGCACTCGCCCATCTTGACCTTGTCGCGCTCGGTCAGCCTGGCTGGTCAGCGTGGGAGTCGGATCGGTGCGCACCGAATGTCCGCGAGGCGCACGACGCCTGTCAGCTCCTCTGTAGAGTCGGCGACGGGGCGGTCGTTGACGATCTGAATCACGACGTGCGCCTGCTGCGGTGACAAGCGCGCAATCTGGGTGTTAGAGCTCGCCGCGCAAACCAGGAGAGGGTAACCAACCTGTCCAACAACCTAGAGTCAGCTCTGCACCCGCGCACCTTTCTCAACCCACAATGCTCCCGATTTCTGGCACTACACCCGCCTCGGCCTTGCCAATGACGCTGACGACCTGCGGCGTGGTTAGCTGACAAGCTGACGACAATTGAGAGCTCACTGCTCCATCGCGGTGTGGCCGCCCGACAATGCTGGCGAGAATACGGCCCTGGCTCTCATAACAGCCTGGACCGCACTGCGGCACTGGAGGTATTGTGAATGCTGCTGGTAGCGGTTGTCCCGGGAGGAGTAGCGGTGCGGACATTGTGGGCGACTGGGTATCACGGAAATCTCGACAACAAAGGTGGTGAAGACAAGTCAAAGTAAATACTTTAAGAAGCCCCCAGGTGTCTGCCTGTTCTTTTGTCTGGCATGTCTTGGGGCGGCGACGGGGGCTGCATCGGGGCTTGCTGTGGCTCGCAGTGGCTCGTAGGGAGCCGTAGGGATGTTCGGGGCAGCGAAGGGGGATGCAGAAGGGGGAGGAATGTCATGGCTCACCATGACCTGCCCAGGCAGATGCCAAACTCCGCTATCCCCCGTCCGAGCAGGTCACGGCAGGACTCTTCAGCAGGTACCAGGAGGTGGCAGGAGGTACCAGGAGCAGAAGAGGACAAGGCGCTCCCCCCAGCCTTCCCCATCCATTCGCTGGCGCGCGACGGCGCGATGGTGACTAACCACCTCGATGCGATCCCTGTGCACCACCCTGGCGATGCCGGTTCAACCCGCGACAGGTTTTCTCTTCGGACATTCATTCGCATCGTTTCATGAATGGCTGGAGCCGCTGGAGCCTCTCAGGACCCGCAGGAGCGCATGTTTGGCGCGCAAAAGAACGAACCGGACCGAGCGTGGTATATAGGCTAGAGGTGTTTGTTGTGGCCACCCGAAACTTCGCCCCAGACACCAGCGTAAACACCACCAGACATTATCATCTTACATTCGAGCGCCAGCCTAAAGACACCACCCGCCTCGGCGCCCAGAGCAAGCTCAGCATGGACGTGATCCAGAGTCGTCCCCTCCCCCCTCTTCCCGCTAGCCCGCCACACGAACCCCGCTTCAGCGACTTGAGCCTCGACTCAATATCGCTGCCGCGCGAACCGCTCTTCCTCGACCTCGTCCGTCTCGCGAACACGCGCTCTCCCGAAATGCCCTCCAGCACAGAGGACATGTCGACTGACATGTCGACCGAGTTCTCAGCCTCGGACATTGTCTACGATGTAAGCGTGCCCTGCTCACACGAGCTGACATTAGTATGACGACATGACCGAGATCAACCTCCCGGGTATCCAATGCGCGTGCGTTGAGGTCCTCGAGCGACTAAAGAAGTCGCCTCGGGGCCTGCAGCGCGCCGCGGAGGAGCAACAGCTGGCGAGCGCAATCCACGACCTGCTTGAGGCTTCATACGAGCTTGAGACGTTCCATCCCTCGTCGGCGATCTCCTCCCCCGTCACGCCTCCCGACGACCCCACTCAGGTCACCTCGCCGTACCTCCGCCTGATCCACATTCTTGAGGCCGTCCAACGTGCCGCCGCCCAGCGCCCGCCGAGAGCGGACCCGACGGCGTCAGAGGTCGATCTCCTCCACCCCGCTGTGCACGCCGTGCGCGAAGACCTCGCCTGGGCCCGGGTTGAGTCGCTCAGCCACGCGGTCGTGCAGCTTGTCCAGCGCCGCCGGGAATCGCCGAGGGCCTCCCGCGCCGACACGTCCAGAGCCCTGCCCGCACGGTCCCCGCCACCAGTGTCGCCCCTGCCTGCCCCGCCTTCTCCTGGGACTCCTCCCTGCCGGCGTGTTGTTTCTGGCGCTTCTGCTGCGTCGGCTGCCTCCGCCACCTCCTCCACAGCTTCCACCTCCGGCTCGCGTCCCCAGTTCCCCTCGCCGTATCAGCACGGCATGCACCGGGACACGAGCAAGTCGTCGTACACCTCCAGCGTCTCGACCCTCGTCAGGGAGGCTGCCGCGAGCAAATCCTCCCTGGCTTCTGTCCAGTCCCTCCAGTCACAGCAATCCCTGGGCGCCACCGAGACCCAGGGGCTCGTGCGGAGCGCCGACTCCGACACGGTGGCGTCCGTCATCGAGCGCCTCCACCGCATCGCACCCCACCTCGAGGGGCAGTGGCAGCGCACAATGGACATGCAGGAGCTTGACGACATCATCAACAGGGTCGACCGCCTCGACATTGGCCAGAAAGCCGACTGGACCATCAGGCGTCAGGAGAAGGTGAGTTTGATATCAGCGACCAGAGCGGTCACACCCGGGAAAAAGTTTCGCTGACGAAGCAGCGCCGCCAGGTCCTCAAGGACGCGCTGCAGCAGACGAGCGCACAGCTCGAGCGCGGCCTGTCCGACTGCCCGAACGACAACATTGCGCGGGCGAATGAGCTGCGTGAGGTGAGTGAAGAAGATGCAGAAGCAGAGAGAACGCGCGGAGGCTAATTATGACGCAGCGCGACGCGTTCCTCCGCGGATTGATCGAACTCTCCAAGGTCCGCACGAATTCTACCACCGCCAACTCGCCCGCTGCATCCTCCGTCTCGCTCGTTTCTGAGGAGCAGCAGCGCCGACCACCCCGCAACTCTTCCCAGCCCCCGCGCAAAAGCAGGCACTCGCCGCAGGCATCCATCGACCAGGTCATCTCGAGCAGCTCGTGCCAGTCCTCGCCGATTCCGCCTTTCACCCCGCGCCTGACTTCTCGCTCCCTGCCTTCGTCGCGGGACAACAGGAAGTCCGTCCAGAGCATCGCTCCCCGGAGACGGCCAGCTCCGGTCTGCGGTGACGACGACGACCTCTTCGACACGCTCTTCGCGGCGACGTCCTCGACTCGTTTCCAGAACCAGGAGGTCCAGGTTCCCAAGACACCACGTGCGCCCCGCGTCGCTTCATTTGCCCCGAGGTCCCCGCCGAGGCTCAAGACTGGCAAGGACGACTTTGTCGATCTCATCCTCGACTCGCAGAACACCTCGCGTCTGCGCAACCAGGAGATTTCATCACCCTCCATCGTCGTCTCCCCCGTTGCCTCGAGCCCTCCCGCTAGCCCCTCGCTCGCCACCTTCGGCTTCAGGCGCAAGGAGAAGAAGGAGAGCGCCCTGCGCCGTATCGCCTCTCGTCCCGGTCGTCTGCTCCGCACCATGTCCTCTGGCAAGCCCAACGCGGCCAACATTGGCTACATCTGCGAGCACCAGGAGAACCTGTGCACCACGCTCTGCATCGTGTACGGTGCAAGCGACGTTGGCTTCGAGCTCGATGTCGACAATGCCTCGGACGCTACCCTTGTGTGCGACACGGACAGCGACTTCAAGCTGGCCATCGGTCTTCCCTCGCCCGTTCCTCTCGGCCAGAAGATCCCTCTCGCCGTCACGAACAACCACATGGAGGCACGCATTGCTGCTCTCCCCGGGCCTACACCGACGCTCGCGTACAACTCGGCCATCACGCATGCGCTCTCTGCCCCGTCGCTTAGGAGCCTGCACCCTCAGTCTCTGTGCTGCAACAACTGCGAGCGCGAGCTCGCCACCTTCCCCCTCGACATCCAGTTCAAGGATCTCCCCTCCGAGCACTGGGCTGAGATGCTCGAGGTCTGGATGTGCCACAGCGATCCTGCCTTCACGGCTCAGATCTCCCAGAAGGCCCGCGACGGCTTCTGGCCTGACGACAACACCGTCCTCGTCGGCGGCTCCTACCTCTTGGTCTCCGGCGATCACGTCAATGGCGTCAAGAAGGTCTCTGAGGTGAGTTATTGCATTGTTGTCCGGCCCCTGCAACAGCAGCAAAGGACCGATAAGAAGGCCGGCGCCATGTCCCCCACTGGCGGCGCGGAACTCTTGCAAGTCCCGCGCTTCACCGGTCGATACAATGGCCCAACATTGAGCGCTGCAGTCCCGCAGCGGGCCGGACAACATCCCCCGTTCCGCGAGGTGGTTCGGGGTCTACAACTGGCCATACAGCTAACATTCGCAGGACGACCAGTGGCACGTTGCCTCGTGTCAGTGTGGCGAAGAGATCGGCAAGGTGCGCAAGGCCGGCACGCCTGGCGGTGGCACCGTCCGCTTCGCCAAGTGGGCTGTGGCCGTCCACGGGCGCGACGCGGGTTCTGTTCGCTACCCCGTCTCCAACTTCCTCGTCAGCGACATGCTCGAGCTCGTCCAGGCGCACGGCAGCCACCGCTTTGTGATTGAGGACAGCACCCACAAGGCGCGCCTCATCGCGTGGGTGTTCAACCCCTCTGTCCGCATCTCCTTCCGCCGCCCTGCTGCGATCGAGAAGGGCCAGAGCGGCAAGAGCCATAAACTCGGCAGCACCCTCGCCGCGCCCCAGGGACGCACCCTCCGCGCCGCCAAGATCATGTACAAGGTCGGCGATAACACGGAGAACGCCGGCCAGTGCGAGCGCCTCACGTACCCCGCCGACGTGTGCGATGCGCTCATCGCCGCGCTCAAGGCGAGCACGGCGCTGTACCCCGAGCAGCGCAGGCGCATGGGCGAGTGGGAGATGGGCTTCCTCGAGCGCATCTGAGCAGCAACCCCGCCCTCGCCACTGTGAATAATCACAACAACCAACAACAACCACCCCAAAACGCAATCGACAGTATCGCATCAGCTTATCAGATCGGATCAGAAGTTAGAATCAGGCATCACATTGTTGTAAGAAGTAGAACTTATATTTTTGGTATTTTCCTCCCGGTCACTCCTGAGTGTAATGTATTGCCCACGCGCACCCCTCTGGGATCTACACTTGTCTGCTGCACCGCGATATTGTTGGCACTGATGGCCCGGCGGAACTCCCGGCGCGCCCGGCGGCACCTGGACCGGACACCCCGAGATCCTCACTCGTGCAGGTCCGAGCGAGACCAAGTGACACAGCAAAGGTAAACATGGAAACATACGGAGCAGCTAGGACGCCGGGATGTACCGGCTCCGTGCTCTCCGTTCTGTGTTCAGGAGTGCGCTTGGTCTTGTGTGAGTGGTCAGGAAAGGAGCAGGAAAGAGTAGGAAGCGAGAATCGCAAGGTGCGGCTCGGGGTAGCAGAAACGCCACAAGGGCCACCAGGGCTGGCAGGAATGCAGGAGGACGAGTCAGGTGTCGTGTTGTGATCACGTCAGGTGTTTTCTGAGGATGGCATCCATGCGTCTTCCAGGATGTCTCCAGGAGTCCCTACAGGATGTCAGAAGGGCTCATGCCGAGGAACAAGGTGACACAATCCGAGCGTTGTTTGTGTGCCTTCTGCGCCAGCTGCGCCCTCAACGCCAATGAAAGACCAGCTGACCCGAGAATGTCAGCAGGTCATCTGTCGCCCGCCTTCTCTGATACGTCCACAGGCCTCGTGCTTCTATTTTCTATTGTTCTGCAAGGTTGGGGTGATAAATTCTGTGCCTAGCACGAGACCACGGCCCTACAAACGTCGTGTGTGCCTTCTTTTGACATTCGCTGAGATCGTGTGACATGACCATAACGATAGGGTTAGTCAGGATTGGACAGAGGCGGCGCCGGGGCATGCCGAACTTCTCCTTGTGTCGGAGCACTACGGACCCCGAAGGGGAAGGGGAGACATCAAGGTGTGGCGAGTCGATCCAGTGCTATCCATGGCCATGGGAAGGGCGGTCTCATCTCACGTCCTCGTGTGGCTCTCGTGTGGCTCTCGTGCTACCCTCGTGCCGCTCGTGAGGGTCGTGAGGATCGTGAGGATCATATCTCCAAGCGAGGAATGAGGAGGAATCACTGGCGACGAGGCGGGTATGCTGGTGGACATGCCAAGACGCACTGGCGGAGGCTGCGGTATGTTGATCCATCATGTTAAGCGAGAGGGTCAAGAGGAGGCGTTGAGATCGCCGTCAGCGATGTTGTCATGGGGCTCTCAGCCTTCAGGCATCTTTGCCCAGTGCAGAGATCAGTGCACATCACCGCCTCCAGGTATTGGCAAACGGGCTGAAACGCTACCTGCTTCGAACCGTCACCTCTCGGTCACTCACACAAATCTATACTTCGTAACAACCGGTAATTTTCGCGACATGTGCATCTCAATTGCTCACAATCAACAGCAACAACATGAGATGGAAGTCTTGGAGGTCTGAAAGGCAGGTGCGATGAGGTATTCGGGCAGATCGGCGTTCTAAACCCTCGCACCTCGGCGAATTGGATTTGCGGGCCGCACACCGAAATTGTATCACGCTTGCTTCAGTGCCGTAGTATTACGCGCGTCAAGACTGCCGCTCGTATCGAGGCAGTCGTCACCGTTGCTCCACTCACCACCGTCACAGGCCCGTCATGGTCAAGACCGAGCGCTCGCCGTCGACTCAGAGTCGCCGGGCATCCGGATCCCAGACCCGCTTGCAGCGATGGACAGCGGAGCGCCGAGCATCGCTCGCTTCTTCGTCTTCGCACTCGGGACTCCCTCCCCATGCGTCACGGTTACGGTCACGGGCAGGGCATTCGGAGCCGCGCCGTCCCCGACACTCAGAGCCAGAGCGTCCCTCCCTGTCCCCACGACAGGCATCGCGCTACTCGCTCCCCTCCTTCCAGCGGCCATCGCTGCGTCATCCCCAGATGGAAGCGCAGCCCCAACCAAACACAGGCGCTCGCGCGAGCCACCGTTGGGCCGGGGACAGGATAGATATCTACAATCTCGCAGGATGGCATATCGTCTCCGTACCTGTGGAGATGCTGGAGGAGACCTACCCCGGGGGTGCGCGGTGGGAGCAGGTCGTCCATCTCCTTGAGCGGATCACGGGCAGGGGCGCGGGACACGACGATCCGCTGCGGCCGAGGCGGGGACTGGGGAGCTGCCCGCCGTTTGCGAACGCAGATCGCGGCGAGTACGTCTATGTCACTGGTACGCCGCACCTGTGACGGGGTAGCTGACGGGCAGCCGGGTGTAAACGGGGCAAGGTCGTGTGGCCCGTTCGGCCGCACGACCTATACTCTGGCGAGGGCGACGACTACGTGAGTCCATCAGAAGGATCGCGCCGACGCCAGATCGAGGCAGAGGTTAAAGCCCGAGACCGCGATACATGTGCCATCACGGGCCTGCGGTCGAATATCTGCCGCGCTGTGCGTATCGCGCCCCCCGATGCTGAGGAGGCACACGCCAGCGCGAAAGTGCACAACTCGCACATCACCTCGTGGATCACCATGAGTCCCGACCTGGGAGCGTTCTTCGCGCAGGGCGACATCGCATTGCAGCCGGTGAGTCTGCCAGCCCCCGCCGAAGTAGCGTTGACAGCCAGGTGCAGCGGGACATCTTCCTGAACACGGCCACGGCGCTCGTGCACGTACTCGCGCCCCCGTCCAAACCCGGGTTCCAGGACTACAAACGCCTGCACGGCAAGCAAGTCAAGTGGGACGCGGGCGACGTGGATAATCCGAACTTTGACCTGCTGGACTGGCACTACACGCAGGCCCTGAGGGGTCGGCTGGCCGTAAACTTTGCTCCGTTGACTGATGCGGCACACAGCGCGCTCGACGAGGATTCAGATATGGAGGAGGAACACTGGCGCGCTGACCGAGATGAGGTGAGTGGAGACAGTGATTGCGGGGATTGACGAAGCTAGAGCGAAGCGCCACCACAACAGACAATATGGCAGGCTCTCAGCGAGGTCGGCAGCGCGCGGAACATGCTCCTGCAACGGGCGGCACTTGGGATGCCCGAGGAACTCGGCGTCGACGACGATGAGGAGAGTGCGACGCGAGATGCTGCACCGGGTACAGCTGAAGGTGAGCCCTCTTCCCAAGCGGAGGAGGAGTTTGAGGAGTGGTACGGTATTGCCTCCGAAGCCGGCTCGGATGGAACACCAGTACCGGACATCATGGACCCAGAGTCCTCATCGGAGGACGAGCACGCCGCAGACGAGGGCGTGGTTGAAGAGGACGACAAACGGGATGCGGACTACGTTCCTTCCGCCTCTCCGCCTGTACAACGGAGGCGCACTATGGGGCGGCGCTATCGCAAATAGATAATAATGCACTGTCGCGCATGCATTATCCGAGACAGCGGACAATCCCACCAACATTCCTTCTGAAACATGCGACACATAAGCAGACGACCCGAATTTGCCCTCGGAACAGGCGCCGCTCATGTTCTTACAAGAAACACGCTAACGTGCTCGCCTTCTTAGTTCAGTGGCTAGAATTTTCCACTAGTAGCGGTGTATCACCGGACTATGGAACGGTCACCCGTTCGATTCGGGTAGAAGGCATCACATTTTTGACAGATTGCACCGCGCCAGAGCGTGCTTTCTTTTGCACCTCCTGCATCTGTGAGACCTGGAGGTGGGAAGCAGAGTGGAAGGGGGTGAGTGACAAGACAACCAAAACGATGTGCATTCATCATCTACCTCTTACACTTCCATCTCTACCCGTTTACGTCAACCTTTCCTGCTCGAGCTCCTCGCAGCAAGCGCCCGCTGTCCTAGAGCTTCTAGAGTTTCCCCTGAGCCACCGGGATGGCCTTCTCACCGTCCTCCGAGAAGACAATCTCATGCGGCTTGCTCTCGGGCAGGACGGCGTGCGTGTGGCTCCCAAACGCAACGAGCTGGTCCTTCTCGTTGTAAAAGTCGATGCGCGTAAAGGCCATCCGGCGGCCGACCTTGCTCGCCGTGCCCTCTGCGTACAGGTACTGGCCCTCTGTGCCGCCGGGGCGGAGGAACTCGGCGCTCATGTTGGAGGACACGGTGTTAATGCAGGGCGCGCCGAGGGTTGCGAGCGCGATCCAGGTGATGCAGTCGACCATCTGGGCGTTAGCCTCGGCGAGCGTAGCGAGCGCGCGCGCATGAGCGTGTGAGCATGGCGCCCTGTGAGAGTGAGGAGGAAAGACTCACCGTCATGATACAGCCGCCATGGACGTTCTGCTGTCAGCTGGGAACGCATCATACGGCCAGATCAGCCGCTCCAGTCTGCGAGCTCGATGCTCGGAACTGACTGGGCTGTCCCGAGCTGCGCCTGCAGCCGAGCTCGTTCCTCCAGCTCTCTGCAATGTACTCACACCATGGCCGTTCAGGTGTCGCGGCTGGAGCTTCATCCTCGTCCTGACCCACCCCGGGCGGGCGGCGACAACCTCGAGCTGGATGTCAGCTCAACGGTACACCTCTGTGAGCTGTGCAGAGACACCTGCACAAGCAGAACGCACGTTGCTGATGACGTTGGAGTCATGGCCACCTATAAGTCAGTGCGCGGTCTAAAGCCTGGGTGTTGTCGAATGACCGAGGGCCGGAGAGCCGATCGGCGTCCAGAAGGAGGAAGGGGGTGCCCGGCGCCCAACACTGTCAGAGTGACTCACCATCGAGCGTCTCCAGGAACGCCATGCGCGTGTGTTCGAGGCAGGCCATGGTCTATGCAAGTCTAAATGTAGGGGGATGGAGATGCCAAGGACGCAGCGGAGGTGAGCAGATTATGTATATGGTGGGTGGGCGGCGGAGACCGTGTCAATACTGTGTCGAAGCCGGTGCCGTAGCCGGATGTGGAGGTGCAAGTAGCCGAAGTGCACCGGGGAAGAGTCGGTGCTCTCCGTGACAGTGCCCGTTAAGGTGTCCGTTGGAGGAGGGGGAGGCTCCATCTCCGATCCAAGTGTCCGTCACCTCATCGCTGAGCAAGCAACGTCAACGCTGATGAGCAAGCAGAAGAGCAATGCTGACGGAGCATGTGGAGGGAGGTGGAGGGCCGGCGCTTATAACGTTGACGGGGAGGGGGAAGAGGTTCAAGTCGGAGCCGTAGAAACCACCTCCACACGCTCCCTCCACTCCTCCAAGACAAGTTGACTCTGTTATTGACGCTTGCGGCTGCTCATACGTCTATGAGAGACGTAGTCAATCTACAGGAGAAGCCGATACAAACTGGCTGAAGAGTAACACTGCAGCGTCCACGTTTCTCCACGCTGGGAGACCTGCAGATAAAGCCCGACCCTGCTCGGCGCCCCACGAAATCTGCTTAGTGACGTCGGGATCCGGAGTTGTTGAGCTGCAGACTGATAGTCTACTGCATAGCTAACGATCTTAGCCAGTATGAGTACCTCTACCCAGAGCGGGCCCCATGGACCACCGTGGCCGCCCGTGGAGTGACGCGATCGAGGCTACACTTTCGGCGACGGTTGCGTGCAGTAGTAGTGTGCCATTCCGCCAGCCCAAGCCGGACGCTAATTGGGGACGCGTTCATCTTTAGTGTTCGAATTGCTTCGCGTTTTGCTCGGTCAAGCCGCGCGCCGCGCCGTTGCATGGATTTTTTGACCCCGCTTTTAGCTGAGAGCGGCAAAACCAGGGCGGTGGCCGGGCCATGTGCCAAGCCCCCCACTACAGCCCATTGTCCGCACAACGCGTGCGGGCCAATGAAAGCGGATGCAATTCAGGCGATCACTGGCCTGGGTGTGCTACTCTCGTCCGACTGACTAGCCGCCGCCCCTGCGCCTGTCCTTACCCTGCGTATTTGCCACGACAAGAACCATTCTGTTGCCATTTGCTTCCAACTTCTTTGTATCTTGTTATCTCCTAACACTCTATCAAAATGGCCGACGTCTCCGCTTCCCCCAAGGTCTACACCATCGAGGACCTCCAGCAGCACAAGACCCGCGAGGACTGCTGGGTCCTCATCTCCGGCAAGGTCTACAATGTCACCAAGTTCCTTGACGAGGTGAGTAGTACTCAGTTTACCGAGCTGCTCGAGGTGCCCGGATGGCCTACCTCATCCCTCTCTCCCACCGTGCCTTTCTCTCCGTCTGCAAGCTCCGCACCACATCACACGCCCTCTCGGAGCGCCAGACGGAGCGATGAGCATGCAGTTGAGAGGCAGCGACGCTTGCCAGCGGCGAGGCAATGACGACCGCCGAACATTTCATGCATCGGTGCCCTCGGGCCCGGCACGCCGGTCATCTCGGCGCTCGGAAATGTCACCCCGCACATCATCAAAGACTGACGAACAGCACCCCGGTGGCGACGAGGTCCTGATCGAGGAGGGAGGTGAGTATCCCGCGCATCGTGCTGCAAAGCCGCCTGCTGTCCGTGTTCCGTGCCGCTGCTCGCTATTGTGTTGCTTGCGACGGGATGGTCCGGATAAACCATCCACCCATCACGTCTTATCTTGCAACCACGTCCGCCCCACTCTGCTCCGCTCCGCTGATGCGGGAGCATTGGGCATCTTGCATGATGAGACGAGAACAGCGAGCAATCATCACAGCACACACTGCGGCGAACGGCCAAGCTTCAACGACCATGGTAGCTAACATCCAGGCCGTGACGCTACCGAGGCGTTCGAGGACGTCGGCCACTCGGACGAGGCCCGCGCGATGCTCCCCAAGATGCTCGTCGGCGACTTCAAGGGCGAGTCCAAGGTCAAGAAGTCGGCTGGCGCTGGCACCACCTCGGCCTCTGGCCAGCAGCAGCAGGGCAAGTGAGTCTACGTTCACTTTTCTCGAACTACCTCCTCCGTCATTACTCGTGGTGTGCCCTCCCATTTTCCTCTCGTGTTCTTTGTGTGTGTGAGCTGGTTGTGCCGTCTTACCGCAGTCTCCTCTCCAAGCTCGGGCGACTCTGGGGACGGCAGCAGGCGTAGCGTGTCATACACTGCCGTGCGAGCATCGGCAGGTACGTCACAGGCCAAGGTGAAACAACCTCCACCTCCACCCGCTACCCAGGCGGACAGCTCACACCGATCTCACCGCTGACGCTGACCGAACCAAAACATTCTTAAGCCGTCGCTACTGTTCGGTCCAACGCCAACGCTCTCAACTTCCCACTGCTTCCAAGGGGAAGAAGAAGGCTGCGTGAGTTGCGGAACCAAGATGATATCTAACTCTCAGGGACAACCGTCACCGCAAGTCCGAGAAGGAGGAAGATGAGGAGCTGCTGAAGGACGAGGATGGCGACGATGAAGCCTACGTCTTCGAGGAGAGCCCGTCTTGTGAGTTCTGAAGTCAAGGAGGGCACCTGCGGCCGGAAGGCGCCACTGCCGCCAGACTGCCAGGCGTACTTCTTCCGTCCTGTTGCGAGCGAGGCCGCAATGTTCGTCATCTTCGCTTGCACGTCGGCGCTCACGTCGCGCGAGGCTGCCTTCTTCCCCTTGCCTGTCTTCTTGGGCGGGGGCGCGCCAAAGGTAGGCGCGGCCTGGAAGGTGGGCTCCTTCGGCTTCGAGCCGGCTGAGGACGCGCCGGAGCCTGCGCCGCCGGGACTCGGCCGCTCGTCGGGCGAGTTCGTCTCCACCGCCGGCGAAGGGGCTGAGCCACCCGCGGCCTCCTCGCGCTCTCGCGCTGCCGCCGCTGCACGCGCCATCTCCGTCTCGCGCGCGTTGCGTTCCGTTCGTGCAACTCGGTGCGCCTTGTTCTCCTCCTTGTTCGCCGTCACCAGGGCCTGCATGACCGCATTGGGGTCAGAGGTGATGCGTTGCGACCACAGCGCCTTCGCTGGCCGCCCGGCTGCTTCCTTCGACATCGGCGGCTGGTGCTTGTACGTCGAGTTCACGCGGTGCTCCTGCGCGCGCACCGCCGACGCCAGCAGGGCACGTACCCGCGCCTCGGCCGCGAGAGCCAGATACCGCATCGCGTCGTCGTCCACCGTCATATTGTGCGCTCGCGCTGAGGTCAGCTTACGAGAACAAGACTAGGGCAACTCACCAATCTGGTTCAGTCGATTCCGCATGGCCACCTCTCCGAACAGATCCGTATGCCGCGCGCGGCTCGCGTTGCCGGCAAACTTGATGTTGCCGACCGCTGAGCGCTGTGCTCGGCGCGCAGCCTCCTCTTCCGCGCGAAGGTCGATACCGCTGCCTTTTCCCATCGGCAGCATGCCGGGCGCCTTGGTTCCGGCCGCTCCACCTGCAGTAGCATTCGCCGGAGTCGGTGCGGGAGCTGCAACTGCTGCAGCTGTCGGCTGAGGAGCAGCCGGCGCGGCCGCGGGTGCTGTTGGCGCGGGCGCTGATGGAGCAGCGACTGTCGGTGTCGCCGCAGTGGACACTACAGGGTTAGTAACGCCCATGGGTCTGGGTGTACCTTGAGACTCCTCCAACAATGGTTTCTTGGCTGGTGGTGCACCGTTTATCCGGTCGGGAGACAGCTCGCGCTTGCCTACATCATTAGCAACTCAGATTTTGGCAATTCATACCATTCTGGTTGACGCCTGGGCTTGGTGTACCAATCGCAGGTACGGGTGTTGAGGGCTGCATCGGCGTTTGGCTGGATGACGTTGCTGTGGACGCGGGAGTAGGAACCGGCGACGCGACAGTCGATGGCCGCGGGGGCACGCCCGTCGACAACGCGCTAGGGGCAATCACACCGTTCGACATGACTGGATTGTAATCTTGATCTGGGTATAGGTGTCGTGTCTGAAGCGGCGTGGATGCCTGCCGGTGTCGAGCAGACCGAGCCCAAGGATGACGGCTCCTTTAGGACAACAATAAGCTGAAAGTCGTGATGGGCGAGAATCGGCAGGAAAGCGAGACTTGAAAAGCGGAGACGGGGCACTGTTACGCCCTCACTGGTTGTCGTGTCCGTATGCTACGGAACGCTCGGAGGTTGGATGGTGTTGCGGAGGGGGTGGAATCGATATGGTCGAGCGTGTCTGACGAGTGAACGGAGTTGACAAGGGTGGATTGCCACTCAACGGTGAGCGACGTGAATAGGCATGCGACAATGTTGGCGCCGTAAAGTGGTGCGATTTGCTTCCGTCAGCGCGTCCGCGCACAAACATCCACCCACGCGTCAGTTATATACCAGCTAATGAACTCGCTTACGTAAATGGATTGTTTCCACTTCTGCCTCAGTTAGATCCTGTCCAACCTCGACTGGTTACGCGCTCCTCATCGTCATTCTTCGCAGTCTTCGCTCACACACCATCTTCGTTCTCATTCGCACTTGATTCCTCGTCTATATCACTGGTATTGATTGAAGAACGCACCAGTAAGCTGGGCATCGGCCGCAATGGTGAGTGGCTTGCCTGTTGCGACAGACGCGACCAGCAGCAGTGGTTTGTTATGATGCTGACAGGATCCCTCGGTATCGCCTTGCGCCCTACAGAACCCTCTTCTTGCCGCTGCCAACGCGAGCTCCAACAACGCCGACGATGACAAACTGTCGGACTACATCCCCGACAGCCGCGACCTGTCCATGTCACGCGCGGTGAGTATCTCCGAACGGGTTCTGGTCGCGACGCGTGCCACACTCATGTGTAGTGAAGCAAGCGTTGCGTGCTAGCCGGACCTGGAATGGATGGTCGCACAGAAATGACATAAGCTAATATGGTAGGCTTCGACGTCTGGTTCAGATCAGCACCACATCAACACCCGCCCTCAGACACCTGAACCCGAGGACGAGCTCGCATCCGACGAGGACATCGATGAGGAGGCGATCGCAGGTGGATCTGTGGGTTGCCCTTCGCTGCGGAATACGATCTAATAACAGTCGATAACGCCGTCCGCCAAGCGGAGACAGGATGAGGCCGCGGCGCGCAAGGCCGCGAAGGCCGAGCGCCAGGCCAACATTGGTGAAATCGGGAAGAAGCGCGGTGCGCTTGAGCAGGCCAAGGTATGCAGCGATGCACTTTCAGGGGTGGATGGATGCTTACAATCAGTTGGCCGACTCGATGAAGCGTTTCAACTACCTTCTCGGTCAGACGGAGCTTTTCCAGCACTTTGTGGACCTGAAGGTGAGTCCGCCACATTCAGTTCGTTCTAACAGCCACAGAAGCAGCGTGACCCCGAGTTCGCGGCCATGCTCGATGAGCAGCTGGCCGCGTCTGCTTCCAAGGGGAAGAAGAAGGCTGCGTGAGTTGCGGAACCAAGATGATATCTAACTCTCAGGGACAACCGTCACCGCAAGTCCGAGAAGGAGGAAGATGAGGAGCTGCTGAAGGACGAGGATGGCGACGATGAAGCCTACGTCTTCGAGGAGAGCCCGTCTTGTGAGTTCTGAAGTCAAGCTGCAACTGACGCTCAGATGTCAAGGGTGGCAAGATGAGGGACTACCAGGTCCAGGGCCTGAACTGGATGGTCTCGCTGCATCACAACGGTATCAACGGCATTCTTGCAGACGAAATGGGTCTCGGCAAAACCCTTCAGACCATCTCCTTCCTCGGTTACCTCAAGTTCCATCGCGGTATCAATGGCCCGCATCTCATCGTCGTGCCCAAGTCTACCCTCGACAACTGGGCCCGAGAAGTCGAGCGATGGGTCCCCGGCTTCCGTGTTCTCGTATTGCAGGGTACCAAGGAGGAGCGTGCTGAGCTCATCAACTCCAAGATCCTCACCCAGCAGTTCGATGTCCTCATCTCGTCATACGAGATGTGTCTTCGTGAAAAGTCGACGCTCCGCAAGTTTTCTTGGGAGTATATTATCATCGACGAGGCCCACCGCATCAAGAATGTCGACTCTCTGCTGTCCCAGATCATCCGTACTTTCGCCAGTCGTGGTCGCCTCCTGATCACGGGAACCCCTCTGCAGAACAACCTGCAGGAGCTTTGGGCTCTGCTGAACTTCATTCTTCCCGATGTCTTCTCGTCCAGCGAGGACTTCGACGAGTGGTTCAAGTCGCAGCCCGGTGACGAACCCGACGCGGTTGTCAAGCAGCTTCACAAGGTCCTCCGTCCTTTCCTTCTTCGTCGTGTCAAGGCGGACGTCGAGCACTCTCTTCTTCCGAAGAAGGAGATTAACCTCTACGTCGGAATGACGGAGATGCAGCGCAAGTGGTACCGCATGCTGCTGGAGAAGGACATCGACGCTGTCAACGGTGCGGGCGGAAAGAAGGAAGGCAAGACGCGCCTTCTGAACATCGTCATGCAGCTGAGGAAGTGCTGCAACCACCCTTACCTGTTCGACGGCGCGGAGCCTGGACCACCCTACACAACCGACGAGCACCTGGTTGACAATGCCGGAAAGATGATCATTCTCGACAAGCTTCTGAAGTCCATGAAGGCGAAGGGCTCTCGCGTTCTCATCTTCTCCCAAATGAGTCGTGTGCTTGACATTCTGGAGGACTACTGCCAGTTCCGTGGCCACAAGTACTGTCGCATTGATGGTAACACGGCACATGAGGACCGTATCAACGCCATCGACGAGTACAACGCGCCGGACAGTGAGAAGTTCATCTTCCTGCTCACGACCCGTGCCGGTGGTCTCGGTATCAACCTCGTCACCGCCGATATCGTCGTGCTGTTTGATTCTGACTGGAACCCCCAGGCCGACTTACAGGCCATGGACCGTGCCCACCGTATCGGACAGACCAAGCAGGTCTACGTCTTCCGCTTCATCACCCAGGATGCTATCGAGGAGCGCATCCTTGAGCGTGCGACTCAAAAGCTGAAGCTCGATCAACTCGTTATCCAGGAGGGTCGTGCCCAGCAGGCTCAGAAGCTCGCCAACAACAAGGAGGAGCTGCTCGACATGATCCAGCACGGTGCCGAGAAGATCATCAACTCTTCGACCAACATGATGATCGACGATGACATTGACGAGATCATCAAGCGCGGTGAGGACAAGACCAAGGAGCTCAACTCCAAGTACGCTGGCATGGATCTCGATGCTCTCAACAACTTCCGCTCCGAGAGTCTTATCAATACCTGGGAGGGCGAGGACTTCGCTGCTAAGCGCCAAAAGATGATCTGGATCGAGCCTGCGAAGCGTGAACGCAAGGGCAACTACTCGATCGACCAGTACTACCGCGACAACATGCGTGTCACCGCCCCGAAGAGCGACAAGCCGAAGGTGCCTCGTCCTCCAAAGCAGGTCAACACACACGACTTCCAATTCTATCCGCCACGATTGATCGAGCTTCAGAACCGCGAGTACGATGCGCATCTGAAAGCTCAGAACTACGTTGTGCCTGCGAGGGAGCCCGAGGAGGGAGAGACCGCCGAGCAGGTCGAGACTGAGCGTGCGGAGGAGCAGGAGCGCATCAACAATGCCGAGCCTCTCACCGAGGAGGAGGTCGAGGAGAAGGAGTCGCTCGTTGACCAGGGCTTCGGCGAGTGGAAGCGTGCCCATTACCAGAGCTTCATCAAGTCGCTTGAGCGTCACGGTCGCGACGCTATGGACAAGGTCGTCGCCGACATGGCTCCCGAGAAGGAGGAGGAGGACGTCAGGGCCTACGCCGATGTTTTCTTCGAACGCTACACGGAGCTGAAGGATGGAGAGAAGGCCATGGACCGCATCAAGGCCGGAGAGGAGAAGCTGCGTGAGCAGGCCGAGAGGATCGCAGCGCTGCACAAGAAGGTCAAGGCCTACAACGCCCCCATGCAGGAGCTCAAGCTGCAGTACGGCCAGAACAAGGGCAAGTCCTACTCTGACGAGGAGGACCGCTTCCTTCTCGTCCGTATGCACCACCACGGCATCGACCGTGACGACTGCTACGACCTCATCAAGCGCGACATTGGCGAGTGGCCCCTGTTCCGGTGAGTTCTTGCATCACGACGAGGATGATCTTGGCTGACGTCAGTTTCGACTGGTTCTTCAAGTCGCGCACGCCCGAGGAGCTCCGTCGTCGCGGTGCCACTCTGCTCCTTTGTATTATGAAGGACATGAAGGACGACGAGGACAAGAAACCCGCGAAAGGCGGCAAGAAGCGCGTGCTGGACGATCTCAAGTCGACCAACTCGCGCGACACGACCCCGAGCGCGGCGGGCGACAAGAAGGGTAAGTTTGACATGCCTGAGATCACTGGCTGACGATCGCAGCGAAGAAGGCGCGCAAGTAGAATAGATAGCCATAAAACGTAGCTTTTCAGGCGGGAAGCGAGATCCGGCCTCTGTATTTTTCACATATGCAACAATAGTCCTGAGCGAGTTAGTCATAGTCTGCGGAGTAGCTTCGATGTCATTTGTTGCACACGCTGGGAGTCGAGCGATCTTGCTGGCAGGCTGACAAAGCTGGACGGTGACCACTGGTGAATTTTGTGGCTGCCTGTGACGACGCGAATCACTGCGCGCGCAGCCAAAAGCCGTCGCGAGCCGCTGCAGGCCGTGCGAGCATCGGCAGGTACGTCACAGGCCAAGGTGAAACAACCTCCACCTCCACCCGCTACCCAGGCGGACAGCTCACACCGATCTCACCGCTGACGCTGACCGAACCAAAACATTCTTAAGCCGTCGCTACTGTTCGGTCCAACGCCAACGCTCTCAACTTCCCACTACACAGTAAACGAGACAATCAAGATGCCCATGCGTACCATCAAGCTCTCGGACGGCAAGGTCATCCCCGCCCTCGGCTGGGGCAACGGCTCCGGCGGCATCATGCGCAACTCGGACAAGGCTGTCGACTGCGGTGTCACTGCGCTCAAGGCTGGTATCCTCCATATCGACACGGCGCAGTACTACGAGACTGAGGCTGAGACGGCCGAGGCGATTGTCAAGTCTGGCATCTCGCGCGACAAGGTCTGGATCACGGACAAGGGTGAGTCACCGTGGGTCGAGGAAAGCTAACGGCAGTCTCTGACAACAAGGGTGAGTGAGGGATGAGGCGGAAGGACAGGATTTGAACGACACTCTGGCTGCGATTTGTTCTCCTGTGCACCAGCTCGCGAAATTCTTGCGATGAAGCTGACAACAGTGTCCCAGACTGAGCCCGGTGTCATCCGCGAGGCTGTCCTGGAGTCGCTCGCCAAGCTCGACACTCGTCCGGACCTGCTCCTGATCCACAACCCGTTCGTGGGCGATGCAGCGAACCAGGGCAAGATTGCCGAGTTCTGGCGCATCCTGGAGGACATGGTGTTTGACGGCACGGTGCACAATGTGTCGCTCGGCTTCTCCAACTTCCGTCCCCAGGACGTCAAGGAGGTGCTCAAGGTTGCGCGCATCAACCCCGTCGTGAACCAGCTCGAGTTCCACCCCTACGTGCTCGCCCAGCTCGAGCCGCTCCTCGAGTACCAGAAGAAGAACGGCATCACGACCGAGGCCTACGGCCCCCTCACGCCGCTGCTCCGCCACCCGACCGGCGGACCGGTCAAGCCCGTCCTTGAGCGCATCGCCCGCGCCCACGGTTGCGACCCCGCCTCCGTCCTCTACCTCTGGACCGTCCAGAAGGGCGTTGTTGCGGTTACGACGAGCACGAACCCGGACAACATCAAGAAGATCGCCGACGTCAACTCGCTGCCCGACCTCACTGCTGATGAGATCAAGCAGATCGACGACGCGGGCAAGCAGGTCCACTTCAGGTACTACAAGGAGCACATGACCAAGGACTACCCGGCGCCCGACCTTCCCGAGGACACCAAGCAGTAAAGACAACAAGAAGGATAGATGGCAGTGATGTAAGATGTTTGCAGTATCCAAAGCGGGTTCATTGTCTGCACTCTCGACTGATCTGATCTAGCATAACCTCTCCCACGCCGCGTGGCAGATCGGAACTTGCGGCCCTTCGCACCGTTCAGCAGCATGCCATCTCTGAGGAACAGTTAACCGTGCCCATCTGCCAGGTCGAAGGCGGGAGCGTACCTGCTCCACTGCGGTACACTGTGATCTCGTGTTGCATGCCATCCGATATCCGCGAGGCACATGCCTGGGCAGGGTACGCATCGATCGCCATGCGGGGCGTGGCATGTTCTGCGTACTCGAACTGTCCCAACTTTCAAAGGACTGTGGCGGCGCGGTGCTTCAAATCCCGGACATCATAAATGGTCAACCGTGATGGGTGGAGTTGACACGGCCAAGACCGCTCGCCGGGCACGTGAAGCTCACCGTCTCTCGCAATCAAGCAGCAATATCGAACTCAGACCATTGTTGCATAGACATATCGCGCATAGGCGCCGTACCTCTGCCGAAGTGTCGAGAGCATTACGGCTACTTTACGATTATCGTGAAGCAAGTGGAGCAATGGAGCCACAGGAGCCGCGATACGGATGGAGGTCTGGCGCGTCGCACACCGGGCTTCACCATGATACCGGGCCGAAGGCAGTCGACGACCGGCCGCGACCGGCGCACAGCGGACGGCGCAATGTTGCCCGGGTGGTGGTGTAATGATGAACTGTAAACGGGGTTGAAACGGCCCCACTTCCTTCCGCTGCAAACTCTCCGTTATTTCTGAGATCGTTGTTGACGACAAGCGTGTTCGAGATGTTCTGATGAAGCTCTGAATCAGACCCCCTTCTGTCCGAATCAGTCGCCGGCCAAGGAGCAGCTTGTTTCATTCGGAGAAGGCTGGAGCAGAGTGTCTGGTTGTCGTCTTCTTCCTTGGCATAGCTAGCCATGATGTGTCGGCGCCGAGCTCGAGTTCGCAAAGACCAGTGGCTCGCATACGTCTGCTTGTCCAGCGCGTTCGGCGAGGACTCCGCAATAAACAGGGCACGTACCGCTCCCCTGGGTCTGACCAGGTGAACCCGCAGCCACCCACAGTGCACCGATGCAGTGCACGGGGAGAACCGAGAGAGCGGACCCACAGCACCGGACAGGCTCAGGCTTTCTGGATTGGCTCAGCTCCGTTCTCTTGGCTGGCAGAGTGGACTTGGGTGGTTGCGAGGGGCCCAGAATTTCGGTTTAGGGTCGCTCCCACGGCGCCGACACCTCTCTTAGAGCTGACGCGCGCTCCGAACTCTGCTGGCAGCCCTTTGGGCCCGTTATTATCACAGCTTGCGGTTTCGTGCTGCTTCAATATGGCGGCGTCGTAATCCCAGCTGCCATCGGACGTCTGCCTCCGACCTGCTGTGGCGCCCAGCTAGAGAACCCCTCGGTGGCATATATCAGACACCGATGGGCGAGGCTGCTTCCGGACGCTTCCTTTGCTTCTCTGCCTGTCCACCTGGACAGGTCTTCGCTCCGCGAATGCAGTCGCAGGTCCGATCATGATGTAATGTGAGAGTGAGACTTGGAGAATGCCGCCGGAGCCGCTCATATGCCTCCTTGTCGCCATCTGGCAACCTTCTTGTCAGCTTGCCCGAGCTCTTTGTTCCTAGACCTCAGGTTAGTCAGGACGCCCGCCATGACCGCCATGACTGGTATGTCGGGAGCCGCCTAGACCGCCACGGCACCCCCAGCACACGCGCTCACTGTCCTCCGACACCGAGACGGGAAAGCCTCAGAGGGCACATTCCGGAGCCTCACAGACGGATGCCAGGCGGTAGGTTGTCACTGCAGTGCAGGGGAGGGCAGACAACCGACCGACTGTAGTGGTGCACCGCATCGCCGCAGCGGCGGACGTCAGCGGAAACCTTGCGCCAGTCGCTTTGGCGCCGAAGGTCAAAGCAATCGGCCCGCTACCATAGTCGGAGTTGCCGACAAGGAGCGGCCAAGACGCGTCACGGTAAGCTTGTAAATTAAATGCTTGTCCGGCCTGCCATTTGCCAGATTTGCTTGAGCGTCCGATCAGATCAGCCAAGCACTGCTTTAGAGTCTGAGGCCTTGACAAGGCAGCCTCAACAGACAACCTTCGTGGAATGCACATCAGGGAGGTCCATGCCAGGATGGCCGGTTCACGACTCACAGGCAGCCCTCTCGTTCGCAGGGCTTGGCCCCCCTCACTCGGTCAAAGTTCGCTCAGAGGTGCAATCTGCAGGAGACTGTGTTCCTAACTTTGTTGCTTATCATGAGGCAGGCGAGTCTCACCGGAATTTAGAGTTCGCTCTGAAACCCACCTCGCTGAGCAAACTCACATCATTTTCTGACTGTTCTGGGCGAGTGCATACTCCTTTTCGCAACCCTTGCTTGCTTTGATCCTCCGGACTGTGCATGCAGCGCTCTTCCCAGTGCTTTCCGGGGTGTCCAGGACGTATTTAAGATGCCAGACCTACAAAGTCGGTCCCCGCTTCTCCTCTCCTCCTCACCTCCTTTCTCCGAGCAGACGCAATGAAGGTCATCGCTCCCCTCGTCCTCGCCCTCCTCGCCGTCGTCTCGGCCCAGCCCTTCCAGGAGGGTCTCGCCGGCCGCCCCGCCAAGCGCGGCCACCAGGCTCAGCTCGAGAAGAACGACGTCTACGCCGACAAGCAGGCTTGGAAGCGTACCGGTGACTGGCACGACGTGAGTACCCCCACTCCCAATGCAGACCCAAGCTAACGTTCAGCACCACGGCGACAAGTGCTCCGACTTCTACTGCCGCCTGCAGTGCAAGGAGCAGGGCTTCTGCCGCTCCGAGTGCCGCAACGGCAAGTGCAAGTGCTCTGTCCGCCGCGACCAGCACGGCAAGTGCAACGTCCCTTCGAAGAAGCCCCACCCGCCGAGGCCTACCAACGGCCATGGCCACGGTAACGGCCACGGCCGGGGTCACGACCACGACGAGGACGGCCAGGGTGACAACGAGTAAACAACCCCCTAATCTCATGATACATCACGCGTATGGACAGTTGTACAGACGGCTACCGCCAGCTTCGACCGAAGTCACTCTTTTACACACCCGATGGCATCGGTCTAGATCTATAGTATAATCCCTACCGGACGGTCGCTGGGCAGCACTGAACCGAACACACGGCTCGCGCCACCCTGTCCTCTGCCGCAGTCAGCGGCCCAGTCCAGCCCACATGTGCATGCACGTTGGCACATCCTATGCAGGATTGCACTCAGGGAGCCTGAGTGTGCAGCAGTCTGCTCTGCCCGACTGTGCTGGCCTCAAAACGCAGAAAACCAAGCACCGAAGCATACGCACTGGTGTACCTTGTGCCAAGTCCTTGGTCCTGGACCTGGCGGGCCTGGAAGTCAGCGTCAGCTAGATTGCCACTCGAGTTTAAAGCCAGCCATCCTGTGCGTAGCTGGGCGTGCCTCGTACTGCGGCCGAGCCAGCAGGTCGGCGTCCAGGTTGAGGACTCAGTAAAGGGGAGTACATACTCCTCGCCACGCCTTTGGCACCAGTCAGTCCCAGTCCCAGCTGTGCAAGATCGTCAGGCCGGAGTCGACGCCGGATCTCACCTCGCAGCCATGTCCTGGGTCGCGTCGCACCCTGCATGCTCACTGTGCGATAAGAAGAGACGCGCCAGACAAGTCTAGTCGGATGGTACCAGTTCTCTGGGTGCCACGAGTGTCCTCGTCATCACTTGTTCAACTGCGGAAGTCGAGGCGTGCTCTGGCCCGCGGCCCACAACCCCCAAACTTGTCCTCGCCGTGGGTTGAAGCATGTCCGAAGTCTCGACCACAGCGTCTGCTCGTCATCGTCCACCGGAGCCAGAGCATAAGTTCCTGTGAAACTTCCCGCCGTCATCCATGCAATTGACAGACACGACTTCAAGCTCCCCTTCATTGTAACACAGCAGAAACTAATTCCTTACCCGTTCGGGAGTCGGACTGTTAAGTTGCTTTATATTGTTGCTCTTGCTCCAATCTCACAATTGAAGTGCGCCGAGTCTAAACCCAGCGATCAACGCTCGGCTGCCCGGCGTGACTCCGCCCAATGCGATGGCGAGATCGACGGCTCCCACGATCCGGCCACCACAGATTGAATGGTGAGGTGAGGATCGCTGGGATGGGGGAGGATTGCTGGATGAATTCGAGGGGATATGCAGGCAGACCCGAAAGCGTCGTCTCCCGACGGCGATTGACCGAGGGCAGTGGGTGCGCTGCACAAGTAGTCACAGCGAGAGCTTGGCGCTGCTGACATAAAGGCAACGACCAGCTTGACGTGTCTCCGCGAACGGGTGCTCTTTCGTTTCTTCTCTCGCGTAGACTTTGACTGTGTGACATTACACGCAACACGCTCAGTACGTCCTGATCATAACTTCATCCCTGGCACACCAACCGTTGGCGGAAACGAGGCTTCAGAACGCAGCTAGCTATTAGCTTCAAGTCATTTGCTCGATAGCGCCGCCTGCGTCATGCGGTGTGCGCCGCTCATATCGCTCGTTATAGTCTCTGTCGGTGCCGAACAGCAAGCGCCAGACCAACCATGATGGTTTGCCCGCTCTGATGCGCTTATCGCGCCGCCTGACCCACTCTCAGTCGGAGATCTGCGCAGCACATCGCGACCTTAGCTTCGGTAATGCCGTAAACGACATTGCGGCTCCCACTTCTCCCAGTTTGTCTCACAACCCGAGCAGCAGCGCAAACACCAATAACGGCGTCCCCTCGGGTTGATTGTAGCTCGGGAACTCCGGTGCGGACCGGCGACTGATAACGAGAAATTCGGAAGCTGGACCCTGGGCGCAAGCAGGCCGCGGGCATGCCGTCATCTACCGTTGCCTTGCGGTGTTCATACTTCTGACGGCCACCTCCACATCGTGTCTCGATCCCTCCACCGTCTCCACTCTGTTTTCGAGGGATTCAATCGCCGGCAATCCCTTCTTATTCTTGCATTCTGACTCACTACCAAGCACTAATGGCATACCCCAGCATCATCTCTCAGCCTGGTATGCTCCTCCAGCTGACGACACTGACATCCAGGCTCGGCAGCGCGCAACCTCCAGCCTGTCCTCGAGGCGCTCTCCCCGCTGATCGAGGGCTCGAACGCGAAGCGCGTCCTCGAGCTCGCGTCATATCCCTACGAACACATTAGGGGGTATGCGCAGAAGTGGTCCGATGTGCAGTTCACGGGAACTGTGAGGGACGATAAGGAGATCAAGTGAGCTTCCCTCGGACCCCGTCACTTCGGGGCGCTGACAACAGCACGACCAATACGACCGACCTTCCCTCCAACGTCGGCCGGCCATTACGCCTCGACATTGCAGAGGAGGGCGACTGGGCAGCGCTCACTGATGCGACGGCCGAGCCCTATGACGGAGTAGTCATGCGTAAGTCCCAATCCGTATACAGACGCTCGCGCAAGCGCCCGCGTAGCTCGCTGACGCCAGTCAACCTCGTGCACTGTACGCCGGAGGGATTGCCGGAGAACATCTTCCGCAACCTGTCGCCAAAGCTGAAGACTGGTCGGCGCGTGCTCGCTCCTGGGGGATGGGTCGCGGCGTACGGCGCGTATCTGAATGATGACGGGAGCTTCCGCAGCCCGGCCGATGCCAAGGTGAGCCATTGCCCTCATACCGCCATGCTGCCGTGCTTGTGGAGGTGGCATGACGCGATGCCGCTATACCACAACGCCGCAATGGCACGTTGGACTCCATGCCCAGCGGCGCTCCACAGTTTCTCCCACACTAGTGACTTTACTGATGCCAGTTTGACGCCGAGTACATCAAGGGCATGCACCCGTCTCTCGGATTGCGGACACCGAAGAGCATCACTGCGATGGCGGAGACGTGGGGTTTCCGCGAGGTCGAGCGGAAAGACATGCCGAAGGGCAACCTGTGGATCGTGTGGAAGGTTGAGGAAGTGGAGGAGTAAGAGGGAGACGCGCATGCATTGTCTGAGTATAAGTACTGGTTCATCGGAACATAAGACCGTCGCATGCGGCAGCGTTGTTGTTATGACCGAGCAAGGAGCCAATGCAAGCGAGTGATGCGGCATTGGCCAGGCACGGGTCCGGCAGTGGAAGTTGCTTCAGTGCGGAGGGGTCAGCTGGGAGGGAGATGGGAGGGCTGTGATTTGCTCCCGCGTGGCCCAGCGCCTGGCGCGCGTTGGTGACGCCTATCCTCGCACGTTCATGAGCACCCATCCAACAACTGGCTACCTGCTACTACTCCCGGCTTTGGCATCTCTCGCTTCCCTCTCCCACATCGTCATCACACCCACAACCTCCTCCCTCCCTCCTTCTCCTATCTCATCATCCAAGTCGTGCCCCCGCTCAGTTCCTTGTGCGGTAGCAGACTTCAACCCCCCGAGCGATACACCTCTAGCCCCGAGTCCAGCCACTCATTTTCTTGTCCCTTCCCGCGACAGTCTCAACGTCGGCATTCGTTTGTTCAGCTCCCAACACTACGACATCATACACTATCTCTGTTCCTCGCCGCCAGTGAATTTCTGATTCCCAACCTTGTCATAAACAACTCAAGCCCGGACACCCGACCCCTCCGCGTCAAGCTAAATCTTACGCACTCGGCTCGCATGCCCCAACCCGCCGCCAACGATGCTGGCCCAAGCCGCCCACGGCGCGACAGTGCACCCTCAGCCTCGACTTCCAAGAGCTCCGGCGCTTCCAGCGCCGCCCAGGACTTGAGCCGCGACAACTCGGCGTCGGGCACGTCGTCAGCGACGCCGACGCAGCGGCGACCCGCGTCGCCGAAGAGCGCCATGAGCCGGAGCGCGTCACCGGGCAAGGATAAGGACGGACGGGAGGCGGCAACGCCGCACCTTGACCTGGCGCTGTACCCGACACCCAAGTTATTGAAGCTGCTGGCCGGACTGCTGCAGCAGATCGCGTCAGCGAACGACGCGCTGCGCGCCGAGCAGGAAGAGGAGCCCGAGGACGAGGAAGGCTCGACGACCACCGACAGCCGGTCCCGCTCAAGCATCACACATCCGTCACCGACGACGGCGCTCTTCCATGACGACCCGCCTCCCGACCTCGCGAACGGCGACCCGCTCTTCACCGCGTCCAAGGTCTCTCTCTCCCACCCCTCCAGCATCCTCAGCTTCCACGCCCGCCACGTCCCCAGCATCAGCATTGAAGCGTATCTTCTCCGTATCCTCAAGTACTGCCCGACCACGAACGAGGTCTTCCTCGGTCTACTCGTGTACTTTGACCGCATGAGCCGGCTCGGCACGACCGCCGGCGTCGGCGGCACGAGTGCCGCTGTTGGTCCCCGCGGCTTCTCGATTGACTCGTACAACATCCACCGGCTCATCATTGCCGGCGTCACGGTCGCGAGCAAGTTCTTTTCTGGTGAGTGCAGGTGGGAGTCCGGGACTACTAGTCCGCGGTGGCTTGGGTGGCTCGTCGCTGGCTGGAATCGGTGGAGACCGCCGAATATTCAGCCTAGCGCCGAGTCCTCAGCACCGACGTCATGCCGGCAGCAGTAGTGTGGCCAGCAGTCACACCTCACACAGCGCATGAGGTGACGCCTCATGTGTGCCCCCGTGTGCCTCCGTTGCCGCCGACTCGATCACTTTGCTGACGCACAGACGTGTTCTACACGAATTCACGATACGCAAAGGTTGGCGGACTGCCGCCGCACGAGCTTAACCAGCTTGAGCTGCAGTTCCTGCTGCTGAACAACTTTACGCTCATGATCCCGCCCGAGGAGATGCAGTCGTATGGCGACAGGTTACTCGCGTACTGGCAGGGACGGGAGGAGGCGGCGCCAGCCCCCGGAACCTCTCAGACGCCGGGGGGAGGGCGCGGAGCTGCGCCGGCATCGACGCTGACGCCGCAGGAGGAGGTGGCGCGGCTGCGCGCAAAGGAGCGGCAGGAGCGCGAGTACCGCGAGCGTGAGAAGGAGCGTGAGCGCGAGAGGGAGCGGTCGCGGGACAGGGCGCGCGAGGAGGGTCGGGAGAAGGAGCGCAAGGAGCGTGCAGAGCGGGAGGACCGCGAGCGCGCCGAGCGGGAGAAGGAGCAGCCGCGAAGTGAGAGGCAGGCGTCCTCGGCGCCGATGGATGTGGACGAGCACAACTACCCGGCGCAAAACGGGATCGAGCGGGCTGGACCCTCGCCGGCGCCAGCGGGCGTTGTGGGAAGTCGGGCGTGAGCGCCGAGCGAAGCGAGGCGCAGAGTGCTCTAGTGTCCTCACATCACGCCACGCGATACCCCGTGCAGCCATCGAAGAGCAAAGAGAAAGCATAGACCGCATTTCATCAATGTTGTTCATTCCAAGAGATACCGCCAGACTCCTCCAGCTTGTCCTCAACGCATCATCCAAGAATCCAAGACTGTTCTCTTCCCGCGCTTTACCCAAGTTGAGGCGCATGTTGACCCCACCCGCAAACTACAACCAACCCCCTATAGAACTATAACGAAACTGTATTTATTGGGCTTTTATATTCTGCTCTCTGCGCTCGCCACTGGCGAGGTGAACAAATGCATTGGGATATACGCTGCGTAGCGGCTCAGCGCCAGCTGAGCTGCCGACGGCGCTGAGGGGCTATCCCCCTGACCAGAATCTATCCATTGATCTACCCCGAAGCTGAGTGAGCGGTGAGAAGGAGAGTATGTAATAAGACGGTAGTGCGGTATGACACCGAGTCTAGCGGGCCCCCGCAGCAGACAGAATCAAGCATAACCCTAATCGCCATCATGATGTGCTTCGGTCACGCTTAGCGTTCAGCACGCCAGCACGCCATGTCGTATCAAGCTCGACAGAAGGGTGCGCGACGCCCGCTTGAGCATATTACAAGGAACGAATCCGGGTTGACTTTGATCGGAAGGGGGGTGAATGGGCCGGGGAACGGGGGGGGGGTGGCAAAGCGTGCACGGCCGTGAGGCTTTCCCCACTCTCCGTCAAAGATAAACAGACCGGGATTAAGTTAGAGACGGGGGATGAGAGTGCAGAGCGGGCAGAGCGGGCAGAACAGGCAGACAAGAGTAAAGGAGAAGTCTCGGATCAAGAACAGTTGCTAGTTCGCGACTAGCACTGTTCTGCGACGCGGCGACGGTGGTAACGCATCCACTGCCCCTCCCTGCCTCTCTGCCTCCCTGCCTTTTGGCTTTTGGTCTGGAGGTATCTCGCAATCTACGTGTTGAACGCCGGTACACCGAACAGTTCAGTAGTTCCTACCGTCAATACGCCAAGACCCGCAACCCATGAACAGAAGGTGCGGAGCAAAGAACTGAGCGTCCGATCGTCCGAGCACATCAATAAGTGTGTGTGCGTCGGTAATGTGTGCGGATGGATCTACGGCGGGCTAGTCTGACCAGAAGACCGGCCGGTCGAGCCTGGTCCGAGCCTGGTCCAAGCCCGGTCCAGCCCTTAGGACGTTCCGCAGCGTAGTCCGCAAATCCGAGACTTCTCGTCCCATCGACCTTTCTTTCGCTTACTTCTTGGGTCATCCCCGCTCGCCCGCTCGCCTGCTCGCTTCATTACGTCTCGTGACCACTTCGACCCTTTTGATCATTCATGTCCTTCCCCGGCCTTCTCTTTGATCACCGATGACTTGAAGACGTCGCTTCGACTGCCTGAGCTATGTGATAGCTGACCAACATCGGAATGCGGACGACGCCTCGCGCCTCGCGCCTCACGAGTTAGGCTGGGGGACGCGGACCGTACTTCCCCAGAACAGCGAGCATGCAGCGATATCCGCGGACGCGGAGATGTTGGAAGGTATTTGGGCAAGATTGTGGCTGTCTTGTCTTTGTCACGCTTCCCTCGCTTCATCCTTCCTCCCCTTCGCTCCTCCTGTGCGGTCTTGTCCAGGCAATGAGCGAGCACGACACAGATGCACGCAAGCGGGGTATAGACTGTCCCAGGAAGCAAAGCTATGCTGCTGATACCCGTTGCTCGAGTGCACGGGCAATGCACGGCCAGCCCAACGGACACGCACTGTCAGATCTCCGCTGAAGTCGCCGGCACAGGATCGCAGGACTCGACCCCACTCTTCAGGCCTTCAGAAGGTGCTTCGGCATACCCTCCGCTGTCCCTTTTGTCGTCTCTTCTGTCGGGCCTTTCTGTACAGCTCTTGCAGTGATTCGGTACAGAGTAGCAGGGAGGAGTACCGCTGATTCTGCCGCTGTCCTTCTTTCCCTTTCGCTCTGCCGGCAGCGCTGAGTGGAGAAGTGGGGACGACTGTGTGTGGAGACGTACTCCTCTTCCCCACCGTCCCCCCCTGCGTCCAGATGATACTGTAGGAGGAGAAATACCAGCGATCCGTAGCCCGTTTCCGACGCACTAGTGCAAGCCGCACCGAGGTGAAAGGATAGTGGGGTATGTCGTCCGAGATTTCTTGGCGTTTGAACCTTGTTGTAGCTAGCTTTGCTTCGGTCCTTTCTGCGGCTCTTGCATCGTCTAGAGTCCTTACTGTGGAACGCACGGAAGCGAAACGGCGAGTACCGTTCAGCTCTCTGCAATGATTCTGCCGTGGGCAATGTATCCAGCCTGCCCATCTTGGTCATCACTCAGCGCCTACTACCCAGCCAGCCATGGCAGCCATAGCAAGCCATGGCTTGCCAGGCGGCCACTTCATAGTCGGGCAGTGGGCAGTGGGCAGTGGACGAGCGACAGAAGTCGTAGGGTTAACAGAAGCAAGTGAATAGGATTTGCTAATGCGTTTTTGAACGCTGGCTAAAGGCATGAAGGCAGAGCTAAAGGGCCCAGGGCTCAGAAGACGGAGAGAGGACCGGACCCTGATAATGCTTTGTCTATCGCCGTCTGGGTTTGGTGCATTGACCCTGAGGGCGCGATCTGACTGAAGAGTGGCCAGGCCACCGTAGGCCACCGTAGGCCATTGTAGCCCGCATAGCCCGCATAGCCCGCATAGCCCGGGCTTGGGCTCTCTCAACGGAACATGGCCACTGCTGCAGCTCTCAACTGCCCGTGTCCCTCGTCCCTCTCCTTGGGTGCTGTCGCCCGACGACTCATTCCTCGTCACCGCCTCCCAAAGTCATAGTCATTCCGCCAGACACTGTCCGTCTACTCTCCTCGCATTCACCTCTACTACACCTCTTACACACACCTTTCGTCATCTCATCCGACGACAGACTTGACTTTCGCACACTCCTATCAGCGCACTCTTCCACGCCCCTCCCTCGACACTCGACACTTCCGCCGCCAGCACACCCGCAGCCGTCGATCGCCACCCCGCATCCACCGTCCATGCCAAGACTGTCTTGAGACTCCGACAAGGCTCTTGCTCTTCACTCCATCCTTTCTTGGCTCTCACACACTCTCTCGACACCTCCTTCGACCCCCTCTTCTTCCCCCCTCGACTCCATATCATGCCGACATAGCACACGCCGCTCTTTGACATCCAGCACCATTTGATTACAACACCCACCCTCCCTTCCCGGCAGCAATGTCGACCCCGTCTCCGCCCTCGCCGGCGCACGGGCAGGGCCTCAGTGGCCCGCGCGCCCGGCGAGGCTTCGGAGCCTCAGCAATGAATCTTCTACGGAGGGGCACAAACAACCCCCCACGCATCACACCCACTCAGCAACAACCAAGCGCGCCGCCGCCGACAATCAGCGAAGGCTCCTCCCTCTCCCCCTGTCCCTCCACCGCCCCGCTCTCCCCCGTCCTCAAGAAGAAGGGCGAGTCTTCAAAGTCCCCGACACAGACGCGGATAACGTTCGCCGAGACGACGACCTCGGCCGAGCTCACCGATCTGGGCGGCTCGAGCACCCTGTCGTCGGCGAGCGCAAGCTCGAGCCGCCATCTGCGGTCCGACATTGACACCAACTTTATCCGCGGCGCGCCAACGCCGTACAACACAATGGCTGACTCGCAGCTGTTCGCCGAGGAGACGATTCCAGGAACTATCAACAGCTACGGTCCCATGGACGAGGACGACGGGCTGTACCCCGCCGGCCAGTCTCGGTTCATCGGGCAGCGCACGGATAACACGGTCTCGTCGTACCCTTACACATTGTCCTCGACCGCGAGCCACGACTACATCCCCCAATCGACGCGTCCGGTCCCTGCGCCACCGCAAGTCGCAGACTGTCCGGCGGGCAACCCGGGAGACGTCGATGCTGCCGCCTTCATCCCCCTCGAGGCTTCACGGACACGCGCGTCAGATACGCACTCGAAGCGCTTTGTCGCGCGCTTCCGCCGCCCCAAGGTCGAGTACAACCGCGACGCCCTCCGTCTCCAGCAGCTGGGCTACGACCCCGTCCTCGGCCGCGACTACACGTTCTGGTCCAGCTTCTTCATCTCGTGGATCAGCATCGGGTGTCTCCAGGTGAGTACTGGTGGGGCTTGGAAACGGCAACGACGGCAACGGCAGATCGTGACGGGTGGCTCCAGATCCCGTGACACCCGACCATCGGGCTCTTACAGCCGATCTACAGAAAAAAGTGAGAGAGCTGTGCTAACTCCCCCTTTAGGGCACCATCTTTGCCGTCCCCGGCGCGTACCGGTACGGTGGTCCCATGATGATCGTGAGTAACCGCGGCTAAAACTGGGCAAGAATCAGATTTGAGGCTGACACCGGGGCAGCTAGTTGCTTGGCCGATCTCGGGCATCTTGTCCATGGCGCTTGTCCTGGTCATGTCGGAGCTGGCGTCGGCGTACCCCGTCGCGGGAGCCATGACTTCGTGGTCGTGGAAGCTGGCTCGAGCAGGCGTAGGAGGGGAGCGGTACTGGGGGTGGGCCATGACGGCCATTGTCCTGGGTGGACACACTGGTAATGTAAGCTAACCCCTCCGTTTCGATAGCTGACAGCAGCTTGTATTCATCACTTGGCAGAGCACAAACGTCATTAAGGGAACGATGGGGCTCAAGAACGAGCACTACAACCTCGAGACGTATCAGCAGTTTCTGTTCTACCTCGCCATTGTCGCCGTTGTCGGAACGATAGGAAGCCGCGCCTGGGCAAACAGCCACAAGTACTGGATTGTCGCGGGCGTGTTTGTCATGGGCACCTGGCTTGCGCTGTGCATCGCGCTGGCGTCGACGGGTGTGGCTCATCGGTAAGCTAGCGTTGTCATCGGTACGAGCTCACCGCAGTGACTTTTCCACTTCTCAACCGATCTCTACTCACTTTACGAACACGACGGGATGGAGCATGCGCGGCTACGTATATCTGCTCGGGTGGCAGTACACGACAATCGCGACCGGCGCGGACGCCTCGGCGCACATGTCGGAGGAGACGCAGAATCCCTCGCGCAACGTGCCGAAAGCCATGACGGCGGCGATCGCAGCAACCTACGTGCTCACATACATCTCCATCATCCTTTTGCTTCTCTCCGTCAAGCCCGAGGACGCCGAGTACATCACGCTGCAGACGTTCCCCGTGGGCCACATTCTGATCAAAGCCATCAACTTTTCTGGCGCGCTCGCCATCTGCATCATCCTCATCATCGTGCTCTGCCTGCAAGTGCAGGCGCAATTACAGGCCGCGTCGCGGTTCACGTTCGCCGTCGCGCGCGACAACGCGTTACCCTTTTCCGACGCGATCAAGTACACGAACAAGCAAAAGCAGCCCGTGGTCGCGCACTGGCTCGTCGTCGCGCTGTGGGGTGCGTGCTCGGTGCTGATCCTGTTCAACAAGCCGGGGCTCGTGCTCTCGCTCGTGACGACGGGCGCGTCGTCTCTGTCCATCCTAGGCTATCTGATCCCCGTGGCGCTGTACCTCATGTCGAAGATCGATCTGGAGCAAGAAGGGAGAACCTCCTGGTCGCTGCGCAAGTGGTCGCGTCCCGTGGCGTGCGTCGCGGTGCTCTTCTGCGTCACCATCATCGTCGTCCAGACATTCCCGGGCACAAACCCAGTGAGGGCGTACAACATCTCCTGGTCCCCCGTCATCATTGCCGGCACGCTGCTCATAAGTTTCCTCACCTGGCGCCTGTATGGGCGGAAGCACTACTCCGGCCCCATTCGCGCACTGACCAAGTGGGAGACGGGCGTCGAGCTCGACCTCGACAGTACACTGCAGGCGTCGACGGGGCACGGGCGGAAAGTGGACGGCGACGGCGACGGCGACGACGGAGAGGGCGAGTCCCCAGGGACAGGCTCGGGATCGGAAAAGGATTGGACAGGCCCAATCCCCGTCGCTACCATGCCCGACCTGGCTTATTCGGAGGGCGGCGCGGCGAGTCTCAGTGTCGGCGTAGCGCCCGCCGAGACGGTGGACACGATGACGTCCCCGGGCGAGTGGGAACAGTTTGACTCGTCCCTGGCCCCGGGACACACGGACTCGCGGGTCTAGTTTCAAATCACCACTCATTTTATCTTTTTGGTTGTCGTATCTTTTGACGTCTCCCCCTCATCTGGGATCTCTGAGGTGTTCGGTAGTTTTAGTTTGGGAGTTTTGGTTTGGGCAAGTTTGGATTTGGGCAGTTAGGGCAGTGTAGTTTGGGCAGTTTTGGTAGATCCCTCCCGGGCTCATGTGTTCGCACGACCCGGGGAGATTGGGAGTATAGTGGGGGTTTCTATTCTTGTTGTACCACATTTATCTTCTGAAATGTATAAGACACACACACCTACACATCTAACGACGCTAAACGACGCAAATGAGCGAGCGCAGCGAGCGTTGTCGGACAGAGTGAGCCAAGTGATACGCTAGTATCCTATGTCCCCTGCGCTGCTCGAATAGGGCCAGTGGGCACCACGGGCACCACGGGCACCACGGAGAGATCTCGAGGATCATGGAGGAGGAGGAGACAATGCCACAGCCCCCGAGGCCCCGAGTCTATGGGCCAGATCTGGGATCCGTGCGCTCTTCCCATTCTTCGGGAGGAGACGTGAGCCGGTCAAAGTGACCATCGTTTTGCTTGCTGTTGAACTCTGTATCTTTCCTCAGGACTGACAGCAGGCCGCACTCCAGTCAACTCACGCCCACTCACGCCCACTCACGCCTACTCACGCCTCGACTGCCAACTTACAGTACCTTCTGCCACTCACCGCTCACCGCGTCCCTGCCTCACATCGCTCACTGAGTGAGTCGAGTGAGCCACGCGCTTCTGTCCCCCGCGAGAGGTCCCCACGCCTCTCGCCTCCAACTCACAGGTCCTCGTCCTCTCCCCTTATCTCCTTGTCACGTTTGCTCTTGGATTCACCGCGACAGCTTAGACTGCCTCCTACTGCCTCGCCCTCGCTCGCTCCACTCCCTCGTGCTCCCTCGTGGCCAAGAAAAGAAGTCATATCAATACAAGCTACCTAGGTAAATACGGTAAATGTGCGCGCGTGCAAGAGGTTGGAGGTGGAGGTGGAGTGTTTGCGAGAGAGAGAGAATTAGAGGCCCAGCTCCCCAATAGCTGGGAGGGCGGGGAGGGTCGAGATGGTGCTGCGGCTCGTGGACTTGGGGTCGGCCTTGGCGAACGGGTCGCTGTCGCTGAAGGGGTCGCCCTTGTCCTCGCCTGCAGGGCCGTTACGGTCATTCGCCTTCACGTCTCCATGGCTGTAGCTACGGTCGACGTGACGGCGGTCGGCCTGGCGGCCGACCCTGTCGAGACCACGCTACGGCCTCGAGCTCGGGATCGAGTGGTAGTTCGGGGGGATCTCATTCTGGAGGTGTTCCGGGGCGTCCTCGAATTCGTTGCCGTGGCCCCACGACTGGTTCGAGGACATCATGCCCGGCCCGGGCGTGCGGCGGTGCCCGTCCTGCGACATGAGCGCGTCCTCGTAGACGCTGCTCAGGGGGCGGCTGGACGTGCGGCTCGCGGGGCGGGAGTCCGGGCTCATCGGGGCGGCACCCGCTCGCGCGCCTTGGCCTGGGCTGCGGGCGTGGCAGAGGCGTAGTCGTCGTGCGAGATTGCATTGCCAACGCCGGCTCCGGCAGCGGCACCAGTGCCCATGGGGCCGTAGCCAGAGTAGTCCGAGTAGCCCTGGTTCGGGAAGTAGTGCTGCGCGTCCGGCATCTGCATCGTCGGCTGCGTCGTGTACGTCGCGCCGTAGTGGTTCGGGTTGTACCCGTCGTCGGCGTAGTTGTAGTCGTGCTGGCTCGGCTCGTAGTTGTAGTGCGAGTGGTCCTGCGACAGCGCAGCGGCGGTTCCGGCGCCAACGCCCGCGCCAGCAGCGGTCGTCATGGTCTGCTGGTCAAAGGGGTACGGCTCGATCGTCGGCGCCTCGGTCGAGGCGGGACCGGGAGAGAGGTCGCCGGCCATGTCGAGCGGGTCGGCCTGCGAGTGACGCGTCGAGTGGTGAGGGTCAAACATCTTGTCGTCAAACGCGACCTCGTGCCTCTTCCTGCGGCGCCAGAAGAGGAAGCCCAGAAGCGCAGCGAGAACGAGCGCACCACCAACACCACCGACGACACCACCGACAATCTTGCCCGTGTTGCTGCTCTTGTGGCTCTTGTTCTGGCCAGCAAGGGTTGGGACAGCCTGCGTGTTCGTGACAGTCTTGTAAATGACAGACGAGCCGCCCTGCGCATTGGTCACAACCTGGCTCTCGGTCACGACGGCGACAGAGTGCGAGGTCGACGGCGTAGCCGAGCCAGATCCGGCGTTACCGGAAGACTGACCGCCCTCGGACGACGTCTGGGCACCACCGCCACCGTTGTTGTTCTCCGACGACGACTGACCGTTGTTACCACCATCGGTGCTCGACTGCTGGCCACCACCGTTGTTGTCACCACCGTTGGACGACGAGGGCTGCGGCTGGCCACCGCCGTTGTCGGAAGGCGTAGGTGACGGCGACTGGTTACCACCACCGCCATTGTCCTGCGACGAGGTCTGGCCAACACCACCGCCGCCGTTGTTGGACGAGGTCTCACCGCCGCCTCCGTTGTCGGAAGAAGGCTGAGCCGAGGGGGTCGACTCGCCGCCGGACGAGGACTGCTGGCCACCACCGCCGCCGGGGTTGCTGCTAGGCGAGGGCTCGGGCTGCGAGGGGGAAGGAGAGGGCTGACCACCGCCGCCCTGGGACGTCGTAGGTCCCGCGGGATCAGAAGAGGGCTGCGGGCTCGGCATCGTGCGCGAAGGCGACGGCTCACCGCCACCACCGCCCCCGTTCGAGGACGGGGTTACCTGGGAGGGCTCGGAGCCAGTGTCGGCTGCAGATGATGTCGGAGGATCCGGGGTCGCATTGGCAGAGGAGGTAGGAGAAGAGGGGTCATTGCCAAGGGGGAGGGAGTGTTCGTTGGAGGCCATGGTCAGCGACGTGAACGTGCGGGGTCGTGAAAGAGTGTCTAAAGTCTGCAGTCTAGCGTCGGAGAGGGGGAAAGAAGGAACTGTTGTTCGGAAAAAGAAGAGGCTGTGTTCTAGATCGAGATCCCCGACTCGGCCGTCAAGGAATGGGGAGAAACGAGCGTCTCTGGAAAGAATGGGATGAGATAAGGAGGGTCAGAGAGCGGGGTTGGCGAAAAGTCGAGTTGCTGGAAAGGCACAACGACAGTTCAAGCGTGGGAGACGATGCCGATAAGAGGGACTGAGGGACGGCCGAGCAGTCGAGGAAGGATGATCGGGGGAAAGAGAGTACGAGGAACGACAGCTCTGCTCGAGATAGACGCGGTCTGGATTTCTGGAACGAAGGACAAGAGTCAAGTCTCAAACTCTGTCTCGCCTGGCGACCACCTCTTTTCGGTGGCAGAACTCGGCTTCGGTTCGGGGAACGCAGACGCGTCTGCGGAGCTAAGAGCTAAAGTTGGGTGTGTGTGTGCGTGGGTGTGCGTGGGCTCGTGGGGGGTCCTCTTCGCTGGAGACTAGGTTGTGGTGTATGTGTGTGCTGTGGATAGTGTGTGGAGTGTGGTGCTAAAGAGACTGCTACGACTGCGGACTGGACACTCTAAGGAAAGCACTTACGAGGGGGGACCGCAGCCATGGTTTGTGGGTGCGAGGAGGGTGATCGGCGAAGGGCAGTGAGAAGAAGGGGGGGGGGTATGGAGCGGCGGAGAAATGAATGCGCGAGTGCAAATGCCAACCAAAATGCGAGGCCGTGTGACCTTTCGTTCAGGTGGGTCTGCGATTCGGGGTACCGGGGACCGGGTTCGGTTCGGCAGAGTTAAAGAGTTGGCTGCGTAGACGTCGCGCGGAGGGACTGGGGTTGGGCTGAGCTTAAAAACACAACAACAGCGTTGCGTCTGCGTCGGATCCGTCGAAGATTCAAAGCAAAGCAGAAGGAATGAGAGTTGGAGGAAGGTGACTGGGAGAAGAGGTGGAGACGAGATTGTGGTGATGTGCACGACGCAAATACGGGTGAGTGACCCTCGTTGAGGGCTCGAGGGGTCAGCCCCCCCCCCTTCAGCCAAGCAGCCCAGCTGGGGGCGCAGCTGATGGAGCAGGCGTTCAGTTGGCGCTGTGGTCAGCCCAGGAGATCCCTTCGGATGCATCGCAGTCAGCCAATGCAGCAAGCAGCAGGGGACGGCAGAACCAGGCGAAGAACAGCGAGCTAGCGAGGGGAGCATCAAAACATGGCCCCTTTCTGGCCCTGCTCTGCAACCCTGGCATGCCCGGCACTGTCCCTGGAACAGGGCGCAGAACCCAAACATTCTCTCCTCGGCCTTTGTCTGCGCCCAACTACTTGGTCATTAGGATCTGATACAAATTTTTCATAGCCTCGAAAAACTTTCTTTCACCCATGCCCTAATGGCCTAGTGGACTGTGTAATGGCCCCTCTGGTCTCTGGTCGATCACGACAACACAGGGTTCCTGTCGCCCCCTTCAGCCCTGTTCATTTGGCGCCGGTGCTAGCATCAGTCACTTTGCTCTGCTCTCGTGCCCCCTTCCACCCATCTGCAGACAACGCCCCCCTTAGCTCCACCCCTGCTGTGCCCTTACTGTTGCCCCTTTATGCCCGCTCCCTCGCCAACTGGCAGCAGAGACAGCAGAGACAGCAGAGGAAGCGCTGGATGCACCAGTCTTCCGGTTTCGCGGTGACCCCTTCGGCACCTCTCTATCCGCTCTGCGTCAAGGGAGTGGCTCACTTCGTGTCGCACAACTACGGGCACAAACACAGCTGCCAGCGGGCTGGCATGGGGAGAAGAGGCTTGAAGCGTTAATGAAACATTCCACGTGTTCCCGCTCCCTAGTCTCGCCTCTCGCTTGAGCCACAGCCACCAATGCCACCAAACGGCACAAGCGCTGCCGCTGCCGCGCAGCCAGCGACGCGCGACGATCCTGCGTTCCGTCCGCACAGACAGTTGATCCACAGCGATCCGATCCGTTCCTAGCTACCGACTTGATGATCAGAGCGATGTGCATGTGCTCATCCAAAGTGCGGCATGCTCACATATACATCTACGACACTATGCTAGAGAAATGAGGTTGGATGGGGGCTTGGAATGCTGCTTCTTCTCGGGACGTGACGCGTCGCGCTCGCTGGGTGCTTTGCGCTACGGCTGACGCACACGAGCGTTACTACTGCGCTCGATCACCGTTCGCTCACTCGCTGCCACCACTGCGAGGCCGCTCACGTGCACACTGTGCTATCCACGATACAGCGCCGGTCATGCCATGGCACTCACGCTGCGATCGCTATCGCTCGCGCTGCTCGCGCTAGTACGGCAACGACCCGTCCGTGCGCGGCCGTTTGTCTCTGCCGCGGGGCTCGCCCTGGCTCTGCCTCTTATGCGGGCCACCAGCGCCGCCAAAACTCGGCGCTCCCCCGGGCTGCCTGCCCCCCGCCAACCTGAACGCTGGGGCCGGGACACGCCCCGTGTTCGGGTGCCGGCGAGCTTGAACGGAGGCGGAGGTCCCCGCCCGCCGCCCTGGTGACCTCCCGGTGGGCCATGGCCCTGGCCGCCCATTGGGGGACCGCGGCCGTAGCTGTTTGGGTGGTTGCCTCCGTGGTTTGGACCGTGCGGACCGCCCATGTTGTTGTTGAAGCCCGGGCCCGCGTGGCCCATCGCCATCGCTGGCACCGCTGGCGGCATGTAGCCTGGCGGTGGGCGGTGTTGCGGCTGCTGCTGCTGGTGCATGTACTGCGGTCGGGGGTGCTGGCCCTGGTATCCGTGTCGGCCGTGCTGGGGACGGGCGTGCGCTTGCGGCGGCGGCTGGACCCAGGCGGGGTTCTGCGGCCGGCCCCGGTTGGCGGGAGCGCGCTCGCGGGTCGTCATTTCGTGACTTGACTCGACGACGGGGATGTTGCCGAGCTTGGCTGGCAGGGGCTCGCTCCAGAACCAGACGTGGTCGAGGGCATCGTTCGCCGTCGGGCGCTTGGAAGGGTCGAGCGTGAGCAGCTTCACCATCAGGTCCGCGCCGGCCCGGTCCATCTGCCACTTGCGCGCGAGGCTGAGCAAGTTTGTCTCCTTGTGTGTCTTGTCCCAGGGGTGGTTCTTCGCGTCCGGGAAACCAGGTAACTTGTCCCAGCCGGGCCAGACGCGCTGATTTGGTGGCTCGACGCGGGCAAAGATCTTGAGAAGCTGGTCACGGTCCGAGTCGCCGGGGAAGATCGGCTCGCGCAGATACATCTCGCCAAGGATGCAACCCATGGACCACAGGTCGATCGCGGGTCCATAGTGCACGTCGCCTAACAGCAGCTCGGGGGCGCGGTACCATCGTGTAACGACCATGTTGGTATACTCGTGCTTCGAGTGCTTCGGGAGGGGCTCTGTGCCGAGCGTTCGGGCAAGTCCAAAGTCGGCGATCATGACGCTGCCGTCCTTGCCGACGAGAATGTTGGCCGTCTTCAGATCACGGTGGATGATGTTGTTGCCGTGCATGTATGCAAGACCTTGCAGGATCTGGCGGAGAAGAAGCTTCGCGACAGAGTGCGTCATGCGGAAGTCCTTGTTTAGCAGCAGACCACACAGATCGTGGTCCATGTAGGGGAACACCATGAAGACCTCGCCACGGCACATCGGCTCGCCGGGCATGAGCTGCGTCTTGTCCTTCTTACGCTGCACAACCATGTCCAGGATCGGCACAACATTCGGGTGTCGCAGCTCCTTCAGGATCTTGATTTCGCGCACAGTCGTGACGCTGACGCCGTCGCGGGGGTTGTGCGTGATCAGCTTCTTCAGCGCGACCTTTCGTCCAGTCGTCCTGTCCGTCGCCTTGGTCACGACTCCGAATGTGCCTTCACCGAGCTTCAGACCGATATCGTAGGACGCGAGTGTTGTGACGCCGCGGAACTTGCGCGCGTACACGTCCTGCTCCTCCTCCGTCGACCGCATTTTGAAGTGCTTGAGTGATGGTGGCTCACGGGACGGCTGAGGGGTAAGAGCCCGTGGGGTAGACGTCGACTCGTTCAAGTTTCGGTTCGGGGCGTGAGGGCGCGGCGCGTATGCCTTCTTCGTCGGCGGCGGGGCGTCCGGCGTCCCACTTGGGGTGTCGCTCGGTGGTGGGGGAGGGGCACCGGGAGGCGGAGGCGGAGGCGGCGGTGTCGGCGGGCGACCGTTTTTGTCCTTTGTCGGAGGAGTAGGAGGACGAGTGTGCGAAGCAGACTCCTTGGGTGGCGGAGTAGGAGGCCTATGCGAATGCGACGCTTCCTTGCTCGTGCCGTGGCGAGGCGGTGGGAGCGGTGGGGTCGCCGGGCGAGGCGGCAGGTGCGCGTGCTTCACAGGGGATCTCGATCTCCGTCGCTTAGCCTCTCCTGTCGGGGAAGACGGCTTATCAGCCTTGACTGCAGGCTCTAAGATCTCGCCATCCTCGTGCACCTCTCCGTCCTCGCGCTTCGAAGGCGACGAGCGGCGGTGATCGTGCCTGCGGTGGTCGTCGCGGCGGTCGTACCGTCGGTCGTCCCGGTATCCTCCTCGGCGGTCGTCCCGCGAGTCTCGGTAATCGCGCGGATCTCTTCGGTGGTCGTCGTAGCGGTCATCGTAGCGATCACGGGGAGGATACCTGTCGTACCGCCCTCTGTCGCCGCCGTACGAGTCGTACCGGTCGGCGGGGTGACGTTCCTTCGACGGGGACGCCCTGCGGTGCTCGCGCTCGCGGTCGTCTCTCCGATCGTCTCTGCGGTCATCCCTCCTGTCGTCCCTTCGGTCATAAGCCCGCGGCGACCTGTGTCCGTTACGGTCGCGGTCCCGAGCTGGGTCTAGCGGGCGCGGAGGAGGGTCTCTGCGGTCGTGGTCCCGGCGATGGGGCTCTCCCCGCTGATCGCGAGCGTCTCGCGGTTCTCTGTCCCTCGAGTCCCGTGGCGGCTCCCTCGGTTGCCGATGGTGATCGGGTGGATGGGCATCCCTCGGCGCCTGATCCCGACTGGCAGAGCTGCGGATGTGGAGCTCTTCACGCGGCGCCGAGCTGGATTCAGCTGGCCGTGGCGCCTTGTCAGCATGACCCCGGATGTTGAGGCCGCCGGCGGCATTCTGCCCCGCTCCGGGCGCGGAGGACAGGCGGCTGGCGAGGTCGTTCTTAACGGGCGAGGAGTGCGTGCCCGGCTTGGGCGGCAAGCCGTTCGTCCCAGGCGGCGGAAACATCCTCGGCGTCGACGGACTGGAGCGTAAGGAAGGTGCCGGGAATTCTCAAGTCGTGCCGCAGCCAGCCGGTCAAAGCCTACTCGTCGAGGGGCGGCACCTTTGGAGAGACCAGTGTCAACAGCTTGGGAGTAGGTCGACGGGAAGCGCTTGCGGGAGCCGGCTGACGGAATCCGGTCTAGATATGGACAAGACGGGGGAGTAACAAGGCGAGCGGATAGAAAGAAAAGAGAAGAAGGACAAAGGGAACGCTTGAGACAGGGTGATGGTCGAAATGTCAACCGCAGGCGAAAGGTGGTACCGCGAAAGCAAAGCGACAAGCAAAGCAAGAATGACGGCGGCGAGCGGCGGCAAAGTGAATTTGAGTTCGGCTCAGGAACCTAATCGCGCATTACAGCGCACTAGTCATGGAGATACCAGCGGTGTTAGGCTGTGCCGCTAGTCGCCTGCCAGCCTGCGATTGTCTGCGGTGTGCATGGCAAGCTTGTCGATCTGGCCTTTTGTGTTGGTGCATAATGCGAGATGAGAAAACTTCGAGTGGCGCAGCTTCCGCGCAATGCACCCATGCGGGTCACTCCGCCTGTGCAGCATCAAAACGTGCCTCAGAGATTACAGGGTTGCATTTCCTTCTATAGTACGCCGACACTTCTGACTTAGGCGCTCATGACCTCGGCGTCGCTGGGCGGCAGGCCCGAGTCGACAACCACATCGTCGACATCAGGCGGGGGCAGGAGCAAGTCCTTGACGCGGCGGTGCGCGCGGCGCGCCTGGCGGTGTCCCTCGTTGAAGCCGATCATGCGGGCCGTCTCGGCCGCGTCGGCAAAGTACGTTGACGCCGTGTCGGCGTCGTCCATCATCTCGGCAAGCATGCCGAGGTTGTACTGCGCAACGCTCTTGGCGCGGGCACACAAGGCCTGCGTGTCGTCGCGTGGGGCGCCGTCCTTCCAGCCCTCCTTCTGCTTGACGTCGTCGACGACCTTGAGCGCGCGCTGAGACCAGGACTTGGAGATGTCCACCTGCTTCTGCTTGCCGGCGGGATCCGTGGCACGGGGCTCGGTGGCGTAAGCCGAGATGTTCGTCATGACCTGGCAAGGTCAGTTTGAGTAGCATGAGGAGAACTCACTTGGGCAGCCTGACAGAGGTCCGAGGAGGAGTGCTGTCCGTCGGGCGGAATCAGGATGGACAGTGTCTGCAGCAGCAGCTGTCCGGCGAGGTCGTACCTGCTGTCGCGGGCATAGACCTCAGCAAGCGTCTCCATAGTGATAGCCAGACCGCGCTTGTCACCTTGCCGCCATACTGGATCTCCTCCGACTCGTCGTGAGGCAGCTTGACGTCGCGGCCAGCGACGACGGGACGCTTGGCGGTGAACTGGCCCTTCTGCTCAATCGCCTCGCCACGGTCTCCGTCATAAGCCGCCGTCTCGCCAAGACCGATGCGGAGCATAGATGCCAGCGCGCCAGAAAGGAAGTGCTCGGCAGCCTTGTTCCAGTCCTCAGGCTTGCGGACCGCGTCGGCCTCTTTGTCTGAGTCGGTGGGGGCGCCGATCGCTTCGTCGACCTCCTTCGTCGCCTGGGAGGGATAGGCGGGCGGGTTCTTCATGGCGCCGAAACCGGCAGCGAGGGAGCCGAGCTTCTGCGACAGGCCGATCGCGCGATGGATCTCGGCCGGAGACAGGGCGTGGTTGCCAGCCCATCCTCCCGTGGGCGGGGGAACGGCAGCGAGCGGCCGCGGGCCGAACAGACGTAGAGCCTTGTACAGCTGCACGTAGGCGCGGAGGGGGTAGCCAGCCTCCTCGAGCATGGCAGCCTGCGTAATGTAGATGCCCGACACCTTGAGGAGCGGGTCGGGGTCCAGGTCGCCGGGGTACAGCGCATAGCACGCCTGCAGCGCCTCGTTGAAGTACTGGTTCGAGCTCTCGTAGTCGCCCTTGTTGCGCGCCTTGAGGGCCTTCTTCAGCGGGTCACGGACTGACTGCGGCCAGATCTGGAGAGCGTACCACCACTCAAGTCTGCTGTCAGCTAATGCTCCGCCGCTTGCAAGCTTACACTCCGTAGATCGTCATCAGCAGGCCAACGCCGATCAGCACTGTGAACAGGGTCGAGTTCTTCATGCCAAACTTCTTCCCGTCACCCTGACTCGGAGGCGGAGGGGCCTGCGGCGGCGCCTGTTGTTGTCCAGACTGTCCTGACTTTGCGTCAGTGGCATAGTTCGCAGCAGCCTGGCGGAGGAGCAGCGATGACGGCACGGCCGTCTGGGGTCGACTTCCAAGAGCTGTCGGGCGAACGAGAGTTGCGGCGGGGCGCATGCGGGGTGCGGAGCGCATCGCCAACCGCAAAGAGGCGGCTCGCATGGTCATGCTCATGGTGGCTGATTGTTGATGACCTTGTTCGGAGCAATGTGGAGTTGTGAGACAAGCAGCGGAGAGCGGAGAGGGTGAGATACGCGTGCCGATATCTTCTCTCCGTGTGTTCGCCTGTGATTTCTCTGAGCAACCCGGTTTCGATGGACGTCGCCGAGACGATTTGCGTCATGGCTTGCCAGGCCGGTGCCTGGATCCTGGGACCTCCACTTTCCGTCGCCACGGCTGTCTACGAGGTTCCGCCGGGTGCCGGTTGTGTGCCCACCGAACGGCCCACCGAGCAAGCACGATGAACTTGCCAGAACGTGAGGTGCTTTATGACGATTGTCGTCCGAACAAGGAATCGAGGTACACTGAGAAAACGCAAAGGCACTCGGCTCAACTCACTCTCGGCGACAGTTCAAAAGGAACAAGGACAGACTACTGGGAACACCTCTTACACTACCCCGCATTTCTTGAACTTGGGCAAATCTCACCACAATGTCGAACGACCAGGTCCCCCTCATCAAGCTGAACGACGGCAACAGCATCCCCGTCGTCGCCTTTGGTGAGTGCGAGACGAGTGTGGCAGAAGCGTGCAGACAACCATGCCACACGAGCAGGCTGCTGCGCGGCAGTGCGCCATGTCTCACAGCCCGTGGCTCCGGCTCCGAGACGCACAACTGACAGACAAGGAACCGGCACCGTCCTGTACAACAAGGACTGCAAGGACCAGGTTATCTCTGCGATCTCGGTCGGCTTCAACTCGCTCGACGGCGCCCAGGTCTATGAGAACACAAAGTACATCGGCCAGGCGATCAAGCAGGCCGCGGACGGGAAGAAAATCTACCTCACGAACAAGTGGGGCAAGAGCGGAGACTCGGACGATGTCAACGAGCCCCGCCGTGTGCTCGAGGGCATGCTCCAGGAGCTTGGCGTGAAGCAGCTTGACCTGTGTGAGTTAGGGCCGCGGTCGCCGTCAGGCGGCCAAGCGGCCAGGTAGCCAGGCGGCAGATCAGATGGTCTGACGATCTGCTATCAGTTGAGCGCAACACTGACAACAGACCTGATCCACTTCCCTGTCGTGAGTCACCCTCTCCGGCCGTCACCACGAGATGGAGTGGCGATCTCGGAGAGCGCACAACGGAGAAGAAAGACTGACCCCAGGTCTCGAAGAAAAACTCGCTCATCGACCAGTGGAAGGTGATGGAGCAGATCAAGAAAGACGGGCTTGCCAAGTCGATCGGCGTCTCCAACTTCCGCGAGGAGGACCTGCAGGCTATCCAGGACAAGTGGGAGATTCCTCCGGCCGTCAACCAGGTGGGTACTGAGGCTGGCAGCGGGCACCTGTTGTGGAAGTATGGACTGAGCCATCCGCCTGCTCTTCGGGCAGCTACGCGTGCAGAGCTCAACTGGCCGATTGGACTGGGCATGCCACGCTCGCTTGCTCGCTTCGCTTCGCTTCGCAGAACACTGACAAATCAGCTCGAGTACCACCCCTACGTCGCGCACGAGCCGCTGATGAAGCGTCTCCGCTCCCTCATGGACAAGCACCAGATCAAGGTGCAGGCCTACGCGCCCCTGGCGACGCTGCACAGCGCGGCCGGCGGGCCCGTCGACGCCGCCGTGGAGAAGGTTGCGATTGACGAGTTCAAGACCCCCGCCCAGGTCCTGCTCCAGTGGGCCGCGCAGTATGGCGGCGGAACTGTTGTTACGTGAGTTGGTCTTGGTCTTCCTTCACTGCTGGATATGGGTTGGGCTGGCTAGGGCTGACCTGGGCTGGCTTGGGCTGGCTCAAGTTGGCTGAAGATAACTGCGCCATCTGGCGTCATCGTTACTTCGGAGGCCCGGAGAGGGTCGGTGTTCCGTGTTCTTTATCTGGCTCCTGTCACGGAATCGGGCGCACGACGGTGTGCTAGATGTTCTTCTATATCTGGAGACCTTCTGGCGCCATCTGCGTTGCCTGGCGCCGATGAGCCTGCGCCGCAGTCTAGCCTTTCAGTTGCGTTCAGTTCTCGACAAGAAATAGATCGTGGCGTCGACGCCGTGAGGGCGGTGGAGCGAAAGGTTTATTTCTGGCACCAGACCCAGATCCCTCCTTTGTCCTTTCGTTGTCGGCACGTTCGCTTCTCGCTTCGCTCGCTTCGAACTCGGTCATTAACGCCCAGCACGACACGCAACCTCGACCGTCAGCGCGAGCAGCTCGAGGCGTTCACGAAGCAGAAGCCCCTCTCTGACAACGCCGTCAAGGAGATCACGGAGGCAGCCAAGGGCAAGTTCTACCGCAAGTACCTCAAGGTAAAGTCTGATGTTGGGGTCAGAACTGACGGTTACAGGAGAACATCTGGGACCACGCCAAGCCTTAAGCTCGGCCCTTGCTTCCTTTGGCGGAGTGTATATCCGTTGCTGTTCCCCAGGAACAATCAGACAATCAGAAGAGATGCAGATGCAGTCAGATTTCTTGATATCAGCACAGTAGAGTGGGGTAATATCGCAGGGTACTCTGTCGTCAGGACGCAAAGGTTAGTCACGGTCCGACTTCCGCTATTCCCAAGTGTCCGTCTACCCGCGGCAGTCAGCTACGCGCGAGTTGGCAATAATAGAACCATGCCGACATCTGCTAGACTGAGCGAACAAGCGACCGAGCGGGCGTGCGGAAGTGTATTCTCCAGCGCGGGTTACTTTTGTTGTTCGTCCCTTGTCCAGACCCGGCCGATAGCGAATTCAGCGAACATGCGAGTGTGCGAGCAAGGAACAGACACATGCGCACATCAGAGTCCGATCCAGCATCGCGGATTGCGGCATCGGGCGGCTTGTCCAACGAGCACCGGGTTCTCATAGGCTGAGCCGTCATGGAGCGGCGCTATTATTATACGCTCGGTACGCTCGGCGAGCCGTCATGCCATCGGAGTGCGGCATGGAAAGACGGGGCTGCGCTGATTAGCGTCGAAGTTTAAGTGTATGGAGTTGTCGAGAATAGAACGAGGCCCCGCTTGCTAATGCGTAATGGTATCTGTGTGTATGGAAGGGGATGAGGGCATGAGGGATTTTCGACAACAGCACCCGGGCCCAAGACTGAGGACGGCTTGGTACTGGCTGGCTGGCTAAAAATAAGCAGCAAAGAACGGGACCAAAGAGAGGATTGCTGCCTCGTGGGTGCCCTGATCTGGCGCGCCTCTCTGCCCCTTGTCGGGCGCCTTGGATGAGGCAGGGATGCTCACGCACCGTCTGCGTTGCGGTTAAGGCTTTGGCCCCAGCCCGAAATAGACCCTGAATTAGAGCGCTTGCATGGCGGTAGGGCGAGGTCGCCGACGCTTGCGCCTCCCTGACCCTGGACTCGGACCTTACGCCCTCCCCCAAGTATAGCCCTCCTGGCCTTGGTCCCTCGCTTCCCTGACGCCTTGGGCCCTGGGCCACACTGGGTTCAAGTCATCTGCTCCTGCCTCTCTGACAAGTCTGGCTCACTCACACTACTTTGCTTACCCATTTTCAAAATCCGTATTCGCGGATTTCACGCTCACACCCACGGTCCTAATCGCGCCTTATCCCCCCGCACCCTCTCACCCGACCGGAGCTTATACCGCCCATTAGCCTGTATAGCCTTGTCCCCCCCCCTTCCCTTCCCCGACGCCGTCGGCCGCCCATCCAACATACACTGCCCTCCAGAGCTAGCTCTACCCACTGCGCTCGCTCTGCACTCACTCGCTACTCACCCACCATCCTCCATCGCCATCCCATCTCCTCCTCAACAACACTACTCACCCCATCTTTTCTCACATCCTTACCCCAACCTCCGTCCCCGCCACTCTCTCGCCAGCACCCGCGCCGACAACGCACACCCCGACGCCCTCAGCTCGGCCCTGGCTTCTTTCCGTTCCTCGACTCTCCCAAGTCGCCGCCCCCTTCCTCACGGCACACCGACATTCACCGACTTGGCTCTTCCACCCGCCGTCCCGTTCACTCGTGACCGGCGCACACCCACACCGCTTTCCGTCCCCACCGCTCCGGCAGTGTTCATCGTTTCCACACGCGTCCCCCTCCCCTCCTCTCGACGCCCCCTCCCACGTCCGGCACGTCTTTCGCCCATCCAGCCCGCGCTGTACCGGCTACGTTACTGAATCCAGTCCCGTCCACTCGTCGCCCGTCTCTGAACCGGAGCTAGGTCGATTTGGAAGAGCACACAAGCAGTCTGGAGTCTAGTTTGCATTCAGACCGCGCGTTTGCTCACCACCCCGTCCTGTCCTTTTCGCCTAGCCTGTTTTGAGTCCAGCAGCATAACCCGAGCACGTTGCGCGCGCAGGACCCTTCCACCTGCGCGCCTCGCTCGCCCACTCTTCCCGTCGAGTTCGACACATCCAACCGTTTCCACCATACATATGCGATGAAACGTCGAAGATCCGCTTCGGACGGCCACCCGGGGCCACCGCGACAATCGACATCATCACCATGGCGTTGGAACATTGGGGGACCCATCCTCGACTTTGGCGACGAAGCCGTCGACGCCGGACCCTCAACACCCCCCTGCGCTTGTGATGACTGTGTCGCGCCCCGCCCTTCATCAACATATCGATCATCATCATCCTCATCCTCTTCAAGACGGCGAGCATCCAGGTCGGCCCGCGCGTCGTTCTCTGGCACCGACAGCGACGATGACGACCTTCTCGCCTCATCAACTTCAAATTCTACACCAGTGGCGGCAACGTCAAGACGGCGGTTGCGAAAACAGCGTGACAGTTCTTCGCGACCATGGTCCTTGATGCGCCCCCTCACCACCGCGCTCGCGCTATCGCTCGCGACCGCACCCCTCGCTGCTGCCGGCCCCGTACCGCTACCAAGTAGAAGTACGACATTGACAGCAGCAACCGACACTTCTTCTCCTCCCCCCACACGAACAATACAATCCTCCATTACCACCGCCCCCACGGATACTCCAACAACCGTCCCGACCAAGACACAGACCTTGCAACGACGAAAAATCGAGTCCGTTTCCCTGTTTGAAGAGCCGAGCCTCCTCCCCTCGGCAACTCTTCGCGACGCTTTCCGCTGAAGCATTACCATATGTCGTGACCCAGTCCTCTGACGGACGATGGTATCATGACCCACGGCCATGGTGGATCTACGGAGTGGTCATGGTAAGGACCCACTCTCAGAAACAATGCTGACAACCTCAGGAGCATCAAGAACCAGCCGCCCACTCGAACGACATGATCACGAACGAGCGCCGTGCCGCCGATGCCGATGCGAACGACATGATTGCGAGGGCGCAAACGACGGGATCACCGAGACCGGCCGACAAGTACTCGGTTGTTTCCTCCCTGCCGAAGGGATGGGGAGAGTCGAGGGTCGACCGTTCCGAGTTCTATCGTACACCGCTCATCGTCGCTGCGAGTGTCATCCTCGCCATCCTCATCGTGACCGGCCTCATCATCTTTGCGATCCAACGACGAGTGCACACCCGACGCAAGAGAAGGCATACGGCCCGAATGCGGCGCAAGGCGCTGGCGGCCGCGGGCCTGACGGAAGACGACCTGAAGGTTGGAGGCGAGGACGCTGAAGTGGCCTTCCAGAAGAAGCTGAAGGAGGTGGAGACTGCCTACGAGATTAAGCATCGCGGAAAGGCCAAGCACCACCGCCCAACAGCCATCGTCCGAACCAAGGTCCGGGTATGGCGCGGTGGAATGCGTAGACGGAAGCCGACGCCTGGCGACGAGTTGAAGCCTGCCACTTCCCCGACGGGCATGTCGACGGCCATTGTGCTGAACCAGAACGGCTCTGTTGTGTCTCTCGCGACGACCGCAACCGAGCGGACGACCTCGACTCGCTCGTCCTCACGATCGACCCATCACAGCCGCCTGTCGATCCACCCGTCCAACTCTCCGACGCCAAACACCAGCGATCAGGGCGTATCCGGTGCATCCGAAGGGATCGTGTCAGAATGCACGCCAAACTCGCCATCCATGTCGTCCAACAATGACCCGTCGCAGGGCAGCAGCGAGCCGACGCAGTCGTCCCCTGAAGTCGCTCAGAGCTCTACGCCGCCATCGAACATGCCGCCAGCGTACCGCCCCGCATCTGTTCGCAGCGTGGAAGCTGGTCCCTCTCGCGGTGCCGGATCTTCGCGCGGTCTGCGTCCTCCGCAAGTGTATGGTCCGCTCGCACCGGAGAAGAGGTCAGCTGGCTTCTACCCCGCGCCGACGACGCCGGACGCCGAGGAGGCTCAAGCCGTTGCGCAACGCGCCGACGCCAAGGCTCCGATCATCCCGCCACCAGAGGACGACGACGAGACGCGGATGCACGTCGCGACCGACGACAAGGGTGCGCTGGAGCGGATGCGCCTTGGAGCGTCCGCGCCTCCAGTCATGCGCGTCGAGGATGCCGACGGTGCGGGTCCCTCTGCGCCAGTGTTCGAGGTAGACGAGGCGGGCTTCGAGCGGCTCGAGGGCATCGAGGAGGCGGCGGAGACGGCGACAGCACCGCAAACGCCAGCCGCCACGACCGACATGCCTGCGCCTCCTACGCGTGTTCTCCTCCGCTCGCTGCGAACGTTCAGCGACGCGCCGAGCCGCACCGAGTCGTCCGCCCTCTTAACGTTGCCATCAACGCCAGCCGTCGAGCACGACTACAGTCTCACGCCATCTGCGCCCCCGCTCGGCCTCGGGCTCGAGCCCGACTCGCCTGCGCCGAGTGCGCCGCCGCTGGCGAACGATGATGACGACGGCGACCTGTACGAGGCCACAGCCCCTCCGGCCTCGGACGACGGCAGCGATGCAGGCGACGGCGAGCCGCAGCGGGACCCGACTCAGGCCACACTGACAGTCAACGGCCACCGCTTCCTGCCCGTCTACGAGCCGTAGGCAACTCTTCTTTTTTGGTTAACTCTTGCACCCCCCTTGCCCCTTGTCCACTCCCATCCCTAGAGCGCGACCCCAGCGCGCACAGCAAAAAAGTTGTTATCGTGTTTTGATATTGCACTTTGTATTCAGTAGGTAACAGTATGATTGCATTTTGTCATATTACAGAACGACGTCAGCGCCGCTACGTGCTGATTGCTGCGTCCAGCTGCGCCGTCAGGCGCGGTAGTTGCTCTATTCGGCCAAAGAAGGACAGAGAGGGTGCAGTAGTGGGTAGAATGTGTAAGCGGCGTCGTGTGCCACCCCTTTACTTTCTGACGTTTACGAAAGGGTCAATCCATCCCTGGATCGACCTACCCCAGGGCGAGGAATGAACCTCTTGGCAGCCCAAATGGGGTCACTCCGGCCTCGTGCTTCGGGGTACGATTGGCCGAGCTTCTGCGCTTCCAGCGCATAGCGCATTCAGCGCAGTCCTCGGCGTGCCCGGCGCGGCGTGCAGGACGGAATTGAGTCCGAGCCCGAACGGGAAGTTCACAAGAGGGAACGGATGGAACGGAGGGACGGAGAAACAAGTGCTTATCAGATGTGTTTGGCCAGTCAGCATCCAGTTCTGCAGGGGGAGCAGGCGAGGGCTGGCGAGATAGACGAGTGTGCAAAGAGGGAGCGGAGACGAGGTCCGTCCTCGGACTATGTCCTACTCTGTGCTGCATCACTGGATACTATCCGAGAGCCACGCCGTTGCACAGGTATGATGAATGAGGGGGAAGGAGGGAGAGGATGAAGCACTATTCTGGAACCGGCACGACGGCACAGCGGCACGACGGCAAAAGACAGATCTGTGGAGCGAGTTAATTATGACCAGAACGCATATCGAACCAATATGGGTGACGCAACTAGCTCTGGCAAAGTCTATGCTTCTGCATCGTCACCGTCTACCGTTGGCTGAACCACTGTGTCAGAGTGCGGGCATGCGGGGACTCGTGGAGCTGTAACCTGCGTGTAGAAGCGAAGGGGAGAACGGCGCGCAAGTAGAAACGCACCAGGGCTCGTACTCGCCGGACTCACCGGACTCGCCGGCCCGGTAGAAGACCAGTCGGTAGATTCTCGGCGTGAACGGAGGGACGCCGCGGCGTCTCCGTTCCCTCCTCCCTCCTCCCTTTCCCTCTCCGCAGGCGGATCAACCTTTGCTTTCGACACAGGTAACCTCCTGCCCGCCGCGAGCCGCTCATTAGAACCCACCGTCCCCCCCTTCTAATAGCAAACACGTTTATGACACCGGACTCGGGCCTTGGACACAGAGAGATGATGACCGACGGGCGAGGATAATCCTCTGCTCTGCCGTGCTTACGTCCAACACTTTGTTGGAATGCCCGTGTCCCCCTTGCCCGCCGGTTAGAGTTCAATTGCTCGGACCTGACGGACCTGACTCCATTAGGGACGAATCTACCGCACGTGAGCGTGAGCATGAGCAACAATGGTCACCCGGTGCCTCCCCTCTCTTCCGCCTGTGAAGCAATGAGGGGCTGGGTAATGTCCGATTCCCGTGGTTGGCGGAGCCGAGTTAGTGCGGACTACCTTCACATGGAACATACTGACTCCGGACACTGCGATCTGGGACACTCCCCGGACACATCTGCCACAAGGTGCTCTACGAGTAATTGAAAGACGAGAGATACCGATTCAGAGTGAGGGACTGGAGCTGTAACAGCCAATCGCGGAAGGTCGGACTCGGTCTCCACAAGTAGAAACAATCGCGCCGAGGTACGCGCCGCGGCACCGACATACACCTGGGTACCAAATACCTGGGATGCACTCTCCGAGCCGGAGAGGCTGGACATAGCGACGGCGCCGAGATACCGGTCTCCTTATGGGACAAGCATGAATGGCCCGTGGTTCTAGGCATGAGTCGGTGGCGATCGGAGTCTTGCCCCGCGCCCAACAACCCAGGTGTGACTAACCACCGCCCAAGGCTGCACGTTAAGAGCCTTGGCCCCCCTCTCTCGGTGACAGTAGTTCCATACCGGGCCCACACACCCCAGATCGCCGCGAAGACAAGCCCATGTGATTCTTAGCATCTCGCAAAGAAGCATCACATGGCCGACCCAAGACCGGGTGCTTGGCGCTCGGCTTTGCGGCGTGAGACACCTCCGGCGTCGTAAGATGCCGCTTTCGAGTCACCAGTCACGACTGCCGATCGGCGCCACCATCGTTCGCAGCTAGTGGCCGCATTTGGCCGCACATGCTCTCTTGATAACGACAGAGTTAGGTTTCATGCGATGTGACGACTGACCGGACGGCACTGGAGAGGAGCATGAAACCATACACGAAATGCGGGGCCACTCCTGGCCACGGAGAGCTGGGACACTCCGCCTTATCTGATCCCCCGGCTTCCACCGGCCATCGCAATCGAGAATGCACCGCCTGGCCCGCGCTCAGCGGCACAAGCGCAGCAGCGCGGGGTAGACCGGCCAGCTACGTCAGTGCTCGACCTCGTCCGCAATCACGCACGCGTCTCCTTCCTTCCTCACATCCACCACCACCTCCGCCATGTCCGACGAGAAGCCCGACAAGCCGTGCACACTGACGCTCGCGGACGGGACGCACTTCGACCTGAACCCGCTCTCGTCCGCGAAGCAGGACTATGTCGCCAACTCGGGCAGCAACGACACCGTGTACAAGCTCAACGTGTGCCGCTCAGTCGTGTCCGAGCTGTGGAACGTTGATGACCCGGATAAGGTCGGCGGCGTCGTGAAGCGCGAGGGAGGAGAGCACCATGGTGACTTCAGTCTTGGGTATGCTTGGAATAGCGTGCGAAGCTGACATCACAGCCAGGTCAACACGAATCTGACTCTCGCACCCACGACTCAGCAGCCGATGATGTTCCTCGCGAACGGGTCCAAGTGCCCGCGGAACGAGAACGAGCTTGCCTCGACGGCCATCAAGGTGCGCATGGCATGGCAGCTGCATCTTACAGATCGGTGAGCTGACCCCAGTTCATCTGCGACCAGACTGAGTTCGGACCCGGGCAGCCGCGCCTGCTCGCCGCTCTGCCGCCAGGGAAGGACGCGTGCCACTTCTTCTTCGAGTGGCCGACGCACGTCGCCTGCCCGACGAACCGCAAGAACGAGCTGGAGAACCACCACGTGTGGGCGTTCGTCGGATTGTAAGTTGTGTGCAGCCCGATGGTAACTGACTCTCAGCCTCACAGTCGCTATCGTGTCGTGGTTCGCAGGACAGACGCTGTACAACCGCTTTAAGCTCGGGCGCCGGGGCATGGACCAGTTCCCGATCCCCCATTTCCACAAGCCGTCAGTGCAGCTGCCCTCGTTCCGCGGACACGGCGAGGAGGGCGGTGCGCCGCGGCCGCGCTGGGGCGTGTTCAAGCGCCGCTCCCAGCGGAACGGATACAACCACCTGCGCCAGGATCCTGACGAGGAGGACCGGCTGGCGGCGTCGCGCTTCTCGCTCGACGACGATGAGGAGGCTGACGTTGGGGCCGAGGTCAACGCGTGGCGTACGCCAGATGTGAGCGGGCGTGCGAGCGATGAGAACCAAAGGCCGTCGGGTAGCGTCGGCGTGCACCAGGGCCTTGTGGATCTCTAGACTGTTTCTCCTCCTACCTTTATGCATGTGTATTATAGCTGTGGACGCGGGCGCGGTATGCAATGCCAGCATGCATGCGATGCATTGCGGAACCGACGGGACGGAGACAGCATGCATGGTGACACACGGGGTGGTGCCACATGGACGGCGTTAGAATCGGCGGGGCCGTGGTTGGCTCAACGGCCCAGCGTCTCTCACTGCAGGCAGGCGGGCTGACCAGCGTAGCTCGTTGACATCGCGCTCGAGAGGTCCATACACACCACTCCCGCCGACTCCGCCATGCTCCGCAACCTGAGGCCCCTGCTCGCCAAGGCGCCCGTCGCCAGGCAGCGCGTGCCCCCCTTCGCCGTCCGCTCGTTCGCCTCCGAGGTCCAGCAGCCGCGAAAGTCCACCCCCGCGACGCACACTACTTCCGTCGAGGAGTGAGTTTCGGACATTTCGTCGCGGACGTACAGAGACACAACACCGGATCGACACCGACGGCCCCCCGGAGCTCTGTCCCGACGAAGATTGTTCCGAGACGTAATGCTGACCCACACAGCCTGCACAACCTCTCCCCCGAGGAGGTCCTCAAGGAGCATGAGGGCAAGGAGGGCAACATGCGTCACTTCACCGGTATGTTGGAAGTGGAACCGGCCGCGCTCGCCCGGCAGCCTAGCTGACATCAGTCAACTTCGGTCCCCAGCACCCCGCCGCGCACGGAGTGCTGCGTCTCATCCTCGAGCTGAACGGAGAGGAGATTCTCCGTGCCGACCCCCACGTCGGTCTGCTCCACCGTGGTACCGAGAAGCTCATCGAGTACAAGAACTACACCCAGGCTCTCCCCTACTTCGACCGTCTCGACTACGTTTCCATGATGACGAACGAGCTCTCGTACACCCTCGCCGTCGAGAAGCTGCTCAACATTGAGGTCCCCGAGCGTGCCAAGTGGATCCGTACCCTCATGGGAGAGATCACCCGTATCCTGAACCACCTCATGGCCGTCCTCACCCACGCCATGGACGTTGGTGCGCTTACCCCCTTCCTTTGGGGTTTCGAGGAGCGTGAGAAGCTCATGGAGTTCTACGAGCGTGTCTCGGGTGCCCGTATGCACGCCGCCTACGTTCGTCCCGGTGGTGTCGCGTTCGACCTCCCCCACGGCCTGCTCGACGACATCTTCAAGTGGTCGACTCAGTTCGGTTCGCGCGTTGACGAGATCGAGGAGGTCATCACCGGAAACCGTATCTGGAAGGAGCGTACCATTGGCATTGGAAAGGTGACTGCTCAGGAGGCGCTCGACTACTCGTTCACCGGTGTCATGCTCCGTGGATCCGGTATCCCGTGGGACATCCGTAAGGTTGCCCCCTACGACGCGTACGACAAGGTCGAGTTCAACGTCCCCGTCGGCAAGAACGGTGACTGCTACGACCGTTACCTCTGCCGTGTGCAGGAGTTCCGCGAGTCGCTCAACATCATCAACCAGTGTCTGAACAAGATGCCCGCCGGCGCGTACAAGACGGACGACAACAAGATTGTCCCCCCTCCCCGTGCCAGCATGAAGGAGTCGATGGAGGCCCTCATCCACCACTTCAAGCTCTTCTCCGAGGGCTACTCGGTTCCCCCTGGAGAGACGTACACGGCCATCGAGGCGCCCAAGGGTGAGATGGGTGTCTACCTCGTCTCTGACGGATCAAACCGCCCTTACAAGTGCAAGATCCGCGCCCCCGGATTCGCCCACCTTGCCGGCGCCGACTTTATGATGCGCCACGCCTACCTCCCCGACGCCGTCGCCATCATCGGAACCATGGACCTTGTGTTCGGTGAGGTCGACAGGTAAACATAATCAACAAAAAGTGTCAGGGGTCTCGTTAAACGTCGGGAGCTTGTAGGATAGATTACACAATGCATCAAAACAAATTAGCCAAATAGCCCGGGAGCGAGCAAGCGAAGCGAAGCGAGCCAGTGAGCATCTCCGTATGTGAGCCAAGCGGAGCGTAGCGAACAGTCTGGTAACTGGCTGGGAATGTGAGCGAGTGAGCGATCCTAATCAGTTGGCCTCCTTCTAGCCGTCCCGTTAGTTGTCGAGATGGGATCGACCAAAGCGTCAGTGCTCAGCGGTCAGTGACATCAGCCAGTTGCAGGACCACACGCACACAAGAGCTCGGACAGCAGAAAGAAAGCTCAGGCATCGGAGAACAAGGGCAAAACAGGCAGCACAGGCATAGAAGGGATTACGGAACGTTTGGGTACTTAAAAGAAATAGACAGCGGACAGGTAAGAAGGGAAAGAGTCCATGCGCTGCGTTTTAACATCGAGCCTCTCGTCAAGCTGGTGAGTTGAACGAGACTGCTCGTGGACAGGAAGCCACACGCTCCTCGCGCTCCCTTCTTCGGAGCGCTCGTCGCGCTCGTCGCGTAGGTGCCAAGCTTTAGTCCTTGCGCTGCTTCTTCTTCTTGGGCTCCTCCTCCTCCTCGAGGTCGATGCTTCCCTCCTCGTCATCCTCGTCGTCCTCGTCCTCGTCAAAGTCAAACTCGCCCATGTCGCCGCCCTCAAACGCCTCGAGCGGGTCCTGGAGGATGTCCTGGACGACGGTGCCGATCTGGTCCGCGTCGCCCTCGAGCGTGAAGTAGTGGAAGAAGGAGCCCGGGTCGCCCTCAAAGTCCTCGGCGTCCTCGGTCGGCTCGCCGCGCGGGTGCTTCGCGATCAGGTCGTGCTCGGGCTTCCAGTCGATGGTCGTCACGCCCGCGACCAGGTCGTCGTCGTCAAACTCGAGCTGCGCCTCGGAGATCGTGCCGTCCGTAGGACCCGACTCGACGCCGGAGGGAAGAGAGTACTTCTTCGACAGCGTCTTGTTGGTGAAGTACGGGTTCTCGTCGAAGTGCTGCGTGTCAGCTATTGTCCACGAGCTCACAACAGCTGTCAAGAAGACCAGAGGGTTGGGGGAGCCTAGGCTCGATTATTCCAGGGGGCCGCTGCCGCAACCCTCGACGTTACTCACGAAAACAAGCTCGTACTCGCGCGGGTCCTTCGGGTCCTGGACGAGCTCGATGTCGCGGAGATGCTGCAGCGCATCGCGGTCCGAGACGGCCGAGACGCGCGCATTCAGCAGCGGGTGGTTGAGCAGCGCAACGGTCCAGAAGCCCTTGACGTCCTTGAGCTTGGGGCGGATCTCGTCGAGGAGCTTCTTGTTCTGCTCCGCGACGAAGCGCTCGATGCGGACGGCCTTCTCGCGCGTGGCTGCGGGGTGTCAGCTGGGTTCTATACGGACAGCTGCCTTCTGCTTGTGCCGGATGGACACTGCACGGGTGTCAAGCCTCTAGGTTGCATTGCAGATAACTCTGGTGGGAAACGGCCTCTGCCTGTGACAGCAACTCACCCTTCTGGATAGCCTCGGCGACGTCCTGCTTCAGCTCGACCTGGAGTTCCTTAGCGTCCGACATTGGTTGTGGTTGTGGAGGATGTGGAGAATGTGTAGGGAAAGTCGTGGGATTGTGGACAGAAAATCTGGTCGCAAGTTGATCCCCGGCCGGCCCGGCCAGAACCACACTGGGCTAGGCTGGCGCCGCCGTACACAGCTGTGATTTTGTTGTGGCCGTCCGACAACCACATCGAAGTCACGCGTCATATTTTCCCCCGGTATCCTGCCCTGGCGCGCCTGCCCGCGCTGCCGCGCTGCCCGCCCTGTTAGTCAGTTCTCACTGTGCATGCAGACTGTGGGCAACGGTGGGCTGCTCGTAGGTTCCCTATACGGCCACCGCGTGCCGATACGTCATACTACACCCAAATTTCGAAGCGTGCTTGCAGGATGCAGAAGCGCAGGCTCCGGACCGCTACGATGCGTACAGGCGGTACAGGTGCAAACGTGCATGGCGGAGTCTGAGCCCCCCTTTGCAGACGAGAGCGAGGTCAGTCGGAGAAGGCGCTGCAACAAGGTGACACTCATTGGCTCGGCATTCTCGCCATGCATCGTCGTCTTCTCACCGCTGCATTTACTACGGATGCCAGACGGCACTTGGGGGTTCGCTGGTAAAGGGTGTGGGTAACAAATATGGAATTCTTGGATCTCTGTTGAAAGGGAGTCATGCTGCGCTTGGCTTTGGGCTATGTGCTCGCTTTGCTCTGGAACGCATGGATCACACGGTCCCCGCCAGCCTGAACCGCTGGAGAGACAGTGGGACGGGGTCACCAGTCGACGAGGAGTTCCGTGGCGACGAGCGGGGTAGTGAGCAGAGCCAACAGAGCCAACAGAGCCAGCGCGATTACAACTCTTCGTATCGCAGGCGGGGTCACGGTGTTGCCCAGGGGCATGGGGTCGTGGGTGGCCAGACTCGAAGAATGGTTTGCTCTCCGGAGCACAGAGCAGACGCAGTGCCGCTGCAGAAACAGCCGGCGAGGGGATTAGCGTATGGGTAGTTCAATGTCCATCAGCGGGGGCGTTGCAGGAGCACGACCTTGTTGCGTTGCGGCGGGGGCGGCTCGTCGTTGCTGGCATACGCGCGGCGCCAGCCAGCCGGTCCGGGTCCGGCACCAGCAGCTGCGTTACTGTTTTGGTTCGCGTTGCTGTCATTGTTGCCGCTGCCTCCGCCGAGCTGCCCGCCGCTGCGGTCAAACTCGCCACGGCCGACGTGGTGCACAAGCGTGTCGGGGCGCTGGAGGAGGACGAAGCCGCCGCCATAGTGTCCACGGCCACGACCACCCCGTCCCTTGCCACGACCACGGTTGCGGCCCGTGTCGGAGCGATCGTCGTTTGCCTTGTTCTTCTGCTTCGGCTGCTGCTGAGGCTGGGCCGGGTGGGCCTTGGTGGAAACAGCGGTGGGACGGGGGAGATGGGCCTGCGACTGCGGCGTGGGGCGAAGGCGGGTGAAGGGCGAGTCGCCGGTCGTGTCCCCAGACTCGTCTACAGCCACCTCGGGCGAGGGGGGAGAGGGCTCCTCGACCTTTTCCGGGCGGCGGAGGAGGATTTTGACTTCGCGTTCTGGCTCGGGCCCGGGCTCCTTCCTCCGGCGGCCGCCGCCGTTGCGCCCCGTGTTCCGGCCCCTGGTACCGGCGCCGCGGCCGCGTCCCCCGCCGCCGCGCCTGCCGACGTCTTCTGTTTCATCGTCGCGGAGCACCTCGAGCGCGAGCTCGAAGCGGCCCGCCTCCAGCGAGAGAGTGTACCCCTCTGCGCGCTCTGTGTGCTCCGTCTCGCTACCGCCGAGCTCGGCGCTCAAGGGCGGGTGCGCGATTAAAACCAGGGGGTTGCCGGCCTTCGGCGGCGTCGGCTGGCCATCGGGGCCGAGAGGGCGATCAGGCGAGCCAAAGCTACGGTTGTGAGGGGAGTGGGGAATCGGGTCGGCCGGCATCTCAGAGTTGGCAGCAGGCTGCTGGGGGGCACCAGATATGATGACCAGAGGAGGGGCAGGGGCGGTCTTGTCGGAAACGGGGGAACGGCGCGGGGTCAGAGGCGCGCCAGTAGTCGAGGAACCGGCAGATTCGCTGGCGTTCGGGGTGGCGGCGGCACTGTTAGCAGGTGCGGCAGGAGTAGCTGATGATCCGCTTGAAGACTTTGTCGGCTGCTTGGTCTTCCCATCCGAGCCGGCGCTCTTTGTCCTTAGCTGAGGTGGTGTTAGCGGGCTTATTGTCCACGTTCACGAGTGCAAGTTGGGTGTTGTTGTTGTTCAATCTCGTCCGCCGTCCTTGGTTTGATTGCAGAGCCAATCCACAGACGACATACCTGGGCCCTTAGCCTGGCTGCTGGCTGACCGCTGGCTGGTTAGTGAGTCCTACGCAGCGTGCTTGGTGGCGAAACGCAATGAGGTGTGAATATAGCCCCTCACGTGGTGATAGGCCCGACTTTCGAGGCATCGATCCTGACTTTCTCTCCCGAAGTTGCAGTCGAGCCCAGCCCGAAGCACGCTTGCTCGCCTTGCAAGCTACTCTGACACCACCACCCCGCTATCGCCATGCTTCGCCGCGCTGTCGACATGCTCCGCGCCCTTCCCGCGGGGCCGTCACGAGGATTCGCTTCGTCCGCCCGGGCATCTGAGGGATGTGAGTAGCCGAAAACACACTTTTCGAGGCGATCGAGCAAAAGTCCGGAAACTGGGCTTGCGAGGGGTGCCGAAGTTGGCTCGACGTCCGACGGAGACTGTCAACGGGCAAGCAACTCAGAGCAACTTTACAGGGAGCCTCTTGGAAGGCTGGTAGAGTACTGCGTGCGCTGCCGCAATGCTGGACAGCCTACATAGCTACTTCCGGATACACATTGTCTCCTTTCTCAGCTTTATACTCTTCGGACGCTTCAGCTGACATGCAGACCCCTTCAACGCTGGTGTCGTTGTCAAGCCGCCGACGCCGATCCCGACACCGTCTCTGCTCAAGCCGAAGAACGGCTGGAGTGTCGTGGAGCACGTGAACAAGACGCTTCGGGAGCAGTACGACCAGCGCGGCCTGCTGGACCTGTTTGCGCGCCGGGGTCCGCAGCGGCTCAAGACCGGTTCCGTTTTGAGTGTCACGACCTGGACGGGGCCGGAGAAGAAGAACTCGACGCTCTTCTCGGGCGTGCTGATGGCTGTGCGCCGGCGCGGCGTCGACACGAGCTTCACGCTCCGCAACGTCGTGCAGCAGACTGGCGCCGAGATGAGCTTCAAGGTCTGCTCGCCTTTGCTCAAGGAGATCAAGATCATCCGCCGTGCCGAGGGCAGGAAGAAGGACACGATCCGCGACCTCCGTCGCGCACGCGTCAACTACCTCCGCGACAGGCCTGATATCATGCACCAGATCGCGGCTGCCCTCAAGTCCCATGCCGCCCAGGAGGGCGGCGGTAAGGCCGCTAAGGGCAAGGGCAAGGGAAGGAAGTAAGACGTCTCTCTCTCTCTCGTGTGTAGATCTTTATCACCGGACACGCGGCATGCATAGTGTACAATCCAGCGTGGTCTAACTAAGTCTTGTCCAATCAATGCTCAGCTGCAGAAGGCAGACTGTTTGATAATAGAAATAAGGGGGTGGGAAGGGTATCTATATGGTGGGCGGTCCGCAAACAAGGAATGAGAGGAGGGTCGCTATGAAGGAATCTTTGTGCACCAGCAAGTGGTGCTGGAGCCCGACCGGGGGCGATAAGGTACATTGAAAGGTTGAGATGCTGAGAGGAAATGGGGAAAAGGAGGTTTAAAGAGGAGAGGAAGAGCCGATGCTCTTGTCTATTCTAACGCTATGCCTGTCTGTTTAGCTGGAAGCCTGAGCTGCCGCCGCCTGTGCTGCTTCGAGGCTACGGTGGGCCTCCAGATCCCGCATGACAGAGGGATCAATGGGCAGGACCGACTTTCGTCGCATCGGCCCAGAAGAAGTAGGCTCGAAGGCAGCATCAGACGCCACGTCCACAGCAGCATTCACACTCCCAGGTACACCCGTCGCAGACACGGTGGGACTGCTGGGCTAGACAGGTTAGCTGAGTAGCTCAGAGGTACTCACGCTGCGCTCGATGCCCGGATCAGCGACCGGAACGACATCCTCGGCGATTGACCTGTCCAGCGTGAAGCTCTCGCTGGGGTCAAAGCCGTTGGCTGTCAGGTCCACTGATCCATCCCCGTCATCCTCAAACGGCTCAGGCCGAGGAGGAGGCGGTTCGCGGAGCATAGCGGGCATGGGTTGCGTGGAACCGCTGGCCTTGTAGTTGGCGATCGCCTGGTCGCGCAGCGTGAGCCACTCCTCGTACCGCTGGCATGACCTCTCATAGTCCTCCTTGCGCTGCTGCTTGTAGTTGTGCTGAACCTCGTCAAACAGCGTCGGGTTGATCTCCATGAACAGCTTGAGCGCGTTGAAGACCATTCCGTGAATCGTCCGGTTCCAGTGCTGCTTCGAGTTGTGGTACAGCGCGGGGAAAACAATCGGGAGAATGACGTTGATGTGTTCGCCCATGAGATTCACAATGTACTCGTTGTTCCAGTAGTAGAGGGCACGCTCAGCAACCTGGAAGTGTTGGCTGTTGATGCACCTCGCCAACTGCGAGAACAGCGGGTGCATGATCTTGGCGAATTCGCTGCCCTCGATGACATCGAGAATCTCCTCGACCTCGTTAAGGTACATGACTTCCTTGGGCGAGTTGACCTTGGGCCAGTAGCGCAGCAGTCCGAGGATGACCTCCTCGGTGAGGGTCGGGTCCTTTTCGAGGAACTGGACAACACAGTACGCGAGCTGAGGGTGGTAAAGCGCAAGGGACTTGGCCTTGTGGAGGGGAATGAGTACCCTGGTGAGGAAGATCTTGTGCTCCTCCTTGAGCGGCAGGGCGAAGCCATTGATGATCGATCCGAGAATCTCGAGCAGTTCCGCGATGCCGTTATGCCTCTCCGTCTCATAGACGAACTGGAAGAACACATGGTTGATAGACCGACGGATGAACGCACGGAGGTTCAGGAACTTTCCGTAGATGCGATGGAGGGTGGTCTTGAGGAAATCGCGCTCGCGCGGGTCCTCCGAGTCGAAGAGCTCGAGGAGCGACAGGACAAACTGCTGGTCGATGTAACGCTTGCCAATGTTCGTGTTGAAGTCGGGGCTCTCAACGAAACGGAGGAAGAACTCGTAAACAATCTGAAGATGGGGCCAAGCGAGCTCGAGCACGGGCTCATCCTCCTCCGGGTCGAACGCATCGCCGGTGGGATTCACCTGTGGTGGGATCGAGCGGAAAAGGTTGGCGGCGAACTAAGATGGTGAGCAATGCTGCGCAGATGTTGACCAAGATGACGACTCACCATGCCCACGACTTCCGGGTAGATAGATTCTGTGATGACACCACGCTGCTGAGTAATGTACTCGAGCATCTCGTGCAGCGTCTGCGCCTTGACCTGCTTGCCCCTCAGCTCCAGCGAAGCATCGTTAAAGTCGAAGACGACGCGGCACTGCTGTAACTTCTGGATGAACAGGTCGTTACGGTCCTCTGGTCTGACCTCGTTGAATCCGGCAAGCTTCTCAATGTCGACACGCTCCGTGACGTGGAAACGCGAGCTGCGCTGCTTGCGCGGGGTCTTGCCAACGATAGGGATTGTGTCCTTGGGTCCTCGCAGACGGTTCAGGGGGTTGCCGGCCTTCGGCGGCGTCGGCTGGCCATCGGGGCCGAGAGGGCGATCAGGCGAGCCAAAGCTACGGTTGTGAGGGGAGTGGGGAATCGGGTCGGCCGGCATCTCAGAGTTGGCAGCAGGCTGCTGGGGGGCACCAGATATGATGACCAGAGGAGGGGCAGGGGCGGTCTTGTCGGAAACGGGGGAACGGCGCGGGGTCAGAGGCGCGCCAGTAGTCGAGGAACCGGCAGATTCGCTGGCGTTCGGGGTGGCGGCGGCACTGTTAGCAGGTGCGGCAGGAGTAGCTGATGATCCGCTTGAAGACTTTGTCGGCTGCTTGGTCTTCCCATCCGAGCCGGCGCTCTTTGTCCTTAGCTGAGGTGGTGTTAGCGGGCTTATTGTCCACGTTCACGAGCTCGGGCGCCTATAGCACATGGGCGAGAGGACGCGAGGATATCCATGGTGGTCGATACCGTGGCGTTCGCCCCCATCCAATATTACCTTGTCGTCTTCGTTGGACGCGCAGACACTGGGAGCACATCCCATTACGAGCTCGAACAAGAGAGTAAACTTACCATAGCCTTCTTCAAGTTTTTCATCGTGCTGATGTGTGACTAGCGCTGTGCGTAGCAGAAACGGTAGAGATTCCAGTTGAGGCGCGGGAGCTGGGTTACTTGGGCTTGTTCGAGGAAGCCTAGGAACAGCGCTCAAAGGTGTGTGCGTGCGCTGGCACTGACTCTCAAACGGAATGGTCCGATGTGGAATTCGTGTTTATCGCTTTCCGATGCGGTTGCCGGATGCGACGAGTGATGCGAGGGGCGATCTATGCGGATGGGAAGGTTGGAGTGATGGTCTGGACGAGGATGGAAAGTGGTGTTGATGGTCAAAGTCGGACGTGAGGATAGAGTCGAGAGGGGGGGAGGCCGGTCGAGGGTGTGTGTTGGGTTGTGTCGCGCGCGGGCCCTTTAAGGTGTTTGGGTGGTTGATGCGGGGTTCCCTGTGGGAATGGAACTGACGGGGGGGCGAAAGGCTGGTGAAGCGGCGGACGCGGGGGTCGGGGCGGGGGAGAGGAGGAAGGCGAGGATGGAGAGGGGGGTTTGAAGGATGGAGCAAGTCGATGGTTGTTACGATGTAAAGGAGATGGATGGAGGGCCGTTTTAATGATACGGCGACCACCGAGATCTACACTCTTTCCCTACACGACGCTCTTCCGATCTGTGGATGGGGTTGGTTGGATGGCGAGGGAGGGAGGGGCCTGACGCCTGTATCGCCTGGCGCCATACGTGTCGGGGGTGTGGTGGATGGTGTGTGTTGGGTGGCTCAGGCTCAGGCTCACGCGCTGGGACTGCATGCACACGCTCAGCGCTCAGCGCTCAGGTTCGAGGCGCGCGCGGATAGTGAGGGTCGTTGGGCCAGGGCACGTCTCTTGATTACCCCTGGCTGCCTGGCCTGCCTGGGCTTGTCCGTTGGCCGCAGCCACCACCACTATACACACTGCTTTTACCCGCGTACCGTCACCCATCACCCCCTTTCTATTTAGTGACCTCCTCATTAGCCCCGGCTTCCTAATCCCGTCCACCACTCAATTACCTCTCTCCATTACATTCCCAGTCTCCCATTCCCGTGCCTCGCTTCGCCTGCCCAGCCGGCATCTCGTCTGTTTTCGGTCTTTCGGCGGAATACCGTGTGGCATCATCCATCTCAGCTGAGCTTTCCGTGCGCTGCGACTCGCTACCGCTAGGCCATCCATCGACGGCTCTGCTTCAGCAACCCCCCCCCTCCAACCTCACCTCTCCGTCTCCGACCTTCCTCCCCACCCACCTCCGCCATGTCCGCCGTGAGTCGCCCTCAACAACCTCCCCGACGACGTGCATGTATGCTGACGCTGCTCTCTTGTTTAAACCGCTTCGAATGCTTCCCACCGCTCCGATAACTTCCGATTGCTCCGCTTTTTGCTGTTCCCGAATGTCGAACGTCAACTCGGCTACTACTTGTGCCCTCGCTACGATGTGCAACGATGCTCTTGGAACAATCGTGATGACTGCTGGATCTGGGACGTGATGGACTGCTGGATACGTGTGGAATGCTTGCTTGGGAATTGCGATTGCTACCTGTGAATGGACCTTCGATTGCAACAACAGATCTACAACCTCCTCTTCAGGCGCAACTCGGTGTTCGTCCCCACCATCTTCATTGGTGCCTTCGCCTTCTCCATCGGCTTCGACCAGATCACCTCCGAGTTCTGGGACAGGCACAACAAGGGCGTGAGTAGGACGGCGACGGTCGATCGCAAGGAGATGCGGGCCGAAGACGTCACAGGCTCGGAGCGTCTGGTGACCGCCTGGGCGCACCTATCTCAGCTTCGAGCCATGCAGAGCTAAGCTAACTATTCACAGAAGCAGTGGAAGGACATCCGCGGCAAGTACGTCCAGGCCGACGAGGACGAGGAGTAAATGATAGCATAAAAGGAAGGCGACGTCGGGCGGCCGCGTCGTCGGTGGGATCCCGGTCCCACCAACAGGCCGCAGTAGAATGCATTCCTCAAACGCATAGGAGCTAAGAGATCACCGGCTGGAGCAGCGCATGCGCGCAATGTGGAGAGCGGAGCGGAGCGTCAGTGTCGTCAAATTAAGGCTACTTAGGACCCGGAGGTCGCCGGAGCGAAGTTGGTGCGCTCGCCGGGGCTGATTTACCTCCGTTGGCCGGTCGCCGTCATGGGCGCTACCTCAGACACATGGACCTGACGCGTCGACCTGAGCCAAAGTTGAAGTTGCAACGTTGCAACACCTTTACCCACCTTTGTCAAAATGCGACGGCCACTGCAACTGTGGAGCATGCTGGCCGGCCTCCTGCTGCTGCTCAGCGTCGCGCTCGCTGAGAGGCGGGACTTCCGGCTGCTGACGGACGTGGAGGTCGAGGCGATCGTGAAGCTCGACCCGCCAGAATGGCCAGCGGTAGATGCGGGACACATGGAACACCTGCTCGTCCCAAGAGTATGTGAGTGACCCCGTCCGCAGCTTTCATTCGCTCTGCCATAGCTGACATGCAGCCGGTACAGAGAACAAGTGCGTCATCAGCTGATATTGTCTGCGTGAAAGCTAACGAGCAGCACCAAAGTCCAGGAATACCTGTCCTCTGTCATGACGGGGTTGGGCTGGGCAGAGGAGAAAGTCGCGCACAAGGAGAACACGCCGCTGGGCGAGCGCGAGTTCACAAACCTCGTCTACACCTTTGATCCGGACGCTCCGCGGCGTCTAGTGCTGTCGGCGCACTTTGACTCGAAGTGGTTTGACGGCCAGGACGTGAGTCCACCTCTTTCCCTCCCCCAGCTGTTTTCGCATTTGGGCCCAAGCTGACATCAGTTTATCGGTGCGACCGACTCGGCCGCGCCATGCGCCTACCTCCTCGACATTGCCGAGGCGCTGACGCCGCTGATGAAGGCGCGCGCGGAGCGCATCAAGGCGGGCAACCCCCGCTTGAGTGCGACAGTCGACGAGCTCGAGGACAGCGAGGTGTCGCTGCAGCTCGTCTTCTTCGATGGCGAAGAGGCCTTCCACCAGTGGACGTCCACGGACTCGGTGTACGGCTCGCGCAACCTCGCTGAGGTATGGGAGGTGACGCCGCTGGCCGACACGCATCCCCTGAGCCGGCGGAGGGGCAGCCCCAGCGTGCTGGACACGATCGACGTGTTAGTGCTCCTGGACCTGCTGGGCGCCAAATCACCCCAGATCACGAGCCACTACAAGAACACAGAGTGGATGTTCCGCGAGCTCGAGGACATCGATGCGTACCTGAGGAAGAACAAGCTGGTCGAGGGGGATGACAGCTGGTTCAACGCCCTCGGCCGCGGGGGACATATTGACGACGACCACCGGCCCTTCCTCCAGCGCGGGGTTCCTATTCTGCACCTCATTCCCGTGCCCTTTCCCGACGTATGGCACAAGATGGCAGACAACAAGGACGCGCTCGATCTCGCCACGTGCAGGCGGTGGATCAGCATCATGCGCGTCTTCACGGCACGATACCTCGGCCTCGCGCCTGATGTTGCGCTCGAGGAGAAACCGAATGGGAAAGTCGTCACGACTGCCGTCGGTGCGGATCTCGCCAAGCAGACTCCGAAAGAGGTCAAGACGCAAGAGAGGGAGAGGGACGAGCTGGTAAGGACCTCCAGCACGTGAGCTGCTAGACCGCGCTCGAAAGCTGACGAGAGAACAGTGAATTTTAAAACTAGAGCACTAGATTTTTTGGACTCGCCTTTTGTGTGCCCCTTGATGTATCGTAGCGATTTCTGTGTACCTCGGTGCAGCGACAATTTTTGGCTCTAATGACTGCCCGGAATCCATATTAACTGTGTCTACTACAAGATCGGCTGGTATGCCAACTATCTAATGCTAACTGTTTAGGCTCTAATTAACACGAGATGGTCTTGAACACGTTGAATCCGTCCGCGGCGGTGGTGAGGACCATGCCGGGGATCTGGGGGTGCCAGTGGAGCTCCTTGACGTCCTTCTGGCCCTGGTGGACGAAGAGGAGCTGGGGCGGGACGTCGAGCGGCTTGCCGTCGGGGCCCTGGGCCTCGGCGTTGCGCTCCTCCTCGTCGGGCTCGACCGAGAGGTCCCAGAGCGTGACCTGGTCGTCGGACCCGGACGCCGCAAAGACGGACGGGTCGGTCGGGTGCCACTCGACCGATGTGATCGGGGCAGTGTGCCAGGTGAAGTGGGCGACGGGGCTGGGCGTTCTGTCTTGTCAGCTTGCGAGTCCGGAGGAGAACGTAGCTGGAAAGAAAAAGTCACTTACCCCTTGAACATGCGCAGGTCCCAGACCTTGAGGCCGCCCTCGTCACCACCCGAGACGAGGAGGTAGTCGACGTTCTTGTTCCAGGAGATGACGTTGACGTCGTCGTCGTGCGCCTTGACGGATACGGCGGCCTTGCGGCCCTTGGTCCTAATGTCCCAGATACGGACGGTCTGGTCCGCGCTCGCCGAGGCGAACACGGTGCTCTCGGAGGGGGACCACTGGAGGTCCTCGACGCTCGAGGTGTGCGACGTGAAGGCGCCCGAGGTATTGAATCCGGTCGGGGTGAGGGTGGTGTGGAAGATCTTGCCGTCAATGTCGCCCGAGAGCAGGCCCGAGTTTCCCCACTCGAGGGCGAAACCCTCCGCCCTGCCGTGCGCCGTGATGGTGTGGATGGGCGTCTTCTGGCGCGGCTTGCTGGGCCCGCTCAGCGTGTCGATCAGCGGCCGCACGTCCCAGATGTGCACCTTGCCCGTCTCGCTCCACGACGCAACGTGGTAGGGGTCCGGCACGGCTCCGCCTGCAAGCGCCGGCGCGGCGCGCACGCGGTTCACACTGCCCACATGCGGGAACGTGAGGAAGTCGAGCCGCGCGTCCTCGTCCACCTCGTCGTTGTCCTCCTCGCCCTCAGAGTCGTCGTCGTACTGCGTCCGGCTCAGCCCAGACAGGCGCATGACGACCAGCTCGTCCTTCGCCCGTCCCTGTCCCGGCACCTCGCCCGCCTGCGTGCCCGTCACGATCCACGCCGTCTGCGGGAACGTCGTCCGGTCCTCGCCCAGGTTGTCCCGCAGCACGTCGAACGAGAGACACGGCCACGCATACGACAGAGAGTGCAGGCACGGGTACACCGAGTTGTCCGCAATCAGCTGCTCGTCCTCTCCCATCGTCACGCCAGGCAGGTACGTCTGGCGCTTCGGCTCGGGCGGGTCCTCGTCCTCCTGGGCCGGCGTAAAGTCTGCGTTTTGTCAGCTAACGGCCAGAGTATTTGCAAGCTCACCATCTCCGTCCTCGTCCTCCTCCATGACATCCTTGTCCACAACCTCCTCCTCAATCTCGTCCTCCCACCGGTCCTCGAACTCTCCCATCTCGTCGTCCTCCTGGATCGGTCGGGCGGTGTCTTGTCCGCGGTCGGCGGCCTTGTTCGGCAGCTCCGCCGCGTCTGAAGTGCGTTTCTTGGTAACCATCGTGGTGTATGCTTGTGTTGTGTGTAGTGTGAAGATCGTGTTGCCGCTCTCCGCTGCTCAAATCTTACACTTGGCCCTTCACGGCGGCGGCCAGGTACCAATGCTCAACTTTTGACGGGTGACCGTGGGAGACTTTTGACTTTTCCACCGCTAGCCCGCCGCCGCCGTCTCTTCTCTCTCTGCTTGCTGCTCTCTGCTCCGGGTTGGACTTTTCGCCGAGCAAGCGTTCGACACACTCTTTCTACCACAGTCGATCCCAATCGCCATGTTCCGACCCCGCGCTTCGGCTCTCGCGGCTGCCGCCGCCGCGCCCCGGCGACTCTTCTCCTCTGCCCCCGTCCGCATGAACGGTTTCGCCGACCTCGCCAAGATCACGGGCACGCAAACGGCCGCCGCCTCTCCGTTCGGACAGACCGAGACGGCGACGCAGGACAACATTCGCGGCTACCGCCCGCGTATCCTCCCCGCCGAGGTCGACCCGACGCTCGAGCTCTTCACGAACCTGCTCATGCACAGCGGCAAGAAGACGGCGGCCCAGAAGCAGATGGCCGCCATCCTCGCCTCGGTCCAGGCCGCGACGAACGCGCCCCCCGTGCCGCAGGTCAAGAAGGCCATTGAGCTCGCTGCCCCCTCTCTCCGCGTCCTCACCATGAAGAAGGGTCCCAAGAACGTCTACACCCCCCGTGCCCTCAACACGCGCCAGAGGACACGGATCGGTATCCAGAACCTCATCGCGACTGCTGAGAGGAGCCGTGGGTCCCAGGCCAAGTTCTCCGACCGCATTGCTCGCGAGATCCTCCTCACCCTCGAGGGAAAGAGCGAGGTCTTCAAGCGCGTAGAGGAGGTGCACAAGCTTGCCACCCTCCACCGGTATGTCCTTGCCGTTTGTTTGAGTGTCGGAGCTGACCCCGTCCAGATCCAACCTCCTCGTCAACTAAGTCATCCATATCACCATTATGCATCGATACCATTCCGAAAAAGCCGTCTCTGGTTGTGCATGGGAGTGATACGCAGGCAGGGAGTCCTCCTCGTGTGCTCAATGAGCCAGAACGTCGGACACTGACCAACTAAATCACCTCGAGTGGCAGGATAGAAGGCGCCCGGTGTTGCCCTCGATCGACCGGACAGCTTTTCGTCTGGCTTACGAAACACAGTCACTCAGAGCAGGCATTGACGGGTCATTACGTGCATACACTTCTTTCATTCACTACAACAATAAACAACAATGCAATCGCTCGCGCATAGGCGCCCTTCTAGATGTGCGCCTCACTTCTACTTGTCATCCCAATGATCGCCAAACTCCCTGTTTTCGTCAGCTCAGCAATTCATCCGCCTAGCTCACCATTTGTAACAGTCAACACAGTCTTCCTCTGGCTTGGCCTTGGGCACACCGCCGTGCGGGTTCCACTTGGGCTTCTTGGTGCGGGGCTTGTTGCCCCACCCCCACCAGTTGCTCCACGGCCAGCCGGGAATGTCATCGTCGTCGTCATCGTCGTCGTCGTCACCGTCGCCCGGACCAGGCTTGGGCGGCTCCTTCGGCTTCTTGTCGCCGTCTCCGTCATCGTCGCCGACCGGCCAGGGGTCGGCGAGCACGCGGTTGATGACCTCGCTGATGCGATGCGTGCGCACATCGACGCTCCATCCCTTCACCGTCACGGTGTCGTACAGGATGGTCTCGCCCGTATGGCACTTGGACTCGAGCGCGAAGCCCGCAGCATAGCAGCCCGAATACGCACCGGTGCAGGCGCCCATCGGGATCGGGTCCGCGGTGTGGTACACGTGCGTAATCCCCGAGAGCTCTGGCGGGATAGCGGGCGGGCCGGGGAGGTGCAAGCGCCGAGCCGGGAGTCGGTCGCCGGGGGCCTCGAACCCTACGGCCGGAGCGCCAAACGCCGAGCCGATCAGCGCGGACAGAGAGCCGCCGAGCGAGTGCCCCGTCAGCCAGATGTTGGCGTCCGGGTACATGTAGGTCACGTTGTTGTACAGGTTGGTTCCGACCGAGGCGTAGACGGACTCTTCGACGAGGGCGTTTTCGACGCACTGCTGCTCGCACTTGTACGAGCCCGCGTAGCAGTCACACACGGTCGACCATGAGAAGTCTACTCGCGCACAGCAGCACGAGAACATGAGGTTGTCATTGAACTTGTCGTTCTTCGCTGTCGGACCGCCAGAGCCGAGAACGCCGGCTGACGTGCCCTTGATGGCGATGACAACAGTAGTGTTGTCGGCGTTAGCAAACTGGAGAGTCAGCTAGCATCGGCATGTCAGCTTACGATGTGCCCTCTCAGGCCGTCAGCATCGGGCTCCCAGCCGTAACCGGTCCCGTTGTTCCACTTGCTGAGTGGCCACCAGTTACTCTCGTCCGGGGTCGTGTACGCATTGCTGCTCATCTTTGCAAGAGTAAGGAGCGTTTGACGGTCGGTGACGTCTGGCGCGTCCACCTCGACGTCGTCCCAGTCACCGTCGCCACCGTCGCCGTCCGCCGCGTAAGCTCCGAATGGCAGCGCAGCGGTGTTGATATTTGGCGCGATCCAGCCGCTTGCGTTGACGCGGCCCTCGCGCGCGTCTTTGACAGACCGCGCCCATGAGAGCATGTGCGGCGGCCTGCTCCGCGCGCGCCGGATCTTGACCTTGCGCGTCTTCAGAACGAGCGGGTCGGAGTTGATCGAGAACGTGTTCGGGTTCGAGTGGAAGAGCAGAGGCTGGCTCTGGTTGTAGCTGGCGACGTGCGCGTGCCGCGGCGCGAGTGAGACGCTCCCAGAGCTCTCATCGTTGGGGGCGCTGTCGAGCACACGCTGCGACACCAGTAGTGATAGCTGCGCGGCGAACGGGATCCACATAGTGTGGTGGGGTGTTGGGTGGCAAGAGCGCGCTCCTACGGCTCCCCACTGATAGGGGTCGCAGATAACCGGGACCTATTTGACCTCGTGACGTAACTCTAGCACGAGATGTTGTGACATCCAAATGTGCCACCGCTATGCATGTAACCCTTGTGTGTGCTGATGGCGAAGGGTCGGAGCGCTGAGAAGGCGTTAGTTCGTTGGTGGGGATGTGTGAAGCGTGGGGCACGAAGAACACACAATAGGACGGGGAGTGGCGAGAGCAGATCCAAAAAGGATTGCTAGATGCTGCCTTCTACCCGAATCGAACGGGTGACCGTTCCATAGCAAGACTCGAAGAGACACTACTAGTGGAAAATTCTAGCCACTGAACTAAGAAGGCAAGGCGATGTTCAGCCGAGGCTGTTTGGCACACTAGCGGCCAGGAGCCACGTGGCGTTGTGTGGCACTCCGTTCTTCGTAGCTGTCCCGGCGGAGGCTTGGCCGTCGGGTGGTACCACTGGCTGTCATTAGAAACTGTGGTAACCGGGCGTACCACCCCTGCCGTCATTGGAATCAGACCGGCACCTGGTGCAGTTGCATTTGTTGCTGGGTCGTCACTGTGTTCCCATGTAGGGAGGAGCTGCTTGCTGCGTGAAACGGGGAATCACATGTGTCCAGTTCCAGGGAGCGAGGGCGCCGCTACAAGTCAGCCTTGGGCTTACTGATTAAATCGCGTTGTTCCCAGAGCGTGTGCTGGCGTCTGCGCCTGGAGCATTCGTGAGGGCTGAGTGAGGTTGAACTCACCGTACATATACCCTGATGACACTGCCGTGCTGTCAGCCGCTCAGGGGGACGACTCGCTTGAGCTCCACCGCGGAAAAGAGTGAGTGGTATCGCTCGACCGACGGCCTGCTCAGCCCTCACTTCGGGGGTGCACTGAGCCAGCTCGTTTGCCACTTTCGTCGATCGCTTACGGTCAACTCCCCCCTCGATGATGAATCGCGGTGTTGCCCGACCACCGGCGTGACTGACCTCCTCAGAAGAACTACGCTTTGCCCCTCTGCACGTCAAGAAAGCTCGTCCGCTTGCGTAGCTCTTGCCCTGTGAGCAGCGCATCTACTGCCGGCTTTGTGGGCTCTCGCAGGCCCCACGAGTAAACTTCAGTCAGCTATCGCAGGACTGGGGTCCACTCCACAATTCCATGGCGCGGGGCAGAAGCTGGATTCCGCCGATGCAATCGCGTTTTCCCCGACTGGAAACGTGGGGGCCGCAGACGACTGAGTGAGTGTTGAACTCGCCTGTATCTGCCGGGACTCAGCTACTCGGAGATTTCATCGCTTGGTCGTATCAGATACCATCAGGTGGATACAATCGCCTGGCTCCTTCAGGTCAAAGACGGCCGGTCCACGCCGAATGGGCAGCTTTCCGCTGGTACATTCGCCGTGTCTCGTCTGGCGTTCCTGAGGAAGTTATGGGGCTGAGTGAGTCGGAGACTCACCGATGTTCCAGGTCGAGCGGCCTGCTATGATGAGTGGTGCGTTCAGCTTCTTCAGAGGGTATCAGCTTATAACCTCTCAGCTCACGGACTTGCATCAGCCGCGACAGGTAAGCGCTCAGTGTTTCCTACAGATGACAATGCAGGCACTCTCCGAACTACAGATGCCTCCAGCAATAGAAGGTGTCGCAGCATCACCAAGACTCCTGGTCCGGCTGGTCGTCCCAAATGAAACGTCTCTATCAAGCTTGTTACAGATAGGCACTCCTCTGGCCCCGGTCGCGAGCTGCAAAGACTGGACGCGGCTCACTCTATGCAGCATCCTTTGTTGATGCGATCCCCATCAGCTAACAAAGGCTTCGATGCCGCGCAAGTGTCGGCAACAAAGTGGACATGTGTCGGCGGTACCGTGTCAGAGTGAGTCGGGTGGAGGAACAAGGACAACGCAAGAGACCACACGATGCCTCACCCGTCGCACCTCTAGCATTCTTATGTCCCACATGCCGCCAAACCGTTGTGACCAGGTCTGCCCATGTGCCCACAAGCTCTTGTTCTACGGCGATTGACCCATCTCTCGAGCGGGGACAAGGCGATCGACCTGCCGCGCGATCGACGAAGGATTGCCACTCCCTGCATTTCATGTTCTGCATCTCACTCCAATTGTCCCTTGCTCCGACCCCCGAGGAACTTCTGCGGCTTCTGGCGCATCGAGGAGCCCTATCGCACCTCGTGCTCGCGATCTGACTGGCCTGTGCGCCCGCCAGGACGTAGATGCCAGCCAAAGGATGAAGCGAAGGCACGAAGCGTTCGATTCCACCTGATTCCCGTTGTGGGAGTGCGTATACCTCTCCCCCTGCGTCCCCCGCCAGGCGACATCGTGCCATTGCTGTCCCATCGCCGCTGAGGCTACGCGACCTTGTCACTTTCGGGGCGATCTCGCAACCGCCAGTCTGCCCCTGACTTAGCATGGGGCACTCCCCCTTGGCCACCACCTGTCATGCGCCGCGCAACTGGGCCACGAAACACGAAGGAGTCCAAACGGCATACGAAGGAACGTGAAGAGAGTAAAGGAGTACGACCAGTCAAGCCCTGGGAGTGCGACATGGTATTGCGGACCCTTTGGCCTTCGCGTCGGGGGATTCGCTTGCAGAAGCACGGTGTCAAACTTTCCTCTACCTTTGCTTCGTGATCGCCACACAGGACAAAAAGGTCAGATAAGCCTGTCCAGTCTAGTATAGCCCACAGTTGGTACTGCCGGACAGCCTAAGCTCCTATCCGGCTGGCCCGCGGCCCGTCCTCTCCTCGATCTCCAATGAAGCCAGAGCAAGCCAGAGCAAGCCAGCACCAGTAGCCCAACTAGTGCGCGCAAGAGCCTCAGAGTCCGGTTCCAGCACCGTCCCTAGCCACCAAAGACGCGGTCCGAAGTGTGGGCCCAATGGGCGGGCGCGTGATCGAATTCGCCTTCCGTCGCGTTCAATTCGCGACATTAGCGGACACTCATATGGAGTGGCTGACCTGCATCACTACTGGGAAATGAGGCATGTGTCGCCGCTCACGCCGCTCACGCCGCTCGGCCAGTCTCGGACTCGGTCCGCGATCACCTGTGTCGGCCGTACGCGCCGTACGTGCGTGAATGGCAGAGCAGACGCCGCGACACTCCGTCCTTTTGTCCATCCGACTGTCCATCTGTCCGACTGTTCAACAAGGGCCGCAGTGGGCTCATGTACCAGCGCGGCCCAGGACACCGGGCCACATTGGGCTACAGTGGGTCGGCGCGCCTCATAGCAGGGGGTGGATTACATCATCTTCTTGCCTTGTCCTTGTTCGAGACACGGTGGCTCGTCAGTTGGACACTGTGCTCGATCCGGGCCGCTGTCCTTGAGCCCGTGTCCCAGCTTTCCAGGCCCGCCAGGCCCGCCAGAGCGCCAGAGCGCCAAAGCGCCAAAGGTTGGACACAATTTTGAAGAACATTTGCGTCCGTAGAAGTGAGTACGGGTCTCGGGTGGTATTTCAGGCGTGCGTACGCCTCTTTTCCATTCAGAGTCTGACACCGACGACCCTCTAGTGGGTCGTCCTGCGTACCTGCGTGCGTCCTGCGTACCTGCGTGCGTCCTCCGGGCGTGCTCCGGGATCGAGGCAATGTCGTATCGAGACATTCGAGTGTGGCCCAGACAGCGGCCTGCAACGCAGCCTCAGTACCGATCGCGATCGAGCCGAAGAATAGCGGTTACTAACACCTTGGCTCAGCTTGGCTCAGCTTGGCTCACCTTGGCTTACGGCGGCGCCAACGGTGGAGAATGGATGAATGTGAGGCGCCGCCTCACCCGTACGCGCCGCGGCCTCCTGTATTGCTCGCTCCGCTACGCGCTACGTTCCAAGTGGCCCGTGATGCATTAGCCATGATAGCGCTCCGGCCCCTCCGGCCCCTCCGGCCGCCCCGGGTGGCCAGGTGCCTGAACCGATTAGCTCGTGTTCCTGTCAAGACACCCGGAACAGCGCGAGCAGCGAACAGCACCGATTCTATTCTGCAGATCTGCACATAGCTTGCGTTTGAGCCCTGCATTCGCACAGCGTTTACTTTTTCTTCTTCACACGAGGAGAAAGTAAGAGGGCCGGGGCCGGGCCGGATGCAGAAAAGAAAACAGAGAATCACCAGTTTCATAAAACAGGACGTATTGTAACCCGCAGATACTGTAAATACTGCAGTTAATCTGTCTCACCTCGTGTTTGCTTCCGGCACACACATTGAGTATTGAGCCGGTACTGTCCGCGGCACTTGGTGCAGGATGCACATCCAGATGCAGTAAGCCGATCAGCCGATAGGACAACACGGCGGCAAGGGCTGTCGGCTCTACGCGATCTACGCCCAGCGGCACAGTTTCACGATGGGTTCAGCTGAGCCGGTTCCGACCAGGTCATCATCCCCAATCTCGGTCGCAGACCAGACATTTGTACGAGAGATCAAGGCAAGACGCGACGCGACGCGACGCGCGTGCGGAAGCTCTTAGCCTTCGATGCGAGCGACGCGGTGTATGCGGGAGATGGAGGACTGCGAGCGAGTTGAGACCGCGAGACGCGCGATGCCGTCAGTTTCAGGACCCCCAGGCCGCGGAATCGGGTGACCGGGGCGGGCTAATGGATTGCCTGTCTGGCCAAACAATTCAGCGCCTGCTGCCTCGCCTTGGAGCCCTATGGCCTTATGCCTGATGGCCTGATTGCCTGGAGGCGGCGGGCTCCTGCAGCGCATGCAGCGGGTGTGCGAGCGTACGCGCACGTAGGAACCAGAATGGCGCTGGAAAGCGAACACCAGCGGACACCAGCGGACACCAGCGGACACCAGGGCTGAACCCGAGAACAGGACGTGCCTTGCTTGGGCAGCCGTGCAGTGCTGCTTGCGATGCAGCGTTTACAGCATCGATGCTCCCGAGACGCTGAGGCACCGGGGCAATACCTGCTCGTACTTGGTTGGTGATTGTTGGTAGGAGATGTCGGAAGGTGCATGATGCAAGGGGAGGCAAAGCGGCTCCAGACGCCAGACAGGTTAAACGGAACGACGCGTCGTTTGCAGGACTTGGACCTTGGACGTGTACGCGGGTCAGGGGCCCGTTTCAGCTTGCTTCACCTTCCTCGCCCCCACGTGGCTGGCTGAGCTTGTTGCATCAACTTGCCGCGGGTCCTGCGCCGGGCCTAGCCCAGGGACTTTCGTAAGTGCGACGACCGACGACGGGGACAAGCTCAAGCTTTTGCATGCATCTGCACGTAGAGTGTGCAGCGTGCAGTGTTCTGGCACAGGATCACGGAGCTTCTTCCATGCAGCGCCGAGATCTGCCTTGACGGGCGAACAAATGAACATGTGTGTACATGTGTTACACCCTGTCGGAGAAGAATTTGCATGCGACACACTCTCGGACTGCGGAGCTGCGGGGTGCAGAGCAAGCCGGGCGGGGGGGGGGGGGCGTGCATGTGCGCAGACACTGGACGCTCGGACTGTTCGCGGGGAAGGACATGAGCGACCGCGGGGCACAGGGGACGGGTTACGAGGAACGGTCACAGCTGGTCACTCGAGCAAGTCTGATGCTGACTGTTGCGGTGCAAGAGTTTGCTGGGCTGCCCGCTGCCCGCTGCCCGTGCTGCTTTGCTTTGTCCATCGTAACAGCATAACAGTAGGCTGCCGTACATGGCGGATGAGCCGTAGCTGCCGTGATTGCCTTGAACCGAGCTGGCGGGGTAATGGGTGTGTGATGGACTGACTAATGGCGGCCCGGCCGGCGTAGTGCTGGGTTGTAATGAAGGTGCCCTGGGATAAGGCTGCGTGTGTCTTGAGAAGCTCAGGTTGGGACGATTCCGATGATTCTGTTGTTCTTCAGCTGGACTACTGAATGCATGGCAACCACTCGCATGCTAACTGGTGCTCTAGTAGTTTGCAGGACACATGCATGTCAATGTTCGGGGTGGCAGGTGCTGGCGGAGGCGTGCTGGCTGGCTGGCTGGCTGGCTGGCTGGTTGGGCGTACTAGCGTGGAGAGTGGTGTGCAGACCCTAGGGTGTGCCCTGTATCCCTTGCTGCCCAGCGCCCAGCGCCCAGCGCGCGCGCGGCACTCGCTCCCCAATCTGACTCTTCCTCCCCTCGGCCCCTGCCCCCTTGAGCCATCTGTACAGCCCGTACCGCCGTGTGTCCCTTCGGTCGGTCCCTCTGCCCTTGCTGGTCCCTCTGCGTCCCTCTGCGTCCCTCACATCGCAGCCACCCACTCACTACCACCCACCCACTCGAACTCGGCCACCCGCGCGCACTCCCTCCAACAACTCTTCCCTCTTTCATTATTCACCTCCACTACACCGCCATCTTAATCGCGAGCCNTGCTGGCTGGCTGGCTGGCTGGCTGGCTGGCTGGCTGGCTGGCTGGCTGGCTGGCTGGCTGGCTGGCTGGCTGGCTGGCTGGCTGGCTGGCTGGCTGGCTGGCTGGCTGGCTGGCTGGCTGGCTGGCTGGCTGGCTGGCTGGCTGGCTGGCTGGCTGGCTGGCTGGCTGGCTGGCTGGCTGGCTGGCTGGCTGGCTGGCTGGCTGGCTGGCTGGCTGGCTGGCTGGCTGGCTGGCTGGCTGGCTGGCTGGCTGGCTGGCTGGCTGGCTGGCTGGCTGGCTGGCTGGCTGGCTGGCTGGCTGGCTGGCTGGCTGGCTGGCTGGCTGGCTGGCTGGCTGGCTGGCTGGCTGGCTGGCTGGCTGGCTGGCTGGCTGGCTGGCTGGCTGGCTGGCTGGCTGGCTGGCTGGTTGGGCGTACTAGCGTGGAGAGTGGTGTGCAGACCCTAGGGTGTGCCCTGTATCCCTTGCTGCCCAGCGCCCAGCGCCCAGCGCGCGCGCGGCACTCGCTCCCCAATCTGACTCTTCCTCCCCTCGGCCCCTGCCCCCTTGAGCCATCTGTACAGCCCGTACCGCCGTGTGTCCCTTCGGTCGGTCCCTCTGCCCTTGCTGGTCCCTCTGCGTCCCTCTGCGTCCCTCACCATGTACTCTCTCTCTCTCCATCCATCGCAGCCACCCACTCACTACCACCCACCCACTCGAACTCGGCCACCCGCGCGCACTCCCTCCAACAACTCTTCCCTCTTTCATTATTCACCTCCACTACACTACTCCTCCATCCATTCCATCCACTCCTACCGATACCTCACTCACCCGACTACCACGAACAACCTCGACAACTGTTCCTCCATCCTTTTCGTCCCCTGTCCTCCCCACTGCAGCAACAGCCCCCCCCTCCCCCGCGACGCCTCATCGACTCGGCCGACCCTCTCCTCACCCACTCGTTACCGTCCGACGCCGCACCTCGACCCTCGGTCGCGCGCTCCCCTTCCCCTCACCGCACCCCCACCCCCCCGGCACGCTGGGCACGGTGGAATTGCTTTCAAGTGACAGCGCACGCAGGTCGACCGTGTATCCACGCGTGCTCCGCTGATCTTGATCATTCCATCCTTCGCTGCTCTTTGCTGCACGGAGCATCCAGGTGACGCCCCTCTCGACAAGCGCCCTCTTTCGCGACCCAACAACACTCTCCTCCCACCTTTCTCTCTCCTTTCTTTCGACTTTGTCTCTTGAGATCGCGCATTGTTGAGTGTGTACCCAGATCCCCCCCCCCTCCTAAAACCCTTACCCTCTCGGCTCAAGACTGGCGAGTGCTGCAACACGGACTTTCGCACCGACCGCTCACCTTCCCCGCCTTTGATGGTCCACGACGTCTAACTGACTTTCAGATGTCGACTTCTTCCCAACCATGACTTCGGCGGTACCAACATCTCATCCGCCTGTAATCAACGCGCCCGGCGGGTCCAGCGGCAACCCCGTCATCAACGCGCCTCCCAGATCACCACACTCGTCCATGTCACCAGTCGCCTCACCACAACAAAACGTTTCCCCTGGCTCGCCGCGGCATCAGTCCGGCACCATTGACGCGGAGACGTACATCCGCAACCACGGAGGAGACCTGCGACGGACAATTGACTCGGTAGTCAATGATCGTAATCAGCTGGTGAGTTGTTGAACCGCGGTGTTTGCGCGGGAGGCTTGCAGCAAGCACCCTGGAGGAAATGGCCGGTTGTCTGACTCTGTCACAGCAAGGACAAAACACACAACTGTGGCGATTGATCGAGAAGCAGAGAGCACAATGTGCTCATCTCGCGGCGGACAACGACCGGTTACGACAAGATCGGGAACGAGCAAATCAGCGATTGATCCAGGCCGGATTGGAGCCTGTAGCTGGCGCTCGGCGTGGCGTCTCGCACAGCGTCAGTGCCATGACGCTCATGTCGGGCGAGGGGAGGCGGCAAAATAATTCTGACCAGGAGGACAATGGAAGCGCAAAGGGCTCTAATGGCCCGTCAACGTCTCCCGTCTCGGTCCCAAACCTTGCCGCCACTGCCCGCTCGACGTCGCCGGGAGAATCGCAGGTCAACTCTGGCTTGTCCTCGGGCTGGACGTCGTCTGCGCCTCCTCAACAGCCAGAATACAACCCCTCCTCTCTCGCCCCCTCCGCTCTCCCTCCTCCGGCCGTTGACGCCTACGGCGGCCTCCTCCCGTCTCCGCTTCCCGAGCGCCGTCTGCGTCACGAGTCTCGCATGACTTTCCCTCCCGAGGTCGCGTCGTTTATGGCACTCGCAGACACGCCGAGGGACGGCACTGCCGAGGGATCGACGCCCAGCCCAGGTGACAGCGCCCGAGGATCGCCTGCGGTGGAGCCCATATTCGAAAACAGCAACGAGGATCCGCGGCCGTCTCAAGACACGATCCCGTTCCGACCAGTTCTGGACCAGCAACCGTCAAATGACTCGGTTCCGAGCAACGGCAATGCCATCGCCTCGCCCTCCCCGGCACCCGATCACACGCAGCTCACCCCTGCTCTCCTCCCCCACGCTCACCTCTCCATCCCGCACTCGACCGTTTTCCCCAACCAAAACGGACGTGACGTGCTGTGCTTCATCATTGCCATCAACATCCGCCCTCCCAACAATGCGACCCCATTGTCCTGGACCGTCGGCAAGACATTTTCTGCCTTTATGGACCTCGACGCCCGGTCACAAGAACGGTCGGGGAAGAACCGCAAGGAGTGGAAGCGGATGGTCGCGTCGCTGCCCGAGGGCAAGGCCTGGAAGGACTTTGCGCCGAGCAAGATTGATCAGCGCAAAGTCGCCCTCGAGCAGTACCTCGAGTCGCTCCTGCTCGCCCCAACCAGTGACAAGTCGGATCTGTGCAACTTTCTTACGACCGATGTTGTGCAAGCCAAGACGAACAAGAATCGAGAGGAGGGCTACCTCACGAAGAAGGGCAAGCCGTTTAAGGGATGGAAGACGCGCTACTATGTGCTTGACGGCTCGGTCATGAAGTGCTTCGAGTCGCGCGGTGGACCGCTGATCAGCACCCTGCAAATTGCCGGTGCGCAGATCGGCCGGGGAAACCGTGCGACCGACAACGGCGACGAGCGCGACGGCCGCCATGCTTTCCTGATCATTGAGGCCTCTAAGAAAGACTCCTCAACGCAGAACCGACACGTTTTGTGCGCTAGCAGCGACGCAGAGCGCGACAGCTGGATCGAGATGCTCGTGCGCCAGGTCGACCCGGAAGCGGTCCAGCAGCAGCAGCAGCGCGAGCAGCAACGGGAAGAGCAGCGCGCACGTGAGCAGCAGAGGGAGCGCGAGCTGCAGCAGCAAAAGGAGCGCGAACTGCAGCAGCAAAAGGAGCGCGAGCAGCAGCAACAACAACAACAGAACCTCCACCAGAAGCAGCAGTCGTCACAGTCGACTGCCTCGACGGCCCACACGCAGCAGGCGTCCAGCACCAGCCAAAACGGACCTCCGCCGGCTTTCCAGAACGCGGCGGCTCGCGAGCTCGGCCACCAGCGCCGCAGGAGTGCGATCCGCAAGTCGAGCAAGGACGTTGTGGTCACGTCGGCGCAGCCCATGTCGTCGCTGCCTGATGCGCAGGCCAAGTTCATCAGCGGCGCCCCTCTCCCATCTGTTATCAACCTGATGGAGTCGCAGCGTCAACTGCACTCATCGAGCACGACCGACCTGCTGTATGAAGCGCCGACGCCGAAACCGGCAAAGCGCCAGAGTGCGATGCCCGGACGACAGTCGTTCTCGCCTGCATACCTGACAAAGCTGTCCAACGACGGCATCTCGAGTGTGCCGGGTTACCCCGCCGAGCGCGACCGCGAGCGCAAGGCGAAGAGTGGCCGTTTCTGGGGCTTTGGTAAGACGATCGAGAAGGCGCCGGCCAAGCCCGTGTTTGGCGTGCCGCTGAACGACTCGATCGCCGTTGCGCAGGTGGCTGGCCTTCCTGCGATCGTGTTCCGCTGCATCGAGTACCTCGAGGCGAAGCACGCCGACCAGGAGGAGGGCATCTACCGCCTGTCTGGCTCGAGTGCGGTTATCAAGGGTCTCAAGGAGAAGTTCAACGCCGAGGGCGACGTGAATCTGCTTGCGATCGACGAGCGATGGGACCCGCACGCGATTGCTGGTCTCCTCAAGACGTATATGCGCGAGCTGCCGACGAGTCTGCTCACGCGAGAGCTGCACCTGCGATTCCTGGGTGTGATTGGTGAGTTGGAAATACCCCGCTTAGCTGACATCAGATCTGATCGACCCTGCTGCGCGTGTCGCCGAGCTGTCGCGCTTGGTGACCGAGCTCCCGCCGTCCAACTACACGCTTTTGCGTGCGTTCATCTCGCACCTGATCCTGATTGTGAAGAATGCCGCGGTCAACAAGATGACGCTGCGAAACATTGGCATCGTCTTCTCCCCGACGCTCGGTATTCCGGCGGGCATCTTCTACGAGCTCGTCTCCCGCTTCGGTGCGATCTTTGACGACGCGGGTGTGGAGGAGTTGCCTCTTGACGGTCCTGCGCCTGCGACCCTCGGCGTGCCCGAGGGCGAGGACGCGGCCGCGGGCACCAACCTCGCCAAGCGCAACAGCATGCTGTACCACCAGGGCGGGGCGGACACTCTGCTCGGTCTCGGTGGCCGCGCGCTCGACCCAGCGACGGAGGACAGCACGTCCGAGCTCTCACTCGATGATCTCGAGAGCGAGCAAATGTCGGCGCAGTCGAGCGACAACTTGAGCGTGCTCGCGACGCCGGACCAGGGCACAGCCAGGGGACGGAGGGACATGTTCTCGTCCCCGCGCAACGACCAGGTGGAGGTAGTCTCGACGCCGAATGGCGCGTGAGAGTGAGCGCAGAGCGCGACAAAACACACTTATATAAGCCCGCACACCGTGGGCGTGTCATGAATAATAGCCATTACGAGGTCCTCCAGGGCCAATACATACTATGTAGTTCTTGCTGACAGATGTCACGATATTTTGGGTCAACCTGGGCTTGCATCGTACCTAACACACGCCTGCAGCCTTCAAGCCGGGGATACAGTCCCCCCTAGCGGCGATCTGGGCATACCACAACTTGGTCTCTGCGAGAATGACGATTCCCTTGTCGGTGAACTGGAAATTCGCGCTCGTGTCGGCAACGTAGATCTTGCCGAGGAGTGTACCGCGAGAGTTCCAAACATGCACGCCGTCGCCGAGTCCGGCGTAGACATTGCCCTCGCTGTCAGCGTGCACGCCATCGGGCACGCCAGGCGAGGGAAACGCGAAGAGCTCCTTAGCTCCGACCGTGCCATCCTCGCGGACCGGGAAGCGATAAATACTCGCGGGCAGACTCCAGTCCATGCCCTCGTAGCCCAGTGCGGCGCCCGTATCGGTGACATAGAGCCACCGCCCATCGGGGGAGAAACAGAGCCCGTTGGGACGCAACAAGGAGTCCGTGATGGCTTGGACTACGCCCGTAGACGGATGGAAACGGTACACTTGTCGCGGAATGTTGACCCGCGCGCGGAAATCTTGCACGTGCCCGTAGTCCGGGTCTGTGAAGTAGACCCAATCGTGCAGGAGGGCGACGTCGTTGAGCGAGTTGAATTGGCGGCCGTGATAGTTGTTGATCAGCACTGCGAGCGTCAGCAGCGAGCAAGTCTTCGTTCCTTAGTCAGATTCCTCTGTCTCTGTTGGAGGAGGAACTCGGAGGCGCGGAGGCGCGGAGTACAAACTTACCCGTCGTATTGTATGGCGGCCTCGGATTCATGAGGTACAGTGCACTAGCGACGTCCTCCCCCCTCCCCTCGCCGGCGAAGATGACCCCGTTGTCATTGTACAGAATGCCTCCATTCGGATTGACCACGGTGGGGTGGGCATCGACCCTCTCCACATGAACCTCGTCGCCGAATTCCCGCCTCTGGCCGCGTTTCTCCTTCTGAACGAGCTCCTCGGCCTCGGAGAGAGAGATCCGCTGCAATATGGCGGATTTCGCAAGTCCCGTTCCGGCCGCCTTGGCGCCGGCATTTTGCGCGAAGAACACAGAATCCGTGCCCGGATGCCATACCGCCGCTTCGTGGAAGATTGGATCGACCGCGGACGTGGCCAGGAGGGTGAGGGAGGGGTCGTCGCCTATAATGTTCAAGAAGGCCGGGTCGTAGATGTGGAAGGGCTTCGCCTGTAGGCTGTCCTGGGTGTGGCCGGGGGGGATGAAGAGCTGTCATTAGCTTTGGCGCTTTGGGGCTCCTACTGAATTCCCATGATGATCACGGAACGAGGGATGGGGGAGTGGGTGGGGGGGGGGGGGGACTCACAACACTGCCGTCATTCTCGCTCTGCTTTTGTGGCTTCTCGAGCGCCGCCCACGACTTCCAGTCCATCACTTGTGCCTTTGCGGGAATATTGCTGGGGTCGAGCTCGCCTAGGCTGCTGTCGTTGTGGCCCTTCACTATAGAGCCTAGCAGGGCTATGGCCCCAACGGCGAGGGGGATCATGATGCTTGTCGTCTTGAAATCCAGCGGGCGGTTGCGTTGGGAGTCGCTCATGGTTGGTTCCTTTATACTCTGTCGGATCTGGCGGTTCTGGGGTATATGGGGTACCTGTATGTTCTTGGGGAGATCTGGGGAGTAGGCCGAGTAGGTTCTGGGGCAGTATCGCCCACGGACTGAGGACTGAGATGAAGTCGAGACGACAATGTGGGCTTCACTCGCCGAGATACCGGTGACACCTGACTTTCGATCATATATACCGGCAGATACCGGTCGGGCCGATGTCCCACCGAGCAAGAACGCTAAGGAACGGGGCTGAAACCGACCGTTATGTAGCACATGACGCCATGCCCACTCCGTCTCCCATGCACTGATACACGGCACCTCAACTCTCATCCGCATCCCCTCATAGCTGTACAACTCTCCTAGCAGAACCATACGAATACCACTGCATATGCCATCGTTACTTTACTTCCAAATACGATCCAAGACGTGATACAAAGAAATGGCTAGATGTAAAAGAGAAATAAACAGAACAGTACTTGTACACAACAACTTGCGACTGACTCAAACGGCCGAGATGGCGGCCGGGCCGGCCGACTTGGACTTCTATGCGCGCTTCCTTCGTGGTGGCTTGTGGATGCCGCGGAACAACTAGTGGGTGGCCCGCCATGGCTCGCGATGGCTTGCTGGTGACATTTTGGTGGACTGCGGGTGGCTCGCTTGCTGTTATGGCGCTGCACCCGACCAGCTGTTCTCTCTGAGAGCGCGTCACAGCTCACCCTCGCTGCGCTCGCGGCTCTCACAGCTCTCAGCTCGCTGCGCTCGCTGCTCGCTACACCCTCGACGCCACCTTGGTCACCTTGTTCCCCAGGAGGGACGACTTGGACCCATTGTTCATCGGCAGCAGCCGGTTGACCAGCATGCTCGCCGAGTGCCGCATGCGCAGCTGCTTGCGCTCGCTGCTGCCCGAGGCCGTGCTGCTGCTGCTCCCGCTGCCGCCGAGGGGAGGCGAGGGCGTCTTGCTGCTGAGGGCGAGACCCATGCCGTCCTCGCTTGTCGGCGACGTGCCTCCCGACGAGCTGTCCGGCGACCCCAGCGCAGCACTGATGAACATGCTCTGGCGGTGCGAGAGGACGTTGGCGGGGGGCGCAGGGGCGGGGCGCGGCGCAATGTACTTGTCGTTTGGCGGGTCGGGGCCACACGTGCGGATGCGCGGGGGCAGGGGCTTGGCGAGCTCCTCGAGACCAGACATGAGTTGTGTCATCCTCCTCTCCTTCATCTCCTGGGCGTAGGCGGCGGCGCTGGACGGGCCCGAGGGCACAATCGTCGACACGGGGCGGGGGCGGGTCGCGTTGATGCTCGGCGCGTGCACGGCCTTGGTGCTGGGGACGCTCGCGCTGTTGGTACTAACAGTGCTCGTGGGCGCGCTGATCCCACCGATAGAGACGGATGATGTACTTGAGACTTTCGAGTCGTGGGACTCACTCCTCACCATCGGCAGGGGACTGGGCGTGCTGGCAGTGACGCCATGGCGCAGTATCGAGGACCGGTTTGGGCGAGGCGTAATCTGGGGCGCGCCCAGAGACCGCACTGGGTTGATCGTGACACGCCGGGGGGCAGCGCTGGCCTTGTCTCCTGAGGTTACGCTGGCAGATGCGCTGCTTGACGACGAGCTTGTGGCGGCCGTTCCAGTCGACGCCTCTGATCGGAGGCGCGCATGTGATCTAGCAGGCCTGGGCGGTGGCGGTCCGGCTTGGGTTTGAGGTTGCGCGTAGGCGGCGGCGCTGGACGGGCCCGAGGGCACAATCGTCGACACGGGGCGGGGGCGGGTCGCGTTGATGCTCGGCGCGTGCACGGCCTTGGTGCTGGGGACGCTCGCGCTGTTGGTACTAACAGTGCTCGTGGGCGCGCTGATCCCACCGATAGAGACGGATGATGTACTTGAGACTTTCGAGTCGTGGGACTCACTCCTCACCATCGGCAGGGGACTGGGCGTGCTGGCAGTGACGCCATGGCGCAGTATCGAGGACCGGTTTGGGCGAGGCGTAATCTGGGGCGCGCCCAGAGACCGCACTGGGTTGATCGTGACACGCCGGGGGGCAGCGCTGGCCTTGTCTCCTGAGGTTACGCTGGCAGATGCGCTGCTTGACGACGAGCTTGTGGCGGCCGTTCCAGTCGACGCCTCTGATCGGAGGCGCGCATGTGATCTAGCAGGCCTGGGCGGTGGCGGTCCGGCTTGGGTTTGAGGTTGCGTGCTAGGTTTCAGTATGGGCACTGGTCGATCTCCCGCAGTAGCTCCAGCGCTCGTGGTTGTCGTCGACGTTGTGGCCGAGCTGGAGCTTGCGCCTCCGGTGCTGCCCGTGCGACTGCGGGACCCCACCGGTGTAGCAGAGAACGACTTGGTATGACCCGGCTGGGGTGCTTGGTAATCTCCACCTGTGCGCAGAATGCTTGCACGGTTAGAGCGCGGGGCCTGCAAGGTCAGCTATACATTCTCGTAATGTGGCAAGATAAGGCTTGGGAAACAGAGCTTGTGCAGGCTGGGTTTGGCTGGGACACTGGGGCCGAGGTGGCGCGAGATAATGTAACAAGGCTCCCGTTTCATTGTAGATTAGCTGATCGCGAGCATCCCGTGTTGAATATCTGGAATTCGAGTGGGACCAGATGACGGAATACTGCCGACAGCGGTGGGCGTGCCACCCGCGGGACACAAAAGTGGCAGGTACAAGGAACGACTCCAAACATGACGTCGCCCCTGTAGCCTGGCAACCGCGTTTTGGATCGATGCCTCGATACAAACTCTCCTTCTCAACCGCTTCTTGCAGCGTGCAGAAGCAAGCTCGGAGGATTCCACAACGCTTAATCAACACATGCACAAGCTTCTTTAGCCCCAATATTAGGGGACGCTTCTGATGGCTCTGGAATGCGGGCAGGTGGAACCAAGTGGCTCCCAGGAGGTGTGACTTACGATATGCGGAGTTCCCAAGCTGGCTGGAAGAGTAACGCTTTTCCGGCGTTCAGCTCGTTCGGCTGCGTCTCGAGCCTTGTTCCTCGCCGCCGCCTCGGCCATTTCACGAGCAGTCTTCATCGGCGTCTGCTCTGTCGGGACCTGGCCTTGGCGAAGCAGAGCCGCTCGGTTTTGACGAGGTGCGATCTCTGGCGGCGACGTCAGGCTCGCAGGGATCTGCACCTGCTTGCGCTTCTCGAGGCGCTCCTGGTACTCGCGCGCCTTGTTGCGAGCCGCCATCTCTGCACGAATCTCTGCACTCTCAGGTTTGACATTCTCCTCAGGGACCTGGCCGAGACGAAGCAGCGCTGCACGGTTTTGCCTGGGTGCGACGGAGGGTTGTGCAAGAGAGGCAACGTTCTAATGCCGTCAGCATTATGTTATGTCAATAAGCCTAGCAGTGGTCTGCCGCGCTCAGTCAGGCACCGGTCTCCCACCACACGGGGAGGACCCTTCACCGTCCGAAACCTGCATCGAGCAAACAGACGTCTTGCTCATGATGCTGGTGATGACTTCATGACTGAGGCATCCGAAGACCACTGCCAGATCTGATCACTCACCAGTGCCAAGTTGCGCTTGTGCCCGGGAACATTGTCAAAGTCGACTGGAACCTCGCCCTCGCCAGTCATACGGCGGATGTCACGGGGATCCTCCCACTTTAGTCCTTGGCGCAGCGCTGCTGATTTCGTGAGACGGGGGCCTAGTCCCTCCATCTTGGTGGTCGGGGGAGCTGGGCGAGCGCGGAATTTGGCGTTACTAGTGGAAGAGGATGGGTTGGAGACGCTTCGGGACGTGGTGGTAGTGTTGACAGTGGTAGCAGTCGCGGTAGACTCGTTGGACTTGGTCGAGTCGTGCAGCTGCAGCTGCTTGACCGAGTCTCCCTCCGCGAGGGCAGGGGCAAGGTCTTGGGCGTCGCCGTCGAGAGGCACGTCGCCAACGATACGGGCAGTGTCCGCGAGAATCACGTTGCTCGAGTTGGGGGTGACTACACGGACGTCGGGGCTGCGGCGATCACGGTTTGAGCTGCCTGGCATGTCGTCTCCGCTGGACAGCCCCAAGTTGGAGCTGCTGATGGACTGCGTCGAGAGCAGAGATAACGTTGACGTCGACATGGGTGGTTGGACTGTCGACGACATGGTGAAGTCGGAGAAGGGGTGAGGAAGACGCGCGCGTCGTTGAAGCTAAAACTCTGATGAGCAGGGGCGCGGTTTCGAGTGACTTGGGCGGGGCGTAGGTGATTGCAGATCGGGCGTAGATCGTGTCGGTCGTGGTCGTGTACGCGTGTTTAGAGGATGAGGTCAAGAGATGGTGATGGTGATGGTGATGATGGAACCAGAGGTAATGATGGGGAGAAACAGATGGGTGGGAGAGACTGAATTGTGTGAAGACATGAATGAGGATGAGAGGGAGACTACCACGGGGCCCTAGAGGTCTGTGTACTCATATGCGCACATCCGGCGCCGTGAGGGCATGGCGCGGAGACGAGACACTACACCAGACACCAGACACATTCATTGCGTGTGTGTGTGTGTGGATGGGCCATGGTCTAGGCGTGTGGTGCAGGCGAGGGGGAGTGTGGATGAACGGGCAGGGGTGTACGGCAGGACGGGCTGCAGGGCCGTCAGAGGTTTGTGTCGGGTGGGTGGACGCTCGTACATGTCCTGTCGTGCGGTATGAGACAAAGGGTCGCCCTCTCCTCAGGACCACACAGGGTACCTAGCCGTCCCTCGTCGGCCCTGGCTCACCCCCCTCTCGCGCTGCACCAGGCTCAGGCTCATGCTGCACCAACGGGGAGCGGTCGAGCGGTCTCACGTCTCAGCTTGCGCCGCCGTCCAATCGTCGTCCCCTCCTCCTCTCCCGATATTCCATACATCCCTGCCTCCCTATAAGGTTCACATCTTCCATCTCTAGTCTAACCTTGGCCTCTCCGGTCGGCCGGTCCGTCATCTCCTGTGTCGGAATCGCTCTCCTCCTCGCCACTCTCCATCCTATCATCGTCGGGCAATCAACGTTTCGAAAACAAAACTGCGCGACTGACATTCGTAGTCTGTCGGTAGCCTAGCCTGCGTGTGCAACGCCCACGGCAATTGTCCGTGCAGGAGGCGTTCAGACGCGTCTCACAGCCCAGCCTCAGTCTCGCCACTAGGGCCATTGAGGCGGTAGCTCTAGTGTGAAGCGCTCTTAGGCTCATACATCATCGGCTCATGAAGCTACCGGGATATGAGCAGTGAGACCGACAGTCGGCTTCTGCTTGCTCCATGCTCCACTATATCAGGTGTCTCATGAGTAGTGCCGTAGGGCGGGACTGCAAACTGTCCATGTGCCCGATCTCCTCGCATGCACTCGACACTCAGATCCATCCTGTCCTGTGCTGGTCCCACTACTCGTTTGTCACTGCCCATCCCACTACGCCCATCCGCGCTACTGCCTCAACCGAAGGATATTACATGTTTTGTATGTAAGCGTCGTTACTTTGGGTGTGCGACTGAATAGCTTCAAGTCGACTAATCTGCATGCGTGACACCTTACCATTCATCGCCAACTGCCTCGAGCTGCCTCTCTCAACAGACTAACGCTCCCCAGAGTGCCATACGACTCTCGATGAATTGACACAGCGGTACGGCATATGAGTCTCGAGTCCGTCTTCTGTCCTACTGCTTCCTGACCTAGCTGACCTCCCATGAATCTCCGCCACCCAGGATGCGAGACATACCTCTCCAGGTAGTTGACCTTGGTCCAAGAACCTGAAAGCGACGATGGCGATGCTAGGACTTGTTTCAGCTCCCCAGACATGTGCACACGCAAGACTACTCATCATCCAGCGGATGGCGGAGTTCGGTCAAACTCATCGTCGCCCACCGTCTATTCCGCCGTTCCTGTCTTCGATCCTCTCTCTTATATCCTTGACCCATCCGGTTTCCGGTCCCTGTTCCCTAGTTCCTGCGATCGTCTTTCAGAAGGCAGGACCGGTCCTGCAGATCCCTCGACGGAGATGAGTCACGTGAGTGATGCTCCGCCAAGAAGTCACGTGCCTGGCTTCTCAGCTGGCCTTCATATCGCTCGCGTGGCTTTGCTTCCGACTAGATATGACGCATGCATGGCACGCACAGCCCAAGGCTGTCCTCTGGCTGCTCAACGAACGCATCATCATCTTCCTCGAACTGCTTGTTCTTCACTCCTCAGCATCCATCTATTTAGTGAATAACGCCAAGGCATTATGCAGGCCATCAGGTTGGGTAAGAAGTACCCCGACTTCTCGCAGGATGAGATTTTCCAGCTCATCAACCGCTTCCAGTGAGTGTCTCGGGGCTTCCCACACCTCGCCGAGATTTCCGACGTACCCAACGGACTTTCCTCTGACACCATTCCAGACAGATCGACGTCGATGACAAGGGATCTCTCGACAAGTCGGAGGCCATTGCTGCTGTCCAGCAGTCTGGCGACGCCGACTATGACACTGTGAGCGGAATAGCTTTGGCATGGTTCCACAATCAGCTAACACATTCAGGCTCGTGAGACCATGAAGTCGGTGAACATCGATGCTTCTGGCCGTCTCGAGGTTGAGGACTGGGTCCAGCTCCACTCGCTCCTCCGTCAGAACAAGCAGCACCCTGTGTGAGTAGATCTGTCGGGGCGCAGCTGCTGCGCCAAGGCGGGCAATCGCCGCCGGGGGCTGTGCGACCGAGAGAATTCGCCGATCGAGCTTACGCGTACAGTCTCGAGGCTCACAAGGGCCGCATCGCCGTCAAGGGAACCGGCTGTACCAGCACGCAGCACACTGTCAATGAGGATGAGCTCCGCTCGTTCACGGACCACATCAACGGCGTCCTCGGTGGCGACCCCGACATTGGCGACCGTCTCCCGATCCCGACGGACACGATGCAGCTGTTCGACGAGTGCCGCGGTGAGTTTCTCTTTTGTCACGCAGAAGGCGCATAGCAAGGGGACAATGCTGACGGCGATCAGACGGTCTGATCCTTTCCAAGCTGATCAACGACTCGGTGCCCGAGACGATCGACGAGCGTGTCCTGAACAAGCCTGGACCGAAGAAGAAGCAGCTGAACGCGTTCCAGATGACGGAGAACAACAACATTGTTATTTCCTCGGCCAAGGGTATCGGATGTTCCGTTGTCAACATTGGCTCGAGCGACATTCAGGAGGGACGTGAGCACCTCATCCTTGGTCTCATCTGGCAGATTATCCGTCGTGGTCTTTTGTCCAAGATCGACATCAAGATTCACCCCGAACTGTACCGCCTGCTGCTGGAGGACGAGACTCTGGATGAGTTCCTCCGCCTGCCTCCCGACCAGATTCTGCTCCGCTGGTTCAACTACCACCTGAAGGCTGCCGGATGGCACAGGACGTGAGTTAGAGAGTTCTCGGCTGAAACTGACGCCCAGTGTGAACAACTTCTCGACCGATGTCAAGGACGGAGAGAACTACACTGTGCTCCTGAACCAGCTCAAGCCCGACGTTTGTTCCCGTGCGCCGCTGCAGACGCAGGACCTGAAGCAGCGTGCTGAGCAGGTGCTCGAGAACGCGGACAAGATTGGATGCCGCCGCTTCCTGACGCCCAACTCGCTCGTTGCGGGCAACCCGAAGCTGAACCTTGCGTTCGTCGCGAACCTGTTCAACACGTGGCCCGGCCTCGACCCGCTGGAGGAGGCCGAGGCGCCGCCCGAGATTGAGGATTTTGACGCAGAGGGCGAGCGCGAGGCCCGTGTCTTCACGCTGTGGCTGAACTCGCTCGACGTCGACCCGGGCGTGTACAACCTGTTCGAGGACCTGAAGGACGGCTACGTGCTTCTGCAGGGCTTCGACAAGGTGATTCCGGGCAGTGTGATCTGGCGTCGCGTCTCCAAGCCCAAGGAGGGCCAAGAGCTGTCGCGCTTCAAGGCGGTCGAGAACACAAACTACGCCGTCGACCTCGGCAAGCAGAACGGCATGCACCTGGTCGGCATCCAGGGCAGCGACATTGTGGACGGCACGCGCACGCTCGTCTTGGGTCTGGTGTGGCAGCTGATGCGCATCAGCATCACGCAAACGCTCGCAAGCATCAAGGGCGGCAAGCCGCCGACGGACCAGGACATGGTGCGCTGGGCCAACGACACGGTCAAGAAGGGCGGCAAGACGTCCACGATGCGGAGTTTCAAGGACCCCTCCCTCTCCAATGGGGTGTTCTTCCTGGACCTGCTCAACGGCGTGAAACCGGGCATTGTCGACTACTCGCTCGTCGAGAGCGGAAACGACCCCGAGAGCCACCGCATGAATGCCAAGCTCGCCATCTCCATCGCGCGCAAGCTCGGCGCCCTCATCTTCCTCGTCCCCGAGGACATTGTCGATGTCCGCCCCCGTCTCCTCCTCACTTTCGTCGGCGCGCTCTGGGCCGCTAGCAGCAATGTCTAGGACATCGGCGAACGATCAACAATGTGAATACGTGTCATGTGGTTATGAATCTGGTTAGAAGCTTGCGAAGCTATGCATGCAGTAGTCTGCGTCGAGAGTTATGTCAGTGGTTGAGCAAAGCAGGGTTGCGACATGAGCAAATCTGTCCATACAAAAAAACACTAACACACTACGACGTCAAAAAACACACTTTAGATTAGCGGCGATAAACAGGCCACCGCCGACGCTACCGGTCGATGTCCATGAGCTCGCCATCCTCTCGGTGTGCGTCCGGCTCGCTCGGTTCCGGCAACGATTCGGAGATCTCGCCTTCTTCGCGCTCGTCCTCTTCCGGCTTAGTGGGCTCCGGCTTGGGCTCTGCCTTGGGCTCCTGTTTGGGCGGGGATGGGCGGTTCTCCCGCTTCTCCCTGTCGCGGTCCTCGCGGCGTTCCCTGTCCTCACGGCGCTCGCGCTCTTCACGGTCGCGACGGTCGCGGTCGTCCCGGTCGTCCCGGTCGTCCCGGTCGTCGCGCTTATCGGCCGAGGAGGGCTTGGAAGGCGCCCTGTCGTCCTTGGACTCAGGCTTGTCCCTGGACTCGGACTTGTCCTTGGACTCGGACTTGTCCTTGACCTCAGACTCGGAGGGCTCGGGCTTGTCGGCCTTCGGTTCAGGTGTGGGCGCCTTGGGCGAGGGCTCCTTCGCCTTCTCCTCGGGCTCGGTCGGCTTAGGAGAGGCAGGCTTGGGCGCCTCGGGCTCAGCGGCAGGCTTGGGAGACGGCTCATTGACCTCGCCGTCTTCGGCCTCGGCGGGCTTCTCGGGAGACTTGGACTTGGACTTGGACTTCTCCTTCTCAACAGGAGCAGCCGCTTTGGGGGCCTCGTCCTCCTTCACCTCGCCCTCCTCGGGCTCCTCGGTCGTCTTTTTGGGCGATTTGGGCTTCTCGGGCTCAGTCTCGGCGGCGGGCTCCGTGGCCTCGGGAGCTTTGGCCGGCGACGCCTCCTTGCGTTCAGGCTCAGGCTCCTTCGCGGGCGAAGCGGACTTCTCCTCATTCGCCTCGGGCTCGGGCTCGGCAGCCTTGGCGAGCTCTTCCTTCTCTGGCTCGGGCTCCGGCTCAGCCATCGAGACATCGCCCTCGGGCGCCGTGGGAGACGGAGACTTTTCGGCCGGCCCCGCCGACTTTGCCGGGCTCTTCGCCTCGCTCTCAGCCGGTTTCTCGGCCGCGATGGGCTCGAGCTCCTTCGCGGGCGACTTGGAGGGCGACTTGGCCTTGGGCTCGGCGTTCGCGGGCTTGTCGCCGTTCTGCTCGGGCTCATCGAGAACCTTTGCGGGCGACTTGGCCGGTGACTTGGCAGCCGATTTCGCGGGGACAGCGGGCTCGACATCCATCGCCTCATCGTGAACCTCCTTCTCGGCAGGCGTCTCGTCGCCGTCGACCGAGAGCTTGCCGCCCTCGCGCGCAATCCAGCGGTAAATCTCAGCGCCGCATAAGACGCCCGTACCCTCGGCGAGCTGGATGGCGAGCCCGTTCTCGACCCAGTGCGCGAGACGGGGGTCGAGCGAGTCGACAATCAGCTCGGGCTTGCCCTGCTTGATCGGCGAGTAGGTCGAGATCTTGAGTCGCTGCGCGCCATAGTCGTTCAGGCTCAGGTGGAGGCGGTACGCGTCCTCGGCCGTGCCGAACTCGAGGTCGTGCGTCCACAGGCTGCGCACGTTCTTGTCGTCATCGCCGGGCTGGTCGATGTAGGCTGTGAGCGCGAGCGGCGTGTATGCGAATCCGGCCTGGCCGGCGAGGAACACGAACGGCGCTGCTGGTGTCACTGGTGCTTCGAGAGAGGGAGTGATCTCGACTTCGTCGGGGTTGATGTCCTCGTCCAGAACACCCGCCTGCTTCTCCAGTGACGGGGGAGTGGGTGCGGTGCCCATGACGACAGCGCGCTGGCGCGCAAGCTCAGCCATGTGCATTTTCCGAGCGGCGCGCTTCGGCAGACGACTGCTGTAAGACTTGTCGACCTAAATGTCAGTTAACGCAGCTGAACATGAACTCACCTTAACTCGCTCAACGCCCTCGACGACGATGCTCGAGCCGTCATGGCCGTTGCCCCATGCCCGAGTGACAACGCCGTTGCGCTCGGTCGCAGTGTAGCGCACCAGACGAGGCACGACACGGAGGGTGACATGCACAATGTCGTCGTCGGATCGTGTGGGGGCTCCACCCCATCGAATCCAGCCAGCGTGGACGAGCACCAGCCCAAGGTCGGAATCATCCGAGTACACGTCCGTGCCCCAGATACGACGCTCGCTGTGTGCCTGCCCTCCAGGCGCCCATCCTAGCCCGACGGTTGCACCGTCACCACCAGTGGACTTGGCGTCGTCCCAGCCAGGCTCGCCGCGGACCTTCCATCGCGTGCCGAGGAAGCCACCCCCGACGCGGACGACGACAATGCCGCCTTCCGCATCGTGACCGGTGCTTCGCGTCTGGGCGAGCGACCATTCGGAGCCACCGTACACTTCGTGTCCGACGACGCGGTTGAGGTCACTGACGCGCTTCAGCCACGCCTCGACCGGGGCGCTGGAGACCTCGGGCCACTTCTTGGTCAGGTTTGTCACCTGCGACCAGTCGCGCTGCTCCTTCTTCTCCTCGTCCTTGCGAGCCTTCTTCTTAGTGGCACGACGGTTCGAGGGCGCGGCTTCCTCGACGGCAGCGTCCATTCGCGGTCTCTTATCCCGGGGAGTGTACTGATATTCACGCTGAGGCTGCGGTTTGGGTTCGTTCCGAGCGCGCGACGTGGGCGGCTGCTGCGCGGCAGGTGGAGGGACAGCGGGCACAGCCTTCTCCAGAGCAGGGTACGGCTGCGGCTCCGGGCGGTTGAGGACCTCGATGTGGCGAGTGAATTTCGGCTCCTGGTACATACCGCCGGGAGGTGCCTGGGCCGGGGGTCCAGCAGGCGGGCGCGGTCGGTACATGTCGTATGTGCTCGACGACTGGCGGGGCGGTTGGAACGGTTTGGACTCCACTCCGTAAGCGCGACGCTCTCGCTCCTTCTCCGCGCGAGCACGCTCTTCGCGCTCCCGCTCCTTGCGTTCACGTTCACGCTCGCGCTCGCGAGCTTCACGTTCCCGCATTTCTCGCTCCTTGGCCTCGCGTTCGCGAACCTCCCGCTCGCGCTGCTCGCGGTCACGAGCTTCGCGGTCGCGCTGTTCACGATCACGCTGCTCCCTCTCGCGTTCGCGCTCCTTCTCCCGCCTCTCGCGCTCCTGCGCCGAGTACGCGAAAGGATAGCCGCTTCCTCCACCAAGGAAGCTACCGCCGCTACCACTGCTGCCCCCAAGGCCTCCGTACGAGCTGTACGGCTGCGTGTAGGCCGAAGCATAAGTGGAGGAAAACGAGTAAGGAGGACGCGCCGACTGGGAAGTGGAGGTCGAGCCGGGCCCGGCAATAGGCGGCTTGGGAGGCTCGCGCGACGCCTGAGTAGGGCTGTTGGCGGTAGGATGCACGGGCGACCGCTGAGGTTCGCGAGCTGGTTGACCGAGCGGGGGAGGACCACCAAACAGACCACGACCGGCAGCGCTGGGCATGGGGACGGAGCTCTTCACCGGAGAAGATTGACCGATGCTGGGGAGACCTCCCATAGGCTCGCCACGCTGGCTGTTTGCGGACTGTGACCTCTGATCGGTAGGGATCTTATCGGCCGTCGAGCTAGCGTTGGAACCGGATCGCTCGCGCCCACCATCGAAGCTAGGAGCGCCGAGAGGTCGGGAGCTGAGGCTGGCAAAGCTGGGAAGGGGGGCGTTCTGCCTCGAAGTAGGGGGCGAAGCGGGTTTGACCGAGCCGGGGGGCGGAACAGTCGGAGGGCGACTCAGAGTCGGCGAAGTGGACAGCACTGACCTGGGTGGTGCGTAACCCATCCGGCCAGGCGAGGCCAAGGGTCCGCGCTCGCGGTCACGGTCAGGTGGGCGCTCCATCCTTTCACGTTCACGTTCGCGTTCGGCACGTTCACGCTCAATGTCGGTCCGTCGGTCCCATGGATGCGCTCCATAGGGCGCTCCCAAGCGGCCAGGGCCGTCTCGGGGATCGGGGCGAGGATCATTTCGAGGGTCATTTCTTGGGTCGCGAGGATCACGCACATCGCGAGGATCGCGGGGGTCGCGAAGGTCTCGAGGGTCGCGGGGGTCTCGAGGGTCACGGGGGTCGCGAAGGTCGCGGGGATCGCGGTCGCGGGGGTCCCTTGGGAAGGGAGGGCGGTCGCGATCGGGATTCATGGCTCCGATGCGGGGGCTACTTGACGCCGAGGAATCTGGTGGTCAGTCAACAAACACAAACAAGATGATCAATGTAGGGACAAGGGGTGCCAGACTGAAGCAGAATGGTTTCAAATGACAGATCACAGTCCTGGCAGAGTGTGAAGAGTGGATCACCAGGGGGATGCGAATGCAGACCGGTTTGGACAAAGGCGCAGCCTCGTCCTTGGCGGGGTTCACGGGGACTCACCACCTGATCAGATATCGCTTCTGACCGTCAAGTTTGCCGGACCTGCACCGAGTGTCGTTGGCGTCTTGAAACCACCGAGTGCCTCGTTCTGCTCTTTCCGGGAGTGCCGAGGGAGTGGTGTGGTGGGTGGATGTGGGGGAGGGAGGTGTCAGGATGTGAAAGACTGGATGACTTCTTCGTCGGGGTTACATGTCTGCTCCGGGTCGTGGTCTTCCAGGCACCGACGCCATCCGGGGTCCTCCAACGAGAAGTGACACACGGAACCAGATGGAGAAGAGATGTCATCGGTCCGCGTCCACTCCCCCTCATGCCCTTGTTCGCTCCTCCCCCTTTCCGATCCACCACGCGACCGGCAGTCATCTAGGTGTTTGTGCCTTACCTGCCAAAACAATCATCGACGGACGGCGGCGCGTCGGACATGGGAGGTCGATATTGAACGAGATCTTCAACTTGCTCTCGACATTGCTCATTCGCCGCCCGTTCTTGCCCAACCACTACCCCGCCAATCGACAACCATAACCGTCTGTCCAACTACGCGTACCCTCTATTCCTTGTCTATAACGCGTCACGCGGAGCCCGCAACCTACACCACGATCCCCGTCTGCGATCTCTCGAGCCTCGGGCTCAGCTAATGGTGCGCGACGTGCGCGGGCCGTCGCTCGCCCACAGCCCGAGTTTCGGTGTTCTACTTGAACGCAAAAGCCTTCCAAACGACTCTGTCGCCGGTCCAGGGCCGTCCTCTCGTCCCATGTCTCGCAGCAAGGCTGGGTCGTCCTCCAAGGCGACCCCGCGCACCTCCACCATGCCGTCGGGTCGTAAGCTCGCCAACCTCCTTTCGTCGGAGGCGAACGACACCCCCGTGGTGACGAAAGCAAGGCGCTATCGCCAATCCACCCCTACAATGATGCGAGCAGACGAGACCATGTTGTATGACATCGCCCCGCCACCCGACATGCCTTCCAGTTCACTGTTCGGTGATGAGAGTGATGACGACACGGCGACAAGCCCGCGCTCTGCCAAAGGCAATGCTGTGATGGGCAGGGGTAACCTGTTAACGCCTGTTAACAGCACACTGGTGAGCTTTGGATCTGTGCAACCTATGCCAAAGACTTCTCAGACTGACCTCAGTTTACCGCACCACCTCCGCCAGCCCGTCTTTCGGCCTCTCGATCTGCTCGCTTACCTTCCCCCGAGTCTATGCCACAAGCTGTCAACCCTGCCAACCTGAAGGCATCGCAGAGCCAGAAGCGCACGTCTACGCCCAAGCCCAGCAGTTCCCAAAGATCTCGAGCTTCAATTGCGCCTGCTGATGCTCAAGGTTCGGCCGTGGCTACGCCTATCGCATCACAGTCCAAATTATCGCAGCCGCCATCCGTTTCATCCCGGCGACAACCGGCAACCCCCAATGCGTCTCGTCATGCGACACCACCGCGACCACTCGTTGCTGAAACGGCGTACTTCCGCCGTACGCTGACGCCGATAGCGCGAAAGGCTCTGAAAGGGAAAGTGGTCGGCTGTATGGAGAAGCCCATTCACTTCGAGGGAGAGGACCCGCTGCTGCTGGAACCAGAACTGCGGCATCGCAGTGGCAGTATGACGCCAGGGAGTGTTGCGCGGACGAAGAGAACGCCAAAGACAGCTCCGGCCGGTCGAAAATCGCGCACGAAGCTTAAAGCGCCGCCGGCGACTTCGGTCGCTCAGCGATTATTTGTACGGCCAGACGAGGACAGCGCTCCAAATGCTGAATCGACACCTGATGAGGACAGCGATGATGACGAGGCTGGTAACGACACCTTTGTTGACATCAAAAAGCGAAGGCAGCCTCCGCAGCGTAGCGCCTTGGGTTCTCATCCTCCGTTGAACGCGTCTGACCTCAAATCTTCGGATACCGTTGGGGAAGAGGACGCCACTCCCAAGCGGCCATCACCATTAATCGATCTTGGCAGATTCGTGCAGTCCAATTCGGGACAAGAGACTGCGGCAGTTACCACTTACGATGATGAGATGCCTCTCGAGGAAGCCTGGAACGAACCCTTGTTCCTGGCTGGGTCTCCGGATTCTTCTATCGGCTCCCCGCTACCACAATCGAGGGATCCTTCGCCTGTGCGAGCTACGGAGAAGGAGGAACCAGTGAGCCCTGCTCGTTCCCTGTCTGCCCCAGAATCACCGCCATTCCCGCCGTCATCTCCGCCAAGAGAGCCCTCACCGGTAGCTTCGCAGCGTTCGTCCCCAGCATTGCACGCACCGACGCCGACATTGGGAATCTCATCGCCTATGCGACCGCCGCCGTCTTCCCCTGCCGTAATCGCTTCGCCGGCATTCCCTCCGTCTCCTGCTTTGCGTGCACCGACTCCGGGTGGCCCTAATCCTTCGCCTATGAAGGCCAGGGAGAGTCTGCGAAAGAGCGCTCAAGTCCGATCTCATGCTGGAAAGCGCCTGTCTGAGAGCTTGAGAAGTCCCTCCGTGGACCCTTCTGAGATTCCTAACGGGAAAGAGGCCCAGCAATCTAGACCGTCATCGTCTCGACTTCAGAGCCCCTTCGCGGGAGCGCAGGCCGAGGAGCGCGTTGGCAGCCCGAAACAATCTATGAAGAATCACGACCGCGGTAACTCGTCTGACGAGAGCGAGGATGACTTCAATCTGGAAGGAGACACGGTGATTGTGGCGGATGGCGAGGACTCTCTCGAGCTGCAAGACACGTATGTAAACACCCAGGAGGCCGATGCCATGTCTCCTCCCCGCCTTAGCTCAGAGCCTCCTCCGGAGCTCCCTGTGCCTTCCGAGCCGACCCATGACGTGGTGGACGGTGATGCTCCGCAGTCCCGCGGACCAGGAGCCTCTCCTACCTCAAGCACCAAGACCAAGAATACAAAACGCAAGGCCCGGAAGTCGGACGGATCACCGGTGACTTTAGGAAGCGCGCCGGTCAGTCCTTCCTCCAGCAAGAAGTCTCTCAGGAAGAGCTGTAACACTAGACCTGTACAGGCTGAAGACGATGGCGCCTCACATGGTGCCAGCGATGCCGAGCCAGAGCAGTCTACACGGGAGGAATCGCGACTATCGGCGAGGGAGGGTACGGCGGAGGATCCTTTACTTCTGGAGCCCGCTCCACGTAGCGCCTCGAAAATGCCTGCAACACGCAGCCGACAAAGTTGGTTGGACAGCGTTCGAGCGAGGTCAAACACTCCGGCCTCGCCTCTGGCCGAGAAGAAGAGCGGTGAGCCAGTGTCATCGCTGGACCACTTCCTCGCGCTTGACCCGGCCCCCGAGCCCCAAGCATCGCATCTCGCTCCCCCGCAACCCTCCCCGCGACCGTCCCTGCAACCCTCGCCGCAATCAGGAAAGCATCAAGGGGCGACTGCAGACATCCCCCGACCCCGATTCTCGATGTCACCCAGTATGACCCGAGCTTGGCGGCCACAAGGGGATTCTGAAGCCTCAAGCCGGGCTTCGCCTCCGCTTATCCACCCTGTGGAGGCTGTTCATGGAGTCGAGGTGGGACTCGAGGACACCGTTGCGCTTCCGAGTCTTAATGTCAGCAACGCTGGAGATCAGTCTCCGGGCGCTGGCGCGCCGTTCGATTTCTCCGTCGATGGGCCCTTCAGCGACAACGATGATTCCGAGGCGGAGGACGCCGCGATCGTGCAAGTCGAGCACCGGGAGTTGTCGATTCAAGTGCAAGACGAGGCAGGACTGGAGGCATCTTTCGACCTCTCGGCGGATACGGTGCGCGAAGTCGACCTCTCAGCGGACACGGTACGCGAAATCGACATTGACGACGAAGCTTCGGGTGGGTCTAACCCGACGCCTGAGGAGGATGGCCAAGAACTGGACGAGCAGGCAGAGCATGCGGGGAGTGAACCCGCGAAGAGCCAATCTCGGTCACCTTATGTTGCGGATGATTCTCCGCTGGCAGACGTCGTTAACGCTGCCCTAGATGCCGGGATGGTGATTGACTCCGACGCCCAGGGCACCGAAGCAGTGAATGTGGAACTGGAACGACAAGAGGCTTCACCTGCTCCTTCGACACCGGCGGAGGATAGCTCAGAGGCGGAATCCGACGACATTCCGCTCATGCCCTCTCGCTTGCGACGAAGTTTGCATGCTGGCGCGACTCCGATGCGTCCAAAGATCCTCTCTGCAAAAGTGGCTCCGCCATCGCCGCCCCGCGATGATAGACCAGTGACACCAGTTCGAGCCCCGCGCCCGCGGGTATTGGAATCGGCTGGTCGGACGCCCTCTATGGTGCCCGGACCACCGTCGGCCGTGGCTTCGAGCCCCTTTGTTCGAGACTACTCCAGCCCGTTCATGGTCAAACCGTCGGCCAGCCCCACCTCGTCGGCAGCAAAGAGCTCTGGTGGACGATCCACTCGTATGCAGCCCGAGATCGTCGTTGAACCCAGCTCCCCTCTGGTTTCTCCTCCTTCAGTAACGCCAAAGTCCACCCACACGCGCGCCACACACTCCATAGCGCAGGACGCTGGGGTCGTCATCCCCCGAAGGGATGTTGAGCCTCAAGGACAGACTGCGACCAGCTCGCACAGACAACCGCCGTCTCCTCCGTCTGTTCTCCCCACCTCAACCGAACGAGCAGTCAGACCGTTGCCTATAAGGAAGTCTGTAGCTCCTACTCCTACTCGCCCTGCGCGAGTGAGTGCCACTCCGATCCGGGAACCGGTGTCTGTCGAGCGCACAGTCTCCACGCCGATCATTGCGCCCACGCCTCGTGCCATCAAACCCTTGCCACACAGGGGCATGTCTGTCACCCCCCGAGCCCCCCAACAACAACATGACGCTCCACAATCCGGACCTCATTTGCATTCGCAACCTTCGTCACGCGCCAGCTCAAGGGCCAGGTCTAGATCACCTTTACGGAACTTCAGCCCCAAGGCCATCGGGACCGCCACCGCTATAGCTGCGACAGCCTTAGCTGTTGCAGTACCGGCTGCTGCCTCGCCCAGCCCAGCAACTATCCGCGCCCAGCTTTCGCCTGAACCCGAGCTCTCGCCATTGGCTCATTCCGCCGTGTCGTCACAACGTCCCGGTCATCCTCACCTGGACACTTACCGCTCTCCTCCACGATCATCCCGATCCAGTCGGCTTTCCGCTACGCCGTCTGCACACTCAACTCAGTCTGAACGCTCTCGATCTCCATATGAACATCAGGACCACAGCGATCACGCCAGCATAGCCAACTCTCGTCTCGCCTTCGCTTTAGCCGGTCTGTCCGATGAAGAAGACGACTATCTACCTGAGCCGCCCGTCATTAGTGTGACACCATTCTTCAGTCGGTCGTATGATCGTGCTCCTTCAGCAGCCTCTCAGTCATCACCAGCTGCTACTCCGAAGCACAACCCGACGGCCGCTGCGCAGACCAACTTCGGAACTCAGCGCACGCCCAGCGTAACTGGGGCCAGCAAGGAAGCCACTCCGACACCTCGACCCGAGATCAAGCTCACTACGCCTCGGCCGCTCGCCAAAGAGGGAGCAGCCAAGGGCACTCCTCTGGCCCGCGATCAGCCAGCGCCGACCACACCTCACCTTCGTGTAGAATCACAGTCAAATTCCGTCACTCCTCTGCCTCGTGCACGAGCGGCTACCCACACCCCGCAATCCAGTGTGAAGGGGAAAACGCCCGCATCGGCGACTACACCAGCGTCTAGTGTCAAGGCTACACCGCAGACCAAGGCGTCTACGCCCCGGTCGAGCACCAAAGCGACGGCATCTGCACCTCAATCGAGCCATAAGACACCCACCACCCCCGCTCCAGCGACCGTGGCGCCGACTCGCACTCCGCTGTCTAGCGTCAACGCCAGTGCCAGGCTTAGTGAGGCACGCACGCCTCAGCAAGTTAGCACTGCCAACCTGCAAGAGGCCGAGGAGGACCGCGACATTGGCGCAGACGATACCGTTGTTCACGATATCGGCGCCGATGACACGATCGACGGCGGCTCAGCGTGGGACCTCACTGCTGCCGACCTCACGTATGATGCTGGAATGACCGCGTTCGACGCCCACGCCTTTAAGGGAGCTGACTGGGATGTCACACGGATCGAACGAGTGCCGCGCGGAGCTAGTGAGGATCATCGTTTACAGGACATCGACGAGGCTTCTGAGGAGGACACTGCATCACAGCCCAAGGAGGACTCGCCGCCTACGGCGGCGGCCAGCCTGCTTGCCGAGGAGTCACCTATCAAGGAGCCACCAGCCAAGGCGCCGCCTGTCGAGGAGCCGCTCGCCGAGGTGGCATTCGCCAAGGAGTCGTCCGCAGTGGAGCCGCCCGCCGAGGAGCCGTCATCCCAGGAGTCGCTCATGGAGGAGGAGCTGCCCGCCGAGGAGCCGCCTGCCATGGAGTCGCCCGCGCGCCCCAGCACTCCTCCCCGTGCGCCCTCGGTGCCGAAGTCTCCAGTGCGCCAGTCACCTCGCTTGGCTGCGCGGAGGCGCGCGCAGACGCAGACCCAATCGCCCGCTTCGAAGCCAAAGCCAAAGTCGACCCGAGTCAACGCACGATCGCCAGTGACGCCACAGGCACCCAGTCAACCAGCTGCCCGGACCCCTTCTCCGAGCCGTGAGACCGCGGAGCAAAGCGTCGTCCCAACCGAGCCGGCTGCAGAAGAGCGCGAGGATGCCGATGCCGCCGCCCAGAAGGCAGAGCAGCCTGTTGCTTCTAATCGCAAGGTGACGCTGAAGGTGGTGGCTCGCATCGTGAAAGTGGAGAGCGATTCGGAGGATGAGGAGATCACTGAAGTCATTGAGACCTCTGAGCAGGAGCAAACGGAGGAGGATCCGCCCGCCTCCTCTGAGCTTTCACCCGAGAGGACGCAGGAAGCAAACCGCCAGATCAAGAGCGCGGCGCCGGCGCCACCGACCCCCCCTCCTGCACCTCCTCTTCCGGAGACTGTATCGACATCCAGCTCTGAGACCCGAGTCGAGAGCACTTTGTCTGCTCGTGAACAGCCGGCGGCTTCTGCCAATACTGAGAGCAGTCGCGCCTCCCTTTCGCAGGCCAAGGGTAAGACTACTCAGACCAAGTCTATTCCAGCAGGCTCCAAAATTCCGCTTGCGACTGGCGGGCGATCTCAGCCCCCGGTCAGGCCCGAGGCATCATCGTCCACTCGGGCTGAGCCTGCTGCGCTTACGCCCGTCCAGCCCACGCCAGTCGCATCTACATCTGCGGATAAGGGTGCTTCACGGCCGGTCCAGAAGCCGGAGACGCCAATCGGCCGTACTCCAGCAGAAGTCTCCGGCATTGGTCGTACTCCAACTTCCTTCGTCAAAGAGCAGAGTCGTCAAATTGAGCAGGCTCTGGGTCGCCGGCCTGCCGTCCCAAGCAAGCTCAGCAAGCAGGTGATCCCCAGCTCTTCGCCTGCGGAGTCACCAGTGGCCGAGCGAACTTACTCCCGTCCCCAGTCTCGTGCATCGCACGAGGGTCCGACCAGCCCTTCAACGTCGCGGCGGCGTCAGTCGGACGTTGCGGAAACCTCATTTGCATCAAGCTCGTCATCTTCACGCCTTAAGAGACGCTTCGAGGACCTGATCCCCAGCTCTTCGCCTGCGGAGTCACCAGTGGCCGAGCGAACTTACTCCCGTCCCCAGTCTCGTGCATCGCACGAGGGTCCGACCAGCCCTTCAACGTCGCGGCGGCGTCAGTCGGACGTTGCGGAAACCTCATTTGCATCAAGCTCGTCATCTTCACGCCTTAAGAGACGCTTCGAGGACCACTTCGACGACGACGACTCGGAGCGGTACGTGCACCGCGCCTCCTTGCACGAGGAGCTCACCGCCGCCTCGGACTCGGGCTCCGAGTTCGACCCCGAGTTCCCGTCCATGGTGGCTGTTTCGTCGATCGATCCCCGAGCGGCTGCCAGGGCCGCCGCGATTCTGAAGATGCACCACCACTGGGTCGAGAATGGCATCATGCCCGATGGCTCCCGAGTGGGGACCCCTGGGCCGCAAGAGCGCAGCCGGGCTCGATCTATTGGTGCTCTGGAAACTCCGCAGACGACCAGGCCCCGCGGAGCCCACGAGACCCCTCACTCCCGCTTCTTTGACAGCATTGAAAGTTCCCGCCTCATCTCGAAGGAGGAGCTGCTTCATGAGGCTGAGTTGGAGCTGGTGGGGACTTCGAAGTCTCGACCTGGCACCCCCTTCGCTGCCGACTCGCCTATGCGTCACATTCCGGGAGCCTGGGCTGCCACCCCTCGCGGACGTACGCCGAAGCGCAAGCGTGACTCGGACGAGCACACCGAAGGCGAGCCCCAGCCGACTCTTGAGACGCCCTTCCAGCCTCACCCCCGTTACGACTCCAGCACTTATGAGGGCAACGTCGACGGCCGATCATGGACCAAGCGCGACTGGAAGTATCTCGAGAAGACGTTCAAGTACCTCGCGTCGAAAGCGGAGGGTCCCGGCGTCAACTTTGAGGCCGTGGTGGACGCGTTCCTGAAGCAGACCGGGAAGGAGCCGGTGGGCGAATGGAGCCGCGAAGTGCTTCTGATGCGCGTGAGGGCCTTGGCGAGGAGGCACGGGAAAACGGAGGCAACCGAAGACCGCGAGCCCAAGCGGCAGAAGACAACGACCCCCGCCAACCCACCTCCGTCCACACTCCGCAAGGTCATGGGGTGGCTATGGCGCGGCAACACTCAACCTCAAGAGACTGCCGAGCCTGCAGCCGCCACTACCTCCGTCGCCAAGCCCAAGAAACAGAGACGTGACAATGATTTCTTACAGACACGGGACGACTCGTTCGAGATCGGAGAGGTCACGATGGCTGCCACACCCAGCCGGCCGCAAGATCGCCGCCACGCATCTCCTCCCTTTGAACGCGAGGAGGCGTACGATGCGGAGCGCAGCTTTGAGGTCGATCTCGAGCGCGGTCACCAGTCATACGACATTCCATACGAGGAGGAAGAGGAGGACGAGGAGGAGTTTTTTCCGGAGCCGACGACGTACACCGCACGGGGCGAGCGATCGTCGGTAACTGAAGCCTCAACGTCGATGTACGACCACCATCACCATCGCGCATCAACGCCCTCATCCAGCCGGAAGATCTACCCAGATCTGCCGAACCTCAACTTCCCCAATCGGCCGCACTCGCTAGCGTCCTCCACTAGGCGGTATGAGGAGAGCCGTCCCGCTGGCTCGCGATTACCAGTCATGGGCACGCCGCGTCCGCGGGCACGTGTGCGCTCCGACTCGTCTATCGCAGACACGTCAATCGCCTCGCGCCCCGGCAGCGTGCGCGACATGGTGCGCGGCTTCGAGGAGACGCAGGAGTTAGACCTGTCCTTCGAGTCGGCGCGCAGGGAGCGGGAGAAGAACGAGCTGCTCGGGCTGCGGCGCGTGCGCAGCGTAGTCGAGAAGGTGAAGGAGAAGCACCAGCTTTGAGCTGCTGTATAAGATAGTCCATTCGTCTTGGTTATAATTCGATTCGACCACAACTACGTATATCACTACTACTATGCCACTGTATGTCATTCTATCCCAATCTGTTGCGAACAAAGCAGCAAGTGCACGCTGGAATCACGTTCGACGCGTGCTGTTCGGCTTTGCACTAGGTCGCTGGGTTGAACTAGCCGGACAGGCTGCACTGTTCGGACAGTGGGTTCTTACGAGATGTATTCCGTAGCGCCTCTCTGGCGCGGCGGTCGGGTCGGGTGGACGCGCTGCCACACGTGTTTGGTGTTTCAGGTTCACCAAGTACAGGCATGTCAGGGCGCATCAGCCGCGGCTGACCTGGTACCACTGGTTGCTGGCGAGAAGCATTAGAAGAGCACACAAGTGATGACGAGAGTGGTTTTCCGTATCGAAGAGACAGCGCGCCGTTGTGCACATTACGGATGCCTTCTGTGATAAGCAGTATAGCAGCTATTGAAAGATTCAGAGAAGAAGCTCATGCGATATACCAGGCATCGTCCCAGTTGCTATAATCAGCTTCTGACATGTTACGTCAAGAGGTCTCAGTCGCTGGCCCGGACCCTGGGCAACATGCATGTTCGATGGATCAATGGTTCCAATGGACCGATGCGGCCTGGATCGTTTGGACGGTTTAGAGGGCACCTAGCAAAGGCTCTGGCGGTACGACGGGGCGAAGGGAAGACAGCGTGAGCGCGGCTTCCAATGCGGCTTGGAAGTGCGGGGGGCGCTCTCTATCCGCTATACCGCGATGCCGCGATGCGCGTGCGCGGTAGGTCAACCGTAGTCTCATGTGGTTAGTGCGGCCGCGCTCGCCTCTTTGCCCCGCAGGCCCAGCACGCCCGGCGACGATGCTCTCGCTAAGTGCTGCGTACTCTTCCTCTATCCTTCCAGGAAAGCAGCCTCCAACACCGAGACGGCATCGATGGCGCAAGAGCACCTCGAGATTGCTGATTCAGACCGACACACGGGTCGTGTTCCGCCGGCGCCAGAGACGCTTTGAATAGAAGGAGGAAGGGGGCGCCGCTTGCCGTTCTGCCGGACTCAAGGAAGCAGAGGACAGGAGCATCCTCGGATGAAGTAAGGAGAAGTGTGCAACGAAGGACGGGCGACGGCTTAAGGGCGAGCCAGCTCTGGACCATTTATCACATAAACTTAAATCCCTGACTAGAGACGTAGACTTGCACGAGCAGCGAGAGCAGCGCCTCTTCTGCGCCTTTGCAGCGCTTGAGCAGCGCATGCAGCGCTCATCACGTTACTGCCCGCCCTGTTGGTCTGCCACCTCAGCTTGACTTCTGGAGACTGTCAAGTGCGACGACCAAGCCCTTTGCCACTACGCCGGATGCAAGGCCCACCGGCGTATACGGGATTGCTGCCCAATCGCGCAGCATGCGATGCCGGGGCTTGCGACCTGATGCTGCAGCCCAAGACGCACGTCGGTCCAGCCCGTCGAGGGATGCAGAGGATCCGTCGAATGCAGCATGAAGGGATTGACTGAAATGCAGGGACGGACCGGCACAACCTCCAAGGTTCCTAGGGTTTCGCAGGGTCGCAGCGGTCCTTAGCGCCTGGTCTCTCAGCTTTCCAGTTATCACCCACCGTACGAAAGCATCCAATACGCGCACGCACGTATCCCTCCTTCCAACGATCCAACGATTCACGGCCGCTCATTGTCCATCCGGCGTCGACTTTTGCCATCGCTACAACCCCGACTGGCGACCATCACCCAACTCACAATCACGACGACAAGCGCACGCCGATCTCTTGCGCCCTCACCCTCGTCGCACCCCCGTCGTCGTCAGTCTCCCTGTCGTTCGTTAAGCTCTTGCACACCAGAAAGACGCTCGCTCGCGCTCAACGAAACCCGCATCGCGCAACTCGCGACCCACCTCGATCAACGCCACTACCCTTACCCCTCACGGCTCACGGTCTCCGGCCCTCCACTGTCCTAACTGCCCTCAACCACTCTCGTCACTCCACCTCCACCGTAGGCCAACGGCACGGGGTCTCTTGTCGCGCGCACGCGCAAACGCACGCACGGTCCATCGTCTTCATCGTCTGCTCGCCCTTCGTCCCTACCACCGCACCGCTGTACCACCTTCCACACGTCCACGCCTACCACGCATCATTGGGCCCCTCTCTCAGAACGCCGGACGCCAGCCATTGGCGATGTGGAACTAAGACCACGCCGCCCAGAGCCGAAGCCGACACTGTTGATTTCTTGGACAATCAGATTCAGCCAGTCGATATCCGATCCGACCCCTCAAGTCGGACCTAGATCACTTAGAACTTGCGACGTGCTTCGCCATCACGACCACGACCGCTCGTCCTTCGGCACTAGACAACGCTCGCTAAACAATCGCAGACGATACCACGTTCAACTGTACGCCCGACTTTTGTCCACATTCCACTCTTTGCCCGACGCGAGTGATACCGCCCCTCACTTCCACGCGCGCAGCTAGCAGCCCGCTGAGCCTCTCGGCCGCCCGTACGCCTTCCTCCCCTCTCGCCGGCCAGCATGACGACCGAGATCAAGGAGCGCGTCTCGCACGACCTTGCGGCTCTCCCCGTCCACACGAATGGTCAGTGTCTCACCTCTCCCTCGATATTATTCCCGACAGCCGGCTGACTTTCCGCAGAGGCGCTCACGAACGTTCTCGAGGGCCGCTATGACAACCACGAGGTCTACACCAATTGTGGTATCCTGACGGTAAGGAAGATCTGCTAATCGGCATCGTGATCTGACAGTCCAGCTCGCCGTCAACCCCTTCGCTAATGTCCCCGGACTCTGTGAGCTATGCGATGTTGTTGAGCTGACAGTTACAGACGAGCCCGACGTGCGACGATCATTCTACGGCGTGCCATCACACTCGCAACGACCACACGTATATGCTGTTGCCGAAAACGCCTACCAAGCGTTGTTCAACGGAGACAAGCGTAACCAGACTGTCGTCATTACTGGAGAGAGGTGAGACAGCTTTCCACCGTTCCATCGCAGCTGGACTGACAATCACAGTGGTTCCGGAAAGACGATCTCATGTAATCACTCGATCGAGTATCTCGCTGCACGCGGGTCGAGTGGAGGCGACCTCGCTGACAAGCTCGTGAGCGCCAGTACGGTACTTGAAGCGTTCGGAAACGCCCCGACAGTGCACAACGCGAACTCGAGTCGTTACGCCAAAGTCGTGAACGTACGTCGCTGCCTTGTCTCGACCTTCAGCTGACATTCAGATCCACTTTGACCTCAAGGGAGCCTTGACGGGAGCATCCGTGTCTACCTTCCTGCTCGAACGGGGTCGCGTTATCGACGACCGACCATTCCACATTGTGACGCTGTTGCGGAAACTGCGTGAGACGGGCGAGAAACCGGAAGCCTTCACGAAGATCTGCACGGCGCTGTCGGAGCTGGGACTGGACGAGGAGAAGCAGGAACGTATCTGGTCGGTGCTTGAGGGCATTGACCATTTGATCGCGGGAAACGATGCGCCGGCAGCCGAGTGCTTCGGGCTCGATCCGCAACAGTTCCACGACGCTCTTACGGTGCGGACTGTGAAGGCCGGAAACGTCGACACGGTCAACAAGCCGAGAATAGGCGCCGAGCTCAAGGCGGCCCAGGAGGGTCTCGTGCGAGCACTGTACGCATGGCTGTTCGAGTGGCTCGTCGCCGAGGTCAACCATGCCCTCGGAGCTGCTGACTCGGAGGGGCCGTGTATCTCCCTGATCGATATCTTCGGTTTCGAGAGCTTCGAGCGGAATACCTTGGCCCAGTTCTTGATCAACTGGGCGAACGAGCAGCTGCAACGGCAACTCTCGAAGGATGTGCTGGAGCGCCAGGCCGAGGTGTACATGGACGAGGGAATCGAGATGGAGAAGCCGACACCACAGCCATCATGTCTCGAGCTCATTGCCAACAAACCGGGCCGCAAGACGCAGACCGGCATCGCCTGTCTGCTGGACGACGAGACGCGGCGACTCGGTCTCGGTCTCGGCGGTACGGACGAGACGTTCGCAGGCAACATCAACCTCGAGTGCCACAAGCTCCACGGCTACGTCCGGAGTCCGTACACGAAGCCGAACGAGTTTGTCGTCGCCCACTACGCCCGCCAGGTTAAGTACGACACGCGCGGCTTTCTTGCCGCGAACTCGGAGCGTGTAGACGACAAGCTCTTGAACTGCCTCACATCGGGTGGTGAGTTCATGCAGACACTCGTCCTCCCGCGCACTGCTGGCCGCAACTCTTTCGCCAGTGTAGTCACATCATTCCGCAAGTCGCTTGACGAGCTTAACAACCTCCTCACAAACACTCGCGTCCACTACATTCACTGCATCAAGCCGAACAACGAGGCTAAGGCCTGGGTCTTCCGCCGAGACCTCGTCTCCGTCCAGGTCGGCGCTGCGGGCATCACGCAGATTGCGCGATTTGCGCGAGAGTGCGGTCCGTACCGCGTCCCGCATGCGGAGATGGCGCCGTATTACCTCGTCCTTGACACGCCGCCGAATGACATGCAGGAGGTCGTCAAGGCGCTCTCAGACATTGCAGGTGACCCGAAGGGAGTGCAGGTCGGCCGATCGTTCGTTTTCTTCAATGCCGCTGCGCTGTCGAAAATCGACGCGGCGCTGGAGCGCAAAGTCGAGGTTCTGACCCGGCTGCAATCTGCTGCGAGGCGATTCACGACACAGCGCAGCTTCATCGAGCGAAGAGACGCTATGCGCCGGAAGAAGGAGGAGGAGCGGAGGGCTGCAGAGGCGCTGCGCAAGCAGTTGGAGGCTGCTGCTGCCAAAGAGCGTGAGTTGACGTTCGCGGTAATTGTAACTGACTTTTCCAGGAGCCGAAGCCGAAGCTGCCCGAGCTGCGAAGCGGGAAGAGCGAGAAAGGTCATTATCGATGGGCAAGGAGAAGGAGGTACCGAACGGAAATGGCGATGCCGGACCGCTGTCTGCGGACACGACGCATACGACCGTCAACACCGACACGACCGCCGCCACCGAGACGCCTGGATCGCCCGTCTCGTGGACCTCGTCCATTACGGAGGAGGAGAGCGTCGACGACCTCTTCCACACGCCGCCAGTGCCGACGCGAGAACAGCTCGTCACCGCGCCCGTTGCCAAGCCGGACTTTGTTTCTCTGCTGGTGCGCGAGATCATCAACAGCGCCGGGGACTACGAGACAACTGCCACCGCTGGCTCGCTTCTCGCACGTATTGTCTCCTGGCACCGAGAGCGGGAGATGGCCGCCGTGCCGGACAAGATTACAACGGAGCTCACATCTGGTCTGCGCGCGCTCACGGAACGAAACTCGATCCCGAAGATCTGGTGCGCGCTCTCGCTGTCCCAGGCTGTGCTCGAGTCGGGCTACTCGGCGCCGCTGGAAGCCCTGCAGGCGCAGCTGTTCGACCATCTCATGAAGTGCATCTACGGCCCGGCGGAGAAGACGACAACGGCGCTCCTGGGCTCGCACGACGGGCAGCACTCGAACCACTTCATGGAGTCGGTCATGCACTCGCTTACCGCGTTCCCTAAGCAGATTCGTAAGGGGACTGCTTATGCGATGTTCACCCGCGAATACCAGCTCTTGGTGCAGGCAGTCTTGACCGGGATCGGCAACGAGACTGCCGCGCGCGCCTTGAGATTCCTTGATTCAGAAAAGAGTGAATTGAATGTGTGGCGTATGGAACTGACAACAGACATGCGCGAGTATGCGGGCATGCTGAACATGCCGCTGGAGCGGGTGCTGCTGTCGATGCTGCAAACCGTCTCGGAGGGAGGAGTGAGTTGATACTACATTCGTTGCTGACCCATCAGACACCATCGAGTCGTTCCCAGCTCGGATCGCTGCGTAGCAAGCAGACGATTCGGCACCCGACCAAGGCGACGAACGCAGCCCTCGCTGCGGCCGGCTTCCAGCCCGTCGACATCCGATCAGACCTGCAGTCCACTCTGCGCACTGCCAACGACCAGTGCACGCTGCCCGAGCGGATTCTCGACTCGCTCGTCACAGTGCGCAAGTTCCACGACTGGGAGGCGCAGGCGCTCTAACCCACCAACCTAATGATCAAAAAATACCTGGACGACCTTACACCTGCAACTACACATTTGAACCACCACCACCATCCCTCACATTACCGCCACGACACATGACACTCATCGAGACTGAGAACACCCATTTCCTTCCCCTCCTCTTCATAGTTTACTGTTCACTGGGCTTATGTATTGCATTTTTGTTGGCTGTGGTGGCAGATGTCTTGTAGCTGTGTAGCCAACCCAGCCTACTGTGCCCACCGTGAGAGACCGGCTCTCAAGGTTGTTCAGGGTTCTCTGAGGTGCCGAGGATCGGGAACTAGGCACGGCTCTGTTGTGCCATTCAGGCGCGGGACGTGCGGTGGAGGGTGTCCAGTCCAGTCAACCGGTCCCTCGACTCCTCTGCGGAAGAACGTTGTTGAGCCGGGCGATATCGATACCGACCGAGAGACCCGAACCCCGCGTATGCCAAGACCTGTTGGACCTGAGTATTTTGGCACGTATCGATCAATTGGGACAGGCCCGCGTCCAGTCATCACCTCGAGGACGAAAGCCCAAGCCGTTCCCCCTTCTCCCCCAGTCGATCAGGGATCGGCCGCATCGCAGAAACGAGACCGGAAGCTGAGGCACTGAAGCAGCGCCTGGAACGCAAGGCAGGTTATTGTATTGTTCCCCTTACTGCAAGACCCTAGATGGGCGGGACGGCGGTGCACAACGGCATCACCTCACTCGCTGTCGCCATAATCAGCCTTGATCTAACCGATGGGAGCCGGCGCCCACCGTACCGCTGAGCCGATGCCCGCTGACGGTGCCCGCTCGAGCCTTCTCTCTCCCAAAGAATCGAGTGGCCCCAGACTAGTTCTGCAACGCTTGATTCCCTTGATTCACATCTTTCCCCTCTTCAGTCGATCCAGTCAACCGCCCTCAACCACCATCTCCTCGGCTGTCCTGCCTCGCCACCTCGCCGCAGGCATTCCCAGGCATCCGTGCACGCGTGCACACTCCCAGCCTAGTCACCCAAGGCCCGACTTGGACCAAAGCGACCCCGCCGCTGGCCCCCCCCTTGCCTTGGCGCTTATCGGGCAACCACACAAACGTACTAATACACCCGCTCCCTTCCTCAACATCTTCGCCTCCTTCCTCATCACCCAAGTCATCCTCAACCTCCAATCACAACCTCACCCATCGATCTCGACTATGCCTCCCAGACGCTCTGCTCGCGGAGCTGCCGCCGCTGCGGCTGCAGCGCTGCCGCCGCTGCGGCTGCAGCTGCTGCAGCACCTGTCCCCGCCCCAGCTCCCGCCGCAACAACGTCGGCACCAACGCCCAGCCCGCCGCCGCAGGTGAAGAAGAACCCCTTCCCACTGCGTGGTTGCCGTATCGCCGTCTCTGGTGCGCTGCCCGGCCTGACACACGAGGACGTGCTCGAGAGGGCGAAGAAGCTCGGCGCAGCGACGACCCAGAATGTGACAGCCACAGTGACGCACCTCATCACGACGGAGCAGGAGGTCGACGATGAGACGCCGAAGGTCCGCGCGGTCAAGAAGTTTGGCAAAGCCAAGATGGTGTCTATGGACTGGCTCGAGAAGACCGAGGAGGACGGAGAACGCGCCCCCGAGGACGAGTACGAGCTCAAGCCCAAGGACCCCTCTGCCGTTGCGTCTTCCTCCAAGGCTGCCCCGGTCGCTAACGGCACCGCCAAAGCTAACGGCACCAAGCGCGCTGCCTCCCCGGCCTTGCCCGCGCCTCCTGCCAAGAAGAGGAGCAAGAAAGAAGGTGAGCTCCACGACTCAGGTGAGAGCTAATCTCAGACGTCAAGCCACTCCCTCCCTCCCCCTCGAAGGACAACTGGTCCGCAGAAGACCTCGAGCCCAGCGCGCAGAAGGCGACCAGCAAGGACATCTGCGTCATGCTCGACGAGGGCGCTCCGGCCAACTACAACGTCTACATTGACTCGGACCTCACTATCTGGGACGCATCGCTGAACCAGACGAACGCTTCGAACAACAACAACAAGTTCTACCGCCTCCAGGTGCGTATTATCTTAGCTTATTCGTGACAGAGAGCTAGCTGACCTTTACAGCTTCTTCAGAACGGCGCCATCTACAAGACTTGGTCACGCTGGGGCCGTGTTGGTGAGCGCGGGCAATCAGCGTTGCTCGGCTCGGGCTCTCTTGCCGACGCTCTGAAGCAGTTCGAAAAGAAGTTCAAGGACAAGTCTGGCCTCAAGTGGGACGACCGCTCCTCCGCCCCCAAGGTTGGCAAGTACACCTTTGTCGAGCGCAGCTACGCGCCCGACTCGGATGACGAGGACGAAGCCGAGGACGAGGTGAAGAAGGAGGAGGAGTACGAAACTCCCAAGTCCAAGCTTCCGCTTCAAGTGCAGCAATTGATGGAGTTCATTTTCAACCCGACCTTTATGAACGCGACGATGGCTGATCTGAACTACGACGCCAAGAAGCTGCCCCTCGGCAAGCTGAGCAAGAACACGATCACGCGCGGTTTCCAAACGCTTAAGGACCTGATGGAACTCATCGACGACCAGAGCCTGGCGCAGTCGCGCTATAACATGGCTTACGCGCCTGCCGTTGAGCAGCTGTCCAACCAGTACTACTCTGTCATCCCCCACGCCTTTGGCCGCAACCGCCCGCCTGTCAACGCAAACGAGGCGATGCTTCGCCGTGAGCTCGACCTCCTCGAGTCGCTCAGCGAGATGAGGGAGGCGCAGAACATCTTAAAGGGCCGCAAGGATTCTCGCGACAACCCCGCCGATGCCCAGTTCGAGGCGCTCGGCATGGAGGAGATGACGCCTCTGGACCACTCGTCGAGCGAGTTCAAGCAGCTCGCCGAGTACCTCCTCGAGACCAAGGCCTCGACGCACTACGTCAAGTACCAGATCGAGGAGATCTTCCGTATCGAGCGCAAGGGCGAGGAGGACCGTTTCGAGAACAGCAAGTTCAAGGACGTCAAGAGCGACCGCCGTCTGCTGTGGCACGGCTCGCGCACGACCAACTTTGGTGGCATTCTCAGCCAAGGACTCCGCATCGCGCCGCCCGAGGCGCCCGTCTCCGGCTACATGTTCGGCGAGGGCATCTACCTCGCGGACATGTCTTCGAAGAGTGTCAACTATTGCTGCAGCAGCTTGTCAAACGGCACAGCGCTGCTTCTGCTGTGCGAAGCCGAGCTCGGCGACCCCCTGCAGAAGCTCACGAACGCAAGCTACACGGCCGGCGACGACGCAGTCAAGAACGGCATGTATTCGACCTGGGGACAGGGCACGACGGGACCCAGCAAGTGGAAGGACGCGAGCAGCGTCCACGAGCGCTTCAAGGGGACCAAGATTCCCGACCTCAGCGCGAAACCGGGCAACACGGGCGTCCCCAACGCGTACCTCGCTTACAACGAGTTCATCTGCTACGACGTTGACCAGGTCCGTCTCCGCTACCTCTTCCGCGTCCGCACGTAAGCGCACAGTTGTACATACTCTACCGCACATGTTCATAGCATTTGTTGTTTCAATGACCCCTTGATACCCGATGAAAGCACGGCTGTACTCTACCGAGTGCTTGTTATGTTACTGCTCATTCTTTGTCCTTTGTCCTTTGGCCTTTGGCCTTTGGCATGCGATGCTCATGATAGTTAACGCGTTTCGTGAAGTGTTCCTTGTGAGAGAGAGGAATGGGAATGTTGATTACGTAAGTGGATCGGCAGAGTAGGCTATATGGGTTCAAAATTTACGTAAAATAACGAGGGTTGTTGATCCAGTGGTTAAGATGGCTGCCTTCCATTACTTGGAAGATATAGCAGCTTACCGGGGTTCGAATCCCCGACAACTCATCTTTTTGTCTTTGTTCTATACAAGAGATCGGCGAAGATTTCTAATCTTTGGAGGATGGGCATAGGTTTGGAGAAATGATATGCATTCATAGGATGCTTGTCCAGTCCAGGCTAGGTTGGGAGTTGGCGCGCGGAGTGCGGGTGTCGCCCAGGGCTACAATAAAAGTCGAAGGATGTGCGTCGCCAGCTCGTTGTCTTTCGTACTGACAGGCGCGCGAAGGGCGCGGGCTGGACGCCAAGACGTGGAGCTGACTAAGGAGACCAGAGAGAACCTTCTGGGAACCTCGGAGCGCCCTTTCCGCCCCCTGTTCTTGCTACGGTCGGCGCATGAGTGTGCGCCGCGATAAGGTCTCATCGGCGACTCGGTGAGTGGATTCTGCGGTGGATTGTCAAATTCAGCCTCCGATTTTGAAATTGACCCGGCGCCCAAGGGTGGACTGGAGGCATAAAAGACCGATGCGTTGAAGCCCGATATCCATCCCAACTTTCGCCTCCCATTCTCATTTCTTACCGAGCACGACGCAGACGACGACGACTAGTTCGGAAGATATAGATATTATCATGAGTGAGCTCAAGGGGTTGGAGTGAGCTGACGTGCAGGCTGCTGCAAGCCTTCCACTGTTCCTGCTCAAGCTTCGTGCTGCTCGCCCGCCCCCGCCGCTGGAGGCTGCAAGCCTGTCGCTAACGAGGGATGTTGCAAGCCGGTGACCTCCTCCTCGTCATGCTGCAAGACTGAAGCCGCTTCCTCTAGCTGCTGCAAGAAGGAGACCGCCCCATCGTCGTCGTGCTGCAAGACCGAGGTCAAGGAGGAGGCTGGGTGCTGCAAACCCGACGCTGCCCCAGCTAGCTGCTGCGAGAAGGAGCCCGCGCCTTCGACGTCATGCTGCAAGGCCGACGCTGCTCCGGCGGCTGACTGCTGCAAGCCCAGAACTGATTCCTCGAGCTGCTGCAAGACCGACGCTGTCCCCGCTTCCAGCTGCTGCAAGCCTGTAGCCGCTCCGTCAGCCTGCGCACCTAAGACCGCGTCCGGATGTTGCGGCCCCAAGCCCTCGAATGCCACGCACGACGCAGTCCGTTCAGCCTACGGCTCGGCCGTGACTTCTGTCGTGTCTGGTGGCGGTGCCTCCTGCTACGGCTCGAAGGCGACTGAGCTCTCCGGCGTCGACCCCATCACGAAGGACCTGTACAACGAGCTCGAGGCGTCCGAGGTGCCGGCCGAGGCTCTTCTCGCCTCTTTCGGTTGCGGCAACCCGACCGCGCTCGCGAAGTTGGAGAAGGGTCAGACTGTCCTTGACCTCGGTTCCGGAGGCGGCATCGACGTGATCCTCTCCGCCAAGCGCGTCGGACCCACAGGCAAGGCGTACGGCCTCGACATGACGGATGAGATGCTGGATCTCGCGCGCCGCAACGCCGTCACTGCCAAGGTGGACAATGTCGAGTTTCTGAAGGGCCACATCGAGCAGATCCCGCTGCCCGACTGCTCCGTCGACGTCATCATCAGTAACTGCGTCATCAACCTCAGTCCGGACAAGGACGCGACGCTCGCCGAGGCGTACCGCGTCCTGAAGCCTGGTGGCCGCCTCGCCATTTCGGACATTGTGCTCAACCGCCCCCTGCCGACGGAGACGCAGCAGGATCTCAAGCTTTGGGCGGGATGTATCGCTGGTGCCCTCGTCAAGGGCGACTACGAGGAGAAGCTCACCAAGGCTGGCTTCAAGGATATCGACATCGAGCCGACGCGCGTGTACTCTAGCGAGGACGCGAAGGAGATTGTCGACGGTCAGGGAGATGAGAAGGACGAGCAACTCAAGGCCATCGACGGAGCCGCGATGAGCTGCTTCATCCGTGCTACCAAGCCGACGAGCAACTGTGGACAGAAGTGCTGTTAGGAAGTCGCTAGATAGGTTGTTGTGCATAGATTGAGCTCAGCATGCATGTAAGAAGTGTGAAGTTGCGGTCTATGGACGTGATTATTAGTGATTGTCGGTTCCTAATGCATGATAAGCTAAAGTATTAGTATGTGAACCAGCTCCATGCATAAGGGAATCTCCCAGCCTGCACTCGTGGGAAAGGTTGAAACTGCGAAAGGCTTCCTCCGACGCCGATTCGTTTTAAAAAACCAAAGTTTTTCCTAATAGGATGCATTAGGATTCAAAATTTAGCACCGCCTCATTGCGATTTAGAAACATCGTCCCTGAGATTAGAAAATGGTTTTCCTAATTGTATTAGGATACGAATGAGGCGGTGCTAAATTTTGAAAAACGCGTTTCTAAATCGCAATCCTAATCAAAGCCCTATCCTAATCCAATTAGGAATCAAAATTTAGCACCGCCTCACTCCGATTTAGGAACGTGTTCCCTGAGATTAGAAAGTCGCTATCCTAAATGGTTTATAATGAGTATGAGGCGGTGCTAAATTTTCATTCCTAATCGAATGTCCGTTTTCTAAATCGCGAATCGAGGTCGGAGGAAGCCTTTTGCAGTTTCAACCTTTCCCACGGGTGGCATCGGTGATCCTAATCCACCAACCATGCATTAGCCAGGTTGCCTCAATGCTAGCAATGCTAATCGATGACTAGGACGTCCGTAATGTACGGCTCTATCACCGTTCGCACTGGTCGCCAGTATCCTGCACTGATGCACGCAAGAATGCTACGATCTGTGCATGCATGTTCAGTTCACTGCGCGACGTCGCCAAGCACGGAAGTTTAAGGTACGCGTGCATCTCGGGCAAGCTTTGACGTCGAGGGGCCAGCGAGTCACATGAGTGTCCAGAGTCTGCCACGATCGTTGTTTCTTCGAACTGGGGGATCGTGGGAGGGATGAGCTGGTTTCTACTAACTCGTCTGCTAACCCATCCACTCGCGCCTCACCTGGTTGCTGGCCGATGCCCGATGCGTTCTCCTTCTGCAACGGAGACTCTGCGGTCGATCCAGAGCCACTGATATCGATTGATCAGACATTCGCGGGTGGGCGATCAACATGCCGCGCTTACGCAGCCAGATCGCCGTCTGAGAGTCCGGAACACCGTCCGACGTGCCTCTTATCCGAAAGGGGGTCCACCTGTTGCGGCATTCGTGCTCAAGTGCTCGCAGGTATTAGTAACCTCACCTGTATTAATAGCTTGCTGAGGGTGCAGAGCTCGGAATGTCGCTGTCAGCCAGGTCAAAGCCACGGAATGTAGCCTGGTCGGCACGCAGTGTTCCCTCCGCGGCGTCAGCCAATGCAGCGGGTAGTAGGGCAACAACGCCGCCGAGATCTGGTCGTGCGGCAGTTGTGAGCGGGAGGAGCAGGGCTTGAGCCATTAAACGCAGCATAAGCCACCCCGATCCCGAAGCCACAAAGTCTAAGCTGACGAGGCTGCTGTCCCAAGCAGTGAGCAGACCAATGTCGTCGAATGCTGACAACGCAGCCGCACATGCCGCAGAGCGGCGAGATCTCCGGCGATCGGGATGATCGAGGTATCCAGAACAGTGGAATGCGCTTCGCGACTGAGGCACTTGGCACACAACGCAAACGAGGCACCCGTAACACATGCCCACAGGGGACGACGTTGGGGCTACGATGGTCTAAGCGTGCGCTCGGAGCCGGTACCAGCTCTGGCGCGCCCTGCGTGGGCTATCGCCTCCGCCACCTGTCTCGCCCAGCGTCATTTCTTGAGAGACTTTCCCCGCCCTGCTGTGCGAAGCGTCCGTGCTTGCACGGCTGCATAGCCCTCACTGTCATTGGTAGACACACAACGCCGCTCGGCTCGGCGGAAACATACCACCGCCTGCCCTGTTCTTCGTGGTGTTTGGCGAGCGCGGGGGTGTCCCGCGGCACTCCTCAGCGGTCACCTTCACAGGTTTCATTCGCCTGCCTCGCCTGAAACTCCCTGGTAGCGCACCTCACGGAGGTCTGATCGCAGCCTCCATCCCCATGACGATGACAAACCTCTCTAACCTGCTTACTGCCCCAGCTGCGCCGCTCACAGCAGACAGCGTACGACCCACACTGTCACCAGATCCACTGACGAAGCCACCTGTCCGTGTCCGCGAGATGCTGTCCGCCCTCGCTCCCGCTAGCGGTCCACTCCCTAAACCTCCCGGTCCACACACCAAGGCCGTGTAGCTCACTGCTTTCGCAGACATGCCAAGCTGCGGTACCTCGTGTGGCACTCGCACCACTGCAGGGTATAAGAGTTGAGGGCTAAGGAATCATTCTTCTCAACACCCCCTTGCAGGCTTCGAACTCAGGATCGGCAGCAAGAATGGTCCGTCTCAGCGCCTTCTTCTTCCCTGCGACGGTGGCCCTCCTCGCCGGTGCCGTTGACGCGCATGATCACGGCCACGGCAATGGTCACCACCACCAGACGTCCACAGTGGTGGCCTCACCGACCACAAACCCCAACCCGCCTGGTCCATTTGTGGTTCCTCCACCGCCGCCTCCCGACAAGATCTTCTCGTACCCACAGCCCGCTCTGCCCGAGCAGACGGCCGCGCGTGACCAGTCTACCTGGAAGCTGAACAGGAGCAAGCACCGTGGTCACAAGACTCGTCGTTACAACTTCAACCTCTCATATACCGCCGGCGCGCCTTCTGGGTTCCACCGCCGCCTGACGACCGCCAACGCCCAGTTCCCCGGTCCGCTCATCGAGGCAAGCGTTGGCGACACGATCGAGGTCAAGGTTACGAATGACCTCGATGAGCCCCAGGCCCTGCACTGGCATGGGTGAGTAACCGTCCATCTTCCTTCTCCATGCTGTGCCATTTCCGATCGTGGTGTCAGTGCTCACAATCAGTATCCGCATGGAGGGCACGCCCTTCAACGATGGTCCGCCCGGTATCAACCAGTGTCCTATTCCTCCCGGAGGCAGCTACACGTACCGCTTCAAGGTGTCGCACTACGGGACCTACTGGTGGCACTCGCACTACGGCGCGACGATGGCTGATGGCCTCTACGGCGCGATCGTAGTTCACTCGCCCAAAGATCCTATCCGCTCCGACGCTGAGGAGGTGTTGTTTGTCTCGGACTGGTACAACGACCAGAGCAACACGATTGTGGCGGGTCTCCGTAACACGTCGGTCGGATACCGTGGTATGCCTATCCCTGGCATTCCCGACGCGGTGCTCATCAACGGCCTCGGACAGACCAACTGCTCTCACGTCCAGCCCGGCGTGGAGTGCACCCAGAACGAAGTGCATGTCGTCGAGGCCAAGCCTGGCAGCAAGCTGCGCCTCCGTGTCATCAACCCCGGTATGGAGGCCATGATCCGCTTCTCGGTCGACGGACACGTGCTCAAGGTCGTCGAGGCGGACGACACGCCCATCGAGCCACTCTACATGCACGAGCTGGACATTGCCTCAGGCCAGCGCTACTCCGTCATTCTCGACCTGGACCAACCCGACGCCGCGTACTGGATGCGCGCCCGTATCGCTGCCGGGTGCGTGCTCCTTGGCCGCGAGCTCGAGACCAAGGCGATCCTCCGGTACAAGGGGCGCGAGGGCGAGCCGACGTCGCAGCCCTGGCCCGACCGCGCGGAGAGCAATGCGCCCTGCGTCGACATCGACAACAAGTACACTGTCGTGCCCCTCCATCGCGAGAAGCTTCCCAAGCCCGTCACCCAGGGGCGCATGGACAGCGCGGCCGGCGAGTTTGTTGACGTTGCGACTGGCGCCAAGTTTATTGGGTTCGGGTTCAACAACGTGACGTACCTCAACTACATCCAGGACCCGGTGTACCAGCAGGTGCAGGAGGGCAGGCCTCTCAACACGACGCACTTCGCGCACCTCTCCTTCTCCGGAAAGGGAAGCGCGGACCTGCTCCTGAACCAGCTCGACCCCGGAATCGCGCACCCGTTCCACCTGCACGGCCGTCCGTTCTCGATCATCGCCCGCGGGTCGGGCAAGATGACGCTCGATGGGCTCAAGGACGTCAAGCTGAACACGGTCAACCCGCTGAGGAGGGACACCCTCCATCTTCCCGTCAGTAGCTGGGCGCTGCTGCGTATCCCCCTCGACGACCCCGGGGTGTGGGCGATCCACTGCCACCTCGGTTGGCATCTCGCCAACGGGAAGCTGGCCGTTATTGTCGTCCAGCCCGAGAAGCTGAAGCACCTCCGCCAGCCGCGCGAGTGGTACGGCCTCTGCACGAATAATAAGAACGAGATCGGGCCTGCGAAGCGCGATTCCGACACATCCGATGAGGCCGGGCCGGCCGGCGAGGCCGGTGAGGTCGACGACTTCGCTCCGCGCCAGGTGCGCAGGTACGGAGAGACTCGCACTGTGTGAGCATCCAGAAAGCCAAAGTCGGGAGGGCGTCCAATGGCAGAAAGGACGATTCAAGAGATAACAGATTACGGACTCCGGAGATCGGCTACGGATCGCCCTTGCCCTGGCTCTTGTCTGAGATTTCCGGGCCAGGCCCAACCTAGCTTCGGAAGCTGATGTGCGCCTCTTTCCGGAACACTTTACGTAATAATTCATTCGCTTTAGACTTTGAATCAAAGGACGATGCAACTTTGTAATCGGGGTTGATGAAGACGCATTCAAATTTCACGTGACATTGATTCCGCTAATGATTCGCCTGTCCGAATTGACTTAACCAGAGTCCGAATGCATGACGCGCAGCTTCAGCCGCCTGCAGCCATCGATAGAAGGTTCACAGAAGCAGACGCCGTTTCGACCGCACCACGTCCGAGCGCTTCGTAGTGCATGCGTGCGCGCGCGTCATGCATACGCTGCCATTCTCACTGCACTAGTAGTGATCGCAGTAACCAGCCTACAGCGTAGTGAGGTGCGGAAGCATTCCGAATGCGAGTCTGTAACCATCACCAGCATCGGACGCAGCAGGCACCGAACGTTCCCGGTGATCGTGCGTCGGCGGCGTTCGCTCCACAGCGAACTAACAATGTCAGCTGACGACCAAGTCAGTATAAGAACCCACGGGCCCACGATGAGCATTCCCATCATCGACAAACATGCTTAGGACACTCAACACCACTGCCACCCGGTACGTCTGCCATGCATAGCGGGGCAGGGACGAACGCTGACGCTCCAGCTTTGCGCGCACTTACGCCACTTCTGCGGCTCATCCCCCGCCTGCTGGACAGATGACCAAGCCGAAGCGCTCACTCACGTACATGGCCAGTCTGCTCGGGCTCGGCTTCGGAGGCTCGTACGCCGCCCTCCGTATGGCCTTTGGACGCCCGCCGCCGCCCCTCATGCGCGCTGTCCCGGACCATCCCCGCGCTCGCCGTGTTGTCGCATAGACGGCCAGCTGTCGGCTTTCTCCGACCAGCGTAGAGTCTCCAAACACTTCAACATTCACACGACCCATCACACTCGCTCCAACACCTTCGAACATCGCACAGACCACTACATTTCTCGACCTTGCATTGCACCCCTGTGCACACTTGACTATCTTCGTTGTATACAGACCAAACCACGTTCACTTGTACAAACCGACTTCCCAATGTTCGGCATGGGACAGCTTTCACGCTTGTATGCATTTGAGTTCTTAGCATCATTTAGTGTGGTCACATGACGCACCGAGTGTTCCAAAGTGAAGGCGGTCGCGCTCAAGCCATCGGCGCGTCTGGACCACGCGCCTGCGCGCCATCGCGTCGCGCACCTGCAAGAATGTGCAGTTTCAGCCTCGGTTATCAGCGCCAAATGGCGGCTGGCATCGGTTATCAAGGCACGCTGCACTTGTTCTGCTTTCGGCAATCATTCAGAATAGCTTATGTGTTACCCGTTCCGCTGCGGCTGACATCTGCAATTGGAAAGGTGGGATTGGAAGTGAGAACGGGAAAAGCAAGAACCAGTGAGGTAAGGAAGGGGCGGGGGTTTGGGGGAGGATGATCGAGACGCCCCCGACGCCCCGTGCTGATGATGAGACGGTGGCGCTTTGGTGAGTCGCCTGTCGCTTATGGGCGCTCTTGGGTTGCTGTCGGTCGAGGATTCCCGACAACTCACGCAGGGAGGGGATGCATTGAGGTTATTGACGAGAGACATGGGGGCGTGCGCAGGCGAGTGTGAGAGGCGATATCGCTTGAAGTATCGAGGAGGACGGTTTCGACACGATGTGCCTTCGCCTCGCGTAGAAGTCGGCGGCCGATGAATGTGCTGGACGAACATGCTGACATATGCGTTTCTGTGAGATAGCACGCTGCCTCCTGTAGCACATTGCACAGTCGCAGAGGGGTACGCACATCAGGTGACTAGCTGCCATTTGATGTCGGACTGATACCCGAGGTCGTCGACCTCGTCAAAACATCTAGTAAACCTCGCCAATCAGTCCGTATTTCACGAATGCATGCACTGATACCCGAGCAGCTATGCATGCATTCGGGCCGAGCTCGTCTCGAGCTGCATGGTGCAGTCTGCGCGCTTAAATTGAGCCGTTGAACGCTTGCAAACGCGCCGGAAAGAGTGTTGCCCATGTCCCAATCGGTCGGGTAGAAGTTCGAAATCTTGGTAGCCGCCGGTGTAACCGGCCGAACAAGCTTTGCACCGGTCCGTGCCTGGATGTATCCTGGAACTGGAAGTCGGAGCAATGTTCTGCGCGGCCGCCTGTGATGCAGTTCATGATGCAGAGCTAGCAGAGCCCGAGTGGGGGACGCAGGCTGCTGCAGGTCTCGGAGAGTCGGGTGGGGGACTACGGTCGGGGAGAGAGCTTGGAAGAGGTGCAAACCGGAAGTGTCCACCGCCCCGTGCACCCCGGAGCGGACGTCGGCCGGGGCCGCACGGGCGCACGGGCGTGTGCGCTCCGCATTCCGAGCTCCCTGGTGCGAGTGCGTGAGCGAGGTTTATCCGTCTGGCATTTCTGCTATCTTGCACAGACGCATCGGGATTGCCAAAAGTGGGGGGAGCATTGGACAGCCTCGCGTGGCACAACGTCAAAGGGTGGGGGAGTTCAGCCATATTGTTCCCTTTGCATCATAGGCACATTGCCCAAGGGGGGCACGGCCGGCGCAATTTCGAACTTTTTCGGGACGTTTTTCGATTTTCCAAGCCCACCATCGTGACTTGCATGCCGCATGCACGCGACTTGACCGACTTGGCCGGCGCCATGTTCCGTCCCGCGCACGAGGCTCTGTGAGTGCGCGACTTTCTACGCCGATGAACGTCGACCCGAATGCGCCTCCTTTCGCACGCAGAGAGGATATAGACGAGCTGCTCGCGCTAGTGCAGACATAGACGAGAGAGAAAGAGTTCGCCTAAAGCATGCTGCAAGAGATTGAGAAGAGGGGAACAAGCTCGCGTGAATGCAACCACATACGCCACTAGTGCAACTCTACTTCGCGGGTGACCGTTATGGATGCGCGCAAGTGCGCGATCTGCATAGCTGTGACTACCACGGTGCATGTGCTGAGCATCCGGGCTGTGGCTGGGGGAATGTGTGTTTCATGGCATCCAGTTCTGGGAGGCGCACCGTCGCTAGCGAGCGTGAGGCGTCTCGTCTCCGTTGGCCTGGGTCAACTTCTTGCTGTCGGCTATCAGTAGCTCTTCTGCGCGGTTATCATCGTCGATTTCTTCTTCGTCTCGAGCTAGCAACGACGCAATTCTTGCCTCGGGCCGAGGCAGAAGAGTTCTCGTTGCAAAGAGCTCGCCAAAAGCAAGTGCAGACAGCGCTAAGCGCCACTCCAGGCTAGATCATCACGACTTGCAAATCACATTCCGCATTCTCCGACCCGGACTTCCTGTCGGTAGATAGTGGTATCCGATCGCTTGCAGAGCTGGGATCTCTTCTGCTCCTCTCGATTGTGTTGGCGAGCCCGGTGGCGTCGGCGACGTACCCGATGCAAGAGGCTCCACAGGCCAAGAGCTCGTTTACGTGCCCACGTTCGAACACAAGGGGCAGCGGTTGCGCCGGTCTCACCGGTATTGAGCGCCATCAACAAGTGCACGCGAGGTATGCGGGTATGCGGATGCACGCGGTGCGCTCATTTCAAAACACATCAAGGTGGGGTTGAGCGGTATGCACGCTCCGTTCATAGTTGATGTTCTCATGATCGAGCTATGGGAGATCTAGGATGGGGGAGATGAGCTCGATGAGCAAAGATAGCACAGCGGGCATCGCGCACGGCGGGCACCTTGCCCAGCTCGGGCAGCGAGGACAGCAGCATAGCCAATCCCCCATCCGCGATTGCAACAGCGGCAAGTAGTGCTGACCGAGTTGCTGCGGCATCGTTATCTGCAGCCAGTGGGGGTACAGCGTACCAGGTGGGCACGCGGTGGGACCGAGGATTACGCGGATCTCGTGATCCGGAAAGTGACGCTGAGCCCACTGCTGCTGCTCGCGTCCCCCTCTTGGATCTTGGATTATCCATTCCGCTCTGCCCGATCCGCTGCGCTCGCTGTCCTCCTGACCGTCTAGCGCTCCTGACTCCCCACGCATGTTAGAGATAAGTGGGTGGACGCTACCCTGGGCATCTTGTGGAGCGTCAGGATGCGAGAGGGCGGATCGTGGGAGGGCTAAGGAAGAGGCAGCGCGGTGGCCACTGCCGCCGGCTATAGAATGCCGATTTTCGAACCCGACACTGTCTCCGTGCCTCGTTTCCCTGCAACTCCTGCAACTTGTTCCTTGTGCGCCGCTCTCTTTGTCCGGTTTACTTGCCGGAGGTACGCATGCGCGACCATTTACCCATTTCCAACGCGCGTCCATGCCTCTTTCGGCGGCTAGTGTTGCAGATGTGCTAGTTCAGATCGTTTTGGCGAACTCACAGCTTCGCGTAAAGCAGAGATGTGAGCCGAGGACCAGAAGAGGGCGCGTAAAGCTCGACACGAGCTAACGCGAGCTAGAAACTCGATGGATCGGCTATCAGTGTTGCTGAACTGGTGCTAGTGTGTTCACGAGGATGTGGGGCACGGCGGGGCGATGTGGTCTCAACCCAGTTAGCGTTGGGGTAGTGTTTCTGGGGTTGCGCCACGCCGATCTAGCGACGTGGCAGCGAGATGTTTACGGTTTCCCGACTCCATGTCGCAGTAACGGATGTGGAACCGGCACTCTACAGGTAACTGGCTGACGCGATGCGAGCGCGTGTGAGTGCGGACTGACGTTCGTGTACCAGTGTAGTGGACCACTGGTCACCGGACTCCGTGCCTCGGACTTGCCCGGGAAGGTAAACATTCTCACAGCTTAGCAAGCTCGATCGCAACTCGCGAGTGCTGAACATGCAGTCTTCTTGGGCCGAACGTGGGTGCGGCTCGTAGTGTGTGTTTCGCAAACACCGTCTGGGCCGCGACGTGCTTTGTTTTAGACGGCATTGTGCCAGGATGCGAGGGGACGTGAGTGAGGCGCCTGAGCGACGATCCCTCTGAACGAGGCGGTCATCGTCTAAGTTGCATTGACCCGCGATACAGACAACGCCCTGCGAGTGCGTATATGTCCAGCTGCACTGAGCATCAACACTAGAGAGCCAATGGATCTTTGGGAGCGGTCGTTGCGCAGATGACAGACGAAGCTGGGGTCGGAGGCTTGTCGCCTATCATCTGCACGTCTTCGTCTATCAGTTTGCTCTCTCCTTCTTCGATTCGAGATCGTCTCGAGCTCTTTCTGCATGCAGAATACGCGAGCTTTCTCTTCCTATTTACGCGACTGCGATCCGGAATGCATCTAGTCTGATTTACGCGAACAGCGCTGCCGTGGTTGTGCAGAAGAGGGGGGCCGGTTAGAGACGTCTCCGGAGAAGTGGAAATGCGCAGGGTAGGGAAGGGGCGAGGGCAGGGCATGAGTGGGTCACGGGGCCCAGCCGCGGAATGCGGTCGTGTGGGTGGCGAGCTGGCGGGTATGGCAGCCCAGCGGAATGACGCTGCTCCGGCTCGAAGGTCGGAAGACCGGACTCCGGAGCCCGGTGCGTATACTGGTGGGCCGGTGGGCTGGGGCATGAACCGGCCGCGCACCCGCGCATCTGCCTCGGGTTTCGAAAGCCTCAGCCGTGCTGACCGCTCTTCGCCTACTTTCCTCTGTCCCGGTGGTCGTCTCGCCTGAATATCTTGTGATGCTGCTAGCTCGGCAGAATGCGACGGAGCCTGAGAGTGCAGACAGACGTAGAGAAGTGCAAGCGATGTCCTGCAAGAGGAAAAGCGAGGCGGTGTACGGTTGTCTTGAATCGTCAAAGTCTCCAGTTGCGACGGACAAGCAAACTACAGTCCCTCCCGACGCGTTGCGGCGAGCAATGCGCGAACGACGCGGATATCGATGGAATGCTAAGAGCGGAAGGGAGACCACTGGCTGATCTGAGGCAAGAGACGTGAACGATGAACGATTTCCGCGGCTTGAGTGAGTTGCGCGGCTGCTCATCCAAGCGCACTCAGCTTCACTAGCACAAGTGCAAGCCCTTAGCCTTGGCTTCTAACCATAGACTACTCGCGCACGCTGTGCTTCGGCAGAGCATCGGCGGCATCACGGGTGGCGTATGGCTGGGGTACTTGCTGGCGTTCGACGAGTGACTAACCGTAATCTGTTGATCGTCTGACTCCTCAAACTTCGGTTCCCAAAGTCTACAGTCAAGCGAATAGCGTTCCAGAGCCTACAGCGCTTTCACCAGCTCCGCCAAAGCCGCAACACAGATGCGCGGGGGAGACGAACAGCTTCGGCTATCTCTGCATTCTGAGTCAGTACCGCGGCAATCTCTAACGTTCGCGAAAGGCTCAACTCGCCTTCGGTTGCGCTCGTCTCGAGCTATGGAGGTATGCATAACTAGCCGATCTGCAGGCCAGAGGCCAGCTATGCACAGATAGGCGACGCGAGGAAGCGGCTATGCATTCTGCGCGAGATTGCGTTTGTTTGGCGTGGACGTGTGACGGCCAGGGTGGCTTGGTGAGTGTGCCCGAACAAGTGGAGCGGTGGAGCGGTATGTGCAACCTAGAATGAACTCTGTTTCGGTCTCTGTGCCCGATTTGGCACGGGGTGCGCCGTTTTCGGCCTCTTGCGCCGGTCCTCTGGTGCGGGGAAGTGTTTGCGGGACAAGAAACCCGAACTTTATCGACCAGCACCCAGGGTCCCACTCCCCCACCTGCTCGCTATCCTCGCCGAGCTGGCTCGATCGTGCAAGCCCCGTGCCCATGTCCGTGACTGCGGTCTGAGCACCGGTCTTGAGCACCGAGAACCGGATGCCGACACGGAGAGTGTCATCTGACGGCGAGCGAGTGTTGTGAAACTCGAGCCGAGAGCTGTTCGAAATTGCGGTCTCGCGTGAATGTCAACACAAGCGTTGCCCATCGGCGTACAGCGACGGTACGATGAAGGTACGCGACGATTTCGAATATGAGAGGCGAGGAGAGCGAGATGGAAATGATCTACATACCGTCCATGGAGGTCTGTAGCGTTCCTGGCCTGGCCCTTGCGAAGGTAGCACATGGAACGTCGCATCTGCGCCAGAGACAGCCGACAGGCGTGTGCAGGCGACCCACGACCCGGCGGCGGAGCCCGCGTGTCCGAGTCACATGGACGCCGACACGGGTCGGGGCTGGCGAGGCTGGCGGGACTGCCCCCACCCGCACCGCAGACAACTTCCGGGAAAGTCAGACAATGCCGGGCTGCGCTCCGATCCTGGGTCCAGGAAGAAGGACCCGATGACATCAACCCTGATGTCAGCCGGCGCGGCCTCAGCTCTTGTGCCGAAAAGCAACCAAGGGGCGATCGCCGAGCACCTGACACCGGCACGCCGATCCCTACCCTTACCTCCGTTGTCGCATGTCCGCTGTCGCATCTCCGTTTTCGCACAATCGTGGTTCGAAATAAACCTCCTTTTCGAAGCCGAAACCGGCGTCTGCTTTGTACCTCGGCACGTAGATCATCGGGACGAGGTATTGCATAGCACAAAGGTAGAGCTCGCGCCGAGCTCGTGTCGATCTTCTCAGCGGAGATCGATGCCGAGGCAGTCAAACGTCGATCGGCCTCGGCTCGACCTGAAAAAGTTCCAGCTATCGGCGTAGTTTGTTCAGCAAGAAGCCGAGTCTCGAAATTACTTCTCAACGCACGCGACCTGCCACCTCGCTTACAGAACTTCTCTGATGAAACCCAACTCTAGGTATTTCTCGACATTGCGCTGAGCTCGCCTAGCTCTCATATGCATGGTTCACAACCATGCATATGAGTTCATTGTATTCATGTCCGACGCCATACCGCACGTTGATTGAGCCCTGTCCTCGTCTATACCACATGTCGCCATTGCCGACTGGTGATCAGGAATACATACCTTTGACGAGTTCGGCATCTTCCTCTCCAGTAATCTAACATTGCTCGTCATAACTGGCGAGATCGTGTCGATCGGTTCGCCGGTATATCGGCGTGCATGCTCCAAGCTCAAGCTCGCCCACATCGTCGGTACCTGGCTGCATATTCCGTCGTCTAACGCTCAGGTACGCTCGGCAGCCCTCTTGGCCTGCAGGGCCATATCAGAAAGCTCGCCTGCCAAGGCGTGCGGCATCTCGCGGTAGTCTGCGGGGTCGGCGTGCACCGAACTGCAGCAGCTGAGTAAGCAGGCGCATACCAGTGGCAGCTGACCCGTATGGCGGCGCACAGCGGCGCATTTCATGGTATTAACTCGCCTTGCACTTTGGAGACTTTGGCGGGGACAGGCGGGGCGGGCTCCGCCGCCGCGACCCGAGCGTCCGAGGGTCCGAGATCTGCACTCGCTTCGCCAGCGCCAGCGTCAGCCAGCGGGAAGAATGCCGAGTGCCGACTTCCGGGCCGGCGATGGCGCGAGGGTTTGCGCGGTGCGGCTCCGTGTCGCATACGGCCGTCGGCCGGTAGGGTTGGAGACTTTCCGGCCGATCGGCACCTCGATACCTCGCCAGATCAGGATCGCGTAGAATGCCGACTTGATGTCCCGGATCATGACCGGAGCTCGCATGCGATTATCCTTCTCGCGAGAGAGTGCATGTCTCGCGAATTCAGGTCGCCGATGCATCTCGGAGTCGTGGAGTCGGCTCTCTCTCTGCACTGCACTCGTCTACTTTGCATCGTTCTCGTCAATAAAGCAGGATGATGCATTTGCTGTCGCCTATGTTCCATGCAGACGAGGGACACAAGCTCGGCTCAGCCGATAACGTGAAGCAGTCACCATGTCGCAGAATGCCGATGCGATCGTCGTTTCAGGTGGTCAAGACCCCCCACCTCGACGGGTCACCCGTGGGAGACATTGAATCTAGCGAAGGCCTCCTCCGACCGCAATAATTAAAAGTTATGTGAACGACATCAGAATCTTTGATGCCGCCGACCGGAAACGGGCGTGGGAGAATTTGATTCTGCCAGAGGTGTTCTCCCATCTCGCATGCGTTGAAAACATCGTCAAAACATGTTCAAAACATGCTCTCACGTGGGTGCTGTCAGTGGCGTGGTAGTGAGCATTGCCTCAGTCGACAGCGTCAGTAACAGCGAGCAAATTGCACCCGCAAACTCGTCAGTCTGACGAGCACTCCGACATCCTCCTTCGAAATCTTTGCAGGAGTCCTCTCCGTGCACTGGCGCCGAGCACTTGGCATCTGATCGCGTGGCCCTCCTCCTGCAGCGAGACTTGGAATGTCCGGCTATGATCCTAATCTATGCATTTCTAACGTCCGACAGCCAACTAGATGTAGGGGGGACCAAGCTGTTTCCTGAACACGGTCGAGAGAGCCTCGACGACGAGGAGCAGGACACCACCGCCGGGGGCGAGACGGAGCACCTTGGGCGCGAAGCCCTTGTAAAGCGCACCGATACCCTCCTCGCGGGCAATGCGGAAGAGCGCCGGGTAGGTCCACTCGCCGGTGGCGTGGAGCTGGAGTCGCGACTTGACGACGTCGAACGGCGTGTTGAGGACGGTTCCGACGAAACCACCGATCGTACCAGCGATCAGGTTGTTGATCATCTCAGCCTCCTTGCCCTGCAATGTTAGCTTCGTGGACTCGAACCCGCATCACGAAGTTGCCCGCCTGCCCGCAACATGCGCAGACAGCACAAACGCTCCCGGCTGACCAGCGCGGACGCTCTAGGCGGCGTACCGCACAGACATCACTCACCTCAGCCTTGGGCAGGAGAGCCTTGACCTGGAAAATGGATCCGAAGTAACCACCGTTCCACCAGACGTGGCGCCAGAAGGTCGGCTCCATTCCCTGGTAGATACCGAGGGGGCCCTTCTGGGCGATGACCTTCTTCACAACGTCCATCGGGCCCTTGTAGGTCGAGTTCTTGTCCTGCATGCGGATCTTGACGAGCTCGAACGGCGTGACGAGGAACGACTCAGTCGCTCCCGCGGCCATACCGGTGAGCATCGCAATGGGCTGCGTCGTCTTCTTCTTGCCGCCATCCGTGAAGACGTTGCCCCACCATCCGTTCGCGGCGAACTTAACCGCACGCTTCGGCGCCTCCATCAGGAGGGGCGACGCGATACCGCGGTACAGACGACCGACACTGCATGGTCAGCTTGACGTCTCAGAACGATCAGCAGATGCTCTCGGGACATTCCGAGATGGCAACAACAACAGAGCACCGCGCCCGATTTCGGGTGGCACGAGCCGGCATCGATAACCCAGAGTTTCGAGCGTGGATAACAGCCCTCACTCTGATTGGCGCGCTTATTGGCCCTTCACTCGTTCCCGCAGGCAATGGCCGCACAGACCGGTTGTCGCGCTAAATATCGAGTGGGGGTGCCGCAAAGTCGTGCTTTCCGGACGTCGGGACGATGCGAGCACCCAAGGAACGCCCAGAAGCACGAAAAGTCGGGGACCCGAGGCTCGAGGCGTTGGAGTGTCCGAAAGTCCCGAGGCTGTATTTTGGCACTCACCCCTCCTGCTTGACAATGTTCTTGAAGGTCTGAACCATGCCGGGAGGGTTCTTCGACGAGTCAAGCTGCTGGCGCGTCTTGAGCACATCGAGAGGGTAGAGCATCTGATTGTTAGAGCGGACGCGCCATGATGAGAAGCGTGCAGACAGCCTTAGTGAAGCATAGGAGGGGGTCTGGGCGAAGCCGTCGATACCGGATACGTCACCACACACGACCCAACAACGAGCAACGGCCGTGGCCTGACATCCAACAGCGAACGCGCAGAGTGCGTCCGCTGTTAACAAGTCGATGTACAGCCTCAGGTGGGGTTTTAGTGTTGAGGTGCGTGACGGGTGCCGAAGGCTCTCGGATCTTGACCTGCCCACCGGCCCGGTAGCCGGAACCACTCCTCACTGCCTGTAGCACGCTTCACACTCACCAGCAGCTCAGTCACACCAGCGATCGCTCCAGCCGCAAAGGTGTAGGCGAAAGGGAGGGCTGTCGGTCAGCAAAGGTCCTTTGCGGGAAATTTCCAAGGGGGTGACGCGGTGTCTCCAGGTCCCGGTCTTGGAGTTTGGGCCGCGCCAAACAAGCATTGGAGGGTCTGCTCAGCAACGAGCGACTGGCAGATGTGCATGAACAGCTTCACACACAAACGGGATGAAGAGATGTTGAGGACGTTTGTCCAAAATGTCCAGATCCAGTGCCGCCGGCTTGCGGAACGATGGTTACCGAAAGGGGCTCATGTCGGAACGGAAAAGACAGTGCGGACGGGGTAGTTGATCGCCGGAGCTGAAATACTCACGAGCGGGCTTGTGGGGCACAACGGCGCCCTCGGCGGCAGTCTTGGTCGACATGGTCAGCGGGGATGAAGAGTGGTGAGTCGTCGAGAGTCAAGAGGTGAAAGCAATATTTCGGGCCACAGGTGCGGTCGAGCGACAAAAGACGGCAGCGCGCGGGGGCGGGGAAGGTACGGTACGCTTGGTGGGCGCTTAAACCCGTGATTCCGTTCACCGAATGCCCGGATATATCTTGCCCTCGATCGCCTACTTTCTCCACCTCATTCCGGAAATGTACTCCGTATCGCTCTTTCGCTTCAACATATCATCCCTTCTTGATGACTTTTGGATAGGTTGCAGTAAGTCGACACCATTGCTTGTCACATTGACCAGGTCCAGTGCATAGTTTGATCTACAACAGGTTGGCTTGATGCCCGATGGGCTCGAGGCCCCATGTATCACCCCAGATCTGGGTGCAGCAAATCACAGGTTGCGCATGACGCCTTATCTGCCAATCCACATCTTTGGCTGACAGCCCTCAGCGCCCGGGGCGGTCCTCTTCCTTGACCCACTCGAAGCAGCGTTCGTGCCTAGAGATGCGCGCGACTGCAGTTGACTCTCTGCCGAGGGTGACTGCGACCGATGGGGGCCAGATACCCTCGAGGAGCTGACGATGCTGGCGGAGAGCCTTCTTCCGGTCCACGATGAGCTCATGACCCGACGGGCCTGGGCCATTGAGGATGAAGTCGACAGCCAATGCAGTGGCGTGAAGGCAACCCTCACCATCGCTATCGAGGCTGGGACACACTTCGGCGCGGAGGGAAACCGACTTGTGAAAGATATAGAACGCCCGCTCGAGACATACTTGGACCGGGTGCTGAAACCTGCCGGGCACCCGGCGGTCATTGAACAGGACCTTCCCCCGACGTGTCTTGTGGTCGACCAGCACCACCAGCCACGTAGGCAGAGTCCCAGGTGGGCGAACGAGTACGGTCGCGTCGAATCGCTGGAAGTCGGACGGATGAATGCTGTGATCGAGGTTGACATTGACGTCGCGGCCGTTACATCGTGCCAGGCGCCGAGCGTTCTCGAGGATTGATCGCACCTGCTCAAGGTTGTCTGGGGCTTTCAACCCATCGCCTGGGATGCCTAAAGGGGCCACCGGCTTCGGAGGCAAGGATGCCGGCCATGCGGGAAGAAGGGTCGGCAAGTTTGAGGTGGCGCTTGTCGTGCTGGGCCTCTCATCGTGCAACGTCTCCGCGTCGTCGATGTTGCACTGAAGGTCGAGCTTGGTGTCGATGGAGCTCACAGCAGCGGGGGACGACCCGGCATCCGGTAACTCGAGTTTGCGTTTCTTGGTGGAGATGCGCTCAGCCAAAGCTGGGCGGTCTTCGGCGTCCACGGCGACGGCATCACCGTTACTGCATCTGTATCCGTTGAAGCGACATCCTTCGCACCGGGCAGCGACCTCAGATCCAACCTTGTCTATGCAAGGGAGTCGCTGGCCGACGCACTCCACGCAAGGGACTTGACGCGTGCTCCACTGCCCCAGGTAATCATCTCTGATGAGGATGAGCCACGCACCCAAGAGCCTGAATGGTAACGGGGTTCGGCCGAGCTCCCGTTGTTGCTCGTCGTTGAGGAAAGGTGTAGCGTCGAGTGGTGGGGGCTGCGGGGTCATGTCGTGATGCTGTGGGATTGATGGAGGGAAGGAGTGAAAGGAATGGAGAGATTGAGTGGGAGTGATGAAAAAGTGAGTGATGGCTAAGAGGAGAGTGAATGCCGGGGCAAGAGGAGCTAAGTGGGCGACAAGAACGGAATGTCGCGCAGGACGAGTCAGACACACGATGATGAAACGCAGAATATCGCTGCCGCACGGTCTAGGCCCCCTGATCGCCCGGTGTATCTGACGCACGCCCGGCTACTGCACTCGCGTTATCTTTTGCACTGCACCCTGGTCGCCTGCGCTCCTTCAGACTGACTCGGTTGCATCGCGACCTAGGCGTAACTCTCAGATTCACAAGGCACAGCACGCGGTTTCTGACCTGTCCCAGTCACTATAATTGTCGCGTTCAATGTCGTTGCCGGATCAAGCGGCACTACTGCACGTCATGCCCACCGGAACTGGCCGTCTTGCCTCGAGATGCGAGCGACGACCTGTGAGGCCGATCCGAATGTGGTCGACGGGGGCGGATTCCGAACGTTATCCAGAAGAAGGCTGTGCTCCACGAGAGCCCTGTCCTCGTTGATCACAAAGTCACGATCAGGAAGACTGGGAAGGTTGCGGACACAGGCGACGGCCAAAGTGGCCGCATAGAAGCTCCCTCCAGCAAGATCTTTCAGACACGGATAGCGCAGTGCTTCCAATGTTATCAGGCCCGAGAATGTCTCGAAAGCCTTCTCGAGGGCGAACTTGACGTAGAGCTCCCTTTCTTCGTTGTTGGCTTGTGCAACGTCTCCCGGCCCGCTGGCGTTGAACAAGACACGGCCAAGCCTCTTCCTGTTGTCGATCACAGTAACCGTCCAGGTTGACGTCCGCGCATTCGCCGGAGTGGCGACTGCAATCGTGAAGTCGTAGGGCTTTATCTTCTTCTTGCTGAACGTTCCCTCCCTCATATCGACGATGACGGCAATTCTGGGGCGCATGGTCTGCCTCGCCTTATACAGGAGGGATTTGATTCTGTCGTTGCGGTAAAAACGCAGCCGCACTGAGGAAGAGCTAGAAGCCGCTGGCGCGGGCAGCACGCTTCCGGCAGACGTATTGGCGGCGCTCTCCTCCATGTTCAGACTCCCTACACGTGGAGGATATGCCGAGCGGGCTTGAGGCGGCGCCCTGATGGATCGGGTTCGATTCATCTGAGGGGGATTGAAAGGCGGGGCAGCCTGCTTGCCACGCTCCTCCGGGCTGAGACGTTGACGAGGCATTCGTAGCTGAGGAGGATCCCCTTCGCTTTCGCTTCCACTGCCGCTGCTCTCCTCCCCAGCCGAATCACTGCCGTCAAATGTTGACTCTGCATCCCTGGCGTGTTGGCGGATAAGACTGGTTTCACGCCCGGCGGGTTGAGGCTTCGCTTCGCCGACACGGTTGATGACGCGGACCTCGTCGGCCGTCAGGTCGATTATTGATTCAGATGACATCGTACCAGCAGAAGAAGTGCTCGGGCTTCTCCTGGAGGTTTGGGCTTGCTTGACTGATTTCCGGACCTTCGTATCACGATCCTCCTTCTCATGCTTGCGTTTCTTCGTCCGAGTCGAGCCGGTGGCAGGTGTTCCTTCAGCATCCGGGTTCTGCAGTTCATATCCGGGTGAGCATTTCATGTCGCCAAGGAAACAACTTTCACATCGACGTCGTTTTGTTCCGGGGTCGACTCGATCGATACAGGGCACGCGCTGTCCCGTGCACTCAATGCACTTCGTGTTGCGTTCCTCCCACTCGCCGCTGCGGTCGTCGCGAATGAGTATCAGCCACGCCCCGACCCGGCGATATGGCTCGGGAATGGAGGCAAGCTCGCGCTTCTGCGAGCTGCTGAGGAAGGGTCTGGCATCTATAGGCGGTGCTTGTTGGGGCATGTTGGTGTTATGGGTGATGCCGAGGAGTTGAGGAAGGTGGAAGTGGGATGGGGGCGAGTGGATGAACTGCATCCGCCCAGCGATCGAGATCGCGCTGCGCCCTTAGTTGACCCAGGCTGGTACGGCGTGTCTGCGAGAGTCGCTGCGGCTTGCTGTCTGTGCTGCCGCCTGATTGCATTCTGCTCTCCCTTTGTTATTCTTGTTGCATGTCTGACTGATTCACAATCCTTACAGACCGGCTGTTCCTCTCAGCGCTGGTCCACATGGAGCCCGGCTCGGTGTCGTGCACTGTGGCTCGCCGCACTGACTTGCAACGAGACAGCGTTGCTAACAGGTAAATGCATATAAGAAGTGGTGACCACCTCTTGCCTAGCTGCCGCTACTCTGATGATTGTGCGAGAACTACAAACTTGTCACAAGGTCATGCCCATGAGAATCGACCGTCGAGCCTGGAAACGCGAGCAACGACTTGCGAGGCAGGTCCAAGGGTAACTGATGTCGGAGGATTGGGATCGGCTTCCAAGAGAGCGCTGTGCTCTTGGAGAGCTTTCTCATCGTCGATTATGAAGTCGCGCACTGGGACGTCGGGGAGGGCACGCACGCAGGCGATGGCGAGGCTCGTGGCGTGAAAGTTACCAGCAGGTCCTTCTTCGAGACGGGGTTGGGCAAATCCCTCCACAGACACACGCCCCATGAAGGAGTCGAATGCCGTTCGGAGGGTAGCCTCAACGAACAGCTCTTTCTCTGCACGGCCATTTCTGCTCAACTCGACTGTCCCATTCGCACTGAAGAACACTCTTGCGAGCCTCATCTTGTGGTCTACCAACGAGACCAGCCAAGTGGACGCCCTGGCACTCGACGGGGATGTCACGACGACAGTGAAGTCGTGCCGCTCCCACTTCAGAGTGTCAAACTCACCATCTCGCAAGTCGACCCTGATAAGGAGACGCGTCTGGACGCCTCGCCTCGCTTGTCCCAGCAGCCATCGGATCCGTGCATAGGTGTAGAGCGGGAAGCTGTTCGGAATGCTGGTGCTCGAAACTCCCTTGGTGCCGGTGTACATCGTGTACTCCGGCTCCTCCCCATGGACGGTCTTAGTCGTACCCGGGGTTGTTCCTCTTGCCCGGACGGCCGGTGGTTGTTGACCTTTTGCTGAAGATTGCAAAGCTGGGTATTCAGAAAGTTTCGACGTTTCCGGAGAAGGCACCTTGACCGTCATCGAGTCTTCTGATAGCCTAGGTATCTTTGGAGCGTTCGAGCCATGGGTTGCCTCAACTTCGAGCTTCCGCTTTTCGGTGCGGGAGATGTCAATTGGATTGTGCGGGGGGTCGTTCTGGACTGGGAACTCGTATCCTGGTGCACATCTGAAGTCCCCGAGGTGGCACCCTTCACATCTGGAGAGCTTGTCGTCGGAGTTTATCCTGTCGATGCAGGGGATTCGCTGGCCGGTACTTTCGATGCACTTGGGGCGGCGCTGTACCCATTCGCCCCGCTTATCATCGCGAAGGAGGAGCAACCAAGCACCAACTGGCCGAAAGGGAGCGGGGATGCGTTCGAGGTCGCTCTTCTGCTGGTTGTTCAAGAACAGCTCAGCATCGATTGGTGGGGCAATAGGGGGCATGATAAGTCGTGAGTGATGTTGAGGAAGGACAGAGGGGGATGTGACCACGAGCAAGGCTGACTGGACCCGTCCAGGCCCGGCTGCGCCCCAGTCTATCCAGATCCACATGGTCAGTTTCGTGAACGCAAGCTAAGCTGGTTACCTTCATTGGGGCGCTCTAGTCATCTTTAAGGCAGTTGTGAAGACATGCATGCAGCCTGACTCTCCAGCCACCTACCACACAGACAGATCGATCACCTACACCGGCCTCCGCTCGAAGGCCGTCGTCGGCGCCGTGGTCCGCATTGCCTCCCACTCCGGTCTTTTGTCTTGCAGGATTAGGGCGTGCTCCTTTCTAGCCTTGGTCACGTCAATCACAAAGTGAGTTGGATACCTCAGCCTGTTCTTATTCAAAAACCACAAGGCAATGGTGGCAGCGTGCACCCCGCCGTCCTCGCCAAAGAGTTCAGCGTAGGATATGTCATACCAGAATCCAGGTCCATTGATGGTGAGAGCACGCTCCCGAGCGGCCTTACTCAGTTCGCTGTGGTAAATGACACCCAGCTCGGCGGTGAACACAAGGACCGCCCACGATCCCCCGGGATGCCCAGGCGACAGCACCTTCACATGTTTGCTCAGTGGTGTGAGTCGCAGCGACATCCCCGGATTACCCTGGCAGAACAGTACATCGTATCTGTGCTTCACCTTGCGCAAGATTGAGCGCACCTTGGCGAAGTCGTAAGGAGCACTGTCGTGCAGCGGTGGCCGCGCCGGAACTGGCGTTGAGACTGCCCGGGCTCCAAGCCGCATCAAGACTGGTCGGGGCACGAAGCCGCCGTTTGCGTGCAGAGATGGAGTTGAAGGGCCTCCACCTGCAGCGGCGTCTATCCTGGGTCGAGTCGCCGCTCGCTGGAGTGTTGGCGGAGCCGACCTCAAAGGGCGGGAGGTTAAAGGACCCGGCGGACTAAGAGGTGGTGTGAAAGCTGGTTTGGCGGGAAGGGTGTCGACCCTACGGCGGGTCGAGCTGCTCTCACTGCTCACCAGCTCTTCGCTCTCCGCAATCGTCGCGAATCCGGCACGGGCGCTGAAGTACGCCACGGGAGCGGAGACAGACCGCATCGAAGCCACCCTGTGGATACTGTTGTGGCCGTAAGCTTGGGCGTCCCCCGGCCCAGTGGCTTCGTCAGCGCCATCCCTCGTACACGGGAGGTTGGCGTAATGGCAGTTCTGGCAGCGCCCGATCAATCCACTGCTGCGGGCGTTAGAGTCGATGCACGGCCACCTCCCTCTGCAGGCGGTGCATGGAAGGTCTCTCTCTCGCCAGAGACAGGTATCGTCGTCCCGGAGTAGAATCAGCCAGGCGGCAACACGGCGATTGTCGAGCGGAATCCGGGCAAGCTCAGCCAGCTGCTTCCCACGAAGGAGGGCCACGGCATTTAGCGGCGGATGAATCGCAGGCATGGTGACAGCTTGCTGGATGAAAGTAAGATGGCTGGGGACTTCAACGAAAGCAATGGAGTAGACAACCGGACTATGTACTTGCTGGGTATGAGCGTTAGAAGAAAGGCAGGGTGGTGAAGATCGCAACCCGAAACAATTGACTGAAACTGACCCAAAAATACGGTGCTGGCGCCACTCCCTGAGGCGACCCCACGGCCTGGGTCGCTATTGTCCAGTCCTCTCTAGGTCTATGCATAGGCACAGAGCCATGCTTCATCATGCGTAGTTGATATGTCAGCGGTCTTCTGGTCAATGCAGTAGTCGCTATTCAGTGAGAGACGCTGACGATCCACCTACTACCCGGGTTGAGATTGGCAGCGTTCGACGCGCGTTGAGGGCGCACTACGTCTGCATGTACGAGTAAAGCATCCTACAACCACATCGTCGAGCATCTTTGCACTGTACGAGATGCTGGCTACCATTCTTCCTATTCCCCAAGGAATCCTTCCGCCTTGAGAGCGGAAGCGAGCTGCGCCTTACGGCGGATAGAAACGGAGCGGATGTCGGGCCAGAGACCACGGAGGATGTCCTGGTGCTCCTTGCGCGCCTGCTTCTCATCAATCACAAAGTCCCACTCATAGTTGTGGCGCCAGTTGAGGCTGACCCACACGGCAAGAGCGGTAGCGAACACGCCCCCGTTCTTGCCGGAAAGGCAGGGCAGCTTGATGGCCGAGAAGGGGACCGCCTTGGTCGACATGACGTTGTAGGCGCGGCGGAGTGCGTGATTCGTCTCCGAGCCGTGGAACACGAGACCGCTCTGGCGGTTGAAGATTAGGACGAGCCATTGCTTGGAGCTACCGGGTGGGATGACCACCACGTGGACTGCGTTCAGCTGGGCGGACCAGCTGTGTGCCAGAGATGAGAGGATGATGCGGACGTGGGGGTGGCGCCAGCGCTCGGCCGCGCGGAGAATGTCGCGCACGTAAGCGAGAGTGTGGAGCTGCCAGCTCGCGGGGACCTCGTACGGGGTGCCGGGCTGGGGGACGCTGGTGGCGGAGGCGGGAACGACTTGCTCGTTGTCGGTACCTTCGCTGTGCGGGTAGGGTGGGCCGCTTACCACACCGTTGGCGTAGGGCTGCCCGCTAACGTAGAAGTAAGCGCCAGCCGTGCGGTCGTAGACGATGGAATACTCGGCCGGATTGAGAGATGGAAACCAGGCCCCAGGCATATAGCCATAGGGGTGGTATGAGTAATGGACGGCGTTGTCCATGGCGATTGGCCTTCGTAGGGGTCGAAAGCGCGAGGGAAATGGAGTTGAAGAGGAAGTGTTGAGAGGCTCTCTAACCCTTCGACGTGGAGCTGCTCGACGTCGCCTTGGGTGCTTGACGTCTTGCCCCCCTCGCACTCTCGCGTCTTGTGTGTCGTGCGCGCCGCCGTCACCAACGCGCTCGTTGCCAAGACCTCACAACGCGTCAGTCAAGCAAGGCCAGTCGGTTCCCAGTACCACATCTACGCAGCGGGGGTTATGTGGTTGCATTTAAGGGGTCATATCTTTTACGGACGTGAGCGGTCGTCATATACATGACTCGTTGTGTTCTTCTTCAGTCTGCTGGATTTGCGGGGTTTTTTCTGTTTACGTAGTTTTGCGGGTTGTATGCGGAAGCTGGGTCTTGTTCTACGGGGTACTCTTCTCCAGCATCCTTTCTACCTGTAGCCATGGTAGACGTTGTGGGTGCCATAGTGACCGATGCGGGGAGCGGAGGTGGCGCGGTACACAGGGAATGCCTCAAGAGAGCGCTGCCTGTACGTCGAGGGGCCGGCGACGCCGTAGGGAGGAGGCGCGTAATGGCAGTCGTGGCGGGCAATGAGGGGAGTAGGCTCGGGGAGGGCGCGGCCCAGATCAATGAGGCCGGCCAAAGCCGTGTCCTCGGGGCTGGCGTCGGGCTCTTTCGCCTTGCCCTTACCCTTACGGTCCCAGACGAAGGCGGAGAGAGCGACCTCGGCGCGGGCGGGCTCGGGCTCACTAGCCTGGGGCGTGCGGGGAACGACGAAGGTGCGGCGACGCTTCTGGGCGACACGCGCAGTGCTCTGCCCGGTCTGGACGGGCTGGGACGCGTGGCCGGGGTGCGCGAACACGGGGCGGTGCTGGGCGCGAGTAGAAGCAGAGCGGAAGAACGTCTGAGCGGGGGCGACGGCCTGCTGCGAGGGCTCAACGAAAGGCTGGGCGTGGCCGAAGGTGTGCTCTGGGTGCCCGATCATCTTGACGGGGTAGGTGAACTCGAACGACTTCGAGGCGGGAGCAGACTGGATCTCGGAATGGCCCTGGGCGGCGGCGTACTGCTTCGCCTCGAGCTCGCGCTTCTTCTTCTGCGCCTTCACGACGCGCGCGGTGAGGACCGAGCCGTCCTCCTGCCCACGCTGGAACTGGGAAGACTGATTGTGCAGACTCTGGCGGAGGTTCTTGTTGTTCGTCTGCTGCAGACCGTCTTCGGCGGGACGCTTCGCCTGGTCGGGCCGGCTCCTCATATCCATCCTTAAGGCCTTGGTTTTCTGTGTCTCGCGGGGCTGCTCGTTCTCGTCGCGGGCGGTGCGCTTGGTGCCGGTCTTCATGTCCGAGAAGAAGACGTCAGATTCGGCAGTGCGGGGCCCATCGACATGGAGGCGGAGGAAGAGGCAGTGGCGGGGGGAGTGCCGTCGTCGGAGGACGAGATCAGATATGCCGCAGTGGGGAGGTCCTCGCCTGCAGCGCGACGCTGAGCAATCGAGGTCATCGACATCACGAAGAGAAGATGGAGCTGTGCGTCCGTCGGAAGTTCGATCTCGTCGGCGTTGTGGTCAGGGTCGATGTCGGGGGCGATGGCCTGGGGAGGGGTGTCGCTGCAGTTCTTAGGGGTGGCCTGCTGGGTCATCATTCTCCCTCTGATCCGAGTGGAAGGGTGATGAGTTAACGGAAAGGAAGAGCGGAACGATCTCGAGCGTTATATGCGACCGGCGAGACCCAGCACTGCACTGTGACCCCCGCGAGATGTCGTGCTAGGAGCGAGGGAGCAAGTGAACTCGAAGGGAGCCACACATGTGTGGATGTCTGTTGCTTCTCGTGGGGCGGGCTAGACTGGGCTCCGGACGAGAACTGAGCAGGGGAGTACGGCGCGCGGACAGCCTGCCGCAGCACCGCTCTCGCATCCTCGCCATGTCTGGACGAAGCGTACGACTCGATGCATCGTGTGTGCTGTGTTGCGCTGGCCGTGGGAACGGCCAAGGTGTCCAGATCAGTCGTAGTGAGTACTCGCATCAGCGGGAGTCAGGTGAGTCAGCCGCCCGTTGCAGCGGCTTGGTCAGACCGACTGGTCGAACAATACCCACCTTCAAGTCCAGCCCCATCCATACTGCAAATCCATACGAACAATCAGCACATATCAGCTCACCAAGGTATACAACTGTCTTCTGAAGATAACGACGACACACGCTCACACCAGATCAGATCAGGCCTCCCACTCGATCGCCCAATTGGGGCACTCGGCCTTGTACTCCTCGCGCGTGAGGAAGCGGATGCCGCTGACGACCTTGTCGACCTCTGCCGCGGTCCAGAACTCCTCCTCGGCCGGCGCGGGCGACGGCGCAGTTGCAGTCGAAGCAGCGCTGGGCGCGAGGCTCAGTTCGGAAACGGCGGTGGAGAGACTGGATGCGCCCGAGTTCGAAGCGGCGGAGGGGGCGAGTGACGCGGTCGACGCGCCGAGTGCGTTCTGGCAAGAGTTCGAGTCACCAGCACGGCTCGGTGCGCCCCTGCTAACGGACCGACTCCCCGGCGCCGCGGGGACAGGGGTCGGCTCAAAGTTCTTCGGAATCTACCATCAGCCCTTCCTTCGCACGTTGTGCACTTACGCTCTTCCAGATATCTGCGATCGCATCCCGGCTCTCGACCAGCTTGGCCGCCTTCTCCTCCTGCGTCATCGCGTTCGTGAAGCCGGCGTGGTTTGCCTTGATCTCCGTCATGCCCACGATCGTGAATTTGATGCAGTGGTTCTCGCGCATGAGCGCCTTCACGCCGCCGCAGCGCCATGCGCTCACGAGCCAGGAGTGCAGCGGCCGCAACACGCCCCACTCCTGTCTCGTTGCGCGGTCACCCTCGCCGCCGCGCCCCTCCTTCGCACGCCGGGTTTGCTGCGCCTTCTGCCTCGCCAGACTTGCCGCCGTGGGACGGGGGACGAAACCAGTGTTAGTCCGGGGTACGAAGGTCTTGGCCGTCTCCGCGTCCTTGACGATAAGCACGATCTCCTCCAGATCGTCTGGCAGCGTGTCCCAAGTCGCAAGCTCGCCGAGGGGAACATGCCGACCCCTCTCGTGGATCGTGAGGTTCACGACCAGCCTCTTCGTGTCGGGCAGCATTGGCGCGGGCACAATCTTGACGGCGGTATGCGTATTCCAGGGCGGAATGGCCGTGAAGACGACCGTACGCTCTGTGCGCGCGACCCACCGGCCCATGGCGGCTTGCGCGGGGCCGTAGATCCGCACCGTATCGGGACGCAGCGCCTCCATCGCCTCCCTCAGCGGCGCGGGCAGCCACCAGCGCGAGTTGCCCGAGTTGCGGCCCCAGTTGTCCAGATCCAGAACGCGGGGCATGGCCTCCTTCTCGAGCCAGCGCTGCGCCTCGGCACGCACGGTAGGGGTCGTCGTTCGCTCCACACGGAAGCGCAACCGGCGCGCACGCTTCCCCCGGTTCGTTGCGAGGGAGGAAACCTCCACGCGCATCGGGTCCGTGGAAGAACGACCGCCGCCAGTCGAGAAAACGAGATGCGTGCCGAGCAGCGCGTCGGCGCGCTCTTGCCATGCCTTGTCGACGGCCCTCAGGCGGAGGAGAGATGCGTACGGCGCCGACGCGAAGATCGCATCGATAATGTGCGGGTACGACAGGGCTGGGATCGTGACTCTCGGCTCGGCGTCCTCCCCATTCTTCGGTACGTCTGATTCGGAGGGCGATTCGAGCTCCACCGGGGCACCGTTCGCCATCAACGTCGGTGGCGGCGCAGTGTCGGGGTACATGGTCGAAAAGTGGCCGAGTGGACAGTGCATGACAGCGATAGCATCTCGACCTGACCTCCTTAGCGCCAGGCCGGAGATGGATATCCAGCAGCTTCGGCCCGTGCAGCAGTCGCTTGGCGCAGGTCCAGGTCGCGGCTCGGCGCGCTGGCCGGCGCGTCTTGTTGTGCTCAGGACAGGCTAAATATACCCACGCGCTAAAGCGCCCCGGACCGTCAGCCTGACGGCACGCGACCTTTTCTCCCACGGTAGTACTGACGATCACCATTGACGTGGGCCGGCGCAGATATGGTGCGAGCAATCTACTGCCGAGGCTGGAAGCAACCTTGACTGCATTGCTTCAGCCACGGCGCCACAGGGAGAGCAGTGCGAGTAAGGACACGGAGCAGGGCGAGCAGGGCTAGTAGGGATCAGCACTGCTCCGAGGGCTCGAAGGAACGAAGGGCATGACAATTAAGGCGCCGACGGTCTACTCGGATCCGTCGTCTCGCTCGGCATCAGAGCTCTCTGGGGTGTCTCGGCGACCCTCACGCCAGGCGCGCCGAGAGTTGTGCGCAGCATCTCCGGTGCAGTCCGAGCGACTCCATTGACGCCAGTGTCCGTGCCCCAATGTCCGCTAACTGAAGGCGAAGTGTCGCCGAATGCAGCACAAGACCGCCAAGAGTAATCAAACTTTGCAGCAATTCTAAGCACCTAAGCATGTCAAGACTTCGACGCGCCGAAGAGACGCGAACGCTGAGCTTGCAATTCTTTAGGTGGGATTATGGTTCTACCACTTGGCGAGTCCGTCCTTCCTCCATGAGGGAGCCTTCAGTTGGACGAGTGTGCGAGTGTGCGTACGCATGGCTGAGCAAAGTTTTGAGCAAGAAAATCTTCGGACTGCGCTTAAACTGCGCGACCGGGTCGTTAAGCTCAAGAGCTGGAGCATGTGCGGACCCGAGGGGAGCCGCGAGCAGCTGGGAAGACAGCCCTCGGCGTGGGAGTGAGGTACGCAGGAACGTACACGAGGCACTTTACTGATCTGCGCTGGACGAGGCTGACATTCTGCTTGCTCTGTCGCAGTAAGTCGGAGAGTTATGTCGTTGCTCGCAGGTCTGGAACGACCACCTTTCCGGCCACTTCGCCGCAGCACAGGCAAGTGAGGGAGTATGGAAGGTGCCAGGGGCCCGGAGCGCGGGTGATCTTTCGGACCCGGACAGAACGTCTCACGTCTCACGTCTGATTCCAGCGCCTTTTTCATTAAGCTCCGGTGACATGCAAGATTAGTGCGTACTCTCCTTGGGAGCTATTCCGGTCCACCACTCCCTCCTCTTCCTCTCCGTTCCCCTTACTCCCGGTTTGCGTGTCGGTACAGAATATGATCGCAGACAACTCATGGACAGAGGGGAGAGGGGACTGGGTCAATTCCGGCTGTCTTACGTTGTGGTCTGTGCCCGACCACCCGTCTCGTCCCTTCTCTGCAGGGGAGGTTGATGAACGATCATGGCCTCCGTTAAAAATCTCGAGCACGATCCTGCACAGGGAAGAGGACGATCTTGAAGAGCCTGTGATGGGTCCAGACATCAATCTCACTCCCGCGTTCAGGTTGAGCAACATCCCCTTACGTTTAGGTTTCGACAGATGCGTTTCGGCCGGCCTTCTCCCCTGCCGCCCCTTCGCTGGAGGATGTTTCAGTTGAGGTGTTGGTGCTGACGGGGCTAGGATTGTGCTGTTCGCATGCTTCTAGTGCAGAAGGAACGGCACTGACTGTGTTGCTTGGACTAACGTCGAGCGGAGAGGCTAGCGTCCGTCTGTAACAGATGAAGAGGGAGAGAAACGATGAAACTCTCCTGACACACCGACTGCCATTCTTCGAATGGGAAGGATCATGATGCAACCAAACCCATCAGACGAGCTCTTGTCGGGCAAGCACCAAGTGTCATTAGCTGATAACAGCGCTATTGTCCTATGCATATACAAGAGTAAGTCACCCGTTGCACCGGACGGACCATCCGCAGTCGGAGGCATACCTGGAAATACGGAGCACGGCGTATTGGCTGGCAGACTTAACGGCGCCATCGCACAGACCCCACCGACGCCGCCGCCGCGCCAGTATTCAACATCGTGAGCTAAACGCAGATTAGTGTGCGCCGCGCCGCGCCGCACCCGGCGTCAGCTGTGGCTTGAAATCATGTCTCGAGCTTATTATAGCCTTTCAGAAGGCAATTAAGGCGATTGCAGACTATGCGGAGGCCATGCGGCATTTGCTCTTGATCGATGTCGACAACCACTCATCAGCCGTTGTTGTTGCGGCTGGTCGTCAGGCGGCGGAATGTGGCCGCATGCTGCTGTGCCTTGTGGCGTGATAAGATGCGCTACTTTGTTTTCTTGATGTCGACGGACCAACGACATTGATGAACTCGTCTTGTTGGGGATGCTTCGGAGACACTTTGGGGACGGCCATGCGAAGTCGCCCGGTCGTCTGGTCACTGAATCGTCGGACCTTGCTGACCAGGCGGCTTTCGGACCTGACGATGGATGAGCGGCCTCAACGGCTTCGCGGCCGAGCGGCCGAGAGGCCGGCAGGACAGAAACTTTGTCCAAACTTTGGCTTCAGACTTACTCGCCTTTGAGGCGTGATGCGGCGATGTTGTTGCGGACTGACTGCTTCTGCGGGCTTCTGGTCTCCTTGGTATCCTGAGCATCGCACCCAGCTTCTGGGATTAGGTTTGGCTGACTTGCGTACAACTTTGATGGCGATCAGCTGCTCGACCGTCCAGTGTTCCGACAAGACCCTCCCAATGGTATCGTCCTTGAGTAATGATGCGGTAACGTCGGCGCGTCGCATGCAGAGGACAGGGCGGTGGACGCCCTTTCATTTTCTCATCTCGGGCTGCCCTCGCCTCGTCGGTGAAGCGAAGACTGATAGGCCGAGGACAAAGCACCTCAGGACGGGAGAGTGCGACGTCCACACCTTGTATGTTCCCGAGAGCGTTTAATGGCGACGAAGTCTCGCAGCAACGAACGACTGCATGCAAGCCAGCTAGCCACGGCAATGGGACTGGCCGCGATAGGCCGGCGCCGATCCAAGACAATGGATTCAGCCAGAAGCTTGCTTTCCCCCGTGATCGTGGCCACATTGCGCGCCGCGGTACAGAGTCTGCGGGTCTGCGGCAGATGGCAGGTGACGACAGAATGAGATCTCGTCCTGCGCGTCCCAGGCCTCCCTTGTGATCCTGGAGCCATAATAATGCCGGCTTTCATATGAGCAATGAATGCACCCGCGTACCGTCCGGGAGGCGGCTCAGTGTCGAAAAAACGCAGAGTCGCAGAGTCAGCTGGCAAAGTGTTTCGTACCGCGTCGCTTCGGACATCCCTGCGGCTTACCCTATGCATACCTGCATTTGAGCGGTAGAAGGGAGTATGCAGTTGCTGACGATGTGTGGGTTGCTATCTGTTGCCAGCGATGCAAAGTCCAGCTGTGTCGTAATCCAGTCGCAGAATCGCACACAGTAGCGCGGTGGGAGTGAAGCAGAGGTCCGCAAGGTCTGGGTGCGGCGGACGGTGACCCTGAGCGTTGACTTCGCTCGGCTCACGACGGCAAAGCTTTGGCAAGCGTAATCGTCTGGGTGCGCCCTGGGCCTGGCTGGACGATGAAGAGGTGGCAGGCCCTGAGCGCTGCTCCCCTGGCGCCCTGGAACCCTGACCTACCCACTCAAGCCCCTTTGCTCCCCCTGCCAGTTGCTGGCTGGCTGGCGACGATGGGCGACCATGTTCCTCTGGCCGTGTGCCCGTATGCCGCTCTTCATCACCGCTCCCAGATTCTCAATTCCTTAGACTGCAGCCAACCTGCACTACCTGGCCATTCTCCTGCATTTCCTGGCTTCCTCCTGTACATCCTCGCCCTATCCTGCCATCCTCCACAGACACTTCACCACCGCTTACTCTTGCCAGCACAAACCATTCACTCGACCAAGTCGCTGGCCATCGGCTCACTCTTCCACCTCCCTCTCTCTACTTCTCCTCTATCTCTTACACACATCTTGCACCGACTTGCCCGAACGAACGAACGATTTTCTTCGCCCAACAACCTTACTCACGTCTTCCCCTTTTTCCAGGCCCGACCTTCCACATACACATCCGGCACTGTCGACTATCGCCGCCCAACATCTTACCTCCCAAGCAGTATTTCTCCCCGGCCGCATAGCACGCTGCTCACTCGACGTATCGGCATTTCTTACCTCCTCTCGCAGTAATCGCACTGTTGCAGACGGTTGCACCTCACCCCGCTGTCGACAGCACTAGCGACTTCCCCGCCTTCCCACTCTCTCAATATAGGTCTCCCACCGCTCCCCAGCACGACCTCAGCCCTTATGTCCTGGCACCCAAAACGTCGGGATGTGCTGCTAATCCTGACTTGTCTGGTCGTCGTCGGCCTCTTCCTCCAGCTCGACTTTAGTGGATCAAGCCATTCACGAAGCAGTTCGATCTTCAAGATCGGAGGACTTAGCCGTCGGCCAGCATTCGAGAAGGGTGGCCAGCGAGTCAACTATGCTCCGACGCGCAACACTGTCAGCCAGCCGAAGCTCAAGTGGGGAGATCGGGGTGCTCCTCACACTAAGATTGTGTCGCACGCGCCAGGTACGTTCTCGACCCCGGCCTCGCCGCTGGCGCTGGGCGTCACAGCCGTCATAGCGCCTGGCAGCAGCGCCCCGCACCCGTGTTTCATCCCGTACCAAGGCTAACGTCTCTAGGCTGGACTATTTTCGAGGATGTCTACCTCTTCAACGGCACCTGGTTCATCGTAACCGACAACCCATCAGACGTCCCGCTTATTCGTCTCATGGCCTCCACGGGAGCCGAGATCTGGAACGACGAGGGCTCCATCAAGAATCGGTAAGTCTAGTCACGAGAATGATCGGCGCAGAAGACGGTGCGCCCTGGGATCAACGGGCACGGGGAATCTGGGGTCTTGCCCAGTCATTGTTACTCAAGCTGACTTGCAGTGAACCGACCGACAAGGACATGCGCATTATTTTCCCGTCAGAGGCGAAGAAGCTTTGGGGCAGCTCGGCGTCGCGAGTGTCCGGCACGAGTTTTGTGTGCAACGACCCGCCCCAGTTCCTCGACCACTACTATCACTTTGCCGCCGAGTTCTTCTTCGGCATGTGGCGAACATACTCTTCGCTCGACCCAGGAATCAACGCTGCCGGCGAGACTTCGCTTCCTGCCCCGTCCCGACTCATTTTCCCTCACACTGCCGCTGGACGATGGAACGACTACGCCAAGATGAATTCGTTCATCCTGCGTGCCGTCTTCCCCGCTTTGTCTTACGAGTACGACGGCGACTTTGCCGACCGCAAGGACACGGCGCGTGCCTACATTTACGACCGTGTCGTGTTCGCTGACCGTGCTGCTGCGTTCCGTGGCCCCGAGTTCGGCAAGACCTGGCGAACCTCGTCCGAGGCTGTCACTCTCGGTGGAAGCCGTTACTGGTGGTCGCCCATTCGCCGCAACCTAATTGAGTTCGTCGGAGGCAAATCGGGCAGCGCTCTCAACCTGCAGGAGTTCGGTGTCGACCTTGACCAGGAGTACCTCGACAACGATGCGCTTCAGGAGATGGGCATTGAGATCGAGTCCCCATCGACGAAGACGCCCGATCGCCGTTCCATTGACGCTGCTGTTGAGCGCAGGGCTATCGGAGCTAGTGACGAGGCGCCGCAGAAGGAATCTCGCAAGTACGCCCCGAGCAACCCTGTCATTACCTACGTCTCCCGACAAGACTGGGGTCGCCGTATGCTGAAGCCCGAGGACCACGACACGCTCGTCAAGGAGCTCGGCGAGCTGGAGAAGAAGTACGGATGGGAGGTCAACATCGTGGCCATGGACAAGCTCTCGCGTGATGAGCAGATTCGGCTTGCTGCGCGAACGACCATCATGATGGGAGTGCACGGAAACGGTCTTACCCACCTGTTGTGGATGAACAACCTGAACCCTCGCGCGACCGTCATGGAGTTCTTCATCCCCGGTGGATTCGCCGAGGACTACGAGTACACTGCCCGTGCGCTCGGTATCCGTCACTACGGCTGGTGGGGCGACCATTCGTTCACGTACCCGAACATCCCGCCCGTCGAGTACCCCGATGGCTTCCAGGGCAACTCAATTCCGCTCGATGGCAAGGCCGTCGCCCAGCTTTGCGAGCAGCGACTCGTCGTTGACCGCGTTGCCGACAAGGCCAAGGATAAGCGGACAGGCGAGGGCAGCGCCTAAGCGCTCCACCACCAGGTCTGAGGCCCTGCACGTCTCGGACGGAACGACACTACACGGACACTCTCTCGCATTTCACGCACTCACCACCATCACGGATTATAAAAGGACAATTCCACTGGGCTCCAACGAACGCTCCCTCTTCTCTCATCTTTTCACTATTCCTCTCCGAAAGAAGCCTTCTTCTCGCAGCAGTGACCGGTCTTACCCTCACCGCCATTTCTCCACCCGCACCCACCACCACGAACCGAAAAGACCGAGTCCTCGCTCTCTGAAGAAGGGTACACCTCGCCTTTACGCCTGCGGGCGTTGTCATAGATTAGTACATACAGGTCCACAGCTGGGCGGAGGGACGCTCGCGCTTGTGATTTAAGAGATAGACTGTTGCGATATGCACTTTGCAACTGATGAAAGAGACGGTCCGTCAGGACTTTTGCAGGAGTCATCTATCCTAAGGAACGACGCCAGGCTAATTACTTGTCCCGCGGTTTGGCTGCGTGCGGGTGTGCAGCATGCTGGCACGTTGAGCCCGTTTGGACCTGAATGCCTGACGATGTACAGTGCTTGGTACGGTGGTGGTCGGGGCACGGTCCACGTGGATCTGGTCCCGTTGGAGGATGGAGACGCGTCTCGAGGGCGTGGGAGGGGTTGTCTGGACTAGCAGGACCTGCGAAAGCGCGGGGGACGCAAGGGACGGCGTGGTGGGATCCCTGAGCGCTCTACCGCTCTACTGACACGACAGCTTAGGCTCGAGCTTTGGTCTTCCTCGACACTCCTCCTCTCCTCCCGACACTCTACCACTCACTACACTCTCTCTCGACACTTGCTGTTGTTCCAGTCCAAGTCGCTCTTTCCACCACCCACCACCACCCCGGCTTCGTCTTTCTCCCCCGTCTCGACTTCCCTTACCCCCCCTCCGACCCTCCATCCACCATGTCCGGCGAGATTGGAATTGCCAAGTACGTCTTGCTTGAGCCATGAGAGAGAACACGCACTGACACCCCAGCCTGCCTAACCAGGTGCGCTCGACGACAGCTGGCGACCGCGGGAGAAGCTAACCATGCAGAGGCACAAGATCGTCAACCAGCGTGGTGCTCACTTCACCATCATGGTTGTCGGTGAGTAGACGGAGAGACGGACGCGTTCCAAAGGATGCGCGACGTCACGGACTTTATGGAACAAGGAACTAACACGGCAACAGGCGAGTCTGGCTTGGGAAAGACTACCCTCATCAACACTCTTTTCGCTACCGAGATCTGTGCTCCTCGCAACTACCGTCAGCGGTGAGTGCCCGCGTCGGGAAAGGGGGGAGGAAGGGTGTCAACAAGCGTGCGATGGGAGCGACATTTCTCTGGCGAATCCGAGTGCCATCGCGTTCGGTTTTTCGATCGAACTGTCCTAGCGCACGTCGCACATGCGCCCTTCCTCCGTGCAGTTTAACGTCCGCTGACATTCCAGCTTCGCCAAGCAGCTCGACAAGACGACCGAGGTCGAGATCCTCAAGGCTGACCTTGAGGAGCGTGGATTCAACATCAAGCTCACTGTCATCGACACCCCCGGCTTTGGCGACTATGTCAACAACCGCGACAGCTGGGTCCCTATCGTGGAGTTTATCGATGACCAGCACGAGTCCTACATGCGCCAGGAGCAGCAGCCCCTCCGTCGCGAGAAGCAGGACCTCCGTGTGCACGCCTGTCTCTACTTCATCCGTCCCTCGGGCACGACGATCAAGCCCCTCGACATTGAGGTCATGAAGCGTCTCGGCACTCGCGTCAACCTGATCCCCGTCATTGCCAAGGCGGACACGATGACTCCGGAGGACCTGCTTGCGTTCAAGCAGCGCGTGAGTGGCTGTTTGAAAGACGTTTGCTAATGAGATTAGATTCGTGAGGTTGTCCGCGCGCAGGGCATCAAGGTTTACTCGCCCCCCATCGACAACGAGGACGAGGCTGCCGCCGAGAACGGCCGCCTCATGCAGGCGTGCATGCCCTTCTCCGTCATTGGCTCAATCGAGGACGTCCCTACCAGCGACGGCCGTGTCGTCAAGGGCCGCCAGTACCTGTGGGGTGTTGCCGAGGTTGAGAACGAGGACCACTGCGACTTCAAGAAGCTCCGCTCGCTCCTGATCCGCACGTACATGCTCGACCTGATCCGCTCAACGGAGGAGACCCACTACGAGTCGTACCGCCTGCAGCAGATGGAGACGCGCAAGTTTGGCGAGCCCAAGGTCAAGAAGCTCGACAACCCCAAGTTCAAGGAGGAGGAGGAGGCGCTGCGCAAGCGCTTCACCGAGCAGGTCAAGCTCGAGGAGTCGCGCTTCCGCCAATGGGAGCAGCACCTCATCGCCGAGCGCGACAGGCTCAACAAGGACCTCGAGCAGGCCCACACGAGCATCAAGGCGCTCGAGGCCGAGATCGACAACATGGCCGCGTACCACCGCCAGGGCGGCACTGTCCGTCGCTAGACAGGCGATTCTTAAAACTGTATACCCCACAAGTTTCTTCTCAACTCTCTCTCTCTCTCTTATAAGTCCGCCCTTTTGTCCCTAGTATATACCGTTTAACGTCCTAACGTAGTTTTTCTCTCGCTTCTTATGGATCCAAAGACTTCATTACACTATCTGCACTACTGCTGGCGCATGAGGAGGTGGACGTCGCGCATATTCTGGCGCATCCGCGTGTCATAAGCGGGCAAGACGGCGGGATGCTTGGCGGCATTCGAGTCGAGCAGTCTATCAGTGACTTTGTCCTTGAGCTCATCCTCGCTCGTGCCAGAGGCGAGCAGAGGCCCGACAGTAGAGTTGAGCGCCGTGCCAGCCTGGCTCGCAACATCCTTCGCGAGCGCAAGATTGGAGCGGGCCATAGCCTCGGGATCGGCGGGGGGATCGGCCCAAATCCCCGCCAGCTGGGAGATGGCAATGCCCACATCCGTAGCGAGCGCGCGAAGCAGGCGGACGACCTGGAACGGGGGTCGTGAGTCGAACACTCTCCCGAGGAGTGCTCCAATCACCCTCCCGATGAGACCGAAGGGCACAAAAGCGGCGGACACAGGAGGGCTGGCGAGATCAAGAGGCGTAGGATCAGAGGCGTCGTTCGAGTCGTGCGAGGGGGTTGCGGCGGGCGATCCGGGAGCCAGCACGATGGCCAGCTCCAGAGCGAGAAGCACGCCAACGACCGTGAAACGCCAGTACGCGCCGTCCCGTGCCGCTCTCGCAAGCGCGAGGATGCCTAGACCAGAGACAGCGGCGATGTAGAAGGACACAGAGGACATGAGGCCCGATTGCATGTAGTCCCGGAGGGACTTGCAGGATGTGCATGCGGCGACGGAGGGGCCGAACCTGGTTTTTGGTCAGTTATGTACTCGTGGTGGATGCGCGGATAACTCACCGGTCATACACGAACCGCGTCGTAGGCTCTGACAACACCTCATACGCTCTCCGGATCGCCACGAAACGCGCATTCGCGACCTCCATCTCCGGCTCGCTCAGCCGCCCCTGCCTGTCGGGGTGGTAGACCCTGCTGAGACCGCGGAAGGCCTTCTTGAGCTCTCCCTCGCCGGCTCCATACCCGACACCGAGGACGTCGTAGTAGCTCCGCCCCCGGTCTTCGGACTGCGTCACGAATGTATACGCCAGCCAGAGCGTTACGAGCGTCGTGAAGAGGAGGCGATAGTTCCGCCTGTAACCCTGCGATCCTGGTGCAGAGGGGGGGAAGAGGAAGGGGAGGAATTGGGACGCGAAGGGGAGCAGGATCTGGGTTAGTTGTGGAGGCAGGAAGGCCCACAGCAATGGAGAGAGGTACGACATGGTCGTTTTATTCCTATGTCGATTCCTATGTCGAAGGAGTCGAGAGGTGGTATGAGGTGAGATGGGATGAGAGGTGGAGGAAGACTCTTAACGTGTCAACAATCGCGCGCTTCCCGCCTCCACTCTCCCTGAAACATGACCGTTTCACCTCCACCAACACTCTCGCCATACTCTCTAGCCTCCACCATCGCGATGCTACGGCTCCTGCGGAGCCTTCGCTTCCGCAATCATCACGCATACAAATCAAGTACATTCCCGTAACGTCTATGACAAAGATTACTACAAAGCGAAATAAGCTAGATTAAAGTAAAAGAGTGTGGGATGAGGTAGTGAGTGACCGGAATGGATAGTGTTCGCGGTGTCGCTGTGGTTGAAGATTGCTGAGGAAGGTAGTGGGATGTCACTGACGACGATTGAGTGTAGGGATCGCTCACTCCCACCATCCTCGCAACCTCGCCTTCGGCTCGGATGCTCGTCGGACCACGGGGCTAGAACTACTTGCCACCGCGGCTGATGCGCCTCTTCAGCCCGAGGGTCAGGCTGGTAGCCGACTTGGACGGCGAGGAAGGCACGGGGCTCGCGATGGAGACGGCGGGGGCTGACGGCGTCACACTCGGCGTCGGTGTCGGTGTAGGCAGAACAGACGCGATAGACCTTCCGTCCATGTCGCGCCACACGCCGTCGTTGCACACCCGGCCATGCGCCGCCGTGCTCTGGTTCGCGTCGAGGCGCTCGCGCCACTCGGCGCACACCTGCGGACTGTCGACGAGCACATTGATCTCCTGCGCGTGATACCACGACGCCGAGTCGCAGTTGCCGTTGCCCTGCACGCCGATCTGGCCGTCGATGATCATCAACTTAATGTGGCACGTGTGCGTTGTGCGCCCGATCGGCGTCGTGTCCCCCTTTGGCGTGTACCAGTATATCCGCAGGAGATCCTTCTCGGCCTCCTCCTCGAGCTGGGAGTACATGTACACAGCAACCTGCCGGTTGATCTTGCCGTCGGGAGAGATCTCGCCCTGGAGTTAGCTTGATGCAGTAGAGGAAAACGAAGCTCACCTTCTCGTCGTATCCCAGGTCGGCGTAGATCTCAACGAGAACGCCGCGGCGTACGGCGTCGAGAGCAGCTGCGACGACCGGCTTCGCGCTGAACGTGGGGGTTTGCCTGGCAGTCAGCATCACGCTCCGAGACAAACTCGCTTCGCTCGCTCCGCTCGGTACTCACAGGAACACACTCTTCGTTGCAAACTTGAAACCTGCAAGCCACGCCTGATTCTGAGGGACGAAGGCGTCCCCGTGCCCGCGGCGCCCACGGGGCGTGCGGTTCACGAGTGCGAACGGGAACGGGTCATGCGGCTTGTGCAGCAGCACGGGCTGCAGGGGCGGGCCGCAATTGTGCTCCCGGCTCTTGGTCGAGCTGACGCCGTCGCCCAGCGTCTCACTGCCGATACTACCGCTGTCGCTGAACGTCGGCTCGGCCAGCTTCTGCCGCGTGCGCTCGGCTAACACGTCCAGGTCGCCCTTGGGCTCAACCGCAGGGTTCTCCGCACCAAATTGGAAGTCGGCCGCGGTCAACTTGTTGGGGTACTTGATGCGCTCATACACGAGGGGCGGCCGGGGGTTGAAGCTCGTCCACCACGCTAGGAGCGTCGTGTCGTAAAAGGACTGGACGATCGGGCCCTCGTACTGCGCCATGAAGCCGACATCGCTCTGGAGGTTAGCTACCATCACGTAAAATGCCAGCTGTACGCACCCGGTTCTGGACATTGTTGCTGCTGAGTAGGGCGATCTTGCGGTCGATCACGACACACTTCTGGTGGAACGTGCCGACGGGGTAGATGTGGTAGTTCTGCACCTCGAGCTGAACATTCGGGATCTCGTCCGGCGCCGGCAGTCCTATGTCGGCAGAGGTGTACTCCCGCGGGCTAACGATCTGATGCGCCCCGCTGTGCTCAGCTGCGCCCCGATCGTACACTGGTTGACGTCAGCACATGTTCCGCAGCCTTGAACACGTCACACGACTTACTGATCTTGACGACAATCTTCTCGCCGTTCCGGTCCGCTACTCGCTGCGACAGGGTTCGGAACGCCTCGACGATTGTCTTGGACGACTCGGACGCTTCCCAAACATTCGTCGTAAAGATGATCTCGCGCTGGGCGTTCACAATCAGGTCGGCGTAGTGCTGAACAATGTCGGATGTGTGCGAGATGACTGTTACGGGCACGACGCCGCACCCCGCCATTAAGGGCGGCGACACCATGCCGTTCAGAACATTCTTCTCGAGCGACATCAAGGCCTGGGCAAAGATCTGCGGCTCGTCAGCACTTCCACTTCGCTCATGTCAGCCGACCAGCGCCAAGAAGCCAGGCCCGAGTGACCGGGTCACGCATCTTCCGGCCTGGGCCCGGTTGAGACAGGTGTGACCGTCCATTCATCAAGGTGGCTCCGCGCGAACGCGACGAATCACGAATAAACAATTGCTACTCACGTTCAGGAAGAGGGTCGAAGGCTCTGAACCCCGCCACTGGCCGCAGCGGCGGACCTCGTCGAGCTGGGGCGGCGACAGCAGCTTCATGCGGCTGTAGTGGTCCTCGGTGGAGAGGTCGGAGTCGCTCTCATCGCTGCACCCAGACGCAGCCGTGCTCGAATCAGCCTGTCCCTTGGAACCTTCGTCGGCGGCGCCGAGCCTGTTCTTGAGCTTGCTGTTCTTCTGCTTCCTGCCCAAGCTTAGCCGCTCAAGCCATCGCTTGACACCCTTGGGCGTGGGCGGAGGCTTGGGCCGGATGACGCTCTCGCCGGTCCAAAGACCAAACGAGCCGTTCCCCAGCCCGAACAGGTGCTCAGCGATGACCCGGACCGAGGTGTCGACGGTGGAATTCGCGAGACATGCCGTAACCGTGTGATCTGGACTTCGGAGGAAGGTGTAGAGTGGCTCCGGGATGAAGACTGATTTATGATCCCTCTCGTGGGCAGCAACAAGGTCGCGGCCGCTGACGACCGAGTCGAGCGTACCGTTGAGGGAAGGCGGAGCTGCTCGCTGGATCGCGAGGATGGCGGGGGAGCGTGCGGGGGTGGACGGGGACAGGGGCTGGATAGGTGGAGGTGAGACGGGCCGATTGGGGTTGTTAGGGCTGGTGCCGAGTGGTGAAACGGCAGCGGCCATGGTGTGCGTCTAGTCCGTCCGGCGGTGTTGTGAGAGGGGCGAATGAGCGATTAGTGCTGGTTTGTTATGCTTGGGTCGGTGCTGGAGGTTGCAAGGTCGGTACAGGACACGAGGACGGTGGAGGGTCTAAGAGTGGTACAGGTCGTGCGGATTGTCTATGCGAGATGGAGAGGCATGGTGGACGATGGAAGTAGGAGGTGAGTGAGGATGACAAGACTGGGTTGAGCGATGAAAATAGGAGAGATTGTGCCGGGGTCGATGAGCAAACAAGAAATAGAATTGCGGATGACAGAGTTGGGTGTGGTTGGATGCAAGAGCCCACGTGCCAAGCAAGACGGCAGTGGTTGTGAGTCAGACTTTGCCATTCTGGGCAGTCTCTGCAGATCATGCATGCATTTGACGGTGTCTGCTCTCTTGGCCCCTCGCTTGTGTGTGGTGTGCGGGGCACTGGGCACGAGGGGGCCATTGAGCGGAGTCGGGTGGTCCGAGCGACCGCTAACAAGAGTCGATGCTAGAGCGGCTTAAGCACCAGCTGCGGGCACGGGCGGCATGTCTGGAATGCGACTGGAACACTCTGCGCCGCTCTCTGACGCTCACCACATTTGCCACCCAAATCTTATCAACATTGATATACGTGTAAACTGGCACACAAAGACTGTGTGGAGACTCCACACTCACCCCTACGCCACATGGCGCCACGAGCAAGACTCTTCCAGTCGCAGGTGTTCGCTCATGTCCGGCGAGTCCGGGCCCCGAGAAGCCAGCCAAGGTGGACACGGGGTCTGGTGACCACCTCCGCTGCATCCGCTGGCAAGGCCTGCGGCCCTGCGTATGGATCGGTTACTTGTGGTGGCCGACCTGGTGCGCGATTTCCCAACTTGCCGTATCCCGAACATTGACACTCACCTTCCCTCTCCGTGTTGACCGGTCCCCGGACAATGGAATGGGCAACCGAGTACACGTCTCATGGGGACTCCATTCATCGCTATATAGTCTAGCCCACATTCCCTTGGCCTCGTCGTCCTTCTCACTTCACTCTCCATCTCCTTCAGCATGACCGTTACCGCTTCCCCCAACCAGCTCCAGGGCGTCGCTGTCGTCACCGGCGCCGGCTCCGGCGTGAGTTGTTGTTTGCTCGTCGGGCATCTCCGATCACACCTTCCCTCCACCGTGTACTGACCGCAGATCGGCCGCGCAACCTGCAAAGCCCTCGTCACCCGCGGCGTCAGCGCCGTCACGCTCGTGGACCTGAACGAGGCCGGTCTCCAGGAGACTCAGGCGCAGCTGCAAAAGATCAACGCCGAGGTCAAGACGCTGATCGTCGTGTGCGACGTCGCCGATGAGAGCAAGGTCGTCGACTTCCACCAGCGCACAGTCGAGTCGTTCGGGCGCATCGACTACGGCGTCAACGCCGCCGGCATTGGACTGCACGCCCCATTCGACGAGTGCACGTCCGAGCAGTGGGACAAGGTCATGAACATCAACGAGCGTGCCGTCTTCCTCTGCATTCGCGAGCAGCTCCGCGCCATGAAGAAGCAGGACAGGCTGCCGGCGAGGATTAGGGACGCGGACAGAAGGGTGCCATCGTGTCCATCTCGTCCGTGCTGGGATACAAGGGCAGCCCCGACATTCCCTCGTACATCACCTCGAAGCACGCCGTCATCGGTATGGCCAAGGCCGCCATGCGCGACGTCGCCAAGGACGGAATCCGTGTGTGAGTAGCCACCAGCAGGCTCGGACCGCAGGCGAGAGTCGGCGAGGGTCGCCCATGATCTTCCTGTCGGCAAAGGCTAGTCTCACTCTTGTCCACGTCGCCTGTCAACTGTAGCCCAGCCTACTCCTCGTTCGAGCCTGCTCGCTTCTCTCCCAGTCACACTGACATACAGGAACAACGTCGCCCCCGGATTCATCGACACGCCACTGACGAACAACCCCCGTGCCGGCTCTCTGCTCGCCGCCGCGACCTCGCCCCCCTTCACGCCCATGGCCCGCCCCGGCCGCCCGGAGGAGGTCGCCGACGTCATCGCCTTCCTGCTCTCCGAGGAGGCGAGCTTTGTTAACGGCGCGACCTGGAACGTCGACGGTGGATTCCTGGGCTAGGCGCGCATACGAGGCGCTGCGGCGCAGAGCGTGCCGAGCGTGGTTCGATGGTCCGAGGAAGAGGAAGTCTCTGTTGTCCCGAAACGGCGCGCAGAATAGGGTGCGCCGCATGTCTGGGTTCAAGACATGGACCCGTGCCTCGAGCTTGCCTGAGCCAGACACATGTCTCGGTGCATCTACGTAGGGAAAAGTCAAGTCGGAAGTTATGTTTATACCAGTTTAAGAATGAAAGAAGTGTTCCAAAGTCTCTACGGCTGGATCTGCGCATCTGCGCCCCTCCATTGTGCCTCACCACCGTGCCAGCCGTGGCCAGCCGTGGCCAGCCAGGCCAGACTCGGTAAAACAATAGTGGCGCACACCCTCTTTCGTCTCCATCTTTATTGTCCTCGTTGGGCGTATGGGGTGCTCACCCTCCATGCCAGAAAGCGCGATATAAGACCCAGTGGCCACGAGAGACGACGGGTGTGCTGCGTTTCGAAATCCAATCAAACCATCTCTTCATCTCTCGCCAGCTCGAGGCGCCGTTTCGCAATCCAATCAGTTCCTGTTCGACCCGCGATATCTCATCTCGAGCACCTTTATCGCTATCTCCTCTCCTTCCGCCGACATCCTTCCCATTCCCAACCTCGCAGGTCGAGCAACAGCATGTACCTCTTATCAGCACTCCTCCGGCCCCTCCCCTTCTCCCTCTCCTTCCTGAGCCCAGTGCTCGTTCTCCTCCTCAGCCTTCCGCTGGTTCCTTCAGCCCTAGCCATCCCGGCCTCCGAGCAATTCGCCCTCTCCACGCAGACCCAGGCTTCGGCTTGCTTCATCAAGTGTCACAACGAATTCTGCGATATCCACGACATGCCCGGCAACACGAAGAACTTCCCGTCAGCGATCACCATCAATTGCGGCCTCGCTGTGAGTTTGGGCGGCTTCTCTCTTCTCTTTCTCTCCCATGCTGGCAGCTGGCGGAGAGGTCGGGCGCACAAGCAGCGCACAGCTCAACAGATCAGGACAGATCAGGTCACATGAGGACAGATCAGGAACCAGCAGCTGGAAGGGAGTGGGGAGGTTGTAGGGGTTGCCTCCTCTCAGCCGCTGCCGTCTTCATCCCCGGCATCCCCGTCCTCGCTACGCTTGGACCTGGGACTTGGACTCGCGCTGACATTCAGGATTGGCAGCGCATCATGCCCCGCTGCCTTGCCGTTACTTGCGTCTCGGCGCCCGACGTCGCTTATGCGGTCGAGTATGGCCGGCACTTCTGCGCCCGCGCCGGTGTGCCTGATGTCAAGTTTGAGATGCCGGAGCGCTTCTTGTTGAGCGAGGGAGGGGCGTATTACAAGTGAGTCGATTGCGCCACTGCCGCCTGTCCTGGAGATGTCTCATGCGTGCTCGTTGGCCTGGTAGGGCTTGTAGGACTGGGAGGCCTGATGGAGCTCGACAGTGGTGTTGCGGCAGTGATAGGGGAGAACAGAGTAAAGCTCACGCGAAGCGATACCTTGGCATCGACGGCCGGCCGAAACGTCCCCGCCCTTGCTGCAGTCTTTGCCGCCGGCACACTCGCCCTCCTCGTCTAAGATCCCCTTCGCCTCACGGAAACATTGCGATGCCCATATGTACATGTCATTATGAATAGTGCTACAGACGCTCCTTCCTTCATGCTGCTTGCTGAGTCTGCTGTCTGCCACATCCCGGTCCCTGGCCCACACCCTCAGGCTCTCACACCCCCACAGCCTAGCGGCCTCGCGCTGCTCCGTCACTCACGCCGTCTTGGCCATCTTGCAGTTGTGGTGGACGTACCAGCTGTCCTCAGCCTCACGCTTCTTGAGATAACACTCCGAAGTCGGGCTCCTCACCTTGGTCCAGTCAAAAGCCCCTCGGCCGCGGATCCGGTCCTCGCTGACCGTCGGCGGATTCCCGAAACTAACGAAACCGACGTACCGCTTCAGACCGTGAAGCACGCCGGTGTCCATGTACTGATGTTGGCAGTGATCGAGGATCAGAAACGTGATCGCGGCCGTGCTCGGGGGCGGAGGGGCTGAGGCAGGCGGCAGCGACTTGGTTGAGCTGGCACGCAACAGACTCTTGCTTCCGTTAGAAGACTGGGATCGTGAGACGGGCTGGCCCTTGGAGCGCTTCGGCGCGAACGGGCCCGCCGCCGGGGCAAAGGGCGACTTGGCTGCCGGAGCCTGCGGCTTCGGCCGGTTGTCCAGCGCGCCAAGGTTGCGGCTCAGAACAATACGACGAACGGGGCCAGCGGTAATCTCGTCGTTGGCTGCAAGACTGAGCGCGCAGAGTTCAGGGAGCAGCGCCGGCTTGCCCTGCGTCACAACAAGATGCTCCAGAAGGTCAGTCTGGATGCTGCACCCCGCCAGGCCGAGGAAGCGAAGCTTGGGGAGTTGACGAAGTAAGTCGACGAACTGTGTGCCGATGTAGCAGAATCCGACGTCGAGGGAGGTGAGCGAGCGGAAGCGGCCGAGGTCCAACGAAGGCACTTGCGCACCGGAACGGTAGAGCGAGAGCGCCTCAAGACTCGGGAGCGAGGTGTGGTTCAAGTTCAGAGCGCGCTGGTTGCCGAGGTGCAGGTGCTTCAGGAAGGGCAGGTCGGTGCGCTCAGTCGATGCAGGTAGCGGCGCAGTCACGTCAAGCTCGGCCCACTCCAACGCCGGCATCAGAGCGAGCAGGCTCCCGAGCGTCATGTGCAGCTCGGCGCTGTGCAGGCGTAGACGCTTCAGTTGGGACAACTGCTCCGCGCGGGGCAGCCACTCCCTCGAGCCGTAGCGGGGCACGACGTCCTGCGGCGCATACACCGCCGTGTTGCCCACGGGCACATCCGCGCTGCGCAAGCTGGTGGCGTCCGGGTCGAGCAGACCGAAGAACAACGGACGCTTGGTTGTCGGTCTATCCCCGCCACTGTTCTTGACAGTGAGGTCGGTGAGATGGGCGCACGCTCCGCGCCAATTGTCCGTGAAGCGCACGATCTGGTCGAAGGAGAAGCCATCAAACGTGAGTCGCTTCAGATCGCGCATCTGTGGTCGTAGTTCGCGGGCGAGTCGGTCGTCGTCGAGGGGATATCGGAGTGTGACTTCTGAGAGACGCTTGCCGCGCTCGACAAACATGGCAAGCTTGGCCACTGGCCGACGGCGCGTGAGCACCAGGCGGCGCCAGAGCGGTGCATGTGAGACAACGACGTTACGCCAAGCTGAGCAGACGCCCGCAAGGCGTAAACCCATGTGAGGGTCGACCTCCAGTCCCTGCTCAGCAATGCACAGAAGCACATCAGCATTGAGGAGATGCGTGTAGTTCGTCCTGCGCTTCTTCGCTCGTTTGGCTTCCTCCTTGTCGTCGGCTTCACGCTTCGCCTGCGCCTCCGCCGCCTTTTGGCGAGCCTCGGTGATCTGTGAGTTCAAAAGGTAGTATTGGTCGTACGCTGATGGCGGACAGAAGGCAAGACCCTGCTTCGCGGCCACCTCTGCTTCGTCGAGCAATTTGAGTTCCGCGCATATTATGCCGAGCCGGAACCACGTCTGATGTCAGCTTAAAACAGATCCTCGACCAGCTGCCCAGAACCGTCGAGCGAAATAACTCACCTGGTGTACCTCCTTGCCGAACTTCTTCGTCGAAGCTCGTGCGACTTCTAGCGCCGACTTTTGCCAAGGTCCACCGAGCTTATTCATCGATGCCGCCTTCCCGTCCAATACTTTCCAACTACGATCACCGAGCGAGAGCGCCTGGAGTTAGCTACGACACTAGCAACGAAGCTGCTGACAGAGAACAGCACTGAGGCTGAGTGAAAGGATGAAAGGGAGAGTGAGATAGCTGTACCTGATGAGGTCGTCGGTTGGCCCACCACTGGTCGCAACAACAACAACAACAGCAGCAACAACAGCAACAACAACAACAACAACGCCAAAGGCGGACTCTATCGCACGGCAGTGCTGAGGTGCGGGGGAAGGACAACTCACTCGGTCGAAGTTGGACAGCGCCTCCGCATACTGTTTCTCGCCGTACAGCTGGCGACCTGTTTTGTACAGCGCCTGCGCCTGCGAGCGGTCGCCAGACATGGTCGAGGTCGATGACGAAAGGAGGTCATCTGGGCGGCGCGAAATGAAACGCGTCGCGGGGTCTCCCACGGTGCGCGCATACAGAGTTGTTACGTAACAGACAGCTCTCGCAGAGTTTCTCAGTATTGACGTGCTCGGCCTTAAAGCCCCTCCGTGCATGCGAAACCTGTCTTCCTTGTGATGCGCTGAGCATGGCGGGCAAGACGCTGACCATCTGACTATCCTTTTTGACACTTCTTCTGCCCTCAGTTGACTAAGAACGTAGGGTGCAAGCCAGGCAGGAAGGTAGAGTTCTGCGACTGAATGACGACATCTTGTTTGCCGATGCGCCGGACTGCGTTCGCTCCAGCGAGCTGCAAACTGAAAGAAGAAAGGATAAAACTTAATCTGGGGCTATAAAGTCCTATGGAAAGCGACTGTACTGACCTGGCACAGTCACGAACAGGCGACCATGCAGGCTAGGCGACAAGAGCCTAGAGCTCGAAGCGGGGCATGGGCTGGGCGCCCTTCTGGTCACACTTGCACTTGCAGATGCAGTTGTCACCAGTGGGGGTAGGGGAAGCAGAGGCAGACTGGGTCACAGTGACGGTCTGAGTCGCGTTACCGGTGGCAGTCTGAGTCACGGTCGAGACGATGGTCGAGGTTTGGATCACGGTCGAAGTGGCGTTGGTGGGGCACGCGGACGAGGCAGAAGGGGTAGGCTGAGACGAGGAGGAAGTGGAAGGGGTGGCCGAGGACGAAGGAGGGGGGTTCGACGACGAGGAAGGAGGAGGGTTCGACGAGGACGTAGGGGGAGGGTTCGACGAAGAGGTAGGAGGAGGGGCCGACGACGACGGAGGAGGAGGAGCCTGCGAGGAGGTAGAGGGCTTGGGGTTGGTCGGCTTGATGTTCGAGTTGATCTTGTACTGGCAGTCGTTTTGGTCAGCGCCAGTGACCTTGACGCGAACCTCAATCTCCTCGGGAGGGCGGACCTGGCCGGTAAGACGGCCGAAGGGGTTGCGCTTGCTGATGGTGACGGAGGAGGTCTGGCCGGTGACCTTGTTGATGAACGTGGCGACAATGACGGTGGGGCGCTCGGTCGAAACAAGCTCGATGTTGTACTCGAGGTTCTCGACGAGGTTGCGGTCCTCGGACGTGGGCTTGTAGGTGTACACAGCCTCGTTGTCGGAAATGCACTGGCCGACGTTGTGAATGTCGTTACCGAGGGGACCACCAGACTTCGGAATATCAGTGCGCTTGCACTTGTTGTCGTTGTGGGTGAGACCGTTCGTCGTGGCGTCGTGGAAAAACTTGTCCATGTCCTCCTTGTTCTTGATCTCCATAGCGATGCCTCCAGTCTCCCTGATGGCGTTCGCGACACCCGGGTCAATTCCCTTGACACGACGGTCGTCGTGGACGGTGAGCTGAGCGTAGTTGATGCGGATGCCCTTGTTCTTGAGGTTGTTAACTTCGTCGGCAACCCAACCCTGGTTCTCAGCAAAGGAGGCGCCGATCATGACGAGACCACGGCGGTCCTGGTCAGAGCCCATCTTCTCCAGCTCCCTAGAAGCGACCCCGAAAGCGTATCTGAGCTCAGAGAATCCTTCGGCGCCCATCCTCGTGATCAGGTTGCGCGCCGAGTCATCCGCGTTCGGGTCGCCGACAAACGTCTCGCTCCACTCCTTATACGCAATGACAGACACCTTGTCAGCCTTGCTGATGTCGGTAGTCTCGTTCAGGGCAGTGAGGAAGTCGAGGAACTTGTAGCCTCCATATTTACGGATGTTGTCCGGGTCTTCTTCGGCGATCTGACCATGGGCGTCGATGCTCAGAGCTATAAGGCGTCCTGGATTGTCACAGAAGCCCCACGCGCGAGGCTCGGGCGTCATTGCCTTCATGGGGCTGGCAGCGGCCAGACTGGCGATGAGCGAAAGACCGAAAAGCTTCATCATTTTGGACGAAGTTCGGCGGTAAAAGAGTGTGGGTCAGTTGGCGGGGGGTTGTCGGTCTCGAGACTCGAGCGCTGGCGCTGGGAGATGCGTCGTGTTGTCTTATATACACCTGTTAAGGGAGGTCCCCGCTGCAGTTTGGCTGGAGTGTTCGCCACGAACCCGACAGCTGCCACAGACCCCAAACCGACTGACTCGGGTCCATTACCCCCTGCGGACGACTAGTGCGACGCTCGCTCCTGTCCCGAGGCTTCTATCTTTACGACAAGGAAGGCGGCTCGGATGCAAACAAAGTCCGGGTGTGGCCAGAGGTTCGTTAATGGAGGCATTCATTCGTTCCCAGGAATCCCAAGTGCTCGAAGCAACGCCCCCCAGCATTGGCCCCCGAGTCTAGAGGCAGAGCCACGGCGCCTCCTCGGTGCTCTCGGCGCACTGCAGTGCACCGCCACGGGCGGGCCGAGTGAACGGCTTCGCATGAAACAGGAGCCGCACCCTCCGAGTTGTCTGGGTCACCGAAGGAGCTCGGCGCGGCATTTGATGAATGACGGGAAGGGGACGGCGCGGAACCGAAGTACACGAAGAGGCAGGCAAGTCACCGCCTCGAGGGACACTGAGGGTCGTTCGGTCGTTTCAGACGTTTCTGGGTCTGCAGAATGAATAATGATAAGATAAGGCGGGAAGGCACCTCGCTCATGTCTGGCCCATGTCTGGGGCAAGACGCGGCACACCGGAAGCCTTGGAGCTTAACCTTGGGCGTCGGAAGGTGCGTGTGTTGGTGTGTGAACTGCTGAAGCCTGATGATTTAGGTGCCTTCAGAGGCAGAAGAGTCGGCGCTTCACCCGATGCAAGGCGTCCCCACACACGATCTCATGGAATGGCGCACCTGATTGTCCAAGAGGCCCAGCTTCAGCACGAAACCTCTGTAGGGGACTGTGAAAGCCCTGTGTAGCGTAGAGGGGGGAGAGGGATCTCCGAAGGAGGCACAAACAACGAAGAAGCTACGGACAGAGCCCGACCTCGATTGACTGGAGCAGGGGGAGGTTCTCGGCACAGGGAGATTTCGTGCAAGTAGTACACACAGAATCAGTTTGTGCTTCCACTCTCCCTCAGGAGCCCCAGACACTCTTGAAATAGAACGAAGCACAATGGTCGCTAGTACGTAGCCAACAAAGGACAAAGGAGGACAGGGTGCCTCGCCGAAGGTTGGAGAGTGATTTCCTCGGTGGCGAGCGGGACCGGATTACCCCTGGTTCATGACCCGCTCTCGTCACGTCTCCGTCACCTGTCATCTCACCTGTCCGAGAGCATGTTCGTATCGAAGCGAAACGTTGCTTCGGAATCTACCCGCCTCTGACGGTCCGCCGTCCGCCGCTTATGAAGACTTATGCATAAGGAAGCGCTGATGCGGAGACTTCAGAGTGTGGAGCATGCCATTCAAAGAGCTCGTTTCAGACGTCCACGGGAGAGCGTTCCTCGCGGCATTCTCGTCATGCAACTCGTCATGCAGAAGGCGAACGAAGGAGAGGGGATATCCGCCATGCATGCTGGCCGTTGCTGTCAGACGCTGGTGCTTTTCCTGCCACAGCGCCAGAGCGAGCCCGTTGACCGCCACTGTCCATTCTGCCACCCCACAACTCCCGTGGTCACTTGGCTCGACCAAGATTCAAGGGGCTACCGAGCTATTAATACAGACGTTGTCCATAAGTAGCTACAAGAGAGCGGAAGGACAGCCGCAATCATGACAGGCACCCCGGACCGGGATATAAGAGAGAGGCCTCGTGGAGGCGTGAAAGTGAGTCGTCCCCGTCACCTCTCTACCGTATGTTATAACCGCTGGATGCTCTGATTCAGCAACCGGCGAACTGTGCTGGAACATCACCAGCCTCCACTGACCACCCCTCAAGCTCGCTTCCCTGCTCTTCCTCCTGATAGTCCGTGAAGGGATGCTCTCACGTCAGTTGAGGTTGGTAGCTCACCGCCTACTCTAAACCTCACGAATCTCACAGTCAGCTGACGCAGAACGCTGAGCATCGGCTGTCAATGTCCCAGCCGGCCCAGCCGACTGAGCGATACAGGAGAACCGTGACCAAAGCCTGGCCCGGACTCAAGTCCGAGCTCCGCAGCTTCTTCCTCTGCTCGCTTCTTCCCTCGAAGCACAATGTGGCTTCAAACTCGCAGCACATTGCCCCACTGTGCACACAGTGCGCACAATGCTCCCTCGTCCGCACACTGCACCCTCATGCGCAGTGCACACAGTCCAGACGCTCAAGATCCAGACTCAAAACAGCCATGGCGGTGAGATAGGCACGCTGCACAGGGAAGACGCCGATCTTGCAATCTCGCCTCCACAATCCTCCGCCATCCGCAGTTGTTCGCAGAAGAAAAGCTGCACAGGAGAAGACGTCTGCCGTCTATTTCTGTCGACTGCACCGCTATCCATCTGCGCACTCGTTCTTCCGAAGCACGGATACTGTTATCATGCCTCATGCGTGTTGGCTCTCAGACCGGAGACCGGGAGAATGCGGTGAAGTCAGGACGAAGCTCACCAGAAGCCCTCGCGGCCCTCGCCTCGTTGCTCACAGTGAAGGGGCGCTCTCTCCTTATGTGCTTGCGCTTTCAAGACCCCAGTTGTGTACCCCGATCCCCGATGTGCCCCCTTCCCCTCCCTTCCCCCAGCCCCCGACGTCCTCGACGCCTCCGAACACACGCCATGCGCGCCATGCAGCCACCCACACACACAGAGCACAGACCCCCTCCATATCCTTCTGTGCGCCACCATCCGTGCCCCCCCCCCTTTCCTTCACCCTCTCACATTGCCTGCCCCCTGCGCCCCTGCGCCCCGGCACACAGCGCTAGCGGCGCTCATGCATGATCATGCGCGCAGCAAGTGTATCCGCAGGGATGCAGGGTTCCGCAGAACACCACAGAGGCAGAGGGTCAAAGGATCAAAGGAGCGACCTGCAGGAATGCGGCGTATTGCGTCATTATGCTTTGTGCCAAGTGATTCCAAGACGCCGAGCATTGATGTGCCGAGCGCAGTCGCGGTTCACCTGTCGCAGTCAGACATGCAGACATTCCACTGTGTTGCCCGCAGTTCGCAGCTCGCAGCTTCACCGCATTGTCAGCAGCGCTATCTCCATGTCAGTCGACGTGAGTTGGAGTCAGTACCGGATACGACGTGTGCAGCTTCTGGACTTCTGGCAGCCTCGCTGGGAGGCCGCTACAACTGTTCCTGCATGGCATACGCTTACTGCTTGTATGTTCAGCCGCAAAGGGCTCGATTATGTACATTTTATAGAGACTCCTTCTGAAACGAATTCACGAAAGACAGTGATGGATGGGTGGATGACAAAAGTGATGGTGGATTGATGGATGAGCTTCGTGCTCAGTGTCCGTAGAGTGGTTGCGGATGGGAGGGGTGTACGGTGTCTCTACCTCGCCGCGGCGGATTACCGGCCGCTCTTCCAGTAGCTCTTCTTGCGCGTGACGCCGCGGTTCATGGTGGCCTGCCGCTGCACCATGCCCGTGTACGCCTGGTGTTCCTGTTCCGAGAAGATCTCCTCGTCGGGGATCATGAACGAGTCCGGGTTGCGCACGGCCGCGAGCGTCGCGCTCAGCGTGGGCTGGGACACGGGGCCGAGGTCGATCGAGTTGCTCCGCGAGCGGCTCAGGCTGCGGCTCGGCGCGAGCCCGCCGCCATCCCCTCCCCCCTCCATGGCCCGGACTACCGTAGCTCGGGGACGAGAGCGGGGAGCGGTTCTGCGGCGACGACGACGCGCCCTGCGGCGGACGCGACATGTACTCGGTGTACTCGTTTGGCGGGGTTGAGCGGCTGCTGCTCGAGGGCGTGGACGCAGTCGAGGCCACGCCCGCGCCGGGCGGCCGCTGGCTGTACGGGACGTACTGCGGCGCCGGCGTGTCGGGGAGCGCCTTGCCGTCCGGGCGGATGTGCTCGATGTGCGCAATCTTGGGCTGCGAGTTTTGCCGCTTGTTCCTGCGCCAGAAGAAGCCCATGGTGGTTGCGTAGAGGTTCGGAGGTCAGCGAGTAGTGAGTGTGGGAAATGAACGGGGTCGCCGTCGTCGTCTTGATCAAGTCGACGGAGATGGCTGATGGGAGTTGAAAAGATGGGGGACGCGCAGACTAGTGGACCCGGCTTGCTGGACCGGGGTGATTAATATAGTGCGAGTTGATGGTGGCGAGGGGCGGAGGGCGAACCGAGGGAGTCTGTCGGTGTGATTCACGCGTGGGTGGATGGGGTGGATCAATCTCCGCGCAGCACCTCAGTGGGATCGTCGATAGCGCCGAGCAAAGGCGCTAACCGTCTAAGCGTGCTAAGCGTGCTGGGTGGTCTTGGTGCGGGGCCGATGGAATGGAGGCCGTAGATGTGTACTAGTGGATCGTGGATTGGGCTAAGTGGGAAAGAGGAAAAAAAAAACGATGCTCCGTCAGTGGAAGTGAGAGCCCGGGGTATGATATAACAGAACCCCTTGCACAGTGTCCTGCAGCATGCTAGTGATGGCAGCCAAGAAGCGAGAGGGCTCACGGCCAAGCCCGTGGATGTCTTGTGGTTGTCTTGAGTATGACGACGCGTGAAAGGGCCGCCCGGCTTTCACAGGCTTAACTCTCTGGGGCCCTGGCCCTGAGCCTCATGTCGGGGTGGGTTCTCCTCACTCGTGCACCATTCTGCAGGTCATCTGGTCTTAATGGCTCTCTGCTAGTCCTGAATTGATCCTCGCTCTTCTCCAGTTCATTACTGCACAGAGTAGTCGTGCTGCAGAGAACTGCAAAGGGCAAAGGGCTAGACGGCGTCCGGCGTCAGGCTGCAGGGCAGGCGACGGCCAAGTAGCCGCAAGATCAGCCTCCCGTCCAGGCAAGATGCCGAGAGACCGTCTTCTGTTCCTCTGCTCCCACGCCGTGCGTTTCATGCCGTGCCAAATCTTGCCATTCCGGGTAAGTACGACCCTGGCTCCGTCTCCTCCGTCCTCGGGCCTCATGCCTAATGGCCCAAAGACACTCGCGAGATGATGACCCCCCGCAACCCAGTTTCCCTGCACAGTTCCCCTTTTCTGCACGTCCTGCACCCAGGGATGGAGCACTACCGGGCGAACAAAGCCGAACATGGACCTGTACTCGCGCACTCGCGCCTATGACAGGCTCGTAAGCTCGCAAGCTCGCAAGCATGCCTGCGCACGGAGATCTCAAGATCTGCAGGGGAAGAAGGGTGAGAAGGAGACTAGGTTTGCCTCCCCCTGCGATTCATCCTGAAGCGCGTCTGTCCACGCTGTCCAGACCTTTGTCTCTGCGCGAGACACAGGACGGCGGAATTACCTTCCGACCGTTGTATTCTTGACTGCAGGCTGCAGCGCTGCCGACTGCGTACGCGTCTGAGGGTCGCGGTGATCGACGGACATGACAGAACTTGCTTTCGCTTGCAGCTGCTAGCGAGCTCTAGCGAGGAGTGGGCGAGGCTAGCGAACGTGTCCATGCTGCCCTGGACCAAAACATTCAGCGCGCCGTGGCTCGTGGCTCGTGGCTCGTGGCTTCCTTGGCGGCGCGCTCTTGGTGAGTCATGGCGCGGCATGCTGGCGCGTGGGCGCAAGGCGTGCCAGCCCATGCCAGCCGTGCTGGGCATGACACGCAAGAGGCACTTTAGCGCAGCGCGTCTCGGGCATAACTCGTTCTGGGCGCGCGGGCGCGCATTCTGACACTGACGCGAGTCAGTCGCAGTCCATGGGCGTCTTGCTGTCCCACTGTTCCGGGCGCGTAGCCGCCAAGCTTGGGATTGGGAGACGCGATCGAACGCCAATCCCTGCGTCGTGCGCGATCCATGGAACTGCGACGATCACCGCTTCCAAGATCTGACCCCTCCATATCATGACGGCATCAAGACGCATAGGAGCATAGACTGGCCAAGGCTCGGCATTGTGGAGAACGTCATGGCTAATGTCTTCCGGAGGTGTGGTACGCTGCGTACGCATTGGACGCTCCGGTGCCACTTGGCGCGCCGCGGCGCACGGCGCAGCATTCTTGCAGGAGATACACTGCCCGGCCCCCGCAGGTCGCCGCCTCGGCTTCCTTCCGCGATGGTCCCGCATATCAGTAGTATCAGCGTCCGTAGGACTGCTCGCGTGCTCGCCAAGCATGGCCAAGTGACGATAAGCACTAAAGAAGGCTGTTCCCAGCACCGCCAATCGGTTCCCAAGATCACGCCGTTCCAAGATCCATGGCACGGCTCAACGGCTTGGCGGAACGACTAACCTCTGGTGGAGGCCGTTCCTTGTCATCTTGGGTCTTGGCGGACTTCATGTGAAGGGTTGGTTCTGCATAATCTCTTGGTTTGTCTATTGGAATCTGACAAATCGGCTGCCGTTTCACTCTCCGTGGTGCGCCAGGTCTTTCGTCAGCTGGCTGCTTCCCTCATGACTACTCACATGGCTCGCCCCACGTCTCATCACGCTGGCCGACGATCTGCATCGCAATGTTTTTGCTCATACTCCGCGAGCTCATAAAGTTGCCGACGGCGAGGTACACGTGCGGAATGCCCGCATACCGCGCAATGCCCTGCATCTCGCCCTCAGCGTCGAGGCCCCAGACATTGCCGAGCTTCTCCGCCGCTTTCGGACCCAGCGTCTCGGTGACCGTCTCCTTGAAGCCGGTGTAGCCTGTCGCGAAGAGCACCAGGTCGAACTGGTCCTCCGAGCCGTCGCTGAAGCGCACGCGCTTGTCGGGCAGGAAGGCAGATACCTCGCCGGACCTGACGGAGATGGCACCGCGGATGATCAGGTCGCTCCCGCCGCCGGGAGAGGTGAAGTAGAAGCCACCGCCCTTCTCTTGCGCCACTGCGGTGAATTAGCATGGCGTAGCAAGGAGCACTCACAGGTCATGAAGCCAGTGCCGTCGGGACCGGACCAAGTCTTGAACCCAGCCTTCTTGAGGCCGGAGAGCAGCTCAGCGTCTGCCTGTTCGAGATACGCCGTCCCACGTTTGGCGAGAGCGCGCGTCACGAGGCGAGGGAAGCCGTCTGCGATCCGGTCGGCAACCTCGACCGGGAACCGCTCCGCCATCGCTTGCGAGTACAATCCACCGCCGGCTGAATCGTTAGCTCGAAGACCCAATGCTCTCATCAGCTTCACTCACAGAGAATAGGCAGACCCGACTTGAACGACATGACGAACGTGGGCGAGCGCTGCAGCATCGTGACCTCTGCGTGGTGCTTCACGAGATCAACCGAGACATCATGAGCAGACGTGCTCGACCCAATGACAAGGACACGCTTACCATCGAGCCCTTTACCGCCAGCGTGTTGAGACGTGTGCTTGATCTCGCCTTCCCAATCGGCCTGCCCCGGCAGTAGGGGTGGCATGTAAGCCTTGCCACCAATGAGACCGGTTGCGAGCACAACGTGAGAGACGTTGATAGTCCGCTCAATGATCTGGCCGTCGACAGTGCGGAGCACGCTCATGGTCCATGACTTGGTCGCCTCGTCGCAGCGAGACTTGGAGCCGTCGACGGTTGACTCGAGCCAGATGTCGAGATCCATGGCTTCGGCATACGACTCCAGCCAGTTGGCGACCTTCCCCGCGGGAATGAACAAGGGCCAGTTCGTGGGGAAAGGCATGAAGGGGAGGTGGTTGCCATGGAGGAGGTCGTGCAGCGACAGCGAAGCATACCGCTTCCGCCAGTTGTCGCCAATGCGGGATTGCCGGTCGACGATCAGAGGGTGGAGACCATACGCCTTCATCTGAGCCGCCAGCGCGAGACCATTGTGTCCTGCTCCGACTGATGTCAGCTTTCGCAAGTGTCCCTCCGCTAACGAGCGATTGCACTCACTGATCAGGACGTCAGGATCGTGGTCGGCGAACTCGCGCTCCCTCGCGCGCTTCTCATCGTGCGGCTCCATTGCGTTGTGCTCTCCATATGGCCGGTGGTAGCCAAACTTCTGAATGTGTCCTGCCATTTCGTCGATCGTCGTGAACAGGGTCCACACCTTCCATTCTCCATTGTCGAGCACTAGTCGAGCGACGCCCCCACACCTTCCGACCACAGCATCGAACGTGAAGTGCACCTTGACCCATCCCAGATCAGGGTAAGGTGTCTGCACCTCCGGCGGGGGAAGGTCCGAGACCTTGACATTCCGGATTTGCTGCTCCGGGACGATATCGCCGAAGACAGTGGTGATGGCAGGTCGCGAGAAGCATCTGTAGTCACGAGTGAAGGCGAGAACGTCGCGCCAGTATCCGGTCGGAAGTAGGAGGTCAGCAAGTGCCCTGCCGTCGGAGGAAGACAGAGCGGTGCCGAGTTTCTCCACCAAAGCGGACGCGACGGCAGCCGCGTCGACGTCCTTTGGAAGGGCGAAGCCGGCCGTCGTCGTAGGCAGGACGATGTGCGCTGTATTGGACGTGTCGGGGCTGGTAGTCACCGTCATGGTAGGTAGGAAGAAGTTAGGGGGAAGGCGTTTGCGCCAGCGCGCCGATATGCTTAAGTGACTCTCGCGTTCGAGGCCACCAGCCAAAGCGGTCAAGGCTGTCGAAGCCAAGCCTCAGTCTAACCCGGCCAGGTCCGAAGCGCCTTATCGGGCCATTAGTTGCCGATTTGTAACCTAAATGTCATCTGATCCTCAGATCCTAATCAGGCTGATTCCCATGCCCACCCAAATCGGCGGAGACAATAGCGCTCGACCTGTTCTGACGATCGAGAACAATGGACAGCAGCTTAAGGATCCATGAGATAAGCCGCTGTGTGCAAGTCGGCATTGTTTTGACTCCATTGTTCCAAAGACCTTACCGACAGACCAGGCTTCTAACCACTCACACAGTGAACTGCGGCTCATTCGAGTTAGAGGTCCAAAGCGAGCGTCCCAATCTGGATCCTCAGGGGCCGGCTAGTGGGTTGTCACCTTTCGACTCAGCTGCCCGTTGCAGATGTTCAGACATGCTTCAGACATGCACTGGACCCATGTCTGCAATCATCTCATCCTCAACCATCTTGCTGACATCTGTCGGCCTCGGCATGCATCACAGCGGAGTTCGGAGCGCAGTGGGAGTCGCCACAGGATTTGATGCCGATTAGGCCTCCCCTGATTGGCTGGGAGACAAGACGTCATAGTCGCACCTCCAGACATAGCATCCACAACATCCACGTCTCTCTATGCTCTCAGTAGCTCGCAGCGCATTCAGAAGCTCCCCAAGGCTAGTCAATCCTCGCACAACACTTCCTTCTAGCTCCCTACTTTGCAGAATCAGCTTCAGAGCCATGTCCGACATCAAAACCGCTACCATTGACGCTTCGGAGTTGCCCGCCGGTACCATGAAGATGGTCGAGGTCGGCGAGGGCAAGGTCCTTGTCTCGAACGTCAAGGGAGAGATTGTAAGCTGAAGTAACTTATCTGCAGCTAATATCAGCACGCTACTTCGGCCCACTGCACGCACGTAAGTAGCTAAAGTCTGGTGTGGCACTCTCGCTAACGCTAAAGTACGGTGCTCCCCTTGCTAGTGAGTCTATCAGCTGCAGACTTGCGCATTAGCTGACCTGTCGCAGAGGGTGTTCTTACGGAGGAGGGTCGCATTATTTGCCCGTGGCATGGCGCTTGCTTCAATGTGTGCACCGGTGACATCGAGGACTCGCCCGGTCTCGACTCGTTGTACAAGTACAAGGCGGAACAGAAGGACGGCAAAATCATCATCTCCGCGCCTGAGTCGGAGCTCAAGTCGAAGGTTGGCCGTGTTATCCCGAAGGCGCGAAAGCCCGTCTCCACGACCGAGAACGAAACTGTTGTCATCATTGGCGGTGGCGGTGGTGGTATCCACGCCATCGAGTCGCTGCGCGAGCACAACTACGCTGGCAAGATTGTTCTCATCTCGAGGGAGGATGTCACGCCCTACGACCGTCCCAAGGTCAGCAAGGCCCTTATTGATGACGCGAAGAAGATTGAGTGGCGCTCGCCTGAGGTCCTGAAGGGAGACTTCGGCGTCGACCTCAAGCTCAGCACCGAGGTCACTGGTGTCGACACCCAGACGCAGACCGTCTCGACCAAGACGGGCGACAAGATTAAGTACGACAAGCTCATTCTTGCCCCTGGTGCGTTCCCCAAGCGCCTTCCGATCGAGGGCAAGGACCTTCCCGGTGTCATTACCATCCGCACGCCCGACGACATGAAGCCTGTCGTGCAGGCGCTCGGTCCCGAGGCGGAGATCGTCATCATCGGCACGTCTTTCATCGGTATGGAGGCCGCCGGTGCTATCATCGCCAAGCAGCCGAAGAGCCTGAACGTCGTTGGTGTCGACGAGGTTCCATTCGAGGCTGTCCTGAACAAGGAGCTCGGCAAGGCGATCGTCGCCGACATGGCTGGCAAGGGCGTCAAATTCCACCTCGGCGCGAACGTGGAGAAGATCACGAAGAACGGCAACAAGCTCCAGCTGCATGCTGAGGGCATCGAGCCTCTTCCTGCCGACATCATCATCATGGGCACTGGTGTTGGTCCCGCGACTGGTTTCCTGAAGGACTCCGGCTTCCAGCTCGAGAAAGACGGTGGGGTCACTGTCGACGACAAGCTGCGCGTCAAGGGTCACCAGAACGTATTCGCAATTGGAGACATCGCGCACTATCCCCAGCACCCTGAGGGTAACGTTCGCCGTGTCGAGCACTGGAACGTCGCGGGCAACCACGGGCGCACTGTCGCCGCCACGATCGCTGGCAAGGAGACCGCGTTCGAGCTCGTCCCCATCTTCTGGTCCAGCGTCGGCAAGGGTCTTCGCTACGTCTCCACCGGCGTGCCCCACGACGATGAGTATCTCGACGGAGACTCTGCTGCCCTCAAGTTCGTCCTCTATCAAGCTAAGGGCGGAAAGGTCCAGACGGTTGCATCCATGGGCCGCGACCCCTACGTCTCCAAGGCGAGCGACCTCATCCAGAAGGGACGCATGCCGTCGCTTGACGAGATTAAGAAGGGCAAGGTGAGCTCACATTACAGGTCACTGAGCTGACATCCAGAGCATTCTCGAGATCGAGGCGTGAGTAGTGTACGGCAGTACTGCAGTGAAATGTATCAATTACCATTTGAAGCCCACCTACCTTCTCCCTCTTCACTGTCACCTTTGAGCAAAGACAACAGTCTGCGTAGATCCAGAGCACTGCCGCCACTGCCGCATTTCACGCGATTGTGCGAGGGCTCGAGACGCCAGCGGAGAACTCGCGAACATCTAGTTATCCAGGCCACTTAGCTCAGTTGGTTAGAGCGTATGCTTAACATCTCGTACAGATTTACGCATAAGGTCGGCGGTTCGACCCCGCCAGAGGTCATCTTTTTGGCCATCGTCTGCTCTTCGCTCGTCTACGCGCAGCCGGAGGCTTGGGAGGGAGAAGAGAGGTCGTTGGAGGGCCAGTCAGCGAGCACAGAAATTTCGTCAGGGTGGAGTACCTCCACCTCCACCTCCACCTCCAAAGTTCACTTGTGCTTTCGACCACGAGCTCAGGCTGCAATAGCACCACATCGCTTCACTTAGCTCCCTCGCTTGCTTTGTCGCTATCGGAGCGGCAGAGTCGGTCCTTTGCGCAACACAGAAACGACAACCATGGCAGAGAACTTTACTAGTGTGCCCGACTGCAGCGCTCCGAGCAAGAAGCCGCGCCTCGACGCTTCTTCCAACTATGCGCACTTCGATATTCAGGCGTTCCCGCACATTCTGGATGCGGTTATCGAGGCTGCGTCACCGGAAGCCCTGTGCTCTTTACGGGCTACAAGTCGCGAGCTGCGCGACGAGGTTGACCGTCGACAACGGCATGTCTCCCTCCGAACGGACCGCGAGGGGCCAAACCCGTGGGCGGACGACGTGACCGAGGAGGAGCGGATCTTGATACTTGAGAGGCGGAGGATTGAGGCGGAGACGCATGGCACCCGCGCACCCCCTCTACGAGGTATCACGAACAGAGGACTTCGCTTCACTTCCCCACCTCCGCAAATGGACGTCTTGGACATGTCTGGCGAGATCCTGCTCATGTGGCACGACTACGCCCGCCCCGACGCCGACTGGGACGACCCCGCTCTCGACGAGCGGAGCGATTACGGCCGAGGGCCGTGGGTGCGTGAGTGGGTCGACGAGAACGAGGGCTGGTACCTCGCTGAGCCGACCCTCGTACGCTACCTTTCGGGATTGGATCTGGATGAGGAGCACGACACGCCGAGAGTCGGGCCCTTGAGACCGGACCCTTGTGCTGTGTACTTCTGCGACTTTCCGGACTTCTGGTTCACACTGATCCTCCTAAACGAATACTACCGGCCTTCTCCCGGGGAAGAGCGCCCGCTTCTCCTCGACACTGTGCTGAATGTAAATTAACGCTCGACCCGGGATTCATGGGCACGTGGTCGTGGTACACGCTTGATCCGTTTGAAGGAATGAAGCTGGGCACGAATGCGTTCACCGTCCTGTTCAACTCAACCGAGGAGTTTGAGAAATCCATCGAAGAGGAGGGCTACGCGCCGCCTTTCTTCGGAAGTCTCCTCGAGGCTCTCGTGTGGAACTACGGCTAAGGGCGGGGAAAGGCCACCATCGTTGGGTACGAAACCTGGCCCGTCGGCACGCTACCAGATCCCAGCAAGAGAGACAGTATGGGACCAGTGGTCAACGCTGCAGACAGCGTGCGACGCTGGGTCACCATCTACGGGTCTGAATTCGTACGGGAGTGGAAGTGGGAGGAGGCAGAGGCACGTCGGAAGGATCTGGAGTGGGACATAGTGCGAGAGCCGGAGACGCCGATTCGCAGCGACGCCGAGATGGCAGACGCCATTCGCCTCCTTACGCTCGACGAATGGAGAGAGGAGGTCGGAGAGGAGTACTTCTGTCTCATGGCGGATCCGGAGTACAAGTATCACTCGAAACAGCCGCTGCCCCGCTTCCATCGCCATCCGAGCTACGAGCCGCTGCCCAAGAATTGAGACTCCTCGTAAGAAAGCCCAGCAAGGTTGGTGAAGCAGCCCATCAGGATACTGCATTAGAACTCCACCAGACTGTTCTTATAAGCCAGTCCTAGCAGTCCTAATGCGGTGGAATAGGCACCTACAAAGGACACGCCTCCACCTCCACCTCCACTTTCGCGCGCCCGCATCTGGTCCATAGAGCAGGGCGAGTGCCCCTCTCCCCTCTCGTTCTTTACAGTCTTCCGCCCCTCCACGTCCTCCATTCGCTCTTTCTCCCAGTCACAACTAATCTCTCTGCCAGTTGATCCGCCTGCAATTGGCAACCATGACGAATTCCCGCTCCTCTGCGAGCGACGCTCCTCATCAACGCACCAAGACTCGCCTAGACCCCGAGATCAAGCAACCTCTTGACATTCACGCGTATCCCCACATCCTGGACGCTGTGATCGATGCCGCGGACTCAAATGTGCTGCGTGCTCTGCGCGCTACTAGTCGGGAGATGCGCTCACTAGTGGACCAGCGCGATCGACACCTAACTCTAGAGCAGATGGCCGAAACACCGCACAAGGAGTCAGAGGACGACTATGATACGTGGGATTCGGATTCGGAGGATGGGAACACTACCCCGGCCAAGCCGGTCTGGGCGGTGACGAAGTCTGGTGTGCGTTTCTCGTCGTTGCCTGACAGCACGGATGTGTTGGACATCAACGGACCGGTGGGCAGCTTGTGGTACGACGTCGTCCATTCCAATCTGGGCCTAGACTCGGATTCGGATGACTGGTCGGACTCGGAATCGGAAGACTCGGCATACGCAGCGCTGAACGCTTCTTTGTTCGGACCGTCGCCGTGGGTTCCGCAATGGGTGCAGAGAAACGGGCGGTTGTTCTACCCCGATCAGTGGCCACGCCTCGTTCGCTATCCGGACGGCTTTGACGACAACCGCAGAGCCCTTGGCCCACTCAAGCCCGATCCTTGCGCTGTGTACTTCTGCGAGTTCAGCGACTTCGTTCTAGGACTCTACCACCTCGACAGGCACTACAGCGAAAGGGGTGGAGCGCGCGAGTCCTTCTTGGACACCGTGTTCACTGTGGACCTCGTGGAGGATATCCTGGGCGAGAAGCTGTGGGAAACCATCAACCCCATGTTTGAATACGACCTTCACCTTGAGTCGAACGCATATACGGTGCTTTTCAACACATCGCCAGAGTTTGTCAAGTCGATCCAGGACCAGTGGGAGCACCCCCCGTTCTTCGTTGGTCTGCTGATGGTGATGACTCGCAACTTCATTGAATGGGACGAAGGCAAGGCGACGATTGTAGGCTACGACACTTGGCCGGTTAACATGCTTCCGGACCCCAACGAGCGCGACGGGCGCGGACCGTCTAAGACTTCCGCGGACAGGGTCCGCCGTTGGATTGCCATTCACGTCGCGGACGTGAAGGAGAAGCTGCAGGAAGAAGGCGATTCGTATAGCCGTCCCGAGGCCGAACTCGATGATCCTATCCGTCTCCTTACCCTCGACGAGTGGAGGATGGAAATCGGTGAGGAGTATTACAAGCTCATGACCGGCAAATACTACCAGTACGAGTCTGCGAAGCCCCTGCCCCAATTCAAGCGCCACCCGAGCGTTGAGCCACTGGATCTCGAGTAATCGTCTCGATTGGCGTTTGCCCGAATCGAGCGGAAACCTCTTTGTACTTCTATTCCTTATGCACACTATCTCTCGCCTCCCTTGGCAGTATCGCAAACGGTAGCATGCAGAATGTTCACTGCTGAACCTCCTACCCCACATGTCCACCTACTCCGCCTCCACCTCCACCTCCACCTTTGCGTGACGCGTGGGTCTGCAGCCCGTCGCGTCCTCTCTCTCGCATTGTGACCATCCACCATACCTTGACCTGCTTTCCATCTCCCGCGAATCAAAACGTCATGGCTAGAACCCGATCCAGATCAACGACCACGACTCACTCCAACTCGAACAAGAAGCCGCGCCGTAATCCTGAACGCGAGCATCCCCGACCTTTCGGTATCCAAGCATTCCCACACATCTTGGAGGCTGTAATCGGTGCTGCTTCTCCTGAGGTGTTACGCGCCTTGCGCGCCACCTGTCGCGAGATCTTCCGGGAGATCAACCGACGCGAACGACACCTGAGCCTGGTGCAAATGCCTGAGATTTGGCCCCCGAAAGGTGATGAGCTCTCTGATGTAGACCTCACCGAGGAGGAGCGCGAGAAACGCTTGCCGCGACCGGTGTGGTCCATGACGCCGTCCGGCGTACGCCGTGCATGGCTGCCGGACGAAACGGACGTGCTGGACATTGATGGCTGGGTGTCACGGCTTTGGCTGAAAATCATTGAGCCGAACATGGGCCTCTGGGACAAGGACGGGGAAGATATATACGGCTACAACACAGAGGATGGGACGGACTCCGACGAAGATCCGGAGTATCAGTTCGGAATGCGGCGCGTGCCGTTGACTGAACACGAGCGGGAGATTAGGCGCTGGCTTCGGAGGAACGAGGAGCTGTTTTATGGCCGCTTCAACCCCCGCCTCGTGAGGTATCCCGACGGTTTCGACGACAATCGCAAGGCGATAGGCGCGCTCAAGCCCGATCCGTGCGCCGTATACTTCTGCGACTTCGGCGACTTCCTCCTCGGGCTCTATCACTTGGAGTCACATTACAGTGATTGGGCTGGGGCGCGGGGGGCGTACCTTGACACCGTGTTCAATGTTAAGCTGGTCGGTGATGATTGGAGCAAGGACCCGTGGAACCATATGGATCCCGCGAACGGCTACGACGTCATACTCAGATCGAATGCCCTCACAATGCTCTTTGAGATGACACCCGAGTTTGTCGAGTCGGTCGAGGACCATTGGGATGAACCCAAGTTCCTCGTTGGCCTTCTGAAACTGGTAACCCGGAACTTCATGGTTATCGATGAGGAAGATGAGGGTCGCCCAGGAGAGGGCAAGGCTACCCTTGTCGGGTACGACACGTGGCCACTGAGTGTGCTGCCGGACCCTAGCGAACGCGACGGAGCTGGGCCGCCCGCCAACGCAGCAGAGTGCGTGCGTCGCTGGGTCACTATCCACGTTGCGGATGTGAAGGAGGAGGCGCAAGAGAAGGGCCTGAAGCTCACCCGGCCAGAGGACGAGCTGAACGACCCGATTCGCTTGCTTTCACTCGAGGAGTGGAGGCAGGAGATAGGCGAGGAATACTTCAAGCTCATGACCGACAAGAAGTATCAGTACGAGTCGAAGAAGCCGTTGCCGCCCTTCAAGCGTCATCCCAGTGTCGAGCCGCTGTCGCTTATTGGACATCATAACGCAGGAGATCGCTGGATCTTTGCCGACGGCCTACATACCTTGGAGTCGAAAGTCGATCTCGCCAACGTCAAGAAAGTCGTACAATGTCGGTGGTGAGCGTCGGGTGATAATACCGGAGATGCAAGGCACTACGCACATTACTGTTCCGTGCACAGCCATGGATATGGCTTGTCGAGTTTGCAGTGCAGACAATGGTAACCGTCAGCGACACAGCATAAGCAAATTGCACAGATAAGTAGCCGGACGCTGAAGTGCATAGTGGAGATTTTGAACGAATATCGGCGTATGCCTTGGGTATTGAGGCAGGATATGTAATTGTGCTCTCCGCAGCATGTCGAGTGCAGCCGGCAGATCAACAAAGCGGACATCGCACTCCACTGCAACACAAAGCACTGAGCATCCCGCTGCTAGGGGGCGACCCCTCGTTCTGATTCCTGCGAGCTTTCGGTCGCGTATAAGTACCGTCTAGACGCGGCACGTTGTCCCATATCAACAGCACCAGTGCACCCGGCGTCTTCGTGATCGAAGCAGAAATCGGCGCTGACCAGCAGGACATGAAGCGCGAAACACAGCCCACGGCAGCCGGGCTTAAGCCGAAACTCCCTAGGACCTTGACCGGGCCAACCGAGAATGGCGCAGGGCTTCTCAAGAACGGCGCGACCAAGGTGGACTCCCTTGTTTGCTCGCAGCCCACGCTCGAGTGCCCCACAATCGCCTAAACAGCCAGCGAGGTTTCGCAGATAACGAAACTCTGCGTAGAAACGGTGCCGCACATTCTGGACGAAATCATCGCCAATGCGTCCCCGGGGACGCTGCGGGTGCTGCGTGCGACAGCGAGCTGGGTAAAGCGCGCGGTCGATAAGAATCAGCGTCACTTCCGCCTCACTCTGCAGGATCTCGGGTTGTACGATTCGATGAGCGACTCCAGGGACTTCTCCGACTGGGGAATGATTGCCCAGGAATGGAGGGAGAGACCTCCCCCCATCAACCGGAGGAGTTCATTCAGCCTGCGACTGCGCTGCCGCGCCACTGCCACTGGAGCACTACAGGAAGGCGTTCTCCTGAAAATGGACGTGCTCGATGTCGAGGCTCTTCCGAGGCGCATGTGGCATGACTATGTAGACGCAGGTCTCGGCATCCCCTTTGCATTCAACCGGATCAGTTTTCACGCTCCTCAGTATGCCAGTTTCGGTGGTGGAAACTGGACGGAACATTGGGCGAAGGAGAATGAGAAGTGGTACTCTGTCCAGCCTCGACTCGTCCGCTACCTCGATGGTCTTGGTAGCAGCGATTCGAGATACGGAGAGCACCGGTACAAGCCCGACATCTGTGCTGTCCATTTCCTGCGACTTGAAAGAGTTTGACATTGCTCTGTCGCAGTTGACCGTGCACGCCGAAGGATTCCAACGTGATTGCGCGCCGCTCACCGCTGTTTTCAATATCAGGCTCGGGGAGGCCTGCAGCTTAGTGCCGCAGCGCCAGATCCCGTGGCGGACGTCGAACATCCACAAGTGGGAGGGCGACCTTACGCTGCTTGTCACTGCGGACTCGTCGTACGCGAGGGCAGTCAGAGGCACACCGAGCCTGTTCTGGAACGACCTGCTCCATTCTTTCCATGCCCCATCGATCCTTACCGCCCCTCAAATCTGCCTGGACAAAGGCTCCAACACGATCGTGGGCTCAGACGCATGGCCGGTCGATATACTTCCCGACCCACGCCACATGCCGGCGGAGTGGGCAGGGGAGGGGTTCTTCGGGCAGAGAGTGGCTGCTCCTATCCCAGATGAATGGAACGGTGCGCAATGCATGACAGCCAGACTGCAGTGGTGGATCGAGTACTGGCAGCTCTACTCCCTCGATGTCGACCAGGGGCAAGCTGCCGCCCGAAAAAGCGCGTTCAGCTACTCACAGTGGCGGAATGGGGGGCAAGGGTCGGTGCCACATATTCCGAGCTCATGACGGATCCGAGGGCTGTATACTGTTCGTCCGAGCGGCTCCCGCTCTTCAGTGACCTCGTGGCAAACCACAAGGATCGTCTTGCCGAGAGACGGCTCTTAACTCGTGAAATTGAGAGCTGGTGAACTGGAAGAGCGGTCACGAGCAGTGATCGTTCCCCCATCCATCAGCGGTGCCTCGACACTGCTGGCATCATAGCAATTATTGAGTATAGGGGAATACCAAGAGATGCCCTCATTGAGCAATCCTCTCCAGACTCCATACGTCCTACTCCTGGTTGCAAACACGGAACCCCCGGTAACGTCCACGGCGTCTGCAGGGCTCACCTCACTACCGCTTTATGCACGCACACACCTCCGTTGCGCCGTGAGCTTGTCTTTCTAGCGCAACGACTTCGCATCAGTAGGTCACCGTTTCCCGCTACGACCGCGAAATGAGTAAGCCACAAGGGAAGGCCCTAACCGAGTGATAGTTGAGTCTCGGTGAGCACATGGACCCACGCCCCTTTCTTTAGCCCATGTCCCCTTCCATATACGGCACCAGGATCGAGCGAGCGGCCGGCTGTACTGCCGACCGACATGTCGCAGTCGGGAAGTCCGTCGGCGCCGCAAGCATCCTCCGCGCAACACTCAAGCCATGTTCGGCGGTAATCCCGAACTGGTTGCAGAGTGACGTCGATTGTGGTGGGTCGTGAAAATTCGAAAGTGGAGCCCTCCGCCAGGCCCAGAATAGAATGCAACCGAGCGCTTCCAGACGGTGCCGACTAGCAACCCTTCAAAGCCCCCACGTGCATTCCGCTGTCGTCTGCGCGTCTGGCCAGTTCCATTCCGCACGCACACGCACTTTCTCGACGGAGACAGCCGCGCTTCATGGGCCGTCAGGTCTGCAGAAGTCACCCGAGACTTCGCCCCGCAGCCGATCGCACTATCGCATTCGCCGCGGAGCCAGGTCGCGGTGTTGCACGGCGTTCGTCGACATGTTTGAGGGTGCCTGCCTACGAAGTTCGTATCGGCCGAGTAGCCGACACGCTGTTGTTCGATATCCTCGGCGCCCTGTCTTGTTCCGGATCGTTATTGGCGAGAGTAACGAATGTATCGATCAGCCAGCAATGAATAGCCTGCACGGCTGATCCCCCGCGGAGACCACCCCGCAGCATCCCTGTCGTCGCGGTCTTTATTATCCCGCCGCGACGCTCCCCTGTGCGAGCGATACCTGTGAGGTAATGCACAGAACGTACGCAACCCTAGGTGAATGGTAAGCTTCAAGGCTTCAGGTCGTCAGGTTCGTCAGGTTCGTCAGGTTCGTTCTGTGTCAGAATTCCGCCCTGTCGACAGTGCACGCAGCCCACCGATCCGACGCACGAAGCCTGAGGACCTTGCTCAGCCCCTGCAAAACGTGGCTCGGAGCGTATATAGCGTTTCCAGCCCACCGGGCCTCGATCGGGCTTTCCACGGACTTGGAGTCAGGGTCTGATTGGACACACTCGGACCAGGAACGGACCGTCGTTCACGGGAATTGCGGGGCTCGTGGTTGGCCCTAGCTCTCCCTGGTTGGCCCCGCACACATGGGCAGCCTCGGAGGTATCTGCGAGCGGATTCGGACTCCTGGCGGCACTGGTGTTGGCGCCTGCGCCGGCGGTACTGGCGGTACTGGCAGTAGCACTCCTGGGCGGTGATCGCGATCACTTTGGAAGCCATGACGTCTACCCTCGAGCGTCGTCTCGTTTCGCGAGACGCGTCGCGTCTCGGTTATCATAAGGCTATGTCGGATGCTGTTTGGGTGGCTGCCGCTTCGGGTCGTTTACTGCTGAACGTGATTCATACTTGACACCCGAACAGAAACTACTACACTTGGTGCTCCTCGCTCCTGCCATGTCGCTCTTGTCAATAGTTTCTTGAATACAATGGATACTGTTGAGATTTCCGGACGTTTTCGGACGGAGACTGGGAAGCGGCGAGCGCCGCCGCTACCTCAAGCTGCCTTGACGGGGACGGCGTCAGCCTGCTTCTTCATGTGCTCGGGGATGAAATGCACTTCGGACGCGACCTTGTCGGCGCTCTCGAGACGGGCCTTAGCTGCAATCTCGGCGCTCTGCATGCGGTTGCGCTCGAGAGCCTCCTTGATAAACTGTCCGCCGGTCTGAATGTCAGCTTCGGCCCTGGACTGGTGACTGACGATGGGAGGGTACTTCTTGTTAGGACCCTGGATGACCTCGTCGGTGCGGGCTTGGTTGAAGAAGGCCATGGAGTAGCGAGGGCCACGGCTTTCGTTACCCTCGGGGAGGCGGACACGGTGGTAGGTAGACTTGAGGCGGTCGTCGGACCAGCGCATAAGCTGGTCGCCGATGTTGCAGACGATGCGGTCCTGGCGCGCCTCAACGGGGATCCATTCCTGGCCCATACCAAAGTCACCCACAACCTTGCGGCCAGGGCAGACCTCGAGACCGCCCTCACCCTCGCGCTGGAAGAGCAGGGTGAGGACGTCAAAGTCGGCGTGCGCTCCCGCGCGCCAGAAGTTGGGGCCAAACGTCTTGCCCTCGCACGAGTGGTAGTGCAGTAGGCGCAGGACATCCTGCGAGTCGCCTTTGCCCTCCCGGTCCACGGTTCCGATGGTGAAGGTGTCCTTCGGCAGCCCGAGTCCATCAGCGAAGCATTCCATCACCTTTACCGAGAGGCTGTGGACGTCAGCACAGGCAATAGTGAGGCGGCATGTGATGGTGCGTCGTGCGGGCCCCGCCGGGCCGGATGGGTCCACCGTCGGCGTTGGGCAGGCACAGGTCCGCATAATATGGAGCGGCCAAGTGCAGGCGATGAATGCCAAGCAGGTACGATCCTGGCCCCGTGCTGCTTGCTCCAGCTTGGCCGGAGGAGAACAGCGCGGCGCCGGAAATAAGAAAGGGTTGAGGCTGAAATGTGACTGGAGACACCGCGGGTGAGCCTGAATCCGGCGTCATCGAGACGGCAAATTGGGGTCTCCACATCTCCACACTGCAAACGCTCTACCCCACTCACGACCCTGGCGGGTGTTCCGGCTCTCCTTGTGTGCCCTCGAGTGCCTTCATGCGCCCTCGACATGTTGCACACCTGCACCTGCGCCTTCGTCAGGGCAAGATCGGCGTGCCCTGCCTTGTGATTCGCCCTGGTACCATACGCCCGGACTTGTGCTTCTTATCGGGAAATAGATTCAGGGGACGACGATGGGATTGATGGGAACGACACTCACGATTGCACTTGGTGCATGAACTCCTCAGACTTGCGCTTGAACCCATCGATGTCTTCGTCGCTGGGCCACAGTCCCTCCATGCGCGCGAACTGCAGTTGCATGCTCTCCTTCTGGTCGGCGGTGCCCGTGCTGGGGCGGACCTGCGTGTTCTTCTCCCATCCAGCGTTCTTGCCGTCTAGGGGCGTCTTCGCCTTCACGTCGTCAGGCAGGGCGAAGAAACGCTGGCTCATCTTGAACATGCTGTCCACATCCTCCTGGGGAATACCATGGTCAGACAGCGTGAAGAAGCCGACTTCGGTTGAGGCATCCATGAGCTGCTGGATGATCTCGTCCCGGCGCCCGTCAAAGTCGCGAAGGCTGATCGTGGGGACGTGCATGCTGAGCTTCTTGCTGGTATCGTTGGGGCGGACTACAGAGATAGGAATAGGACTTCGTGCAACCTTGGCAATCAGATGACTGTGAGGTGGAGTAGATCTTGAGAGCGGAAGTCGTCGAGGCACTGATAGTTGAGTGGCTTGGCAGTTCTGTGGTGGGTGTTGCAGCAGGATGCTGGTGCTTGGCAATCTCGACCTCCATGGAACAATGCTCCATCTATTATACCCCACTCTTGTTATGTACGGTCTGCAGCTTTGATGGTCCAACTTGGAAGGGGCCCGGTCATGACAGCCCGCATTGATGAGTATCAACACCGCTAGCGCGGCTTCTCGTAGTTCCGCGGCAGTTACATGAGGTACACATGCGAACTCACGTACTTCTCGTCGCGTCGCTCGCGAAGGCCGCGTCGCAAGCGAGTCAGTGGGTCGCCAGCTGCCCCGCGTTCACGAGCTTGGTGCCCCATGACCTCGTGCAGCGCGTGCAAGGAGGTATAAGGGGCAAGCGGGATCAAAGAGCAGGTGAGGCGGTCCGATCACTTCTGTACTTAGGAGGTACAGGAGTTTATCGCGATGCATGTGTTCCGCGCGCCTGGCCCCCACGACCAGTCGTTCTCCGATGGGCGTTCCGGTCCGTGCCCGATCAACGACGGTTGCCGGCGGTACTGTAGTTGCATCATTCTCGGTTCGCTGGTGTGCAATACGCCTATCTGGACAGGTCTGACGTATATCACCAAGGCAAGTAGACGCTAGGAAAAAGCTCAAATGGTGTTCGGTTGGTGAATTCTGGTGTGCCGCTGCGCGCCGCGCAGTCGCGATAGCAGCAGCCTGTTAGCCTTCGGGTAATTATCAAGAGTTATCTTTGGAACACCCCAGCGCCCTATAGTGCGGCGCAGATTCTTCACCCAATGACGCGCCGTGATCTTTTTGCACGGGGGAACGGCTGTTCGAGCACCGGACGCCGACGAAGAGCGGTCAATGCTCCCCCGCGCCCCGTGCAAGGCGCGTGCTGCGGGGTAGGCGGGGAAGTTTGACCAGTCATTGAGCAGAACGGAGGCGCAGAAGGCGGGCGCTGGAAGATACCCAGCCCGATAAGACTACATCACCGACAGTCTGTACGGCAAGGCGTTGTCATGTGGTCATGTGAACGGCGTCCAGGGCGATGGATTGTGGAGGCTACCATTCATGAGTGCGGGGTGGGGATGGAGATGCAGACCGGACATCGGACTTGAACATGGAGTTATGTACTGGGATCGTCTCGTCAATCGTCGAATAGTACATCTGGGGGCATTCCATCGTCTTGCGAACCCTGGCCATGCAGCCGGGGTAAGAGGTGGGCTGGTCAGGTGGACGTTGAGCCCCGCTGGGGTCCAGGTCACACGGTTTGTGGGCAAAGCAGGCGGCTCCGGGGTTGAAGGTGTGAGCGGGGCATGAGTCAATCATAGGTGTCGCTGTCGGTATTCGCTTTGCACACTGCTCTTGCTGGCCTGCTACACGGATGTATGCGCCTCTGCAGCCGGGGGTACCGCGTAAAGAGCGAGAGGAGCGAGAGTGGGGCCGGTTTATGAGTCGAGGACAATTCTCGGAGTTGAGGTCGAATCACGAGCCATCAAGATGCCGGATCGGCATATTCGATCCCTGAATGCCCTGAAAACGATAAGCATGGGTTCGTCTGCTGACGCTGCGCCCGCTGCCAACGCCGTCGCTCTGGCTGAATTACGCTGGCCAGTCAACGTGCCCCGATGCCGCTCACGGCTCTGGTTTGTTGCTGGTCTTCCTCTTCACTGTCCCTGGCAAGTCCAGGGCCAATCGTGTGCGTAAGGGGAGCTAACATCGTCAGGACCTGACATGTTCCTTCTGGAATTTGGGTTGACACCTGGAGCCCTTGCCCGTTGGCCCTGGACCCCGCCCCGGCTCCCACACTCGTCCAAGATTACCCCGTCCCCGCCGTCCCCAGCTCCCAGCCCAGATGGACCCAGTTGAGCCGCGCCGGGTATGCGCGTATTGGGCCGATGTGATATCGTGTATCATCCGGGTTTGTACCCACCCATCCTCAACTCCGGCCATCCAGTCCGGTCACTCGGCCCATCGCATTTCGATTCGCTTGCCGCGCTCGCCTGCCTTACCCCTTGCCTCTCCCTCATCTGCTGGTCCCTTTCTGCTGCGTTGCTCTGCTGTTCTGCGACATCGCGACCGTGTGGAGCAAAGCAGGCTTCAGTATATATAACTGGGCTGTCTTGTCGACATCAGACTTACATCATCCCCTCCTCTCCGCCTTCGCCCCATCAGATCACAAGCAACATGGGCTCCCCAACAGAGGTCACCTACAACGACAACGAGAAGCACCTCGGCCAGACCGCCGATGTCGACGAGAAGGACGCTACCAACGTTAATGTCCTCCCCGCCGGCTCTTCTGAATCTTCCGTTGTCGAGGGTGCTGAGCTTGGTCACGTCCCTCGGTCAAGGAAGTTCAACATCAAGCGCTTCTTCCGGTCACTTGTTACCAAGGAGGCTTGGTTCGGCGACTACGTGAGTAGACTACCGTCCTGTGATCGCCTTCATGTGATACTCGTACTGACTGCTCTCTAGGATTATGGATCGCTCTTCATCCCGAACATTCCCTTCCTCTGCAAGGCTAGCCCGCTTCCCTTCTACGGAATCGACGACAACCTTCCCTACCTTCTTCTGATTATCCTCGGTCTGCAGCAGTAAGTCGCTGTCATCGATGACATCTCGTTCGCTTCGCGATGTTGACCCTCGCAGCGCTTTCGCTATGCTCGGTGGAGTCGTTGTCCCTCCTCTGCTTCTCAGTGGTGCCGCTGGTGCCAACATGGGTGACGATGTTACTCAGTACCTCGTCTCTGCTGGTCTCATCTACTCTGGTTTCGGAACTGTCTTCCAGATTTCGCGTCGTCGTATCTTTAAGACCCGCTACTGGATCGGCACTGGTCTCATTTCGGTTACCGGCACTGCGTTCACCTTCTGCAACGTTTCGCTCAAGTACCTTAACCAGTGCTACGACAACGGAGCATGCAAGAAGGCGCCTGACGGATCCAAGCTTCCCTGCCCCGACGAATTTGGTGCTCTTCTTGGTACTGGCGCGCTCACTGGTATCTACGCCATCGCCCTTGCCTTTGTCCCGCCTCGCATCCTGAAGAAGTGCTTCACTCCCATCGTCATCGGTACCATGATTACCTTCATCGGCGCTTCGCTTGTCACCTCTGGTGTTAACAACTGGGCGTGAGTATCCATCCCTGCATTTGACATCCTCGTTTCGATGCTACTCCACCCTGAATTAACCGGGGTGAGAGGCATTTTTCAGTTTTGCATCCCCACGGCCCCGTGGGTGCATCGCAATCAGAATTCGATTTGCGAGGATCGAGATCTTCGAGACAAAGGCTCCTCTGCTCCGAGGAACAAACCCTTCTCTATTCGAATCAACGCTGACGTACAGTGGCGGCGCTGGCCTCTGCTCGACCAACCACGACCTGCTCTGCGAGTCTGGATCGCAGCCCCACAAGTGGGGATCCGCCTACTACCTCGGTCTCGGCTTCTCGTGCATGGCTGCCATTGTCATTTGGTGAGTACTCGCTCCCTTCCCCTTCCCCTTCTCCCTGCCTTGTGCATTTCCCCGTCCTGCGGCGGACAGGGTTTGCGGCGGCGAATTTGCACACATGGTTACGAAAAAGTGTCGCTCTGGCTGGTCCCTGGATGGTGGGAGCCCTGGACGGGTCACCCCACCCGCAAACCCTGACGATCGATCTTTTGTGGTCCAGCCAGCATGCCCACTCTCAATCGTTCCTGTTCGACGCATGACTCGCACGACTCGCCGCCTGTGCGCCGCACTCGCCGCGCCGAGTAGAGTTTGAGCTCGCCTCTAGTACCCACCCGTGCCACCCGTCCAGGCCCAGGTGCCTGGTGCATCATCCGCATCATCCGGCTAGGCGCATGCACATCAGCCGTGCTGCTAGCCCGCCGGGTACGGTTGCACGGCTGATGTGTTGATGTGGCGGGATCTGCCGCCACTCTTCAGCTCCAAGGTCCGGTCGGCCGGCCGGCTCCACAAACCATGCACATTTCCACAGATTCGCTACCTACCGACCGAGTGTGGCACAGTTGCTGACAATGCAGCGAGGTGTTCGGTTCCGCTTTCATGAAGTCGTCTTCGGTCTTCATCGGCTTCCTCGTCGGTATGATCATCGCTGCTGCCTGCGGTTACTTCAACACAGAGGTCATCAAGAAGGCTCCTGGTGCTACTTTCCTGTTCGTGCACACGTTCAAGCTTAGCATTCGAGGCCAGCTCGTGCTGCCGATGATGGCCGCTTGGAGTGTCATTGTCGCCGAGTCGGTCGGTACCATCACGGCTTCCGGCCAGTGCTCCGACCTCGACATTGCCTCCCCCGAGTTCATGACCCGTGTTCAGGGTGGTATGCTCGCCGACGCCATCTCGGGCACTCTTGCCAACCTCTTCACCTCGCCTCCTCTTACGACCTTCCCTCAGAACGCGGCCGTCATTGCGCTCACCCGCAACGCCTCGCGCCAGTCCGGCTACTGCTGTGCCTTCATTCTGTTCATGATGGGTGTCATCAGTAAGATTGGTGCCATTTTCGTCGCTGCGCCCCCCGCCGTTATCGGTGGTTTCACGACTTTCCTCTTCGGCTCGGTGTCCGTCTCTGGTGTCCGTATCATGGCCTTCGCCGAGTGGAGTCGCCGTGAGCGCTTCATCGCGACCGCTGCCTTCGCCCTTGGACTCGCTTCGCTCGTCAACAAGACCTGGTTCTCGTACATCTTCACGTACAACGGCCCCAACACTGGTCTTAAGGGTTTCCTCCAGGCCATTACTTTGGTCGTCCAGGAGCCGTACCTGATCGCTGCCGTCGTTGCGGTGTTCCTCAACCTCGTCCTTCCCCACGAGCCGGTCGACCCCAACGCCCTCCCCGAGGCCCACTAAGTGGTTGCGACCCCCAGTTGCGTCTTGCTCGCGACGCCTCAAACCACCCAAACACCACCAAATTAAGTGTTTTTATGTTCATTAAAACGTGAACCAAACGTGAAGACCCGATTTCCTCGAAGAATCCTCCAAATTAATTTCAACAAAAATCCTCGAAAAACCCCACGTAACAAGAACATCATCAATTCGAATATATGCCTGCAAAGGAACGGAGGAGCGGAACCGGGACACTGGACGGGAGAGTCACGATAGACGAGTGATACGACAGCATGGACGGAGCGCATTGTATGTGTTGTGTTGTGTGACGATAGGGACGACTGGGACGAGGGACGGGCGGGCGTGCGGGCCAGCAACACGGTCGGATAATTTTCCTCACCACTAGCACCCGCACGGCTCCGCCCCAGTGTTCATCGGCAGAGAGTTTTTGTATATTCGACGATTCATACGTCAACGGGCATGTATTTCATAAGGGACGGAACAACAGCTGCATCGAGGGTGACGATACGAAAGTGACTACAACATAGCTGTAACAGGTGTTGGTCAGCAGCTTGTTCTGTTCATCGCCCACTAATGGGAGTGGGACTCCTGGCGCTGAACGCTTCTGAACTGGCTCGTCAGTTGCCCGCTGCATCTCGGGCCTGCTCCGCATCATCTCGGGAACGCAGCGACAAGAGGCAAAAATTGTCTGGAATTGCACCGTCACTGCAACATCATCCGCCCGCGGTGAGACCATTTCTGGTTCGGTCTACGGCGCTCCGTAGAGGCTCATGGGGTCAGTTGTGGACTGATGCCGTGTACGGAGGCTGGGTGGCAAGTCTCTGGCGGGGGAATCTCTGCTGAGAACCACCGTAAGGTTGATCTTGGCGTCGCTCGAGCAAACTTTACCCGCGGGTCTCTGACATTCCAACGGCAGTAGGCGCTGACCATCGACTCGAGCACAATTCTTACTAAGACATCTCGTAGGAAGTTCCGAGCCGTTGCACATCTCCTGCTAAACTCTGGAGTCGCTGGGGTCACAGTGTGCCGCGGTGGGAACGGGCAGGGGTGGTGGATAGTGTCGATCCTGCTGACTCGATCACGCTTACTCGATCGCCGCATTTCAGGCTTAGGCGTGGATCATATTCTGCGTCTCGCCGTGCTAAATTTGCAACGCCACGCCCATACGCCGCCCACAACGCCTGTGGGCGGTGTTACGAGAGAAGATTCGCACCATGTGCAAGTTAGGAGTCGTGCCGCGGAACTAGTGCCACCCGTGCCGTGGCTGTGTACGACTCTCAGAGTCAGGCTAATGATTTCATCAGGCCTGTCTGACCCCAGCGGCGACCTGGTGGTCTGGAGGCAGCCTGGGAGAGTCTGGAGCCGCCGGGGAGAGGGTCACGCTCCGCGGGGTGGGGAATGAGGGGTGGCGGTAGATCTCAAAGGAAGACAGGGTATGACGAAAGAAGTAACTCTCTCGGAGCCTTCTAGCACTAGCGCAGCCGAGGAGCGAGGTCCGGATGCGCAGCAGACGTCACTGGCGGGAGAGGCGAGAGCCCTGCTCGACCACGGGGCGAGCGGAGTGGTCGGGCCGGGGCCGGGTGGGGACTGCGGGCGTGAGAGGCGCAGTGGGGATGGGCGTGGAGTAAGCGAGGAAGTTCCGACGGGCGGTCTCGACGGGCGGTCTCGACGGGCCCGCTGGCGCAACGAACAGGGTACGCGCAGGGGTGACGAGAGCCTCAAGGGTGGGGAGCAGGGCGCAAGGGGCATTGAGCAAGGGCGCCCGATCGAGGGTGCCGGGCTATAGCTGGCTGGGGAGTGGCGGAGAATGGTGACGAGCAGTGGGGCCTTTGGCGGTGAAACGGCGGGCAGCGATAGGCTGCCACAAGTCCGAGTCCGAGTCCGATCAGTGCCGCAACCAAGTCCGACTCCGAGTCTCGAGCTTCAACTCCGAGCACACTTCCCGCACATGCCGCAAACCTCTGGGGGCCCACCTGAGCATTGTCAGTCGCTATAGGTCACTTGAGATGCCAAGGAGAGGCTGATGCGGGGTAGATGGTGCCTGTGGCGGCATAAGGCTGGAAAATCGCGAGAATGGGGAGATAGGAGTTGGGAAGACATGACGATAGAGGCTATCCTGAACCATGCATAAACGTCCTGGATTAAGTGGACCTTTATGTACCTGGTAAACAGGTCACGGGGACCGCGCACGGCGTTCCGATACGGCGTCCGAGTTGGAAACAATCGATGACCTGTGGAAATCATGGTGGAGGCGCCTTTGGAGATCGCAAAGTCGTCATCGTCGACGCCTCGCCCAGCGCCCCGCACAAGCGGCACACACATCGAACGTTCACCAACTGTGAAAACGTCTTCTTACTCCACTTTGCTAAGACTTTCAACGAGTCAGTGCACCTGCTAAGCTCGCGCAGTCGAGCGGTTGGGGTGCCTGCTGAAGGAAGGAAAGTCGTGGTTTGAACCATTTCTTGTCTTGCTAACGCGCAGCGCACTGCACAAGGTCTACGCCCAAAGCCTCCTTAAACTCCAAGAGCATTTACAGACAAAAGGCTGCTCGCTGCTCGGCCCTAGCTGTCGTTGGGCTCAATGTTTTGTGTCAGTGTCCTCGAGCGACTTTGACATGTAACGCTGCGCGGATGTTTGACGGCTCAATATCTGTTACTCACTTGACTGACTTCGTCTTCATCACCATGATGACGTCTCATTGCGCCCCTACACTGACTTCCTCTACAGACGTCGAGCTTTGAACGTCACTGCGGGATCAGTCTTAAGCCCCGTTCTTTGTTTCTCGTCCATCACATTGGTCGTTCTCGCCACTCGCCATCAACATGACGAGTCATCGAAACCCGGCCCACTCACTGAACTGGCATCCCGACTGGTCTTCGGGTGGCGACCTCACACTCCTGTCAAGTGACGAGATCGCCTTCTCCGTCCCCTCTCGTCCCATCCTGGCAGTTTCGTGAGTACTTACTCCACATTGACAACCCCAGAGCTGTGCAAAGCTTGCCCGAGCTAATCACCAGCCCGGCACTAAGACCCGGCGCGGGTGGCCTGCTCCCCCTCCCTCTCTCCTTGCGACTGGTCCTCTACTTTCTCGACTTGGCACTGTACGGTCAACTCGACTTCCTAGGCCCATCGGACAACTATCTCACCGACGTCCTCTCCCTAGCGGGCTGGCTGGATTCTCTCGGTGCAACGTCATTGATCAACCTTCTCCTAGTCTCCGGCAGGGCGCAGAGATGGCCACTGGCCGTGGAGTTCCTCCTCGGCGCACGCCTCCGCCGCACAGATCTCTGTCGCGAGGCACTGAACCGGTTCAACGACGACGGACGCTGGCGCGATACCGTCTGGCAGCCTCCTGGCACTGTTTCGGACTTTGCGACGCTGTGTCCGCGTGCCCTACCGCTTGATCTGTGGAGTAGCGTCGATAGACGGTTCATGTGGGCTTGGGTCGTGGCCGATGTGCCCGATACGCCGCCGAGTTTCGGCCTCGGCGACAAGTTTCTCGAGATCTACCAGACTCCGTGAATCTTGGCTTCAGGCGGGATAGCTGCGAGCAGCGGAGAGCGGTGGGGTCAAACACAAGGAGCGGGGTGGCAGTAAGAGAGAGAGTGAATCATAGAGTGAGTCCGTTGGCATCATGAGCACGTTTGAGTACGACTGGAAACTGGATGTGATCGTGCACCTGCATAACCGATGCATAACCTATCTTTTCCGCTAACGTTCTTCTGACTAGAGCTTAGCTCCGGGCTTACTATCGTCAGTTGAGCACTCCATCCCGGACTCGCAGCAAGGGGGCGTACGGCGGGGAACGAAGAAAGGCACGACAGGGAGGGGGTGTAGAGTAGAAGCAGCAACTCACCTTAGGAACAACGGCGACACACTCGATCTCGACGTCAGTGCCGCGGGGGAGGTTGGCGACACCGATGCAGGAGCGGGCCGGGGCAGGAGTGGGCATGCGGCGGATGTAGTGCTCGTTGATCTCGGCAAAGTCCTTGTAGTCGATGATGTAGATGTTGAACTTGACCGTGTGGGCGAGCGACGAGCCGTGCGCCTTCAGGACCGCCTCGAGGTTGTCCATGATCTGGTCCTGGGTTTGTTAGTGGGTGCGTGCGTCCGTGTTTTGAAAGGAGGGGTGGCTGACTTCGGATCTTCACTGCAGGCATCCACACTCGACGCTGAGATGCTGTTCTTCACTACCTGTCCAACGATGAGGTGGCAGAAGTAAGCCAGCCAGACTGGTACGTCATCCACAGACGACGATCGTGCTTACTCCGATCGGCGGTAGAGCGCAACATCCAAATATCCAACCAACCAGTGCGCTGCGCCGAGGACGAGAGCCAGCAAAGACGACAACTCACAACACGCTTGCCGATGGGTCCCTCGACCATCTTTCCGTCGGGCGTCTGACCAAGCTGTCCAGAGCAGTACACGAATCCGTTGGAGAGGATAGCGTTGGAGAGGAACGAGGGCGCGGTGGGCGCACCAGGGGTCGCGTTGGCGATACGCTCAGAGGACATTGTTGCTGGCTGTTTTGGTGGATGGTCGAGTTACGAGAGGAGGAGAAGAAAGAGGAAGCGGAAGTGACAGCGAGGTCGTGAGGGGCGGGGAGTGCTCGTGGACGCTGATCGTGGGCAGCGATAGGCTGAGTCAGGCGAGTGGAGGTGGGCAATCAGCCTGTATTGACTTGCTCGGCACAAGTTCCGGCGCGAGACCGGCACGTTATCTCGATTGCGGGGGCCCGCCCGGCTCGGAATGTCCTCTCCCTCTAACTCTGTTCCAGCACAGTGGACAACAACAAGAAGGTAACATGCGACTATGACTGTGGGTATGAGTACTAACATACAACTACGGGCCCCAGTACACGGCCTCGGGGTCCATCATGAGCTCAAACACATGACTGCCCAGCTCCTCCCTCCACTCCTCCAACGACACGCACTGCACGGCCATCTCCGGTTCCTCCTGCTTGCCCCGTTTCCACTGCTTGTCCGGGACAAAGCGCGCGCGGTATCGAACCCACCACTCGATCTTGGCCTGCATCGGCATGCCTTTTTCCCAGCCTCTCCTGGTGTCCAGCCTCATTTGTGCGGGGCTGGGAATGAGCGCGCTCCAGCCCTCGACGCCGACGAGCGTGACGCGGTCGCCGGTCTCGGCGTAGTTCTCGACAATGCGCTCCAGGACGCGCAGAATAACAATGCACGCCTTCTCCCCGATGACGGCGACAGGATCGGGGGAGAAGACTAACGTCAGTCCGCGATTGTGCACACGGCGCACGCCAAACTCGCGAAACTCCCAGCTGCTGTTAGGACGCAGGTCGTAGGCGACGTGGAACACGGTCTCATTGCCTTCTTCCCCGTCTCGGACATAGGCCGCTTCACGCGAGTGAAGACCGTAGAAGAACGATGTCGTGTCGACAAAGTGCACGCTGCGCCGGGCCCCTTTCCACATGTATCGCTGGCCGAGGGTAAGGCTGCGCATGTGGTACCGGACCAGCAGTTTCTCTCCCGGGACGAAGACCGTGGCTTGCCGTTTCCTCTCAGGCGGTTGGTTTCGATACGTCGCGATTCCGTCCTCCAGAGCCGACGCGTCAAGATCGAGGACCTTCGCCGTGTGCCTGCCGTGCATGATTTTTCGGGGCGTATCAACCGTGCCGAATTGGAGATCGAGGAAGGCAGTGCCGTCCCGTTCCTTCGTTTGAAGGATGTGCCGCGCGAGTCGAGCGTCCACTTCGAGCTGCACCCAGCGAGACACGAGCCGCAGCGTGAGCAGAAGAGAGGGACAGGCCGAGTCGATGATCGAAGTCATGAACTGAGGGTAGAACTTCATGTCGATCAGGGGAGCGTCTGTGGGCGGCGGCGAGTCGGCGGGGGACGGTGATGGCTGATGTCAGCGAGCGATGGCGGTCAGACATACCGGTGCCGGCTTGGAGTCCGCCTGGGCCTTCTTCCTCGCCTTGGCCTTCTGTCGCCGGCGGGCGGCTCGGGACCTGCGAGGCGGGGATGGGGTCGTGGTGAGCGACATGGCACCGGCCTCGGGTGAGGAGAGGAAAGTGGTGAGGAGAACGTGGTGGTGGGGAGCGCTGGTGGTGACAGGAAGACTGGAGAAGCAAACAAGCAAACAAGGGTGACAGTGCGAAGTGCGATGTCAACAGTGATCGACGATCAGACTTGCCACCGGCCATCTGACGCCGGACGCCAGCTCGCGTGGCCCGCAGTGACGGGTAGTCGCCACTGACGTAGGGTGCTCGCTCGGCGTCAACCTTCCTCGCTCGCTAGCGTCCCTCAGCCCCTATCAACGATCGATAAGAAGGCAACGGCGTCCTGCTCCTATACGCGGCATTCGGTTCAGTCAAAGAACTGATACAAGTCCTCCCCGATTCTCTTTCTCCACTCCTTGGCCTTGAGCAGCCTCACCGGCTCCTTGACGGCGAGGGCGCCTAGTACCTCCGTCTTGAGGCTGTCGGATGGCGGCCCTGAGCCTGCGGCGCATACTGAGCTTGGAATCACTCCAGGGCTCGTCCTCAGTCTGCTCCTCACGCGTGCGCTGCGGCTGCTGTGTCCGCGGTGCGGACACTCCGTACCTGCGATGTCTGCGGGCGACGTCCCGCTCGAGGCTGCCGAGCCACCAAGGCCGTCTGACCATGGCACAGGGGAGCATATGTTCGTGCCAGTCCTCAAAGCCGACGGTCGTGCATGCTCCTCCCGCGAACGGCGCACGCGACGAAGAGCTCGAGCAGCGCAAGCACGACCTCGCCAAAGAGGTAGAAGCGCTCTCCATCTGCGCGCGCGTAGTCTTTGTTGAAGAGCATAGTCACGTCGCGGACGTATTTCAGGTCCAGATCCCTCATGTTCGGGAGCGAGTCGCGCTCAGTGAGGTGCCCGACGAAGACGGTGTCGAACACCTCCCCGCCGCGGGCGGAATGCGTGCCGAGGTCGCTTCCGGCCGAGCTCGAACTCCCCCCCCCAGCAGACAGAGTGCACGACGCACTCGCCCGCCCTTTGCGCCCGATAGGACTGGAAAAACTCGTCGGCCATCACGCAGCGTGTGTACCGCACCAACCAGGACTTGGCGGCCATCCACGGCGCGGCGCGCTGATGCTGCACCACGGCTCCAGCCAGGGACTGGGGCGATACGGCGGGTTCCAGATATTGCGCTCATGCTGCTCCTCGCTCCACGCCGGGGCGAAGTGGAGGCAATACATCTTGGCGACGAGCGGGTTGACTTCAATCACAGTGGGGGCGTGGACTTCGACCGAGCGGCTGCCGAGGGAGCGCAGGATCATGGGCGATATCGTACTCATTCCGCCTCGGTCGCAAGTTGGGCGCGCCGCTCGAGGAGCAGGCGGATACGCTCTGAGCGCCGCCAACGGTCGGATTTGACAGGCGATGGCGGCTGCACCGTCTTGGACAGCTGGTGTGGGGGCGTGACTGAAGGTCGACCTAGTTGGGATGTTGGCGGTCGGGAGATGGGCCCGCTTGCGAGGGCGTCCTCTTGGCCTCGGAGTCGCCGTTGCCTTCTTCTTCGCCTTGAAATTCCCCTTCGCCTTCGTCGTCTTGGCCTTGACCTTTGCCCTCTTCGCCGCGCTGGAGCTCGCAACCGTCGCCATCGTGTCTGTGGATCGTCGAGCCAGCGGTTGGTATGAACGAGTGAGTAGGTGAGTGAACGATCAGTGGACGAGAGATGACAGTAAGGCTTTCGAGTACAGCCATATAGTACACTATGTGTATGCGCCGCAAGCTCATGTCATGTTTAGAACGCGTTGCGATGTCCTGGTGACCCATGCGTTGCGGCTGCCAATAGACGTAGGGCGAACACGAGGCGGCTGCAGCTTAGACCTGTTTCACGGTTAGCCACCACCGTCCTCTTCGGAGCGCAAGCGTGTCGTAGCGCTGGCTGTGAGCCAGCCGCAAGGCTGAATCGGAGTGTTATGGTGGTGGTGTTGTGTGGTGGGAAGCATGCCTCGAGCTCAGCAGTAGACGTTGTCATCTCAAAGTGACATGTCGTTTACTGAGCTGCAGGGGTAAGTCGGCCAGAGGTCCTGATATGTTCACCAGCGAGGCGAGGCACGCCTCCACACCTTCTATCGTCTCCACAGCCACCCTGCTCAGTAGTCCATGAGCAGCTCGTCGAGATTGTGAGATTTGGTGAGGAGGGTGGTGGAGCCAAGATGCAGCCGCAGCTGAAGGCCTATCGGCTCGGCCGATCGGACCGTGCCTCGCGGCTCGGCATCAACTTAACTCCGTGTCCTCTCATTCGTCGACTTCGCTGCCCTCCACCTCCTTGTAGACCATTCGGCCAGGAGAGATCTTTGTGCTTGGTGACGTCGACGTACGTGCGTGTGTGTGCATTGCCTCTCTTCACCCTCTCAGCTTCGACTGTCAGAGGAATGCACACGACCAGGTCGCCCGATGTAGAAGTTCGACGACCGCCGCGCCAGGGCGGATTTCCAAGAAAGTGGATGCCAAGTCAATGAAGTCATGGGTTCCAGAACTGCGGATGACGATAATCCCGTCTTGAGTCTGGCTGATTTGTATTTCTGGTGCTGTTGTTCTGCAGAACACCCACCCTGGGCGGTTTGCTCACACGAGTGGTCTGAAGATCACACGAGCACGCAACACTGGAGTGCGGGCGCCTATTCTTTCGCCTGATGTTGCTGGTGCGAAGACATCGACGGCGTTGCGGCGACCTATGCCCGGTGCGAACGACGCCAGTGAGTGGAGGAAGTGGAGCAGGAATCAGCCAGTGCACGCCAGAGCGCGAGGCGCCGATTTCAAAGCGGTCGAAGCGAGCAACGTGTCTCACTAACCCAGTCATCTGGCCTTCTGGAATTCTGCGAACAATGGGCCGCGCCCGAAGCGGCTGACACGCCTTGAGCTTGGATCACTGCCGCCGCCCTTCCAGCCAGCGTACGCCAGCCGCACCAACCGATTCTGGCCAAAGGGATGAGCGGCACCGAGTGCGATCGTTGAGCACGGGCTTGCGGTGAGGCGGTACCGTCGCCCATCAATGGCGGTGCGGTGACGAAGACGTGACAACCGATGCGCCCTCACACGTTGCAAGTGCACTGGTGCGTACTTCCGCCCTGGTGCGCCTCCTATTCCGCCCCTTGCACCTTCAGTGACAACCCTTACGCACGTACTCACTTCGTGCAGGAGCAACTTCTCACCGCACGCAACAACTACCACCTGAAAGTGAATGCGTGGAGCCTCTTCAAGCGCGCGAAAGTGCATTGTACGACTGCGTAGAAGTACAAGCGGGCAGGGTCTCAAGCTTCGTAGCGATCTGGATTGATCTTCCGTGGGTCAATCTCTTACCAGGTCTCACCGGCCCAGGGCCAGGCCCCCGCGCCCCCGCGCCCTTGTTGTGGATCCGGTGCCCGACTGACTGACTGACGCGCGTTGAATGAATAGCGTCATGGTGGATACCAGCAGTTCATTCCGGCCCTTTACGTTTCTCCTGCCCTGTCGTTGTGCCCGCCGCGGGCAGCGCCCATGCGCCTAATTCACTCCCTCACTCCTTTCACGAGATTTCCAACACAACATGCCAACCCACTAGCCCTATACGGCCACTCCTGATCTCCCACACCACGCGCACCACGCGCACCACGCGCACCTCGTTCGCACCCGTGGAGCGGGGCAGGTGACGAGGTATATAACACCCACCCAAGCTGCTGTTGTGGTTCTTCTCCTCTCCACCATGCACTCCTTGAAAAGCACCCACCTGCAGCACTACTCACCATGATCACCAGCCTTCCCCCCGCCTCCGTCCCCACCCCGGTCAACGAGGTCATCTCGTCCGAGGGCGTCCCGTTCGTCGTTGACGTCAAGCTCGAGTCGTAAGTCTCCATCGCGCAGAGTCTTAGTTCTCCCTTGTGCAACGCGCTTCTCGTCTGCCCGTGCGACCATCTGCTGCTCATGTGTTACTTCCAAGCCGGCGGCATCGCACACCCCTCACCCTCCGTTCAAGCCTCTCAGCTTTCCTACGGAAAATGGTTAAGCTAACGCTCCAGCCCCATCCCCTCTGGTACCGAAGACGCCGAGTCACTCTCCTCCTTCCTCTCCTACCTCTCGACGGGCGAGCTCTCGTCCCCTCTCCCCGGCACATTCGCGCTGCTGTCTCGCTACGCGCCTTCCCAGCTTCGCGCAGCCCACGGAGCTCTCACCGCGGCTCTGATCGACGGTTCCGTCTGCCCCTTGCAAGCCTTTGTCGTTGGAGCCAGGGCTCATGACCTGCAACTCTGCCGACTGGCCATTGTGCACGGCGACAACAGGACGCAGGACGAGATGGATTGGAGTGCCTGGGAGGACGTTGAGCCCAGATACAAGAGGGCGCTGGAGGAGGCTTGGGGACAGGGAGGCAGCGCGACGGAGAGGGGGAACCGCTTCGTCGAGATTCTGAGCTTGCAGGAGTGAGCACCGCTGCGAGCGACGATGGGCGGAAGCCAACTTCACCCAGCTCGCCAGAGCGGGGTCCTCGCCCAACCCACACGCGCCTCGCTGTCCGAACCATGATGACTGCGCAGGAGTAGGAGTTTGAGATCACGGATTAGGAACATTGTAGATATAGCATACAGATAAAGATAAGATAGACACGTTTGCCTCTCTGCTCCGCTTGAGCACGCGGCGAACCGACCACGACATCTAAAACGAAGCGCAGCTTGCGCACTTTTCCTTTCTTTATGTATAAGTATAACGATGAGGTAACCGTGATGCGTGACGATCATGACCTGGGCCTTGGTGTGCAGTGGCATTCCACAGAGTACGGTGACAGGATAACGGTAGTGACTCCGCTCTGTGTCAATGAGCAGTGGAGCTGTTCAGCTGACTGCTCCGTGCGCTCGGAGTCGAGATGCTCCCCTCTGCAGTTCCAGCAATCGAGGATTCTCCGATTGAATACCGAGCAGGCCGAGCAACCCGAGGTCGTAGCGCCGTTACTGCGCAACGGCCCAGGTTGGTGCGAGCATGCACACAAGATGACAATAACAATAAGCAATGCGGCGGCCTTGGCGCCCGAGCCCGCGGCCCCTTTTCTCGCCCTCGCGGCCCTCGTAGCATTCTTAGCAAGCAGAGCACTGCATCAATATGCGCGAACAAGACCGGAGTCCGAGTGTCCAGCCATCTTAAATAGCCAGTGCGGTGGCGGCGCCTGCCCTTTACCACCATCAACCAGCCTGCGACGTTGACCCTGGCCACTAGCGTCGCTTTGCCGCCAGTGTTGCTCCCTGGTCCTCCAATTTCGACGACCCAACCAGCAACGAGCTTCGATCCCTCCCTCCTTCATTCCTTCCTTCCTTCCTTCCTCACCACTCTTACTTCACATCGATACCAGTTTTAACGATCGGGCAGTCAGAACACACGCAAGGATGGCCCCGATCCTCGACGAGAAGGATGTGGTGAACCTCGCCATCCGATGGGAGGACGCCAAGAATAAGCTCACACCGAACCATACCCAGGTGTACGTCGGTGGAGGTCTTTGTTTACACATGTTGACTTTCAGGGTCACGCTCAGCGTCGCTGCCGTTTATGCGCTTGTCATTCTTATCCGTGAGTTTGCCGCTACGCATTGCCCCATGCATCGCCTGTCATCCCGAATTATCTCCCCGTGCTGTCACGGCCACTGTCTGCTATACCCAGCTCTTGGCAGAACGGAGGAAGGTTGGCTGGAGAAGTGGAGGTCGATAGCAGAGAAGGAAGGCACAGCCCGAAACCGTGCCAATGGAAATGCTAACACCTCGCAGTAGTACGCACAGCGAGACATGAAGACACAGAGAGTCCACTGACACAGCGCAGTGGTTTGTCGAACGCCAGCGAGACTGAACTGACTACAGGCATAGTGAGTTGACGGAAATGCACAAGAACTGACGTCCCAGTGCCATTGCTCAAGGAGCTGCTGTATCCCTTCAAATTGCTGGTGAGTGCGAGCGAACGAGCTCAGCGCTCCATTTGATCTGCACCTTGTCGTCGACATCGCTCCCATCCCTATCCGCGGTTTTGCGACTCTCGTCCTCGGAAAGATTTCCCGAGAGCCCAAGCAGCCCTCTGGAAACGTGCTGGGACAATGGGCTGGAGAACGGCAGAACGAGTCCCACTGCGGAATGCTCCGCGCTAGCTCTGGGAACTCCGTTACCTCCCACTGAGCCCCAACCCCAGCTCACTCGCCACCCTCTCTACGCCCGTGTTGCTTGGCGCTGACCGCAGACCGTAGGAATGCACGAGATGTGCCACGCCATCGCCGGCGTGCTCACCTGTGCCAAGATCGAGAGCATCCAGCTCGACCCGGATGAGGGCGGTGCGACGCGCATGCGGGGCGGTATACCCCTCATCACGCTGCCGGCTGGATACTTGGGGAGCTCGGCCATTGGCGCTGCTTTGATCACTTGTGTGAGTACCTGAGTCGCGGAGGTGTCGAGACTGAGGTCGCTCGGTGTGATCGTCTGAGATTAATGGTGCAACTGTCTGGTGGCAGTGAGACCTCGTCGATCCATTGTCTCACGGAAAGCCCCCTGGCTACTCTCACGTCGCACTTTGCGTCTGCACGCTTCATCCGCAGACACTTGCTAACGTACAGGGCTTCGATACTCGCGCGTCCCGCGTCGCCTGCCTCGTGCTCGCCGTCTTCTTCATGCTGACGCTCGTGTGGGCGCGAAAGTCGATGATTGCCTGGGTCACCATCCTCTTCACGGCGGGGCTGATTGTGCTCTGCTGGCTGGTCGGCAGCTCCGTCGCGCTCCGCTTCTTGGTCTTGTTCATCGGCGTCATGAGCTGTCTCTACAGTGTCGTAAGTATAGCTTCGTGCTCGCCCCTAAGGCCATCCTCAACAGAAGGTCAAGTTGAAGGATCCTAAGTTGCACTGCTGTCCCGCTCGAGGCTCAGCTAACACTCAGTGGGACGTCATCGACGACACGTTGAAGCGCAAAGTTAACGGGTCCGACGCAACCGAGTTCGCCAAGGTCGTTCACTTTGGCAGTTCGCGCATGTGGGGCTTCTTCTGGCTCATCATCTCTTGCGGCTTCTTCGCCGCCGGCATCATTTGCGGCATCCTCTTCTTCAAGGACGACTTTGCGACGCAACGTGAGAAGGCCGCCACGTTCCTTGGCGGCACGCCGGGAAGTCACCACTAGTCGCTCTGTAACATTGCGCTTCCTTCGAGAAGTGCGCTCCCCTTGAAGGTTGAGCGCGCCCGTACGACACCACGACCAGACAATGAGACATTGGCTTTTGGCGGGCCACTCGCCCAACTTTTTCCTGTATATTTAACCACTTTACCCATACCTTCATACTTCGTAACCCCTTCGTATGCTACGATTCAATATATTCGATACATCCCAAGAAACCCTCTTACATACCCAGCATGGGCAGGACGACCTGCTGGACATAGTTGCCCGCGATGCCGAGCCAGACCAGCGTGCCGGCCACGAAGCCGTTGGCCTTGAACTTGGCCCAGCAGTCTGCGCGGCTGTCCAAGTCGACGGTGATGACCTGCCACGCGAGGTGGGCCGCTGTGCCGAGACACGAGACGGCGTAGTAGATCGGCCCGGCGCCCATCGCGTGTCCGGCCACGGCGAGGCAGGAGATGAAGCCGGCATACAGGGTGCCGACGATGGGCTTGGTCTTGTCGCCCCACGCGAGCGCGGTGCTCTTCACGCCGGCGAGCACGTCGTCCGTCTTGTCCTGTGATGTCAGCTATCACTCGTTCAGCAGCTGCCTCCTCATCTCTCTCTATCTCCTGGGATGGACGGGGAGGAGCGACGGGGCGTACACCCACCTGATGAGCATAAATGGTGTCGTAGCCGACACACCACATAACGCTCCCAATGTACAGCGGCGCGGCCACGCTCCAGTTCACGACGCCCGCGACAGCCGACCAGCCCAGCAGCGCGCCCCAGTCGAAGCACAGTCCGAGCACGATTTGCGGGTAGTACGTGTACCGCTTCATGAGCGGGTAGATGATGATGAGGGGGACGGAGCACGCGCCAAGCACGATCGAGTACCAGTTCAGCTGGGTCAGGATGCCCAGGCCCAGCGTCATCTGGGACGCGAGGAAGGCCAGCGCCTGCGTTTGCGTGATGTCGCCCGCGGCGATGGGGCGGGACTTTGTGCGTTCTGGCGTCAGCTCAGCACGTCTACCTCATAGCCTCTGCCTCCCTCTGCCTCTCGCTCCTTCTCAGGCCGACAGTACTGCTACTTACCAACCATCCGGTCCATCTTCACGTCCCACATGTCATTCACGACACATCCCGCGCCGCGCATGATGATCGCGCCAACGCCAAAGAGAAGCATGTACCACACCGGCGTCGTCGGCGGGGCGGCAATACTGGTCGACGCCATCGTGATGGCCCACGCGCCGGGCCAGTACAGTAGGATCGTGCCGATTGGCTTGTCGAGACGCAGGAGGCGCATGTACGGCTGCATCTTCTTCGGGAAGCGGTCGACCCAAGAGGGCGGGTCGGCCGGGGCAGCCGTAGCAGCGGGTGCAGCGGGTGCAGCGGTAGCTGCAGCTGGTGTAGCGGAGACATCGGAGGAGGGGGCAGAGACGGGCTTAGTGGAAGAGAGCGAGGAGGCGGCGGGGACGTTTGGCGGCTGCACCGTCGAGTTCTGACGGACTTGGGCCGGAATGACTTTCGGAGACCGCGTTCGGAGGCGGAGGTAGCGGCGCGCACCTGCCGGCAAGGGCGGAGGGGCAGACAGTCTCGGCCGCAGCATCAGGCCGAGGCCTGTGCGCGCGCAGGACGAGCGCGCCAGTGTCGACATGTCCACGGGAGTTGGGCGACGTCGACTTTTGACTTTTGAACCTGGACTTATCGCGACTGGCTGGTTACTTAACCGGAGCAGATCTCATCTTATCACCTCGGGGGGATTTGGTTCCGCACCCGTCTGTTGATCACTTCAGCCAACAAGCTTCGGGCAGAACGCAGACGAGTACAGGCGAGCAGAGCAAGCGCGCACACTTGGGTGCATTGAGAGCTGTACAGAGATACAGGGTGAGTCCGGCTCAGTGCTCTCGAAAACAGGACAACCGTCGTAGTCGGGAGGAGGGTCAGCGGAAGGTCAATGTCCATTCGTGTGCGGCCCTGTCCTCGCTCTAACCCGGTATATAAGTATACATGCAGTCTACAAACTCCTCTGCCAGTCTACTTGCGCGCATCCTTGTGTTCTGCTGTTAGCTCAGCTGAAGCCACTTCAAAGCTTACCGCGTCTCGTCGCGTCCTCGAGCAGGGTCGTGTCAACGGTACGCGCCGGCATGCGGACGTAGCGCACGACGGATCCACGGATGAACACGTTCTTGACAGCGAGCTGGGTGTCAGCTCTTCAGTCTCAATAGAGCTGTTGTCAGACTCACCATGTGAGGGTACTTTTCCGGGTCCTCGACGCGGATGCCGTCTAGCCGGATGTTGAGGAACCTAGGGTCAGCTGAAGGACTCTATAGACAGCTGGCTCGCGAGAGAGGCGTTCCTATTGCGTTCGCTGCAGAAGCGTCCATGTTTCACTCACTGGTCGACAGATTTCAACGTTCCGGTGATGCACAGGTCATTCTTGAGCTCGACCGTGATCACCTGGTCAGTGAGCGTTTTGAAGAATCTGGGGTCAGCGGCTAACCAGGGGTTCACAGCCAAATGCATGGGCGACTCTGCAGGAAAGAGTATGCCTGTCGTGTTGTCTCCAGCGCCGCATGCACTCAGGTACTCCTATATTCATGCCGGCGTACACGGGGCAGGGCACCTCAACTGAAGAACGGGCAGCGGTGTCCGGCTGGATTGATACAGCAGCAGTGTGTTGTTGCGGTAGCGGAGCACAAATGCTCCTCTGCGCATAGTCAAAACTCACGAGAAAATAAGCTGTCTGTTAGCTGAGCTTCTCTGGGCGCCAGCTGCACTCACCATGTCGATTTGGATGACAACAACAGTTGGTGATCGAGCTCACCTGAGGTGACCGGCAAGTGACGATTGTTGGCCCTGTATCACTGAATGACGTGTGGCCTCCGACCTCCACCGTCCGGCGCAGAGGTTGAGTCCACCCAAGTCCACCTTTAGCCACCCTCAACCACTGCAACGACCATTCCGCATACACCATGGCCAGCGCTGAAGCAGGGCCAAGCAGCATCCCGCTGTACGTCATCAACGGCGTTGCAACAGTATGGGACGCCCAGAGTAAGCTTGCCGAAGTGAACGAAGCTGACGACCAGCGGCGGCGACCCTCCACTGCGCGCACGACATCAGTGGCATGCGTGCCGGAACGCTGCCAGGTGTTGTGCAGCAGAACGCCTTCCTCGGTCTCCCGCTTACGCTCATGCCGGAAGAGACGACGCATCTGGTTGAGAGTGGTGAGTAATCTTCGCATTCAATCTGCGTCTCCAATCGCTGTGTGTCGTCCTTGGCTGAAGCTGACCGCCAGGCGTTGCGCACCTCGTCGCCGTCCCGGACAAGATTACCCCGCCTTCCGCCGAGATTGTGGCCGAGCGCACCGCACAGCGTATAGCGCGCTCGCGGGCTACTGCAATGCACGTCCGGCACGAGGAGGCCAAGGCGGCTGCGGCAGCCAAGGCGAAGTACAACAAGGTCGACGCGGCGGCAACGGCTAAGCGCGAAGAGCGCGCGCGGAAGAAGGCGCTGAAGGCTCGAGACGCGGCCATCGCCGCTGGAGAAGACGCTGCCGTTGCTGAGGAGACGTATCAGGCTGCTCTTGCTGCCATCGGTGCTCCACCTGCTGCACCGAGTGCAGAGCTCGATGTCGACGACTCTGTCCCGACTGCTGCGAACAGCAACTTCTTCACCGTCGTGCCTGCTGCCCCTGTCGTGTCGGTTGAGATGGAGAAGAGCACGAGTGTACCTGCGCCGTCTTTCCCCTTCCCTGTATCTCTCAGAGATACGGCCATCGCGTCCGTGTTCCGCAAGCTGCACTCCAATGGTTTGCGTATGGGTCTCGGACCGAGGTTCGGAGGAGAGTACCTTGTCTACCCTGGTGACTTCCTCCGATACCATGCACACTTCACGAGCCAGGTTGTCAAGAACAACGAGCCAATTCGTCCCGCGGAGCTTATTGCCTGGGGACGACTGGGAACCGGAACGAAGAAGGCGAGCCTCATCTGTTGCTGGAACACGGACGAGAAGGAGAACGCTGGCCCCGAGGACACCGAGTTCTACTCCCTTGAGTGGGCCAACTTTGGATAGATTCTGTACGAGTATCTCATGTATGATTAGGGCGGTCACAAGTGGCAGTCAGGAGAGTCCAAAATAGTACAACATTCATGCTTGAGTTCGAATGACTGATCTATGGGTCGGCCGGCGGGCCGGATGAAGGACCTGAGAGTCAGGGTGCGCAGCGACTGAGTTCGCATGCATTCGGGGAAATCGGTGCGGGAGGTCGATAGCGTTGATCACGGGGGAGATTGGTCGAGATGCTTAAGCGCCCTCCTCGTTGTCGGGCTCGTCCTCGTCGTCCTCGGGAACATCTCCGTACTCGACGTCTCCGCGGTCGTCCATGGTCTCGTCACCCGGGAATCCGCCAACGCCGAGACCTCCCTCTCCCTCCTCGTCCGACACCTCAGCCTCAGCCTCGGCCTCAATCTCGGCCTCAAGCATCTGGCTCGCCTCGGCAGCGGCCTCCTCCTCGGCGCGGCGCTTAGCCTCCCTCTTCTCGGCGCGCGCCTTGTTGCGCGCCTCAACGCGCTCCGCCTCCCTCCTCTCTCCTTCTGAAGGGGCGATGGCGCCAACCTCAACTCCGAGCGAGTCCGTGAGACGCTCGAGCTGCGTTCGTGCCGGCGACGGAGCAAGACCGGCGAGGAAGTGTGAAAGCTGGGTGTACGTTTGCTTCGGGGTGATCGTGGTCGAGCGTCCGACCTGCTCGATCAGGAGGGGGGAGTTGAGCTGCTTCTCCATTGTCGATTGGTTTCGTCGGCCGCGCTGAGGTAGTGGTACAGGGGGTGACGGACGTCGGTGCTGTTGTTGTTGTTGACGGCGACGAGCGAAATTTTGGAACCGTAAGGCAGCGAGCTCATGAAGTCATAGCGTGCAGGATGGACGCCGAAATCTTTGGTGGAGGGCAGACGGAGGCAAAGCCACGAGAAACGCACGCGCTTACCCAGGCTGCACGAATAGTGGGCTTGGTATTGACTGAGGTTCCAACGGCAGCAAACGCGACGCGAGGGCTTTGTATTGCGGGCGGTGAGGGGGCGGACTCAGGCACGCAACAACAAACGCCCAGCACTCAGGCTGCGAACCGTTGCCGTTACGCACGCAAACATCTTGCTCGCTCCTCAACCATCCCTTGTTCGCCTCTGTCCGTCAACTTGCCACACCTGCTCGACAACGGCCCCCATCGGCCCCTTCGACTCTTCTCGACCTCCCGACAACATCGACAACTAACGTTAGCTCTTGTTACTCTTCCACTCGCGCTGTCTTGCACCCAGACAGCGATTCGGAACATAACACAACAATCGACACCAAGGGACTATTGGACCAATCAGCCTTTCGACGAGGCGCACCCGGCCCTCATTCCAAACACACACATAACACACGCACACACCTACCTGCAGTAGCGGCTTCACGCCCGACACACATACGACTCCAAGCATGTCGCTCGAGAACTATACCAAGCTCGAGAAGGTTGGAGAGGGTTAGCTCGAAGTAGGAAGGCGGAGCTGACAGGGATCAGGAACCTACGGTGTCGTCTACAAGGCGCGCAATGTCCATGATGGATCGATCGTCGCGCTCAAGAAGATCCGTCTCGAGGCCGAGGACGAGGGTGTGCCCTCTACGTCCATCCGTGAGATCTCCATCCTGAAGGAGCTCAGCAAGGACGACAACATTGTCAAGTGAGTTCTGCTCTGACATCACTGGCGGCGATTTCTGCTCTCCGTGCCTTCCTCATAAACCTCCTCCACTCTCTCCCCTCTCCATAGTCATGACAGTGAGCTAACACTCGTCAAAGGCTTTTCGACATTGTCCACTCTGATGCCAAGCTCTACCTTGTGTTCGAGTTCCTCGACCTGGACCTGAAGCGCTACATGGACTCGATCGGCGACAAGGGCGAGGGCCTTGGCCCCAACATGGTCAAGAAGTTCTGCTACCAGTTAATCAAGGGATTATACTACTGCCACGCCCACCGCGTCCTGCACCGTGACCTCAAGCCCCAGAACCTCCTCATCGACAAGGAAGGCAACCTCAAGATCGCTGATTTCGGTCTTGCGCGCGCGTTCGGTATTCCCCTCAGGACGTACACCCACGAGGTGAGTAGGCCCCAGCCGCAGACGGGGTCCGTAAACCTCCAGCCTTTGACAAACAACTGCGGACAGGAGGCGGACTGCGAGAAGTGCGCAGGGGGCAGAGTAGAATTGTGTTAGGCAAGGAACTGATTGCTAACTCATCCCCAGGTTGTTACGCTCTGGTACCGTGCGCCGGAGGTTCTGCTCGGCTCGCGCCACTACAGCACAGCAGTGGACATGTGGAGTGTCGGGTGCATCTTCGCCGAGATGGCGATGCGCCAGCCCCTCTTCCCGGGCGACTCGGAGATCGACGAGATCTTCCGCATCTTCCGCCTGCTCGGCACGCCAGACGACGAGACGTGGCCCGGCGTCTCGAGCCTGCCCGACTACAAGGCGAGCTTCCCCAAGTGGCACGGCGTCGACCTGAACAAGACGATCAAGGGACTCGACGCCGACGGCGTCGACCTCCTCGCCCAGACGCTCATCTATGACCCCGCGCACCGTATCTCCGCCAAGCGCGCGCTGCAGCACCCGTACTTTGCCGCTACTGCCTAAGCCGCTCTCAGCGGAGAAGTGAAGGATGCGTCGATGAGTCTGGAGGTCCGGAGGCCTGGAGAAGTCTGGAGAACCCAAGAAGTTAATGGAGAACGTCTGTCCGTCTCGCCCCGCCCCGTCTCGCCCTAACCCATATAAACACCCAAACGACAGGACTATCAACTGTATACCCCACCCACTCACCCGGTCCTTGTAGAGCCCGGCCCGCACGGCGGGCTCATCATTTCTGTCTGCATTGAATTTGCACGTGCAAGCTGGTGGCATAGCGGCTACTGACACAGGTGATACAACATGAGGACTAATCTAACAGGTGGTAGCGGGTTCTTTCTCCACTGCAGGCTCTTCATTCAACGGCTCGTTCTTCACGATTGAAGACGCAGGCTCGCGAGTGTATTGTTTGGTCTATCAGACACGTGCTCGTCTGCACGGCCCGCCTCTGCTTCCGACTTCACCATAGGCTCGTTCTTCACGTCAATCTCTTTCTTAACCGGCTGTTGCTCCTCGTCCGGCTCGAAATCAGGCCCCGGGTCACGCATACACGGTCCCCGACCTTCAGCGTTGATATCAAGGATCTTGAACGTGTTGCACTCCGTCTTGCCGGCCCGTGAGCCCTGGCACTGCCAGAAGAAGACCATGCCGTCGTCCACGATCTGGCGCCCGTTCACCGTGCTCACGCTCGTGGGCCGGATCCCGTGCGCGGCGCGCACTTTGCCTTTCTGGTCGGCGCGGAGGGACCTGGTGTGTCAGCTAATCTACAGCGGGAATGGCAGCTGGTAGACGGGGCTTACGCACATGGGCAGATCGCATTTACATTTGGGCGTGCGTTCTGAGAGGAAGTCTGGGTGTCAGCTTCGGGGTGAAGGAGCAGCTTACCGTCACGATAAAAGCGGAAGGTGATGTTGATGCGCGACGTGTACGTTTCCTGCTTTTCTGGCGGGACGGGGTTGCCCTCCCTGTCCCACTGGGGACGGTAGATATCGATTGCTTTCTGCGGGGGGATGCTGGGGTCAGCTTCCGAGACAGAGTTATCGAGCTGTAGCAGTTAGAGCTCACGTGTGCTTGTACCGCTCCTGACACCCAGGCGTCATGAGCACGAGCGAGTTGTGCGTCAGGTCGACTTCGTACGTGCGTACCGGGCCGGAGTCAAGCTCGGACGCGCTCGGTCTCACCCGGAATGCGCGAGGGACGCCGAGCGAAAGACTGGCGATGGTCGGGTACGGACCCAGGTTTGTCAGTTGGTCGGCGTGGAAACCGACGCTGAGGTGTCAGCTCGAACGTGGAGCTCTAGTTGTCATCGAGGCCGCGAATGCGAACGTGAGCACGCCTCCTCAGCTGCATCGAAAAGGTCCTGAAGATGACTTCGGTCAACTCACGTTGCTGCGGCTCCTTCGTAGCGATTTGCGCCGCACATGTTTGCGCGCCACCGGCCCCGCCACTCGAGCGGATACCGCGGCACGCTGTCCAGGTACTCGTTGACAGCGTCTTCGACGAGGAGGGCCGCTTTCTCGAGCTCCGGTGGCATTTTCTGGTCTGTCAGCTTTATGCAGCACTGTACAGCTATAACGCTCCCATAACTAGACATCACCCTCCTGTTCCAGTCACACCACCTACTCACAAAGTACTCTACAGGCGCTCCAGACAGAACATAGTCGCGCCAGATACCGAATACTTTGGGTGTGCGGCTGTACGTCGAGCTAGAGTGGTTGGACATGCACTCGCGCCCGTTCAGGAAAAACTTGTTGTAGTTCCACTTCGGCGACTCGGCCATCATGACATGGTACAGCTGGGCTGCGAATTGAGGGCTGAGCGGAGACTGGAGCATGGCGACGGGGATGCCAGACGCTTTGATGGCAGCTGGCGTACCGAGACGGAGTGGAGGAAGCTTCAGTGGTTCTGATCCTGAAGCGAGACGTGGTTTAGGCGCAGAAGACTTCAGGAGAGAAGACCATGCCCCTTTCTGCGCCTCGCGATCGATCTCCGGAAACGGTTCTGGCGGAGCTTCTGGAGGCGTAGGGTCGCGCGAGGTGGAACTGCCTTTCGCGCGTTTGGAGTTGGGACTTGATGTCAAGGAAGGTTTTGGTTTCATGAAGAAGTCGATGCCCCGTTGTCGTTTCCTTCCCTTCGACCCTTGGCTCGAACCAGAGCCTTCCCCCAAGCCGAGGAGGAGCAACTCAGCAGCACGGCTCACGTCATTGTTGGCACGGTCGAGTGCTGCGTCATAGTCCTCGAGGGGGTAGGTCGCTGGTTCGAGGACATGAATGAGAGACGCTAGCGCTGCGTCGCGCTCCTCATGACGCATGACGGGAGGTTGAGCAGAAATGCAAGGAAGGCGATGTTTTCGATACCTCGCTCCACGAACGTTGCCTGACGGTGGACATTGCGGGTGGAGGTGGTTGAGTCAACCACCCGGGGTGCGATGCCTTTTGTTTGGTTCCGGCTGGGCGATCAGGGCGGGTCCGCGTGGCTTGTCCCGGCGGCTGGCGGAACCCGGGTGAATCACTCGGCCTATGAGCCTGAGGTGAAGATGACAAGACTTGGCGAGACACAAGGAGCGGGAAGGGGGAGCTGTCTCACAACATCACAAGAAGTGAACAGCGAGCATGACCGATCACGATGACGATGACAGTGAACAACGGTCGCTTGCTGAGCTTGGCGTGCGCTGGAAAGGAGGAGGGAAAGGACATGTCCACCAGAAGGAACAGTGGGTTTATCCAGCCAGGTCGGGCAGGCTGGTCTGTGCAGAATGAGGCTTTCATTTGACGCCGCTCGTCGCCCGAAATCGCGACCTGGTCCTACCTTCACGCGTAGTGTGTTCGTCCAGGGCGCCGCAGCCGATTCAGGCAAGTCTGGTGCATGCCGTTACCGTTCGTACTATCTCCCTCGCCTTGCAAGCCCTTCTCCCTCTTACCGTCGCTGAGCTGTCGGTGTCTCCCGATCTCTCTCTCTCTTACCAACGAGTTCCCCGCATTCATCTCTCTCTCTGCATCGACGACCCCATCCTGTATCTTGTACCACACCTGTAGACACACCCTAGAGCTCCCTTCCAAAACAACAATAAAATTCACCCCACCATGGCCTTCATCGCTCCCCTTCTGCTGGCCACGATGGCACTCGCCCACGGCGGCCACGGCCACGACGGCAACGACCCGCACGCCGCCGCCGCCAACGACGATTCGCTCGGATACGCTCAGCGGCACGTGAGTCACTCAGTCCGTGAACCGGAACTAACGTGCAGATGATGTCTGAGCACCACATTGACCAGTTTGACCTCCCCGCCTTCTTCAAGCTGCACGACCTTGACTCGGACGGCTTCTGGACGACCGAGGAGATCGCTGCGCTCTATGGTCTCCGACACCACTCCGTTACTGGCGAGGAGAAGAAGATCCCCGAGGGGCTTGAGGAGCAGATCGTTTCCGCTGTCCTCGCCAAGCTGGACAAGAACGGCGACTGTAAGTTGACCCGGAGCTCGTCTGCGACGCTTGAGCTAACGCTGCAGCCAAGATCTCACTCAAGGAGTACGTCGCCGGCGGTGTCGACGGTCTCCCGACGATTGGCGATTTCAAGCACCTCGGCCACCACTACGACGAGGAGTCGGAGTACTTCCTTCACCACGAGGAGCTCTACCACAACACCCCCGAGACTCAGACCGACGAGTCGTACACCCACCCGGAGGACATTGAGCACTTCAAGTGTGAGTAGAACAAGCGGCGGCAAGCGAAGTGAGCACCGCGGGTACAGCCTAGGACATAGAGGACGGCCAGCAGGGTCTACAGGTTGGGGCGGCCAACGTTGTCGAGCTCTTTTGCCAGCGGCGGCGGCGGCGCAGCCCACCTCTTCCTCATATGTCACGCCAGGCACTGCCGAGCCGTGCCTGTTTCTGTCCACTGCCTTGCCTCCTCCTTAAACGCTTTCTGTTTCCGCTTCCGCTACATGGCTGCCAGCTGACATGCAGACCATGAGAAGATTGAAGCCGAGGAGGACGCGCGCGAGCGTCTCTTCGAGGGTCTCGCCCCGGACGCGGACCTGGACCAGGACCACGCGGCGCAGGACCCGCTTGACGCGCACGCCCACGCGGCCGGCGACGGCCCGAAACCCGACTCGGACGAGCAGAAGGCGCACCGGCTGGTCAAGGGCAAGCTCGGCGCTGGATCGCCTAACCGACTCATCGCTGAGGCTGCTGGCGGACGGCCGAAGCACAGGCACTCGGACGCTGAGCGGGCCCGGAAGGATGCGCCGTGGAAGTACAGGATGAGGGCGGGGCTGAGGAGCGATGAGTTCTAAGCCCGTCGCGAGCGAAGCGAGCGTATGGGCTAGAGCGAGCTCTGGCAGCTCTGGCCGAAGACGATCTGCCTCTGAGGAACGGAGGTGAGCAGTGGACTAGGAGCTTGAACGTGGGCCGGCCCCGTTGATCGACTGCAGCTCTTGACTCCTGACTGCAATTCTCTCGCTTCCTGTTCCCGACCCACACCACACGGCAACCCAGGTTTTATACTATTCTTGCATGCAGTCATAATCCATTGTTGAAACAGTCTAAGTGTCTATAGTCATTAGATGTGGCGCGCCGCGCCTCCTCGTTCCTCGCTCTGAGTGTCCATCTCTCACTCCCGGTTGCTCTACGCCGAGGCAGTCGGCGCAAAGGCGTACTTGAGCAGGAGGTCTGCGATCTTGGGCCCAAAGACGGGCTGGAGCGCATACTGTCCTGCAATACCGGCGTCGAGCCAAGCATCGCCAGCGAGCCTAGACGTGGCAAAGAGGAATCCCCACGCCCAAACGCGGCCCCAGAACCCACGCACGCGGTACCCCGTGATGTTCTTCCACGCCACCTCGGCAATGCAAGCGAAGCTGGAGGCGACGAAGAAGGAGCCGAGCGGGATGGGGGCGGCAATGGGGTCCATGAGGAGTGAGCCGAGGGAGTGGAGGAGGCCAGAGTAGAGGAACGAGAGGGGGAAGAGCACGAGCGGCGAGGCGGGGAGACAGAGTGCCCTCGCAGTGCACGAGGAGAGGACGATGAACTGGTGCCGGAAGAGCTGGTGCCACCTCCTGCCCCAGAGGTCAATGACGCTCTCGGCCTTCCACGGCTGGTCGAACACGTCCACGTCCCATGCGCTAATCTCCCACCCAAGCGCGAGGAAGAGGACGGCCGCGCCGTGGTAACAGACTGAAATTCCCCAGTAGACGGCACTAGCGACACAGGAGAGGACGCAGAACGCGACGACGAGGCGCGGCACAATGATCCCCGTGTGCAGCTGGGGCAGGATCTCGACGGATGTGCTGTCCAGGAAACGCTTGAGGGCCGACTCGCCGTTGAGCGCGCCGTAGGCCAGCGTGTTCGGCGCCATGTGACGGATCAGGGAGAAGGCCGTGTCGAGGACAGTGTAGAAGAAGAGGAAGTACTTGAAGTGACGCGCGATCGCGCCCAGGCGCGTTGACGGGCGGGGTCCGACACGAGGCTCGTGTCGCTCCAGCGCGGGCAGGTTGTGCGCCACCTCGTAAGGCGTGCGCTCAATCTTGCGGTGCTTGCGCTTACCGGTCTTTCCGTTCGCCTTGCCGTTCCCGTTGGCGTGTCCGTTGGCGTGTCCGTTGGCGTGGCCGTTGGCGGAACCATTGGCGACACCGTTCGACGTAGGCTTGTCAACACCAGTCAAGCCGAGGGCGCCGCCCTCCTCGTTCTCGTCGACGTCGCCGATGGTGTAGTTGGGCGGGCCGGCCATGTGGTCCAGTCCCACGGAGCCCATGCGGAGCAAGCGCGAGTTCATGCAGAGGTCGAGGGCTGCGCGCCACTTTGGCCGCGGCGGGTAGTACGGGTCGCGGACGCCGCGGGACAGGAGCGCAAACTCGGCAGACTTGACGGCGAGGTGCAGCCAGACGACATTGAGGGCACAGTTCCAGATGTTCAGGAGCGGGTCTGGGTGTCAGCTGTTGTCCATGGAAGGACTAGCTCGGTGTGTAACGCTGGGGAGCGGAGCTCGGCGATACGGATTGGGGGACAGGGCTGTGGAGCTGGGTGCACCGCTCCACACCGAGTGCACCAGTGCACCATGCACACAGCACGGGGTTGATGCGAGGTGCGACGTCGAGGGTGACGCAGCGTTGCGTGCTCTCTTCCTCGCCAGCATGCCAGCTCGCCCCGTTCGCCCACCCCCTGCATTCCGCACAGACGCATGACTCACCTGTAAACCTGTACGAGAAGTAGCTCCTCGCCATGAGCATGAGGGCGACGACGCCGGCAGCGAGCCGGAGCAGGCGGTTGCTGCCCTCCTGGCGCTTGGAACCGCGCTCACCCTCCTGGACAAGCAAGAATGCCTGGACCCAGACGGCAAAAGCGGGGAGGAGGAAGTACTCTGCCAACCGCTGGGGCTGGGCGAGATCAACACCGCGCAGTGCCGCCTCGTGCACGGGGGCCAGGAGGCCGAAGGGTCGGCTCCACATGTCGGCCAGCCCAGAGGGCGTGAGGAGAGTCGCGTAGTCGTTCGCCATCTGGCGAAGAGAGGCGGAGAGGTCCATGGTGAACCTTTGTGTGGTGGTTGGTGGCAAAGAGATTGTTGTGACAAAAGTTGGAGTATTAAACGACGGCAGACGGTGACGCCCGCCTGCGGTCTGAAGCGGCGGTGACGATCCACACGACCTCGTCCCTGAGTTCTTCACGGGCCGGCCAACTTTATCAGAGGGCAGCCAGCGTGCGGCCGGGCCTTACTCGGGCATGTGACCGGTCCTCTCCTTGCGTTGAATGCATGCTGGCGTCCGGCCAAGCACTCGGTGCATGCCGAGCGGGCCGGCTTGCAGCGCCGGTCATGTCAGAGTGCTCGCGTCAGGACACTCCGGCACCGATAACACACGCTGATAGGCGTAGACATGGCTTTGGATTCCGTCAACTGTCAGTCTGGACCACGCCATGTCGCAGATAGCTCTCATGGGTCGGCCCACGCCAGCCCACGCGCACCTCTCGACGCGGCGACGACATCAGTGTTGCTCCGAAACTCCTTCTTGTGCTTCGTTCCAGCGACATTACTGGCCAAAGTACTCACGACGAAGGCCGCATGAGACGCAGGCAGCGGTGACCTTGTAGGCCGCGTCATTCAACGGCTCGTAAGACCCCGATGCATTCCGCGATGTCGCGAGTCTTTCTTACACGAGGCGGCCGAAGCATCCGATCGAAGCAACGGTTCGATAAGTCTTCTCTGCCAACTTCATTCCCACAACGACGCGCGAGTGTTAGCTCAGAGGAGCCGGATATCGGGCTCCGCATATCGACTAGCGCCCTCGAAGCGTGAAGACGATTGCATCCGAGAGCCGGTCTGAAACGCCTAGCCCGAGATCTCTTGAAGTAGCGCTTGAAACGCGACTGAAGGTGCTTGAATGCACTTCTTTCCCCTTGCACCATACCTCTCTTAGCAGTTGCTCAATCGCATCTCACCTCCTCCCATTCATATACTTCTACCTGACAACTCTGGACATCCGACAGAACACGACCACATGCCAATGAAGGAGGTAGTGCCCATGCGTTGGTCCCCATGCGGGGCTCAGGCGCTCCGTAAGGACTTCAGGTAGCCTGGGCCTGAGTCATGGCGCGTCCACTGGTCACCCAGACCTGCACCGCCAAGTGCGCCCGCAGCAAGAAACCACTAAATGAATAGCAGAATGTCACCATTCGGTGCATACGGCGCAGACGGCGCATAGCTTACGGCGCAACGGACCGTGCGCCATGCGCTAACTTTTCTCCACGCCGCCGCCCTCCGTGACAACTCCTAGCTCTTGTGACCAAAAGAACTGATGCACGCTTCGCTCACTCATTCACAGCTCACCTTTCGAAAGAGGGCATCGGCAAGCGCTAAACAGTGGGTCAACAAAGACGAGGAAAGAGCCAAGTCCCAAGAAACTGCACAGGCCCCAACGCCGCCGAACGCCCCCCGCCAACAACAAGCACACAGAGCACTGGAGAGATCACAGTGCCGCGCCCGGTCCCAGTCCTCTGAGTCTCTGCGTGCCGTGATCGAGCCGTGACTCGGCACTGGGTGTCACAGTGACATTACAAGCTCCCATCCAGACCACCAAGGCTATACTTGTTGCCAGCCTTAGTTCTGCACTCTTGCCCGACAGCCACTACACTCTGCAAACTTTCGGCGGCGTACACACCAAACTAGACAATCTCGACTGCTGAGACGACAGCGTTTCGGCACAACGTACAAACAGCAGCAGAGGAGGAATCGACAACGACAGAAAGGGCCAGGAGACCGAGAGCGAGTCAATTGATCGAGGCACGATGCGCATTCTCAAGGTACGTCCTCCCCCCCAGCGCGTTCAGATAAGCGCGCTCGCCTCTCGTCGCTTGCCTCTTCGGGAGCCTATGGCTCGCTATCGTTCTCAAACGCCGAGGCACAACAATGGTCGATAAGGATCAAGTTCGCTAACGCTCGCAGTGCGCAGTGATGGGCTCCGGCGGAGTCGGCAAGACGGCCCTGACGTGCCGCTTCGTGAATGGAGAGTACATCGAGACGTATGACCCGACGCGTGAGTCTGCTTCTTGTGGGGAAATGCTGACGTGAAGTCGAGGATTCATGTACGTATCAGGCAAGTACTTGCACTCTTGCCTCCTGGCTCTCCGTCACTTCTGCTCTACGCCGTTTCGTGGTATCGCCTGGTCGACACCGGCCCCCTAGTACGGATGAGACAGGAGAGAGACAAGCTTCACCTCGGTCGATCGAGGAAAAGCTGATGACAGATCGGAAACAGTTCATGGTCGACGGGCAGGCTGTCATCCTCGAAGTACTCGATACGGCCGGCATTGACCAGTATCTCGCCCTGCACGACCTGTTCATGCGCGAGAGTGATGGCTTCATTCTGGTGTTCTCGTGAGTACGATCTTGGGTGTGGGGTTGCAGTGCGGAGTGACTGAACGGTGGTCGTTTCCGGCGTTCCAGCGGAAGTTCGAGAAAGAGGCCGTGCTATGCACTGCCCCGCCAAGAAGACCTGTGGTGCACCCGTGGAATAAGCACGGAACTTGGGTCCAACGATGGACCAGCGGCGGCAGCGGCGGACGTAGCGGAAGGAGACGCACACGACCGATTAGGTTCGCTAACACCCGCAGGCTCATGTCGAAGGAGAGTTTCGACGACGTGGTGCGCACGCGCGACCAGATCCTGCGCCTGAAACAAGAAGACCTCGTTCCCATGGTCATCGTAGGCAGTGAGTCTGCCCTTTCTCCATTCACCTATACCTCCCCCACTGACGTGCAGACAAGTGCGACCTGACAGCCGACCGCGTCCTGCCCCCACAGCTCGGCGAACAGCTCGCCGCGCGGGCAGGAGGCGTGTACCTCGAGACGAGTGCGAGGAACAATGTGAATGTCATGCGCGTGTTTCACGAGGTCGTGCGGCAGATGAGGCTCCATCCCACGCGGGATATGAAGGAGCGCGAGGCGAGGCGGAAGAAGGAGAAGAAGTGTGTTATCCTGTAGTTATGACCAGCAGAGAATGAAGGTTTGATGATGACGAGCGGGCCTTGTGGTGAGTAGAGTGAAGATGTAGATAGGTTTAGTAACGATCTTGATTAGAGTAACGACTTAGACCTCAGCATGCAAATGTCAATGAGCACAATCAGAGAATCTCGGAAGCTGCTGGGTAATCATAACATCGTGATGCGTCACAACAACTCTGCCCCCGGACAAGGAATCACCTCCACGCCGCTAGCTTACGGCTTGCACGCCTCCTCCATGGCGCCGACGGCCTGGGCGAGCTTGTCGCTCGAGACGAGGAGGAGGCGGCCGAACTGCTCAACGCCGAACGACTCGTCGTCGCGCGGCGGCGCAGTCTTCAGCGGGTACGTGTGAACGGCCTCTGCGCGCGAGTCGATCATCTCCTCCTCGGGGTGGTACGTGAAGCTTCCAGCGGCGAGGCCGCCGGGGGCCTGGCCGCCCTTCTTCTTCTTATTCGTCGCGCTGGGCGTTAGCTAACGACAACAGAGACGGCCAGCTGCAAGAAACTCACGACTGGTCAAACTCGAGTCCCGTCGCCTCCTCGGCGCCCTCGAGCTTGTACCCCCGTCCCCAGAGGATGTAGTGCGTGAAGCCGGCCGAGGACAGCTCCTCGCCCAGCATCTTGTAGAGAGGCGGGATCAGCGGCAGCGGGAGATTGAGCATGCGCATGGAGAAGAGGAGGGCGGGCTTTGACGAGCCGTCAGTCAGCGCCGACTTGATCGCCGCCGGCGGGGCGGTAGAAAGGTAGTAGTCGATCAGCGGCTTGAGGGCCGGGTTGTCCTGTGATGTCAGCTGTGCAGTCGACCGCACCTAGCTGTCTTGAACTCACCTGACATTTCCTGATGTCAACGGCCGCCAGCATTCCCCACGGGTCGCTCTCCTCGCCATCCGTCTTGATCGTCGAGCCGGCCTTCAGTCGGGTTCCCTCAGCCAGAATCAGGTCCGCAAGCTGGTGGACGTCGATGAGGTGGTCATCGTGGCTCAGCGTTTGACGGAGAAGGCGCTTGATGGCGATCCTGGACGTTAGACCGGAACAGCCGAATTTCTATCTAGACTCACTGGTCAACGTCCGGGTTGAGATTGTAAAAGTCAAAGTCGACGTTGATCATGCTCTTGCCCGGTCAGTTACTCCACGGCTGGAGAAGTCGCGCTACTCACGACGTCGGAACCGTCGCTCTCGTCGCCCTCGTCATCTCGGGGAGCAGCCTTGCGCTTCACACTCGTTCCAACGGGCACGGCAGACAGCTGGGGGTTGGGCATATTGTGTTGGGGCCGATTGGGTGATGTTCTCAGAAGTCGGCAGTCATAGCGATCGGTGAACTCATCTTGGAAGCGGCCAAGATTTGGTATCACGTGATGGTGACGATCGCGACCTCCACATGCCTGGCGTCATAGAGGCGACTGCGACTACTGGGCTCGGGGGGTCGGTCTGAATCTACATCTCACCCAGTCAAAGGACCTTGATGGCTTGGACATTGGCTGTCGACGCACAAGAGGGAATTCTCACGTAGAACGACTTCGGAACCGCACCATCATGCTCTACATCGCATCCGTAAGTTGCAGCGCGTTTGAACCTTCTGCTGACTCACTATCGCCAGACTCTCACGCCCACCCCAGTCACTCATTCGGTTGCGGTCACCGGCTTCACAGGCGAGGGCCAAAGCCTGGTCGTGGCGAAGCCTGACCGTGTTGAGGTTTGGGATGTCACCGCAACCGGGCTTGTCTTTCGGGGCGAACTCACTATCTGGGGCACGATCGCTGGACTCGCGGTCACGAATATCTCGGTGAGCTCCGAAGGGAAGCAGCGGCTGACGGAAAGGATGCTCGACCTCATCTTCTCGTCCTTGTTGGACCTCCGAATGCGCAGCTTCACTTGGTTAGGTGGAACCCATTCAGGGAGGAGCTCTCGATTACCTCGTCTCTCAAGCTCGTGCCACCGACACCAGCTCTGCGAAGGCAAGAGTTCTTCACGGCCGTCATCACAGACAGCAACGTCGCTCTAGTCTCACTCTGGACAGGTCTGTTGTCATGTGCGGGGATTGAAGTGGCAAGGAAGGGAAGGAAGAAGGACATGGATGTCGACGGAGATCACAAGCTTGTCTTCAAACATTATTTTAACATGAAGTGAGCTGCTCGATGGATTCTAAGCTGACAACAGTATTCGCGAACACAACCTCCTCGACCTAACCTTTGTTCCCTGCGAGGACTCGGGTAATCCGGTTTTGACATTCCTGTGGATGTCGGAGGAGAACAAGATCCTCCTCCAGCCACGAGCACTGTCGCTCCAGACGCACAGCTTCACCGACCTCGCCGCCCGAACAGATGTCGTGAACCCGTTAGATCTGCCGATGAGCGATGTCGATAATCCGAATTTCCTCGAGACTGACTTCTCCTGTCCAGCCGGTCGCAGTGTGCTGTCCCTTGGTATGGGGCCGAACGGATGTCGCAGCTTCCTCGTGGTCGGTGACGAATTTGCAGTCATGTACTGCATCAACCCCGTTCCGGCAAGCCCGAAGACGATCGCTAAGGGGCCAGTGAAGCGCAGCCCTCGCTCAGAGGCCGGAGGCACAGGGAAGCGCCGCAAGTCGAGCCAATCTGGACGCAGTGTCAACACCGACCCCGAACCGCTGTGGAGTGTGCAGCCGGTGTGGCGCGTCCGGCAAGGCTTTGGCACTGTCCTTGCGTAAGTTTCATATAGAGGACTGAAACTGACGACAGCACCACTTTGGTAGACCAGCATACTACCGGCGGCAGTGTACTTCTGGGAGATGAGTATGGACGACTGACTGCGGTGGGATGGGAGTTCGAGGACATGGAGAAGGTGCAGGTTGGAATGATCGACATGGGAGTCGTTTCCGCGCCCTCCAGCCTGACGTATCTGGACAACGGCTACCTCTTCTCGGCTTCGGCATGCGGCGACTCGTTGTTGGTCTATCTGGTGCTTCCATCGCCAAACTCAACTCGCCAACCATCAGGTAAGGGCAAAGAGAAGGCACATGACATCTCAGATGCTGGCGCGTATGAGATTGTCACTGCAGAGCCCCAACATGGTCGAGTGGACGTCCGGGAACGGTGGATGAACATTGCTCCCGCCAAGGACTTTGCGATCGTCAAGGAGGACGATGGACGAGTTTCTCATGTCGTCGTTGCATCCGGCTCGGCAAGCTCGAACTCTTTCCGAGTAGTTCGAAGCGGAGTCGGTTTCGAGAATCTGATGACGATCGAGGAGATTCCGGGAATCGAGAGAATGTGGACAATCCCCGCAGCTGACGGACCTTCCCTCATGGTCTCGTTCGCGTACTCGACGACTATTCTGCAGATCGAACCAGAGGTCTCAGTCTTCAAGGCGGCTGACCAGGTGACGGCGGTCCCGACCTTTGCGGCCGGCTTGGTGGACAAGAGTCTGCTCCTTCAAGTGACACCGGAAGGAATCCGATTATGGTCCGATCTCGCCGCCGGCATGCTTGCCGGCAACGTCGACGCACCGGAGGACAACCGCATCGCCACCGCGAATGTGAGGGGCAACATCGCTGTGGCTGCGTTCAGGGATGGGACTGTAACACTGTTTCGAGCGTCCTCGCAGGGATTGCAGGAGGTTGTGTGAGTAGCAAGAGCGAGGCATTCGCTGACAATCAGATCTGTCCCGCGTCCTCGAGAGGTCTCTGCCGTGGATCTGCTGCCAAGTAAGGGCTTCCTTGCCATCGCTGATTGGTGTGGAGAGATCGATCTCGTCGCTGTCGAAGGAGCAGACCAAGGTACTGTCCTAAAGTCGATCCGCGAGGCTGCATACGCGACCTCACTACAGTTCCAAGAATCCAACAACGAGCCCACAAGGCTGTTGGCTGGACTGTCAGACGGCACATTTGTCTCTTATTCCGTCAAGCTCAACGGTGCTGAGTGCTCTGACAGTCGACATGCCTCGTCATTGGGCCTACGACCGCTGCGTCTGATTGCCCTGGACATCTCTCCAAACGCAGAGGAGCACGTGGTGGCGGCCGGCATAAGTGACAGGTTGTCGCTCGTCTTTGAATCTCGCGATCACTACGAGTTCTCGTCTAGCGGCAAGAAGGTAAAGCTCAGATCGAGAGCCTAGCTGACGTCAGAACGTGGTAGCGGCGACGTCACTGAGCACCCCAAGCTTGGGTGATTGTATTGCTTTGGCCACTCCGCAGGGCATCGTGTTCGAGCGGTTGACGAGCTTGAAGAAGCTGCAGGTGCAGACGCTTGATCTGGGCAACCGCTCGGCCACGCGAGTGGCTGCACTTCCTGGTTACAACCTAGTTGTGGCAGAAACCGTCACGAGGTCTATGGATCACCAGACCGGCGATGTCTTGCAGTCGTCCAGCGTGGAACTTCGGAATGCTACGACACTGGAACTGCTGTCCGAATTCCAGCTGCCCGAGCGGGAAGCGGTGGCCTCCGTGAATGCGGTCACTCTGCATGGTCGCAAGTACATCTTGGTGGGCACGGCGATCTTCGAGAACGAAGATGCTCTCGAAGACGCTACTTTGGAGGACGTTACGTCGTTCATCGCAACCAACCGCGGACGACTGCTCCTGTTCCAGATCAACGAGTCCGCGGGGCCGTCTTTGGACCTTGTCACCTCCATGACGTTCAACGGTCCAGTATACGACACGGTTGTGATCCACGGCTTCCTCGCTGTGGCTACCTCAACGAAGGTGTCTATTCTGCGACTCACTACTCAGCCCCCCAGTCTCGAGGAGGCCGCCAGCTTCGCCTTTGCGTTCGAGACGCATCACCTTGCAGTTGTTGAGATCGACAAGGAGAAGCGGCTGGTTGTCGGCGACGCGATGAGGAGTATCATCGTGCTGAGCGTAGATCCCGAGAGCGGTGACATCGTGGGCGACCAACGAGACATGAACGCCCACCTCGTTCGCTGTCTGAGTGCCGTTCATGACGTTGAGCCTGGCGTGATGATTGCTGATGTAAGCTGTCTTTTTGCTCGCGAAAAGCTGACGCCAGAACTACGCCAACCTTCTCACTTTCCGGCTAGGCAAGGGCATCACGCCAGCGGCTAGCATTGGTCTCAGCGAAGATGTCACCCGCCTCCAACCCGGTACACTGGCACCAGTGTCAGCCGAGGGCGACATTCTGAGGGCCGATCTGCTGTGCACAACCGTGAACGGGCGACTGGGCGTTATCGGTGAACTCGGCAAGGGCTCTATCAGAACACTTGACGACCTGCAGCGCAACATGAACAAACTGTACAAGGGCCCAGGTGGCTTGGAATGGAAAGAGTGAGCTCGGAGGCGTGTGAAGTGAGCTGACCCCAGTTTCCGAAGAAGCGGCAACATGCTCGTCCCTCGAGAGACTGTCGGATTCATCGACGGCGACTTGTAAGCATCTGACTGTATGGGCCGCACAGCTGACACTGCAGCGTACAGCGATTCTCATCGCTCGATTCCTCTCTGCAAGACAAAATTCTGAGTGGAACCAGTGCTCCGGAAGCGGTGTCTAAGGTAGTGGACGGTGAGCTTGAGAATGCTTCAAAGGCAGACGTCGAGCGTATTCTGGAGATTGTGGGCGCCCTGCACTAGGCAGAGACGGAGACGGGGAGGTAACGTAGTAAACAAAGTGAATGCCAAGCAACCTGTAGCCACCAATTGTGAATGCCACGCCCAACCTGACGATCACTCGCAGTCTGTCTACCGGAAAGTTGGCCGGATCTCGTGAGCGGTGAGGGATTAATGACGTGTGAATGGCGCATTCAGACGCGCCGCCGCGTCTCAAAAGGCTCGCGCATGGCCCTGGTCACGGGTCACGAACCACGAGCCTCCCTCCACACGCAGGCGGGCACTCTGCACTGGACCGCTCAGCGCTCAGCTTCACCCTGTGTATGGGTGCCAGTGCCTAGCCAGACCACCGCAGCCCCTGCCTGGCCCTCTGAGCGCCCGCCTTCGCCTCCAGGCGGTGGGTCTGTCCCAAGTGCACTTTGGTCCCTGTCCACACCGGTGCCGATGTGGATGCATGTCTTCTCTCAATCAACCTCCCCTAACCCATTCCACCACCACCGTCCACCAACATTCGGGCCCTGCTTTTCCTACCATCACTCATCTCTCAACCAACCTCGCACCGACGCACCACACATCCTCGGCCCTCCGCTTCTCCCCAGCGACAAGCACACCTGCTCCGACAAACAACCCACCCCGGAGGGTGGCGCACGTCCAACGCAGCGTGACTCTTGAACATCTCCCGTATGTTCCCCCCTCAATTAACGACCTCACACGCTGCGCTGCAATCACTCGAAAAGCAACACGACGCAAGCACGATGCAGTGGTGGATCTTGTGCACCGGCAACAGCTCATCTCAACGCTGTTCTGATCTGCCATCGCTGTTGTCGTCGAGGGTTGCTGCGCACGCGCGCGTGGTGCTTCCTCCATTTTCACAATCCACTAACGACCTACAGATAATGCCTCTGTTCCAGGCTTTCACGAGCTTCTTTGGCGGGGGATCCCAGAAGCGGATGGACAAGGACACGTTCAGCTTGCCGACAACATCGGGCTCTACAAAATATGACCTGGGCTTGGTGCGTGTCTCTCCTTCCTCCCCTGCGCGTGGGGCACAAGGGCCGACCGTTGCCCGTCAACCTCGGTTACGCCGTGACCTAGCACGACTCCGCCTTCTCAGCCTACGGACTTCAGGTCAGCCGTCTGCTCCGCGGAGCTGGTTGTTTGCGTCGGAGCGGCCACGCTGGCGCAACGCACGCAGGTCGCTTGGCGCGAAACTCAACCGATCGTCTGAGAATTGGATGGCGTCGTGTATCAGTGCTCCACGTGCTCCCATGCAATGTACCATCACAGCACCAGCTAACGCGTCCCAGAACCCTCAAGACTCCCCCGGACCAAGTCGACGTGCGTCGGGCCAGTTCCCGGCGGGTCCCAGCGGTGCCGCGAGGTGAGTTTTGGCCAGCTGCTGCGTGCTGCTGCGAGATGTTCTATCGCAACGAGCTGACACTCGATTTTTTGGCGATCTGCAACGATCGACGTGTTTACATCTCTCACTTACAGCGGCGCCAACTATCCTCCCCTTTCGCACACGTTCTACCGCCTGCGCAACGTCTTGGCAGGCTCGTACCCGGAGCTGATCGAGTCGCTCAACTTCCCTGCGACTCAGGAGGCATTGCAAGAGTTCGAGCAGATGCTGGGTTCGCCTCTTCCTCCGGCTGTTCGCGAGTCCTTCCTCCAGGCCGACGGCCAGGACCTCGAGGCCAACAACCCGGCCGGCATCTTCTACGGCCTGCAACTGCTGCCGTTAGACGAAGCTATCCGGGAATGGACGTACTGGCGCCAGGTTGAGGCCGACCCCAGCACGGGCGCCAACCCTGCAGTCCTCGCGACCATGGCGAGCATTCCTCCCAAATGGATTAAGAGCGAGTACGCCAGCCGAGGTTGGATTCCTCTTCTCTCCGATCGTTCCGGCAACTATGTTGGCGTGGACCTCGACCCCGGACCCGGCGGTGCCTGGGGCCAAGTCATCATCTTTGGCCGTGACTTCGACCGCAAGTGCGTTATGTGGCGCGGCGATGGCGACTGCGGATGGGGCATGTGGCTTTCTTCCCTCGTCGAAGAACTTGAGGCTGGAGATGCCTGGGAGGTCGATAACGGCGGCTCCGACGACGAGGAGGAAATTGGCTACGAGAGCTACACCGGCGGTCGCGTCTATGGCGAGGGTGCAGGCCTCGGTATCATGAAGCTCACCGGAGAGTACAAGGGATGGGCCGTGCTCGAGGCCTGGTGGGACAGGAGTGTCGGCCACTGGGAAAAGCAGGGTCTCGGCATGGACGTCGAGGAGATTGAGCGCGGTCTCGAGGAGTCGCGCCGCCTGGCCACCGTGCCGGAGGAGAATGGCAAGGGTAAGGCCCCCGAGCGATCCAGCTTGGACATGAGCGCCATTCGCGCCGACTATGGTATGGCTGAGGTTGAGATTCCCAGTGAGTAAATGTCGTTAGTGCTTAGTCTGACACCTCAGTCTTGGAGACTCCTCTGGAGCGCGGAAACTCCACAGAGGAAACCGACTCGATGCTTCGCCCGACGTCGCCAGATTCAAACGCTATTCCTCGCATCCTTCACCCGCCGCGGCACTCTCCCAGCCGGCCCCAGAGCACTCGTCCTTCTGAGCCCTCGACTTCGGCGTCGGCACGCATGTCTGTCGCTTCGTCCTCTACGGACGACCACCCCCTGAAGCCGGATTCCGAGTTCCTATCGCCGCCAACCGCGGCGCAGGCGCGCAAGCAGAAGCGCCCTCCTCCGCCAAGACCCGTCATGATCGACCTGCCGACCCGTGCGGATGTGCAGGCTGCCCAGGCTGTCGCGCTGGCAGAAGAGTCTGGTCTTCGTGGCGGATGGGTCATGAACCTGGACACGAGTGCTGGTGCCGCGCAGCGCCGTGCTCGAGGACACGGCGTTAGTCCTTCGCTCGATGCCGAGATGGTCGACATTGACCTCGAGGCTGGACGCGGAGACATGTTTGGTGCCTCCCTCACGGCCGCTGAACTCGAGAAGCAGCGCGAGGAGGACCGCCTGTCGCTGGCGGGCATTGAGCAGCGCCGCGGCTCTGGATCGCGCAGCCCGAGTCTCCTTAACATGGTGTCTCACCGTGCGCCGTCCCCGCTCGCGCGCAGTACCGCTGCGTCGCCGCCTGTCGAGGGCAGCCTTCCGTCGCCGCTGATCCGCTCCCCTGTGTCGGCGACGAGCCCGCCCCCGAATCCGAACTCGATCCGCGTCCCGCCGACTGCGCGCTCGCCGTCGCCGGCGGTCCCGGACCAGGAACGGGAAGTCGTGCGTGCTGGCTCTCGCCGCGGGTCGACGGTGGTCCGCGAGCGTGAGAACAGCTCGGACTCGCGCGCGGGTCTGCTCGAGCGCACGAACAGCGGCAGCGGTCGCAACACGCCGTCGAACAGCCTCGACAAGGTGCTCTCGCCGACGTCGACGTCGGACGGCGTCGCGGGCAACCTGACCGAGGAGCCCAAGGCGATCGCGGACCTCGCAGATGGCATGGAGGAGGTCGCCCTCGTATAGACTGGTTGTTTGTTAGAGTGATGCAGAGAGGACTTTTGTGATTACACGTTCAGTTGGTGAGACACTCGGGCAGGTGTGGGTTAAGTACCCGGACTAACCGGGGAATGACAGGACGTGTGTTCCGGGAAGGAGTAGCCTCTGGGCTCTAGGATGGCATGAGTCATGGCGTGGTTACGTATCGTGGTAAGTGGTATTAAGGAGCAGCCGCTGGCCGAGGCGGCATAGTAGTGTAGAAATCGGAGGGTGTAGGCAGTCTCAGGACAGCACAGAGGAGCAAGGACGTTTCAAGTGGGAACCCGGAGCAATGGAAAGGAGGAAGGTTGGGCTGGGCCGTGCAAGCCGTGGCACTCGCTTCATGCCGGCCACCAAAGTCGGTGTACTAGTTTGGATATCCGGCCGTCACCATGGCTGTCGCGGCAGAGTGGGAAGAGTGAAGCTCAAGACATATGAACTCCAAGTGGCCGGGTGAAGTTCGGCTGATCGTAAGAAAGTGCGACTATCCCGTTGTCGTATTGCCTACAGCTTGCCTGCAAGCCTGCTGAGCGGCAAGGCCTCACTGGTCATGCGGCCGTGCAACAAGCAACATCCAGCGTACCAAGCTTCCGACACTTCCGACGAAACAAGGTGAAACGGATCGGCGCTGCGTTCTGCGTTGCAGTGCCAGTCTGGGCCGAGAGGGCGACTAACCCATGAGTCATGGATGACGGGCCAGACACACAGCGCGCATCACGTCTCACGTCTCGCGTCGCGCGTGTCAGAGGTCTCGAGAAGACGAAAGAGGCAGGAGAGCACTTTAGCGTCGCGGGAGTGATCGTCGCTTGACCCGGTGTTTCATCCTGACCACTCTGGACTTTGGTCTTCCTCCTTCTCTTCACTCTGTGCCATATGAACTCTGCACTCGTCTTCTGCTCGCCACTGCCTTCCGGCTCTTGAGAGAGCACGCTCGGCCATGGTTCTATGGCCATGCTGGCCCGATCGGTCGTTATGCTGATCGCGATCGAAGTGCACGCGACAATCCGCCACGTCTCGGTGCCAGACCGAGCCTCACCCGGCTCACCGGGCTCACCGAGACTCACCGAGCTCATCCGGCCCAACTGCCCGCCAGCGCGCGCGTGAATTGCATTGAAAGCGCCGGCGCGCCCACTGCCATCCAGGAGAAACGAGAGGGCTGCGACGCGTCCTCCCCCCCCCCCCTGCGTCGTGCTGTCTGCACGAAGCACTGTGCTCGGTCTTCGTAATCACGGCGACCTCTCAGTGGCTCGAAGCCAGTGAGCAGTGGGCCAGGCTGCGGAGTACGTGCTGCACGACGGTGCGACGAGTTACGAGTAAGCAGCGCTGCAAAGCCATGCAAAGGTGGAGATTACGACGACGCACGCCCGAGGCGCCCAAGGTCCAAGGAGCACTGCAGGAGGGAGGGCCGGGTACCTTTTTCCTGCTCTCTTCCCTGGGCAGGGAGAGGGGGCGCAGATTAAGGGGGTCTCCCTCCCAGTCGTCGTCGCCAGTCCTCCAGTCCGCCTCCACCAGCTCGCTCTTCCACTCACGCTCTTCTCTTCGCTTCAGCTTTACGCAAAAGGCAGGGCGAGCAGGGCATAGCAGAGAAGAGAAACTTTATCGTTTGGGTTGCGCAAATTTCGACGGCAATGCACCAATGAACGGTGCGCTGATCACAAGAGACTCGGCACAGCTTCGGCTTCACTCTACAGAGAGGGGAGGTACACGCAGTCGTCTGAGCTTCCTTCGACAGTACGACGGTGGTGGATTGGAGGACCAGAAAGCGCTGCGCAGGCTGCAGGGGAGGACATCCGGACGACCTCCCGGCCCGCCGGACGTACCGACACGCTGTTGTGGCGCCGGCGCCATGCGCCCCGTTCCTCTTGCGCCCTCCCAGTCGGCGCAGTCGTCCAGTCAGCTTGAGTGTACGCGAGTCTGCGTTCCGAACGAGTGGTGCTGGTTCTTTGTTTGCGCGTCTGCGCAGGTGTGTTGTGCTTATCGCTCGGCCTTATTGCCCTCCTGGCTTCCTTTTGTTCACTTTAGGGCGCGGCAGGGCGAGACGGCGCCGAGGTACTGATTAACGGGGTGCACCGCCGTGGCCGAACCCACGGGCTCTGTCCTCGTGTCCATTCTGTTCATTCAGATGGACCAGTCGTCTTCGTGCTTTGCGTTGGAGTGTGTTTGTGGGGATCGGAAAGGGCGAGTCACCGCCACATAGCTTATGCAAATGCTCCCCAAGCCGCGCCTCTGGCCCGTACTGCTGCTGGCCGAAGGGACGGAGACTCTGAATGCTCTTCCCGCTCCCTGTATACTCTCCGCTAGTCTGCACCTCCCCTCGATATTAAGGACGCCAGACTCTGGCTGAATGAACGTACGCAGCGAACACCGCGACATGGCCTGTACGAAGTGCATGCCGCCAACTCGCTCGACACGTCGTCTCTCTAATTGATTCAGAAGGAAGTGTCGCGTAACGTGCACGTACACCCGTTCCAGTCACGGTATGATGCGTGCTGGGCTGAATTGTGCCTCCTGCTATCGTCCTGATACCATTGTGTCCATGCCTGACTGCCGGTCTATCAGACAAGACATTTGTGCAAGTTGGCGAGTGTAGCGGTGCGTACGAGTTCTTCAACTCGTCGACAGAGATCTGCACTCCGCCTCGCTTAGAGCGAGCTTCAGAATCACAACCCCCGGGAATTCGTCGCGATCGGCGGCGCGGCGTAACGAGCAGCGTGTGTCGTTGGGTACACCATCCCCTCCTGCCCCGTTCCGAGCAAAGCGCATGGCGCAGAGGTAGGCGCTGAGTACGACCCCGCACCGCTCCGCAGACACCGCGGGCTCCGCAAGGTCGCAATCTTCATACCTCGCTTGCATCAGCTTTGGAGTTGCACGGACACTAGCACTCCGGACGCAAAGCGAGACGCAGTACTGGAACGCGCGCCCCGCACTCGCAGCCATGCAGCCTACGGCCGCGAGGCCTGCCTACGGGCCACGGGGGCAAAGTGTAAGTGTTAATTGCAGATCGATAGATCGAGCCGCTTGCAGTGGGTTTATGCTTGCTGAGTGGTCCAGTGGTCCAGCATGCAGCAAGGGGAGCACGGCGCGCACGCAGGTGAGAGAAAAAGGGATCGGCTGGTGGGCCGGTTGTATCACCTGTTTTCGCCTTGCACCCCTGGCTGGCACGCCTGATGCCCCGTCATGACATGCCTGTCGCTGCCTGCCTACCCCCCTCCTGAACGCGCACCTGAATCCATCCCTGCACACACACAGGCGGCGTCGTGGCGCTCGCGGGGCAACACTGTACCTGCGCCCTTGTGCCCAACACCTTGACGCTCTTTCAACAACAGATGCAGATGCATGCATAGCTCGAGTAACACACCGAGGTCAAGAAGTGGGCAGCGTAGAGAGCCCACATGTGAAAGCCCTAGCATGATTGCGCGAAGTGAATTTTGAGTTGCTGGCATATGATTCGGTCCCTTGCTCAGACAGATCCTCCCAGTCATTGCAGTCTTCCTGGCTGTAGTGGACCTGACGGACCTGCTGTCCTGCTGTCCTGGTGTGTCCTGGACTTGCTGGACATCCTGAGTCTCCTGGGACCTGACCTGGGAGCCAAACTGTGTGCAGCATGTTAGAGGTTGGTGGCCGTTGGACCCGTTTGAACGCCGTCGAGGGATCGAGGGCCGGTCTCGTGTGCCGCCTGGCCCAGCTGGGTTTAGGCTGGCTTAGGAAGGTGCCGCTCGTCCCTGGGTGGCCTGGTCCTGATCCTGGGTGTGTCCCTGGATAATCCCTCAGCCCCCCCCCCTCTGTTCTCGGCCCCGCGTCACGACCTCTGCGACTCCATTATACTCTCCCCAATCAGCACTTACCCAGCGCCTCCAGCCAGCCAACCAACTAGAAGCCCGGTCACATTCCACGTCCTGACTACCTCGCTACTCTGCATCCATCCACCTTCTTGCTCCTTTCGTTCATTCACCTAGCACCAACCACCGCCCCCTTGCATCACCACACATTCACGCATCGAACGCATTTGCATTCAGCCCGCCCGACTCCGCCCCCACCGACGCGCGCGCCCCTCTCACTGCCCCCTCCCAACACGCATTACCCGAACGAGAAGAACAATCAGACGCAACCCCCAGCAAACGTCCGTCTGACCAGTAAAGGAGCTTTGGGCACCCCGACACCGACAAGCCCCCTTCTCTAAACGCACGCACGTCTGCCCGACTGGGCCCACCTCACTGCCCAGCTCCGCGCGTCCGTCCCACTTGTCATCCCCCGTGACATTGGCTGCGCCGACGAATGGATAGTGCAGGGCCTACCACTCTCACCCACTTCGAGCCCGTCGCTGCCCACATTCGAGCAGCGAACGACGCTATGACCACCACCAACGGGATTCATACACCAAGCTACGGCGGTGTTGTTTCTACCGGAGCTGAGTGGGATTTCACGCGAGCCCTAACAGCGCCAGAAAGTGAGTTTTTCTTTCCACCCCTACCGTCACCGATACCCGCGCGGAGCGCTCCGACGTACCTTCCTCACGGTATCCGACGTTGGAGCCACCCTTTTGTGGGCGGTTGCGCATATTCCTGTCACCCCCTCTTTCTCGACCGCTAGCTTGCTTCTTTTCTTCCCCATCCCGTTACCGCGCGTTGCTAACTCTGGAATCAGTCGTTCCGCATCCCGGTCACCCCACCGTGCCGCGAACGACCACCGTTCCGTGTCGACACCAATGAGTCCCCCCGGAGATCCCTCCGCCGCCGTCTCGGGCTCGACTGCATCCGCGTCTGCGGGCAACTTTGGCGCCCGCTCGACGCCCTCTGAGGAGGCGAGGAATTATGTAGGACGCAGCGTCACCGCGTCCCAGCAGGCGACGGCACAGCAGAACTCAACAAAGGGTTCTTCCCCGAGAACAGGCGCATCCCCAGGACAGAAGCAATCCTCGACTCTGGCTCCTCCTCAGGCTCCCGCCTCGTCACAACAGTCCCAGTCACAATCGACAGGTGCTGGCGGATCTTCCCGTCGCCGCCAGTACCGCCAGGTCGGCGACTGGGTACTGCAGAAGACGCTCGGACAGGGTTCCATGGGCAAGGTCAAGCTTGGTGTCAACGTGAACACCCACGAGCGAGTAAGTCTTAACGATGAATTGCAGAGGTCTAGGCGCTGACATGACTCCCAGTGCGCTGTGAAGATCGTGCCTCGCGTGCGGGAAGACCACAAGTCGCAGACGGACTCGTCGGGGAGGAACAAGGATGAATCTAAGGAGATTCGAACCGTCCGCGAGGCCTCCATCTCGCTGCTCCTGCATCACCCCTACATCTGTGGAATGCGCGACTTCTTAGTGCACCAGAACCACTACTACATGGTGTTCGAGTACATTGACGGTGGCCAAATGCTCGACTACATCATTGCGCACGGTCGATTGAGGGAACGTGCGGCGCGCAAGTTCGCGCGTCAGATCGGTTCTGCCCTCGACTACTGCCACCACAACAACATTGTGCACCGTGATCTGAAGATTGAGAACATCCTTATTTCGAACAATGGCAACATCAAGATTATCGATTTCGGTCTGTCCAACCTCTACTCGCCGCACCGGCATCTCTCGACCTTCTGTGGTTCGCTCTACTTCGCCGCGCCCGAACTGCTCAATGCCAAGCTCTACACCGGTCCCGAAGTCGACATCTGGTCGTTTGGTATTGTTCTCTATGTGCTGGTCTGCGGCAAGGTGCCCTTCGACGACCAGTCGATGCCGGCGCTGCACGCGAAGATTAAGCGGGGTCTTGCCGAGTACCCGGCATGGCTCAGCAGCGACTGCAAAGCTCTGCTCCAGCGCATGCTGAACACCAACCCCCAGGAACGCGCGACGCTCGCCGAGGTCCTTTCCCACCCGTGGATGACTAAGGGTTACGAGGGTCGCCCGGACTCGCACCTGATCGTCCGCGAACCGCTTCGTGCCGATGAGGTCGACATGGAGGTCATCAAGCGGATGCAGGGCTTCACCTTTGGCACGCCTGAGGAGATCTACGACAACCTGCAGCGCATCCTCAACAGCGAGCAGTACCTCCGCACAGCTGCGGCATGGGAGGCTACACGTGAGCGCCGCCGCTCGTCGGCCAACGGAACGATGGGCTCGATGAACAACGACGGCGAGTCGCCGAAGAAGAAGCGGTTCTCTGGGTTTGATCTGAAGAAGAAGCTCTTCAAGGAGGAGAAGAAGCCCGATGAAATTCAGGCCGCCGTCAAGGAGCCTCTGGACCCCAGCAGCGGCTTTGACCCGCTGATCTCGATCTACTTCCTCGCGCGTGAGAAGAAGGAGCGCGAGAAGGTCTACGGCGCGAGCCACTTCGCGTCCTCCAAGGTCAGCCTTGAGGGCCAGACCTCGACGATGAACTACGAGCAGTCGCTCGCCAGCGTTCCCGAGCCTCCCTCGGCTCACGCCTCGACGTTTGACACCAAGGCCGCCACGAATGCGACTGTTCGCGATGCCGGCACCGCCGCTTCAGCCAGGCGACGACCGGACGAGCTGGGCAGCAGCGCCCCACCGGCTACCGCCGTCATGTCCCATCCCGCCGCCGACGCCGCGCGCAGCAACATTGCCGATGTCCCTATTGCCCACCGCCGCGGTGCGACCACACCACAGGTCCCCTCCCCCTCTGCTCCCTCCACCCCTGCTGCGCCCCTCTCCGCCCCTATGGTCGCCACGCCGCCATCTGCTGCCCTCGCCGAGGACGAGCATGCCGAGGGCGTTCCCATTCCTGCTGCCACGGCGACCCCGGCTTCGGGAGCCGGCGCGTCTGCCGGTGCCATCACCACGGCCATGGCCGGCACGACATTGTACGGCCGCGAGACTGGTGTCTCGTCGAACCCCGCCACGGTCGTCCAGGCCACGACGAGCGAGTGGCCTGTGCCGCTCGGCATCATCCAGGACAAGAGCGGCGGTATCCGACCGATCGGCGCCCCTGAACTGGATGAGATCGAACCCGCTGACGTCGCCAACATCGACGTCAAGAGCGTTTATCTCAAGGGGCTATTCTCGGTGTCCACGACGAGTACGAAATCTGCGCGCACATTATTGCGCGACATTTCGCACGTCCTGGACCGCGTTGGCATCAAGTACCGCCCAATCCGCGGCGGTTTCGAGTGCATCCATGTGCCGTCGATCGACCTCGCGAGCGTCGTGCACGGCGACGAGGCGCGATCACAGCTGCACGTGCCGCAGACGGACAGCGGGCCCCTCGAGAACTCGCCGTCGAAGAACAAGCTCACGTTCAAGCAGAATGCGGCGAGCAGCTCGAGCACGCAGCAGCGGGGAGACAGCCCGGCGCCGGCCGGTCTCGGCACGAGCAGCGTTGGTGCCGGCAGCGACGGCGTCGCGCCCGGGTCGTCGGGCACCGTCGGCATGCTGGACAATGCCTCTGTGCCGTCTCGCAAACTGGACATCATCGACGACGACCCGTGGGGCACGATGCACGGCGCTAACAGCCCACTGTGCGTGCGCTTCGAGGTGTTCGTGGTGAAGGTGAGTTAAACATAGCTGGTCCATAACTAACAACCAGGTCCCCTGGCTCCCGTTGCACGGCATCCAGTTCCGCCGCGTCGGCGGCGACGGCTGGCAGTACCAGCAGCTGGCGAAGACGATTCTGCGCGAGATGAGGCTGTAAGGCGGAGTGAAGTTGAAGGCACCTCTTACATTACGAGCATCCATCCATCCACAACCACCCACCCAACATCACCCACCACCTTTTACCTAGACTTTTTTGATGACGACCACCTAATGTGCAAGCAAGCCCTGCAAGCAACTCTGCGACTGTGCGGAAAAGATATTTGTTTTGTGTGTGGGATGTATACGACCCGAATTGGCACGAGATGCAGGTTGCTGCGGTGTGCTTGCTGATGCTTCTGCAGGTCCTGCACACACCATGGCTAACACAAGCCGAAAGGGCCAAAGCTGGCAGATACTGACACCGACAGTTACTGACGCCGTTCTAGCCGCTGATGAGACCCAGGAAAGTGACCCAACAGCCGCCAATGTTGGGAAGTCGCAGACAGTCTCGCGGCACCGGTGCAGCAATCCTAACAGCAATCCCACTCGGTCGAGCGTGGCTGCAATCGATACTGTCGCCGATACTGACGTACTGCAGACATTATTATGACTCTAGCATTTGATGCTTGCTGTAGCTCGCCCTCTTGGCCTGCTGGTAGGAAGCATGCTGCTAACGCTGTAGCGGTCATTGATCCCACGAAGCCTTGAGCGCACAGCAGAACGAGGAATGCTCCAGCAGACACGTCCTTGCAGTGACTGATGTAGAAGTGGTAACTAAACCGCAAGGCGCTCATACGAACTCGGCCGCTGCCATCTCTCTGCATTTGGACGGCTATCGCTACGATGCTATTGTGGTCTCCTCACCCGTGAACGGGTCAGGCAATCGCCAACATACAGGTACTGCTGTCTCGTACTGACGTATGACCCTCGACTGCCCCTCTTCGCAAACAAGCCCATAGACGATGAGGAACGGTGCGATCCGCCTTCAGCAGAGGCGGAGTCGTCGAGCTTAGCCCCTTGTTTGCGGAGCTGGAAGCGGGGTTCTTGAAACTCGCCACTCTTCCTCGCAGTGCGGAGCTTGAGGAAGTTGCGGAAGTTGGAGACACCGCGGACGGCGACAACGTCCGAGAGGAAGAGATCGAGGTGGCGCCGAGCGGCGTGGGGGCGAAGGTAGGCCATCCAGGCCTGGAACGCATCGGGGTCCTCATAAGGAGGGGGGTTAACCGAGAGGTATTTACTTCGGGCAAGCCTGGAGGAAGAGTTCCTTGAAGACCTCGAGGGAGGCGAGCTGGTCTCCGTCGTGCTCCTTGGCTCGCCCATCTCACCACGCTGAGCAACTGGAAGCAGCTGGCAAATATCTCACGAAGAGCTTCAACAATCTGGGTAGATGATGAGGGCAGATAGCTGTACTCTCTAATCCCTCACCATGGACTTCGCCCTTCCTTGCGCGCAACGCTGCCGAACAATAAGGACCGGATGCTCGCCTTCGCAGATCTGAATGTTGGAGACGAGGAGTTGTTATACGGCCCGCCCTCGTTGTTTACATGTCGCTGATGTTGCTGCGATTGCTGACGCTGTCGCTTACACACTACTACAGTCCACTTGACGGTAATCGCCAGAACCCCTGGACGGTGATGTTGTCCCGCGAGTGCTGCAACGGGTCTTGCCGCTGCCGCAACGCCCTCACTGCGTTAGAGTTCCTCCAGTGCCGCTTCCGAATCCGTTGCCTGTCGATACTTTTGCAGTCGCTGGCGAAGCTCTTCAAACTCGAACTTCGCCACTCAAGCACAGGCAGACGCATGCACGTGAGCCACCAGTGGGCAACGAAGAACGGCACACCCGGCACACCCCCGCGGCCCGCGTCCGCGATGAGGTCATGCGTCATGTGGTTCGTAACGGACACTTTCGCTCGGCACATGACTCATGACACACGGAACACGAGACGGGTCCCAATCCCCGGGATGTCGGGCCGGGCAGCTTGCCGCCTGTCTTGGGCTTTCCCTCTGTTCATCATTTCCATGCTCACCCACAGCGTCACACTGAGTGCAGAGTTGGAGCTGGGAGGACCTGGAGCCTGGGGAGACCTTGGGAGACAATGGGGAGCCCTTTGTGACGTTTGTCACTCCCTCATACGTCCCCATGCGAGAGGCCCGGCGCCAGCGGTCCGGGGACTGGGGCACTGCGTCATGCGTCATTGAAGATCGCACCGTGTCACCGGATCCAGCACTGCTCCAGCTCCCACGAGCAGGTGCTTATCTCTGCATTGGTGCCGGCCGGCACACGGCACACACACGGCACACGGCGGCATGTAGTCGGCACAAAGCGCAACATGGCATGACGTCGGCGTGACTGGGGATCGGTCCGATATCATCATCATCATCATCGGCGCAGCTCTGTAGGAGCGGCATCATCAATCCCACTTTGATCAAGTTCGCTTCCAGAAGTAAACCTGACGGACCCAAGAAAGCGAAGGAGGTCCCAGATCCCAGATCCTCTTGAGGCATGATGAGGCATGGTGAAGCATGATAAGTGACCATGGCAATCGCCGGGGTACCTCACCTCTCTTCATATCGAGGCAATTCGTGGGACCTTGCTTGGGACCTGCCTTTGGACTCAGACTTGGGACCAGCCTTGGGACCAGACTCGGGGCCTGCATTGGGACCTGCCTCGGGACCTTGGGTCCATGGAGCAGAGGAGATGGATGTGACGAGGCACAAGCACGAGTTACTGGAAACAGGAAGCACGTAACTATGAATACTCAACAACTCAAGGCTCGTTTACCGCGGCTCTCCCTGTCTCTCTGCCCGCAACCTTCCTCCTCACACCTGACGTTGAGTCTGACTGACGACTGACCGAAGCGGGGTGGACGGCGCGTTCCTAAAGGACCCCAGGGAGCGCCGCGCGCGGCGCGCGGCGCGGTGCCGTGTGGTGCCGCAAGCCGCTCGCTAAGGTCGCTAGGCTCACCGCATCCCCACCAAGACGTGGCCGTGCCGATGCTGACTTATCAATGGGAAGGGGATGGATGTGGCAGGGTGTGCGGAGCAGATGCGCACAAGGGATGACAGGAGAGGAAGAGTTTGGGTGAGGGGATGGGAGCCGGTGGCAGGCGGGAACAGAGTATTGAGGGAAGACACAGGAGAGGAAGGACACACATGGAAGGAGGCGCATGCAGGGAAGCTATGAGCGGCGACGAGTCCGACAGCGCGACGGCTGGGGCTGGCGCTGGTCAGGCTTGTCTTACTTATCCCGGAGTGCGACAGACTCACCTGATGTGCTGTGGAGCCATATGACACTGGGATCAGTAGGACTCGGCGAGATGTACCCAGCACTCGCCGGGAATTCCAGATTTCTGGCCACATGTCAAGTCCACGAAGCCCCTGCTCGATGGGACCCCTGCTTCAAGAGGGGTGGAAATTTCCAAAGAGGGTGGGTTCGAAACATTGGGGTCAGGACTGCATTGTGTGAATGCTAAAGTATAGTGCACTGCTGACGGGATGCTGCCGAGACACAACGAAAGACACTACGGAAGGCGTGGCGGAGGAAGGTCGCTGACCGAGGCTCATGCCTGTGAGAGATGCTGGCCAGACGTGTCTTCTCAACGTAAGCAGCGGGCAGGAGAAGCCCGCCGACACGGGTCTTTGCTCCGGAATACACCGACACGCGCTGGTCGGGGCTCTGACGAGAACAGCGAGGAGGCAGGAAACATCCGAACAACACTGAATGGAAGTGGCCGAGAGTGCGGCAATTTGGGACACCATATGGTCACGGCGGAAGAAACCTGAACAGAAATCACAAGGTCAAAGGAAACTTCTGCGTAGACCCGCGAGGGGTGTTGCGATATCCGCAGCAAATGACCCTCGACCCCCGAGCGGAGCTGCATTGATCCCTGCTGGGGATTGCGCCGGTTGGTGCCGAGTGCACCGCCTCGGTGAGCGCAATGTGGCCCTTCTACCGGAATCAGGTGGTTTACGTGACCGAGCGAGGCGGGCACTCCGGATCCCACTCGACATCTGTGCGCACGGCTCGGACAACAGCAATGCACACTGAGTGTGACGAATGTCGTTGAATGGGAGCAGGGCAATTTGCCGGAATCGGTGCATTGGGCGTGACGCGCCGAACACGCGCCTCCTTTGGCTCGCTCTGTCGCTGCTCGCATGACCGAGCTCCGCTGAATGAGCATGACCGAGGCCACCGAGCCAGGGTCGCCGAGCGTGCCACAATGTCCCGATCGAGCAGCCCAGATCGAGATCTCCACCTACCTGGGCACGCCGAAGCCCTCAGATCCAACCCACTTTGGACGTGCACGAGCTTCGGTCCCTCAGCACCGAGGTGGCACAGAGGCGTACGCAGTGGGCACCGAGCTGGAATCACGCCGAGGTATTCGAATGTCTCAGCGCAGTATCTCGCAGCATTGTGCCTCTGGTTATGCTTAGAGGTGCCTTGCACCACACCGAGCGACACAGCAGTGTGGCGTGCGCTGTACCGTGGCAACTTGCCAAACACGGTATGCCTCGGTTTTGGAGTTCCAAGGAAGCCAAAGGAGGGTGCTCTGTGGCGGTATGTTGTGGAGCCAGGTCATGGCGGGGAGGTGCCTTCGCTAGAAGTGGTGTCAATGGTCAGCCTGCGGCGACATAAGATTCAAAGAGACAGTCAGTCATCAGTGAGAGGGGTTCAGAAGCAACGAGTGCATAGAGCGGACGTCAAATGCAGAAGGCGAGGGATCGGGACAATTTGTTGGCGTGGGCTTGGAAGGGTAGGCGCACGTGAAGTTCTCCACGCAACAACTGTATCGCCGCGACAAAGCGGCCCTCCTCGTTGCTACAGCCTCCTGCTCCAGAGTCATCTTTGAGGCAGTACAAGCAATGCTGCTCTTGACGATGAGCTCGATACGAGTAAAAGAATCGTGCCCTGCGGGCAGCGGGCAGCGAGCCATACTTCTGGTAAAGGAACATTTCATGTGGCGCAAGGATCCCCTTAGCGCGTGCTGCGCAGACTTCTCTAGACGTGCCGCCCTCTGGTAGGCCTCGCTTTTACAGTACCACACTTCGATGTTCCCTCCTTCTCCGGTCCTCTCAGAGGGGAATGCAGTGGCGGTGCTCGACAGGCATGCGCTCAGTCGACTGACACACGGGGCCGTGGTCGCCCTCGTCGTGCTGCCAGTGCCCATCACCAGCCGCCGAGAACCGTCACTGCCGGAACTACTCGTTCGATTGTTTTGCCTGTAGTTCTTCCAGAGATCTGGCCTTGGACTCGGCTGAGTGGCAAAGTGGCCCGAAGTCGACGCTATTGCGAGCTACGCCGACACTACGGTGTCTGAGATGTTGGGCCCGGTGTGATCTGTGATAGTGCCACAAGCGCCATTCCAGCTGCGGGGTGCTGCCGAACATGGTCCGGTACGAGCGGAACTGTGGGCTGTGAACAGCCGCGGCGCTCACGCGGGCACTGACGGAGTGACAGCCCACAGTTCCGTCGGACCGGCAGCGCTCGGCGCGTGGGTGTCCGTGTAATCGGCCCCCCTGCCCCCACGACGTCGGGGTACTTCAGCAGCGCAATAAAGCCGGAGGTACGTGTTGATTAAGCTGGGGTACTAGCGACGGGCTATGACGAGCTGAGATGTTTTATCGGATGGCATCGAGCGGTCCCCTCGACGCTGGAACGGCGCTCCTGCGGGAGATCTGCCGAAATTAATGTACTGAAGCGCGGGGGAATACACTATAAGTCAGCTGTCATTGAGCTCAATGTCCGCGGAGAACGAGGAGGTTCTGTTGGATAACTTAGAGGCGGCCGAAGATATTAAGAGAGTGCCACTCATGACCTCGGTGTTCAGGACTATACTTCGGGTCCGCCTCACGCCTGTTTCGGTGAGTGTCACTGCATGCCCGAAATGTCAAGAGATCGCCCAGACTTTGGCAGTCATCAGACGCTCCTCGACGTAGAGAAAGGCCGGAATTGAGCTGCCGGCGCCACACCGCCGCCTATTGCTTGGGCCCTGCCAACCCTAGAATGGCAGAGTGGGACACCACGCCATCGCCGATCGCCCGCGGTTAGACCCATCATGATAGCTGCGGGCAAATGTAATCGACGGGAGATGTCGCCTTGATGTATGTAGTTACTCGACTTACGTGTATGAGGTCTGTCACTAGAACTCTTCCGCGGGTTCAGTTCAACATGAATAGGGCCAACGGAAATTGTGCAGTGAATTACTCGCTCTGTACCCGCGGCTAATCACGCTGCGGGGTGACACACCATGGGGCACTTCGGCTCGTCTGCCCGCTGGCCGCTCGGCACACCTGTCTAGCCCCATAGGCCTACGTCGCTGGCTGTTTGACACCTCAGATATCGTTGTCAAATCAGTGTCGAAGATCCGGAGAGCTTCGGGTTCGTGCCGCATGGGATCGCGTAGGCATGCGGATAATGGTGGCTCGAGGGGTAATGGTGGCTCGATGGGTAACGGTGGCTCGAGAGATGTTTGTTGCGGTGGGATGTTGCGGGAACGCAATGATGTCAAAGAAGCTGGGGGTACGTGCACAAGCAGAGGCTTGCTCAACATCAGTACTTGACTATCGTGGATGCGATGCAAATGGTTGGGTCCTCGGAACGGAGCTGACTGTGGGAACACCGTCGGAGCACTCGGCTCCGCCAGGCTCTTCCAGTTCCTACCCAGGTCCTTCGCACCTGGATCCAGTCGATCCCTGCACCACGGCAATGCTGCTGGGAGCACAGCAAGCTTTGTTCGTTATGTTCACGCGGGCCGGAAACTAACTAACGGGTACGCCGTTACTGCCGCCTTGCCGTTTGTTTACGGTCGCGGGCAGGAACACTTCAACGTTCGTCCGTCCGCTTATGTCAAGTAGGGGCAGTTTCGCAGGGCCCGGGGGAAAGAGGCCCAGCTGCAAGCGACGCCGCCTGTCCATTGTCGCCGGACCCAGGTATAACTCTGCACAGCTGAGAACTGCAGGCGAGAGGTCGACCAGTTAGAGACCTCACCGATTACCAACTGTTCAGCCTGTAACAACCTGGCCGCGATCACTGGAGTGCCGCCAGCTCCATTCGCACTAGCCTAGCTAGGCCAGACTTGGTCCGGAGCTCGTAACGGGGTTATATCGTACGCGTGCACGGGGTGATGCCAATGCTTGCCCCTCGATTCTCGGTCCACGATCGCAGGAGGTCTCGCACGGTCCACTGGAGCAATTCACGGGCTAACCTGTGTCATGACCATGAGGGCGGCAGCCGTACCGCACGAGACAGACATATCTCGTGATTTACAGAAAGCATTGAGGGGAGGTGGGGAGAGCCGCCCACGCTAACCACCGTTCCGTGTACTCGTGAATGTCGCGTTAGCTTGTGGATACCGTCACACAGCCGCTGGAACGGCACTAGAGTGAGACACGATGATGGTTAAATGGGCCATGAGAAAGTGGAGGACCAAGAGCATCCTGAAGCTTGAGGTGAGTTTGCTCTCACGAACCTGAGCGTGCCACCCGTTGGGCACAAGATCACGAGAGGCGTCAAGGGTCATCGGAGGGGCCGAAGCGGCCGAATGAGCACATCCCAACGAGTCCCAACAGCGCCCAAATAGTGCCGGGCCTGAGTGACTAACAATTCAGATCGGTCAGATGATCGCCACAACGTTCACTTTGCTTAGAGCCGGGCGGGGCGTGGATCGGCGATACCCTCCCATCAGTATCCTAGGAAGCCCCCCAAATGTACGCAAAGCTCTGTTCCCGCATGCCCATGCAAGTGTTGGAGCGTGGAGGGTTTCGTCGCTCGTCCAGAGACGGCGAGGAGTAAGCAGCCTCAGTTTGAGACATGATACAGGTCCACTATCGAGAGCGGAAGCGGTTCCCAGGCTTGCTTCAGGCTCCGGGTCCGCAGGCCCGCCCACCTTTCAGTTGAGCCTTGAATGGCAGGTTCACTGTCCAGCCGCTACGGACCATCGGCGTAGAGGCCGACATTCATAGACTGCACGATAATCCTAGAGTTACATGGACTGCGCACATTTGAACAAAGCACAGGCCGCTCCGAGAAACTCCGCATGCTCTGAAAGGCGGTTTGAGGGTTGCAAAGGACTCTTCAATCTCGCGGGTCAGGACGACAGAACAGGCAAACGCCGTAACGTTGCTGATGGTAGGGGACATTGCCACACACGCAAACGTCATACTGCCTCGCGTTGTGGACACCTACGCAAGTGTGGTGTGCGCCATCTTTACCCCGAGGTGGGCGAAGGCGAGGGTGGCCGCGATCCTGTGATCTGGCGATTTGCGATCGAACGAGAAGATTGGATCCGACGGGGTTGTCGGAAGGCGGGAGGGTATCACACCCTCTACGCTTTGACGCCATTTACAGTCCCATTCTTAATTGAGTTTGACCATGCCCGAGTAACCCGAGTTATTGAGTTATTCAAGAAGCGAAGGCAGCGCGGTACCGGCAGGTGCAAGGAGGCTCAAGCTCTCGTACCTGCGGGCTCATACGGTGACGCCCTCATCTGTGGAGCGCATCAAACACTGTGGGCGCCGTTGGTCGTATCGAGTTTCCAAAATGCCCGCTCAAGCCACATCCAGAGCTGTGACAAACGAACCGACAATCCATATGTCTACCCGAATGTATTGATCCGCTCATTCAGCCTGGAAGCATAAACTTCAAGTTCCGGCGGGGCTGCAGGCTACACCGGCGCACTGGTTGGCCATAGTTCGATGCATGAAACACGGCCCAAATGATGAACCCACTACTAGACGAGAACCCACTGTGTGTAGCCAGCCGCTGGCCATGACTGCAAGACAGAAGGTCTCGCTATCGTCGCCCTCCTGCTGTGGCTCGGACACGGTGGTCAGGATGGGCTGGAAAGGACATCGTCCCGCATAGTGATATTAAGCTTCAGCTGTGCACCAGTGTCAGGTTGGGTATGGCTGTGCTCCAGCTATCGAGCACGGCCAGAAACCCGGAGGAGTACGTCACTTCGACATATTAAAGTGAAATTTCTTTTTCTGGGTATGGTCTCCAGATACGTTCAGGTATTCTCATGAATGCGGTCATAAACACGTAAAATACCACGTAAACAGACGCGATAATGGCATAAACCCGTGGTGCCTCCTCACTCCCGGCGTGATTCGCGAACTCCGCTGTCCAATGAACGACGGATGCAGTATCATCCCGACCTGGCTTTGTAAATCCAGTCAAGGGCCGGACGATGTCCTTCCAGTTCATCCGCATGTTCTTGTACCTCGTCCTGAACCGCGCCGCGCGTCGGATGCGACATCGTCCGCGTGTTCAGATGCACGAATGATGGCCCATGCAGGCTCTGGCGTCGTCTGCGGGTACAAGCGTAAGGAGCCCATCCGTGTCTAACTCAGGGGTATTAGAGTTACTGGTATCCTGCCCTACGAGAAGGAGGGGGCGTGCTACACCGGATCGGCAGACGCGGTGGAGAGCCTCGGCTCCCGACCGCCCCACAAACGGGTTCCACTACAGTGGTAAGGTGTAGCCGTTCTCAAGAGTTCTTGAAGTAAATGACGTTTTAGATATGCATGCCTTCCCTTATCCCTGTCCTTCTGACCGTCCTGCCGTTCCTTAACATTTTCCTTACCCTTAGCCACATTACGATCTCTCGGGCCGTAAGGCATATTGGCCGTGCGAGTTAAAGGGTTAGACGCAAAGTGCGCTCCCACGATATCGAGTTCGGCTTTTTTTCCTACTGTAGGCCCTTGATGATCTACTGTTCGCTGTTGTTGACTACCGTTCGATGGCAGGTCGCCGGACACTTTGTATCTACCCGCCGCCAGTTGCTCGCAGCTCTCCCCGACATAGCTCGCCAGGCAAGACTCGCCCAAAACTCCGTCGCTATCGGAAAGCGGCCTAATGGCCATCGCTGATGATGCCGATACGCGAAGCGACAAAAACAGGCATGTACCACACTTTCTTATGCCCATAGCGAAATCTGGCTTTGAGCTCCGATACGAGTGACCCAAAGCTTTGCAAACCGCAGCACCCTAGTAGTCCCCGACGGCAGACGCCGTGTACTGCATGTTGAGCGTAAGGGTCTTGGCCAGACCTTCCCCACTTTGGTCGCTCCCAGTGCGGCCCAACTGCCGGCCCGTCCCCTTCGCCTCTTCTCAGCGCCGCGTATGCGCGGCGCCGCAAGTTTCGCCACTTCCTTCGGCCCAGCAGTCAAGTGCCGGGCTTCACAGGAATACCAGTGGACAGAGCGTATCGGCCCGGGCCTTTGTCCGAGGCCTCAAGCCACATCGCCTCAGTGACTACCTCGTGACGGGTTGCGACGGCCCGCTTACCGTCATAAAAGACGCTCCTCTACACTGCATCAGCCTTTCCCGACGTCCCACCTCGAACCCTTCGGTGAAGTGAACGGGGAACGTCGTGCCCCGCTGGCTAAGCGGCCACTGCTGTGGCCACAACCTCCTTTAACCGATGCCGAGTTAATGCCATGAGTCGTCGCAAAAGCTAGGCAAGAGGGAATCATCTGGACAGCATCCCTCGCCCACTCTTCCCACCCTTCCATTGCGCTCAGCGATAGCCCGAGATACTGGATAGAGTAAGACCGTGCGGCCGGACAGATCTGGTAGTTCTGGTTGCGCAGCGCCTCTGAACTGCTCGCATCGCCGACGTAACACGTCGTAGGGACGTACAGCGTTGCAAGTAAGGGGGTGATTAGGGTCCAACGCATTGGGCCCCAAACCCTCAATGTCAGCGCGAAGAGGAGGGGAAGTCTCTAGTGCACATTGCAACCGAAGCCTAATGCCGGTTTCGACTTCCTGAAGCTCCCGGTGTTCCGGCCATGATGATCAATCGGAACGCACGTATGCTCTGTAGGCCCTCTGCTGCGCCCCTGCTCATGCGGTATCGACTGCCAAAGGAGGTGAGGGTCCGAAGCAGTGCTACCGAAAGCATATGGACGCCAGTTCTAAAACAGGTGTGCGCAATTGTGGCTCCTGGCCGCCAAACAGATTCACCAGGAGCGGCAAGAGCGTCGCCTGCAGTCTGCAGGTAGTGAGAAAAGAACGTAAGGCAGCGACGCCGCAGCGTCATCTCGAAAGATTGTTCGTCATGAGACGAGGGCGATGTTTAAGGAGAGAATCGTAACGGGTTCCTGATGCATTGAGTATGCTTCCCCGAGTGGGGACCATGGAGACTCGCAAGAACTCTTAACGATGGAGATGACTCGGGCGGCGAAGGGCGTGAGCGCGCACAAGCATGGAAGCCTTGAGCCTCTCCAACTGGACGGTGTCATACCGTGGAGCAGAAGAGTAGACTGCCGGGGAGACATGACGCGATGGGGGTATGAGGGAACAGCGGCTGCGAAGAGGCTAGGTACGACAGGGCATGGGCGGGCTTGGACGAGGGGGATGAGGGGGATGAGGGGGATGAGGGGGATGAGGGGGATGAGGGGGATCCGTAACGTTGCTGATGGTAGGGGACATTGCCACACACGCAAACGTCATACTGCCTCGCGTTGTGGACACCTACGCAAGTGTGGTGTGCGCCATCTTTACCCCGAGGTGGGCGAAGGCGAGGGTGGCCGCGATCCTGTGATCTGGCGATTTGCGATCGAACGAGAAGATTGGATCCGACGGGGTTGTCGGAAGGCGGGAGGGTATCACACCCTCTACGCTTTGACGCCATTTACAGTCCCATTCTTAATTGAGTTTGACCATGCCCGAGTAACCCGAGTTATTGAGTTATTCAAGAAGCGAAGGCAGCGCGGTACCGGCAGGTGCAAGGAGGCTCAAGCTCTCGTACCTGCGGGCTCATACGGTGACGCCCTCATCTGTGGAGCGCATCAAACACTGTGGGC